TATTCACGTTTCCCTGCGCGCCGTACAGTTGGTCCTTTGATTTCGAATCCAAGCTCTTTGAGCTATTTGTCTCGGCCTCGGGGTCGCGGTCGAGCAGCGGGTCATCGCCCGTAGAGGAGGGGTGTACGGGCATACGGTGAGATCGCTGTCGGTAATGATAATTGGGGTGATCCCGGTCAACGTGGCGTCGCTCTGGCTTGATCAGGCTCTTCTTGCGCCTCACGTCACCGCCACGTTCCATGCGTTCCTCGTCTGTCTCAGCGGCCCTTCGGTGACTGTGCGATCGGCGGCGGTGGTGTCGGTGGGCGGACGGGGAAGTTGGGTTGTCGCTGAAGTTGCCGGAGTCGATGTCTCGGTGTCGCCGACGGTGGGAGGGCTCGCGGAAGGCACTGCGCTCCTCACGCCGGGGCGAGGCCTTGCCAGGCCTTTGCGGCAAAGACATTGCGGTCCTATCGGCGGGGTTTCAGTCAGACGGCTGAGAGACAACAGGTGGGATTGCGGTCGCGGTTGGCGAAGGTGTGCGCACTTACTTTTAAAATGCCGGGATCATGCAACTGCAGTGTTGTTCTGCGATCCTCGATTTCTCTTGGGAAGTGGATATTTTTGCCCTTGCGCCTAGCACATAGTCGACTCTCGATGTGATCAGCGGAGGAAACGGGGCTGCCCGATTTGCGCAGGGCTCGTATCCGGTCGCGCGCCAGAGATAGAGAAGACCAGTTCCCCGTCAGGTACCGTTGCTCAGGGTGCGTTTCGAGAATAAGCCGGTGAACTCTGCGCCAGCTCAAGTTCAGTCTCGACTGGCGTACACGGCAGGTTCCCAGGTGGCAGCGCTGGACGGCGGTCGGCCGGTGCAACGATAGCCGGGGGTGGAGAATAAACAAAGTGCGGTCCACACAGCAATGGGTCGGGGAGCGAGCGACGGGAAGACCAGCGAGGTCAAATAATGGGTGAACTTTGAACGAGAGGATAGACCACCGATAGCGAGTGTAGGATGTACCTCTTGACGGGATGAGGACGGCCTCTGTGAAAGGCTAGTCGAGGACCGGAGAGTAGAAACCAGAAGTGAGATGTGATTCTGTGGGGAGGGTCAGGGTCTCCGTGTCACGGGCCCAGCCAGAACTCTAGTACACAGCCAGCTAACTCTTTTCTAAGGGACTTCACTAGTACGGCGTAGCATATAAGGAGGTATTTAATTACTACTAGTGGGCTGTATTATTAGTGCCGTAGTCGTACGAAACGTTAGTAATTGTTTACTGTTGGTTCATCCATGAATTCAATGATGGCTCTTGACCTTGCATCGTCCTTAGTTAGTAGCGGTTATGTTGGATTTACCGGATGAAATCTCTGCTAAGAATTGAAAAGACGCCCTTTTTGTGAATCGTGTTGACCCTGAATCGACAAACCCTCAACCCCCTAAATTAGCACTGCAACCAACCCTCCAAATAACAATTTCCTGGTGTCGCTAGGGGCGATGGCTTCCCCCCCGTCTTCCATCCCACCAATCACCACGCGATTAAGGACTCGACCCGTGGAGCTCCGCCGAGTGCGCCGTGGGAACAAATCACACTGCGCCAAGAAGGGCGGCGCCATCCCTCTCGAGGCTAGGCCCGGCTCGGTTGGTGCTTTACTGAGGGGGAAGATCAAGCCGAGGGCGCATTTTGCGCTCTTTGTCTCGTCGAGCACAATTTTGGTTTGGGGGCCTTCCCTGCCCGGAGGTTAACTGTTTAAATGAGCTTGACGAGATGATGGAGCTAAGCTTTATCAGGAATGCGACAGAATCTTCTGGTCACGGGGATCACTATTTTCGGGTGTTTGGCACAAGGTCATATATGCATGAACTGTTGCTTATGATTGTGCCGTTCATAACTGTCATCGTCGACCTTCGTGGTTACTGGGTATTTGCCACATTTTCTACGGAGTATACACTGAATAATTGTCATAGGAGAAGTGAATCAAAGCAATCGAATGTAGATTTGAATCACCGACCATTTAGTTGTGACTACGTTGACAATGACGATCCGTACCTGCTTGCGCTACTTCGATTACTACTAATACATTGCAATAGCCGAATCCTACCATAAGTACGAAGTGCCGCGCATATCGGTTGTCAGCCTCCTTAGCCCTTTGATCTGTCACTTCCGCTCTCTCTCCCTGCTGCATTCCTCTATGTACCCCGTATACAGAGGGGACACCGTCAGCGCGCTACACTGTCCTAGTCCACGGGCAAATACGAGCCACCATGCTTCCAAGGCCTCGAGTATATGCCATCCAACAGTTTCCCGGCAATCATCCTTGAAGTCGAATAGGCAAAGCATAGAGGGTGTAAATGAAGCTGACAGAGAGTTTTGAATGGACGAAATATGGTATGGAGACGCCAGTTTCTTACCATGGTTTCTTGTGACATGCCTTACACGTAGTCAAATTGATCTTCCACCGTTGGCTTTCTTTTTTCCGGAGGCAGCCGAAGGCTTCTTGGTGATCAGAGGCTGAACTCTTACTGACACGGTAAAATATAATCGAGGCGTTCGAGACCTTTTGAGGCTCTCGTGTTCTTTCATTGTTTAAGTGAACAAATCTCGTAATCATTGTGTCTTACTTTTGAGCGACGCGTCTCGAGGTACGCCTTTTAGACAGGGGGCCGATTCCCCAATCGGACCCCTGCGCTCGAGCACCGTCTATACGATGGGATCGACTAGTCTATGGGCGATCATCGCGGTACTTGGTCCGCCCTACTGGGGGTTGACAGGCTTGATATACAAAGGAAGTACTAAAAGCAGTGCTTGGTATACGCGTGAGGGTCAACATTGGACTGCCCCACAAATCACCAATCTCAATCTATAAACTACGGTGAGCATTCGGTCAAGTTCAAATATCTCTGCGTTTCGATGCCAGATTGACCGGTCCACCCAGAAGCACCGAAGCACCCTGTGCTGGACTATGGGTACGGTATCCCTTTATGCAGCGCGGTGCAGCGCATGGGCACCATGTTCTTCAGCTTGGACTAGAATACAGTGGATCTTTGCATCTGACACTGGTGGTCGGGAGGGACGAGGCATTGCTATGCGCCAAAGTCGAGTGAGGGTGGATGGTGCACTGATCTACTTTATGATTAATACTACTACGTTTGCCTCTTTGCGTTGCTGGCATTGAGAAAGATAATACTATAGTTGTCGACGCTTCGTCATCTAGGACTAGTATATCGTGATGGATTCGTAGCCCAAATTCAAGAAATTGCCCCGTATTCACTCATCCACCTACATCAATGCGGCAAGGAGGTCGATATTCAATAGATGGACGAAGCAAGAGAGGCCCGTGGCTCGGGCCATGCGGGACGAACAAGGCACCAAAACCGCCCAAGCGCCAGCCTCGCAGGGGAGACTCGACAAAAACTCAATGCCCTCTTCCAAATTCTCCCGTTGGATACTCTGCATTCACCACCTATACCTTGCAAAAAACCTGGAAGACTCGCAGACGCAGACGGCGTTGTTGCGTGCCAAGGAGTTCTCGCTGGCTTCGTGCTGACTTGACCGCCAATGTCAGATTGTCTCATCGCAGCGCCTACGGTGTGAACGGTGGCGCCAGCGGGCCAGGCTACCACCATACGGGTCACGACGAAGTATTGGAATGCGCTGTCCTATTCTCTATACTGTACTTACTCGGGCAAAATCACCTCATCTTCCTCCAGTCCATGCGGTCTTCCAATATTGAGCCGGTGAATTGGGCTGCTGCCAAGAACCAGACATGTCAGCCTCCGCCCGACACAGTCATGTCTGAGGTGCAGTCTACGAGTGTGATCTTTCACGAGAGACCCGCCCTGTCGCAGTCTCTGCTATGTAGTGGCGCGGGAGCTGAGCTTCAAGAAAAACCTTTTCTCCTTCGCTAATCGGAGGCTGAAGAGGGAAAGGATGAAAAAGAAGACGCGGGAAAGGCAAGAATGTCCACAGTCAGAACCAACCAGATCGCACAGTATCCGAGCCTTGAACAGCCTCATTTCGCTCCGCCCCAGTCCTTAACCTAATTCAAGCTCGTTGCAACATCCTCCGGCCTTGGTTCTGGAGATTTAGCATCGGCATTGGGTTCGGCCTTGGCGACTGCTAAGTGCTTCCGTGCTAACTGAACAAGGGAGTCTGGTGGTGGAGACGGTGGATCACAGATCCGATCCTGGCCTGGTTGGACAGAGCAGAGCCGTGCAGCTTCACAGATTGAGCTCTCGGATGGGTCGATGCTGGGGTTTCCATTGGAGGAGGGTTCTTTCGATCGAGTGACTCCATTTTTAATTGTCTAATGGGTAGGACTAGCGCCAAGGAGGGACACTTGGAGATCCCCTTTCCAGCCCTTTTTTCAGCCCGCGCTATACGGGGGAAGGGACGGCAGCCTCCTGTCGGGCTGTTTTGACGGGTGTAGAAGACCGGAAGAGGCGTGGTGTGGGCATAAGAATAGCAACGGCCAACTTGCAAGACTTGCAAGACTTGCAGTAGTTTCCTCGACGTTCCGCCAACTGCGTGACTCGGTCCTAGGGAGTACCAAGTCTCTGGGGATCGAATTGACTGGATTGAGTGGTTCACTTAATAATAGTTCACCCCACTTTCTGCGCCGCATGATGTCCGCATTTTTTCTTTCCTTTTTCCTTTTTTCTTGTCTCTTTGGTCTCAAAATTACTACGATCGCGGCAATTTCCGGCTGCCTCAGATTTGATGGAAGCAATGCTAACTGACCGTCTTGATGTCTCCTACTATTCGTAGATAAATAAAGACATACCTCTCCATTCCAGGGTAGGCCATGAATCCCAAGCCCGTCGAATGATCATCCATAGGACGGCCGAAAGTTTAAACCTTGGCCAACCTCGTAACGCTTTATCGATCGCGGGAGTAAACTAGCGATGACGGAGGAGACCCTGGGAAGGCGTGCTGTAATGCCGTTGGCTGGATGGATTTTGACTGCCTAATTACTTTCTACAGTACAGTACAAGTAAATAGGACCGTAGCCTCTCACCGTGCAAAGGGCACAAAGCCCACTCATCGGTGCACTAAAAACTGCACTAGGGAGCCAAGTCAAGTGAGGATGCCCACTTCTTTTTACTCCGACTCCTCCAACACTTCCCCCTCCCCTCGCTTCATGGGCCAAAGATTGTCCCACATCCTTACCTTCTTGATCCCCCATTCCATGCCAATAACTGTTTCAAGTCCGTAAATCCCGGTTTCCTCCAAAGTCTTCCACCTTCTTCTATTCCTGAATCGCCTACTAAATCTACGCTGCAGCTCTGCCTTCCGGTTCAACTCCACCTGGCAATTGAACGAATAAACGACCAGAGACTGGGGCTACCCGACCCCGAACTGGACCAGGCTCCACGACCCCCATTCGAGCTTTCATTGGAACCCTGTTTCCCTTCCCCAGAGTTCAAAGGAGGAGGAAAAAGAACAAAAGTTGTCCTGGTCGAACCTCGAGCTTGACCGAAACTTACCTCCTTCATCTCATCTGCTCGGCCTTCCATGTCGCAATAAGAACCACCCGCCCTGCCCCGTGCTCCCGTCGTTTCGCCTCACTCGTTTAAATTTGGATCGACCGTCTCATTTCGACGCCCGTCGTGACAACGCGATTTTTTATTTTCTAGCACAACGCCCAAGCACTCTGTATAGCTCGCAATTCCGCATCTGGTTTCGCAGTAACACCCCCAAAAATGGCCTCTCCCGTGGCTGCCGAGCATCCCCCCATCCCCTCTCCTCCGCCAGCATATCTCCGATCAACGCCTCCATTCCCCCTCCCCTCCCACGAGTCAACTCCCCGCACGATTCCCCAGCACCCCGGGCTGGTGAAAGTTGCACGGAAACCTCTCTCGGTGGTGACCCCGGACGCCGGGACTGTACCAGTGATTCAAGCGTCCCCGCGCTCTCCGGTCAGAATCGACCATGGTACCAATATTCCCCCAGCATCTACCGCCCAGATCGAGCACTTCTCGAACGTGCCCGTACCGCCGCAACTGCAGATTCCTGAATTTGCAAACCTATCTGTTGAAGACCATTCGCAACCACGACAGACTTGGGACCCCGCATTCCCGCCAAGGCGAGACTCTATACAAGCTCCGCAGCATCCGTCGCAGCATCCGTATGGCCATACTCCGACCAGCAGTGGATCATGGTCGGTGGTTGATAGTCAGGTGAAGGAAAATGGCCACGATCCGAAGAAGAACGGTTCCTTGCACGGGCGAGAGGGTCCAAGCCAGAATAATTCCTCGCGTGGCAGCTTGGAAAGTGATGCACAGAATTCTGATCCCTACGAGCCTCTGCCCTACTTCCACCAGCAGCAGCATCAGAATACCCCCAATGTGCGACACTCCACATTGGGCATCAACTCGGCAGGCAATCCCTCCGGCTCGACGGGTAATTTGGCTGTAAGGCGATCTCGGAATCCGAGGCCTGTGTCAAATTACTCTTCCACGTCGGACGTGGCGGGTGGGAACCACCGTCGCAATCTTTCTGCATCGCCATACATGCAGGGCCGCTCCTCGTCACGCAATTCCACCGCATCCCCTGACAATCGTTCGCTCTCGGTCTTGGATCTACTCAACTCATCGTATCCTCAACCAGGTCCTACAGCCCCGCAATTCGACAACTCTCACCTGCGGTCCTCCGTCGGAAATAATGCCTCTCTTCTCAGCCACAAGCAAACGTTCGAGATGTACCTCGCAAATGTCAAGAAAACCGACGAGCCGCCCGTGCAGTATGAATTCGCCGTGTTTATGATCAATTCCATGCGTGAGATGCCCGCCGTCGACCTCGAAGATTCCACCTCCATCACACGCCAACGACTTTTGCGCGAGTCGAAATCCATTCTCCAGCGTCTTGCAGACCGCAGCTACCCCTTCGCACAGTACTATCTCGCCGACGGCTACGCCTCAGGACTCTTCAATAAGGGCAAAGAAGATCACGACCGCGCATTTCCCAATTTCCTTGCTGCCAGTAAGCACGGACACGTCGAGGCGTGCTACCGCACTGCACTCTGCTACGAATTTGGTTGGGGTGTTCGCGTGGATGGAGGTCGTGCTGTCCAGTTCTACAGACAAGCCGCGTCGAAGAACCACCCCGGCGCCATGCTCCGCATGGCCAAAGCCTGCCTGGCGGGTGATATGGGATTAGGCAAGCGTTACCGTGACGGCATCACCTGGATGAAGCGCGCGGCAGAGTCCTCGGATTCACAGTACAATTCTGCGCCATACGAGCTAGGAGTCATGCACGAGACTGGCTACGGCGATGACGTCTTCAAGGATGAGTCCTATGCTGCGCAGTTGTTCACGAAATCCGCAGAGTTGGGCCACGTCGAGGCTGCGTACCGTCTCGGCGATGCATATGAGCATGGTAAACTCAATTGCCCGCGTGACCCCGCGCTCAGCATTCACTTTTACACAGCGGCTGCGCAGAGCGGACAACATGCGCTCGCTATGATGGCGCTGTGTGCGTGGTATCTTGTGGGTGCGGAGCCCGTCCTTGAGAAAGATGAGAATGAGGCGTACGAGTGGGCTACACGCGCCGCTGCTCTTGGTACGTACTCTTTCCATTTCGCAGTTGGTGAAATATCTTGTACTGATCTTTTGATTACAGGCTTGGTCAAGGCGCAATACGCTGTTGGTTACTTCACTGAGATGGGCATTGGCTGCCGTCGTGATCCGCTCGAGGCGAACGTCTGGTACGTCAAGGCCGCTGATCAGGGCGACGAGCGCGCAAAGCATCGTATCGCTGCCATCCGGGCTGCAGCCGACGGGGCCAATCCAGCGCTTGCAGCTCGTTCTGGAGGGAGGTTCCGCAAGGGCGATGCACATAGTCAAGGTGAGTGCTACACGAATTGCCTAAGTAGGTTTTTCGAGGCTGACTTGTCTTCACAGCGGATAAAGCGAAACAAAAGCGCTTCGTCATCTTCTAAATCTGCGACCTTCGTCTGCATTGTGTCATGTCTCATTCAATTATACACCGCCTTGTCATGCCTTGACCCTTCTCATCCCATCTACCATGATTCCCCACCGCATCCAACTCATTTTCCCATATGTCCACCTTGCATCGACATTCAAATTCTTTTGCAGTCTCGCCTCAATCTGATTGCCATCCTTGTGGCTCATACATAATTTGATCTGCATCATCTTTTCTAATGTCCCTGTCAAATTGATTCTTTCTTGGACCTCACGATTTCTGGATCGTGGTTTGTTTTTGTACAGCGCCCTTCTCTCCTTTTCAGTTCTTGCATTTGATGCGCACTCATTTTCATCATTATCTTCATTTTCATTCTTCACTTTCATCTGCCCCATTGGGCTACCTCCATGGTTTCGAGTTCCGTTTGACCTTTCTGTCTCCCCCATCTTCCTTTCCCTTCTATGCGCGGGGCGTTTCCATGCTGGAGTCTTTCCACATTTTCGTTTCGTTTTCTCTCATACGAATTGAATATCATGAGATCAGCGATCTCTTTTTCTTTGCATACGAGGTTCCCTACCGATAAGAATTATTGCTGTTGTAGAACTTCTTTCGATAATTCTTTGGGTTGGCTAACGGTAGTACATGAATGGACCCATCACAGGAAACCGGATTCCTCCGGGGTTCCAGTCATACTGTGAAGAAATCTGTAGACCAATCAACCCACCAGTCAGCCGCCCTTGGCCTTTGACCACAACGGGAGTCCCTATATCTACTTCAAGTCCTACATACCAAGGTTGTGAAAATTTAGGCTATCAATCGCTCGTAAGAGATGTTGCTCTGTTCCAATATCTAGTAGCTCGAGATGCGAACGATCGGAAGTAGCATAGTGGCACATGTCTAGTAGGTTGGCCATCGTATTCCGGAGGCATTGGTCTCTTCTCATCATTATATATCAACTTGGCGGATGATATCTCCTTCTAAGATAATAGTAGATATGATAAAGAGATATATATCCTAAGGGATAAGTCTATTTATAACGGCGAGCCGGATCCCGGAATTTCCTTAGTTATTATTTATAATTCCACTCGTATTCGCGGTAACCCTAGGATACGCCTTTCTCGGACTAGTACCGCGGATTCTAATATCCGCGAAAAAGCTACTCGTTTTAAATAGAAAGGGTTAACGCCCATTAGGCAGAATGCGTAAGAGAGGTATAGTATTATACTTAGCTCTGTATCCATACTAGGGTAGAGAGAGCATAAAGAGAATAGTAGACTACTTATATTTAGCTATAAGTGCCGCAGAATACGATCTGGCATTTCGATAACCCAGGATTGATTTCTCCGGAGCCCGATCAATAAAAAGGTACGGGAAGCCTTCATGCCGACTATCTGATCTATAGTCAGCAAAACATCCCCTATCTTTAGTTCATACAATCCTTTGACTTCCTGCTATCGCCGCAACTCCCAGAGCGTCTAGCTAGTCCGGAATCTGGGGATAGTGGATACCATCCCCCGCAAACATTTGCCAAACGGCGACACTACCAACTAATATCCGATTTGAAAAAGAATCCAAGTGGTAATGAGAATAGAAAGTCAAATAAAACTCCGACCCCTCAGCTGATTGCCTACTTCCGAGGTCTTCGCTGCGACACAATTGCTGTTCCTTAGAGCTGGTCCTTTGCATCTAGCTCCCTCTGCAACTGAGCCACCAATCCAACTGCAGCAAACGTTCCCATCTGGACAGCTTGAACAACTGCATGCATGGGTGGGGGGGTTCCTGCATCCCCAGCAGCCACACAACCTGGCAAGCTCGTCTCATTGAACGGCGGTGATAATTTGATATGCCCCGCCGGCGTCATCTCCAGGCCCAGTTGGCTCGCAAATGGTGCACGCTGCTCCACGCGGGGTCGGCTCACAATGAATCCTTCATTTTTGGAGGTGCCATCTTCAAAATGCAACACCACGAAGGGTGGCTTGTCCTCGGAACCGTCTCGGTGTTCGAACTTGATTATTTTCCGGTCATCGAAGGCAATCTTATTACTATGGATAAGTGCCTTTGTCGAGGTGATGAGCTCGGGATTTCCATTGGTATAGACATTAACGTGCTTGGAGAGTCGCTTAGCCATCATAGCGATATGGGCGACCGCCTCGGGGGGAGGAGCGCCCGTAGCGAGAGCACCGACGGAGTCTGCGCCGTGTTCTTCGTAGCCATGGCAGAAGAGACAGTGAAAGCTTCGAATGTTAGCTTCATAGATCGAACTAAAGATTCAAAGAAATCGCCGTGGGAAAACCCTACATGCTGCGCCCCCAACACTCCGCGAACCCCTCGACCTGCTCCTCAAGGACGTCTCTGACACCTGTCGCTAACGCTAGCTTGCGTCCCTGGTAGGTCTTTCCCTGGTCATCTACCGCTTCGAACAAGTCGGCCACTTTTCGGACCGTTTGGATTTTGGCAGACGCAAAATCAATCGTATCATATCGCTTCTGGAGGTCCTGCTTTGCCTTGGCGCGATAGACGGCTGGATTAACGTGGTCAAAGCCGGAAACGTTATGCATGTGGGTTGCCCGCTCGTTGCGGTAGCCACCCGAGTCAAGCACCAGAGAGGTATAGAGCTGTCGAGCAAGACCAGTGGCAATGGCGAGTCCTGCTGGACCACCTCCGATGATGAGAACGTCGTAGGTCTTGAGCATGTTTGCTGCGATTGTTACTAGGGATCAAAGGTTGAAAATTGGCGGTGAATTTCCGGAAAGTTCAGCAACCTTGAGGCCTCGCCGTTCGTTCTACTTATACCTCTCTATACTATTCATTGTCTCTACGCTATGATTAGATATCATTGTAGATGGATAATCCCAAGCTCCGTCTGCGAACCAATATTCAGTTAGGTTAGAGTGGAAGTTAACCAGTCTTGACCTGTTTATTCATCATACAGAGAGTGGACTGTCGAGAAAAGTGGAGGTTTTCACCTTGGTGGTGACGAGGTTGGGGCCTACAAAGAATAAGGTTTAAGTTAATAAAATCAACTTTAAAGCTACGGCACCCAATGTAAAAAAGATTTGCGACGCAAAGGAGTAGTATTTAGTTAGTAGCGGTGGCAAAGTAATAATCAACCGGATAGATTAGTTCGCTAGTTAAGTATAACTCAAGTAATCAGACAAGAAAATTTCCATGGAAGAAAGATGAGTATGGCCATTGAGGATAAGTGGGTTCAGTCGGTCTTCATTGTCGCACGGAACCGATTCTAACAATAAACTTTGGACGAAATCCAGGCCAATCGTGGCGATCCACCAATTTTTCGATTATTCAACAGTCCCCACGCCCTTGACCCGGATGAGTAAGGCAGCGCCGTCACGTCCTTTTCGCGCTCTCAGATTATTCATTACATCACTGCATGTCTTCAAGATAGGGAAAAGATCTCAAAAGCAATACACGATGGTCGAAGCAATGAGGGACGCGCCTACGCCTCGCAAAAGAGGCCGGCCACGAGCAGCGACGGGCAATCAGCAAATTCCCGACGTGGGTACATCACTAGCTACGGCAGAACAAGTTGGAACTGACTCAAGGGATTAGAAACGTCGAAAGCAGCTTCGCGTCGCGCAGCAAGCATATCGCAATAGAAAAGAGACTACGATCGTCAATCTGCAATCTCGTGTACAGGAACTCGAGTCGGGCATCGAAGAGCTCAGCGAGTCGTTCCTTTCCTTCAGTAATCTCCTGTTCGAGGCTGGGATTCTCCAAGACCAGCCCCGTGTCACAGCTGCTTTGCAAAAAATCACACAGCAATGCGTGTCGCTTGCCAAAAGTGGCTGCGGCGAGGCCGAACAAGCAACTGCAGCCCCGGCGGAGGTATCGCTATCGACGTCTCCCACGCTCAGCGACACACAAGATACAGTCTCAAATTACAATCCACTTATAACGCAACTTGATTCATTGCCAATAATCGGTGACGCTTTCCAGTCCTCGTCGGACCTTCCGACTCAATGGTCTGGGCTATTACAACTACCCCCCACGCCACCCTTCCAAGAACAACCAATCCTACCATTCGGAACAGTCTTACCATCCATCCCTAGTCCTACCTTGGATTTCCCGACCATAGTACCGCCCGACAATCTCTCAAAGCAAGAGCGCTGGACACTCTCACACCGTCTGGTCCGACAATGCTGCGAGACCGGATACTATCTATTAACAAACTCATCTGGAGACGATCCAATAGTCAAAGCAATCTTCGGCAAACCATTATCCATCGACGAGCGCAACCGCTATATCTCCAGATTTCTCGCCGTCATGCACGACGAAGTAGGAGACACGATCGAGATAAGTTCAAAAGTTCTCAATTCAAGGAGGAATAGCTACTCGCCTGAACAACTCGCCGTTTCCTCTCGAACGTGGCAAACTGTCAATGAATCGGTTGCTGATGAGTGGATGGATGCGAGTGGTGTGCAAAAGTTTCTACAGCGGCGAGGGATTCGTCTTCGGGACCCGAGCTCGGCCCTCTACGGTCCCCAGGTTAATTCAGCTCCGCAGCTCGACGCAGTGAGCTTCCTTAAATGTGAGTAAGGCCAAGATCAATGGTTCTCTGTGTCTTCTGTCCATGCATTTACTGACCTTGTCGTAGATCTTTCCCTCGCCACTATCTGTCTCGGTCGCGGACCAGCTTTCCGAAAGCGTGATGTTGAGACTGCCATTCGCCTTGCAACCCTTGATGATCCTTGGGCGGTTAATAATGTGTGCGAAATACCATGAATTATGTATAATACCATCAATTGTCCTCAATATTAATAATCTACGCTTACTTTGCATGATGGGACGATCACAAGCAGGATTCCATTGTGGAGTTGAGGAAATCCTTCCAGTGCATGTGTTCTACTGACATCGGTTTCTTCAGTCTCATGACCTTCTATGTGCATATGAAAAACACCATTTTTTGGATACCAAAATTATAGAACCTGGACTGCTGCGTCCTCGGCGGGGGAGGGGATGCCTGGATAGCGCGCTTCGAAGGCGCGTTGCCAGTAAGACTTGATGTGCACGATAAGGATGCCGTAGGTGATGAATTGCAGGAGGGCGAGGGTGTTGAGTGTGAAGAGGATGGTTGCTTGGGTTAAGCGTCGAGTTTACCTTCACTCCGGCGCTAGGATTAGATCTTGGAAATTGTGGAGTGACCTGTCTCAGAAAAGAGTGAGGCAGTTTTCAAACGGTTTACTCGGAACAGGAGGGAAATTGCATTTGCGTCAAAGCTAAACGTGCGGTGATCAAGTAACGATGGACTTCGTGGTTTTCATTCGCGCATCACAATCTTCCGCGTCAGTGTGCGCCAAAGACGATGACACTTGACTCATCTGACTTGACACTCTGGCTGGCAGACTATCGGCATACCTACGGACTCGGCGAGTACTACAAAGCCTTGTTCAAGATAGATTGAGCCTGTGTCCCCGAAAATACCTTCAAAAAGCGCCCTCTATTCCCGGCGCTTCATTTCAACTATCACTCTAGCGTCTAGGGGCTGGACTGCAGAATGACCTATATTTTCCATGTATATTTTCTCCCTTTTGGGTCACACAAATGCACAGGCACATTTTCTAGTCACGTCGACGCCAAATGGATACCCTGTCATGGATCACCCCATTCTCACCCTGGCCCACAGTGTGCGTGCGCTCTGGCTGCCAGTACGCGACTCTATCCAGACCCCTCTCGCTGGGCTCTCGCAGCGGGTTCGCATTGATAAGACCCTTATCGTTGTAGGAGATCTTCTCACCAGGGTAACTCAGGTGCTCTAGGTAGACTTCGGAGGGAGAGGCAAATGGAGGGCCGGGGGCCAAGGGGTTCTTATGACGAGGAGATTCCAGACAGATCAGATTGCCTGTAGGCGAGGGAGCAAGGAGCTCGGTGTGTCGGAGAGCCCATTTAGGACGAAGCTCTGGATTAAGAGCACAGAAAAACTAGATGATCATTAGAAGGAATAACCAGAAAGACCAGGAAAATCCAGGGTAGATAGGAGCGTATATCAAAAGTCAAAAGATAGAGAGTGAAGTATCTGATAGGCCTCCCTATAGAACGTAAAGTATAGGCAGAGAGGAAACGATAGTAATCAGGGAATAGAGCCTAAAGGCAGCAGTGAATATACATACCGTGTAATCATAGATAATATCAAATCCATTTCGAGGTACTCCGATTTCCCTCAACCAGGTATCATCAAAGAAATCCCTTGTACGAAGATGATTTTCCCTTTCCCAACTTTCTCATCTCGCACGCGGTATCGGCTGTGATTCTCCTTCTCCTCCTTCTTACACGCATCAACAGCCGTGGCGCTGCACTCCAGGCCATATGCATCATACCCAAAGCTCGCAAGTAAGAGTACATCGACTCCACGCCCACAGCCCGGCACCAGAGCCTTCCGCCTCTGACCGTCCTGGGCGATGGGCCCACCAATGGTGCCCGCTCGCTGAACCAGGGTGTCTTCTAGCGCGGGGTTGGGGAAGCCACGATCCCAGGGCAGATTATCACCTTTATCCCAGAGGGAGGCCCAGCCCTCAACATACTTATCGTCCTGATATTTGGCCCAGCATGCTTGAATATCCTTGGGATCAATGTTGGGAGGAGTCGTCATGGCCGTGGGGTGGTGATGGAGGGTGGGGGAGTCTGGAGGTGCTCGCTCTGGCGTGACAGTGATAAACAGGGTAGAAAATAGGAAGGGTACAGAGTGGTCAGAAAATTTTGACCTCACAGGGAATTTAATGACTTTGGGTGCCCGGCGTCTGCTTTACTTATGCTGCTCTACACTCGTTGTTGATTGTCTTTATGCTGTGATTAGATATCATTGTCGGTGGATAACCTCAAGGTCCGACCGCGAACCAATAGTCATTGAGATGTTGTGTCGAAAGTTTGTTAATCAGTATTTACCTGTTTATTCATCATATAACAGAGATCTGCCCTGAAAAGTGGAGGTTTCCATTACAGTGGGATGGGATTGGCCCAGGCAGAAATCTCGGGGCTGTCCAAGAATGCCCGCTCTCTGCTTACATTTTTTTCCCTGGGGGCTTAACTGCCATTTGGGCCGACTCCAGCAACCTGCACTCGCTCAAATCTGCCATGCAAATTCAGGACGTTATGATTGGTGGTGACGAAGCTGGGGACCAAAAAGATAAGGTTCTGACTGATGACTTTAAATACTGCGCTACCCGAAAATATGTAGAAAGATTTCGAGGCAGACGTCTAATGTCTGATCCGGAGGGAGTAGTAGTTAGTGGCGGTGGCAAATTCATAATTAAAGCCACATAACAGGATATCGACCAAAGAAATTCCCATGGAAGAAAGATGACTAAGGACCATTGAGGACAAGTGGGTTCAGTCAGTCTTCATTGACGCGCTGAATTGATTCTTGTCGTTCGATCATCGTAGCTCGCAATGAATGGGATTGATTAGTCGGTCCAACTGTCGATCAACGGGCCTACAGCTTGTAAGGTTAGACCCGCCCAAGTAGGGGGCTCCAGCAATCAAATCCCACTAGTAATCGCATTTACTCCGTAATGAGTTAGTGAGTCGGTTAAATGAACTAGAGCTAGGAATGTATAGTAATCAATCCGAGCAGATAAGTTATGCCTGATGATTCCACAAAGTCGGATGAACTGACTATGAGGAAAACCGTTATACACGAGATGCTCACTCATCTCCCCATCCGTCGAAAAGATGGTCCATGCTCTTCGTTCAGCACATTGATAAGGGATGAGACAGAGGGCTTCTTTGGGCTCCGGGCCTTGAAACGGATTATTCATCAGAAGCTAAGTTTAAGTTATGGTCATATATCTCAATATTTGGTTGTTCTTATATCTTGAGCGTGATGTTGCTACTCTCCCATTGGCAACTCCAGTCGTCTGATCTTCAGCATTTTTTGCATCTAAGTTCTTCTACTGTTAAAGTCTGGCAAACTAGCGAATCCGAAGAACTTCAACATGAAGGTCAATCGCGACCCCGAGAAAGCGATGTACCACACGAGTTCGCTCGAAAAGCCCTCCGGACGATCTCCCTCCCAAATGGCGGACCCTATCGTCAACTCCAGCGCGGAGCAGTCAGACGACGAATCCGGCCAAAAGACTGACCCCCGAGACATCTCACAATGGCCTATCACTCCAGATATACTACAAATACGACAACGTAACGAGAGTAGCGGTGGGAAATCGAAGAAGCTGGGTGTGACATGGCAGAACCTCATAGTAAAGGGCATCAGCAGTGATGCGCTTTTCAATGAAAATGTTCTCTCTCAATTCAACCCATTCGGGAAGGGCAGTAAGAGCCCACCCCTGAAGACTATTGTCGACAACTCTTTTGGATGTGTCAAGCCCGGTGAGATGCTGCTTGTTCTTGGAAATCCAGGGGCTGGATGCACAACTCTGCTTAGCGTTCTATCGAACCACCGAAATGGCTTCACAGAAATTACGGGCGACGTCTCGTTCGGTTCTATGACCAGCCAAGAAGCCAAACAATATCGTGGTCAGATCATCATGAACACAGAAGAGGAGATCTTCTTTCCAGCTCTTTCAGTTAGTGACACCATCGACTTCGCCACACGTTTGAAGGTGCCCTTCCACCTGCCACCGGACATCAAGAATGAGGAGGAGTACGCCCAAATATACAAAGAATTCCTCCTGAAGTCTCTCGGTATCACACACACAAAGGATACCAAGGTCGGAGATGAGTTCATTCGCGGCGTTTCTGGTGGCGAGCGTAAGCGAGTGTCAATTCTCGAGTGCCTTGCGACTAGAGGCAGCGTCTTCTCCTGGGATAACTCCACTCGTGGTCTCGACGCAAGCACTGCGCTGGATTGGACGAAAGCCATGCGCGCCATGACAGATATTCTTGGTCTCACCACAATTGCCAGTCTGTACCAAGCTGGTAATGGCATCTACGAGCAGTTCGACAAGATTCTGATTCTCGATAACGGCAAGCAGATCTTTTACGGACCTCGAGACGAAGCTGTGCCATACATGGAGGATCTTGGCTTCCTATGCGACCCTGCAGCCAACAAGTCAGATTTCCTTACGAGCGTATCAGTGCCTGCTGTACGCACAATTGCCCCAGACTTCGAGGACCGATTTCCTCGATCAACAGAGGAGCTGCTCGCTGCTTATAACAACTCACCAATCAAGCCAAGGATGATGGCCGAGCTCGACTACCCTGGTAGCCCCGAAGCTCAGCAGAATACGGCAGACTTCAAGGAACAGGAGGCTCAAGACAAGAACAAGAGCCTCCCAAAGAAAGCTGCAGAGTCCGCAGGATATTTCCATCAGGTGCAGACGGCTACCATACGCCAATTTCAGATCCTCTGGGGAGACAAGCAAACCCTGTTCATCAAGCAAGCCACAACTGTCGTTCAGGCGCTGATCGGTGGCTCACTGTTCTACAATGCTCCGGACAACACGGCGGGCTTGTTCATCAAGGGAGGCTCACTCTTCTTCTCTCTACTATATCCTACCTTCATCGCTCTCGCCGAGGTTACGGATTCGTTCGTCGGTCGACCCGTCTTAGCCAAACACCGAGACTTCGCTCTCCACCATCCATCTGCCTTTGTCTTCGCCCAGGTCTTTACCGAGATCCCGATCATGCTCTTCCAAATCTCGCACTTTGGAATTGTGCTATACTTCATGACTGGCTTCCAATACACCGCCCAGGCTTTCTTCATCTTCTGGCTCATCAACTTGATCTCGGCCCTGGCTATGACACAGCTGTTCAGGTTCATCGGTGCCGCTTTCCCGAATTTCGACGCAGCAACTAAAGCTTCTGGATTTACGATTGTTGCTGCCTTCACATATGCAGGATACATGATTCCCAAGCCCGAAATGCACCCTTGGTTCGTTTGGTTCTTCTGGATTGATCCCATGGCCTACGCGTTCGAAGCATTGCTCGCGAATGAGTTCCATGACCAGGTGATTCCTTGTGTGGGCCCTTTCCTGGTTCCAAATGGCGAAGGATACAGCCCCGAAACAGGAGGCGGACAAGCATGTACCGGCGTCCGCGGTGCGCCTCCTGGAGCAACCAGCATTACTGGTGACCAATACCTGGCTTCCATGTCCTTCAGCCACAGCAACCTTTGGCGTAACTTTGGCATTCTCTGCGCCTGGTACGTTTTTTTCGTGGCAATGACCGTCTTCTTCACTTCTAGGTGGAAGCAGATGGGCGAAGGTGGTCGCGGCCTCCTCATCCCCCGTGAGAAGCAGAAGAAGGTACCTAAGGCCGTGGTTGCGGATGAGGAATCCCAGGCTGTCGAGAAGCCATCCGAGAACTCCGATTCCGATTCCGACAAGTCTGACGCAACCATCGATAATCAGCTCGTTCACAATACATCAGTCTTTACCTGGAAGAATCTGACTTACACCGTCAAGACACCGCATGGCGATCGTCTTCTCCTCGACAACGTTCAAGGATTTGTCAAGCCCGGTACGCTCGGTGCTCTCATGGGATCTTCGGGTGTAAGTGCACTAGCAATGCGATTGACAGGTGCAAATATGCTAACGTTTTCACTCAGGCCGGAAAAACTACACTGCTCGACGTTCTAGCTCAACGCAAGACTGATGGTACCATTCGTGGCTCCGTTCTAGTCGACGGTCGCCCGCTCCCCGTGTCCTTCCAACGATCTGCTGGCTATGTCGAACAGATGGATGTCCACGAGTCGTTGTCCACGGTACGCGAGGCTTTGGAATTCTCCGCTCTTCTTCGTCAGAATCGTGAAATTCCCCGCGAGGAGAAGCTCCGCTATGTGGACACGATCGTCAAACTTCTACAGTTGGAAGATCTCGAGCACACCCTCATCGGTCGCCCTGGTGCCGGTCTTTCTGTCGAACAGCGCAAGCGTAAGTGTGGATCCATCGAACAGGATCGAGACAGACACTAACAACTTATCAGGTCTCACAATTGGTGTTGAGCTCGTAGCTAAGCCCAGTATTTTGATCTTCCTCGACGAACCTACTTCTGGTCTCGATGGCCAAGCTGCAACCAACACGGTACGGTTCTTGCGCAAACTCGCGGAAGTCGGACAAGCTGTCCTCGTCACGATTCATCAGCCATCAGCCGACCTCTTTACCCAATTCGACACCCTTCTCTTACTGGCAAAGGGTGGCAAGACCGTATACTTTGGTGATATCGGCTATAATGCAAGGACCGTCAAGAAATACTTCGCTGATCATGGCGCACCGTGCCCCCGAGAGGCCAACCCTGCTGAGCACATGATTGAAGTCGTATCAGGAAGTCTTTCCAAGGGTAAAGACTGGAACCAAGTCTGGCTCGACTCGCCAGAACACGAGAAGATCACTCAAGAGCTTGACGCTCTTGTCGCCGATGCTGCCGTAAAACCGCCTGGAACTGTCGACGATGGCCATCAATTCGCAGCGCCCATTTGGGAGCAGGTGAAGCTTGTCACGCACCGCATGAACATCTCCTTGTTCCGCAACACCGAGTACATCAACAACAAGTTCATCTTACATATACTTCTGTCTCTTTACAACGGCTTTTCGTTCTGGTCGATTGGCAACAGCGTCAGCGATCTCCAGCAACGCCTCTTCACGGTCTTCAGTTTCCTGTTTGTCGCCCCCGGTCTCATCTCCCAGCTTCAACCTATCTTCATCGATCGTCGCAACGTGTATGAGACGCGCGAGAAGAAGAGTAAGACCTACCACTGGGTGCCATTCGTCACGGGTTTGATCGTTTCTGAGCTACCCTACCTGGTTGTCTGCGGTGTGTTGTACTTTGTATGTTGGTACTGGACTGCCGGGTTGCCAAATGATACCAAGTGGGCCGGCAGCACATTCTTCGTTGCAGTAAGTCCTTTCTTCTTTGGCTGACTCCTCGCTCCAAACTAAAGAACCGTCCAGATGTTTTACGAGCTTTTGTATACCGGTATTGGACAATCGATCGCCGCATACGCTCCCAACGCAACCTTTGCATCTCTCGTCAACCCACTGGTCATCACCACCCTCGTATCATTCTGCGGTGTCTTCGTTCCTTACTCCCAGATCACAGCGTTTTGGAGATACTGGTAAGCCTCATACGTTTATCAACATCCACGAGATCAATGCTAAAATCACAATTTAGGATGTACTACCTCGACCCATTCAACTACCTCTTCGGCGCCTTCCTCACCTTCACTACCTTCTCCGTCGACATCACTTGCGAACGTGGCGAGCTTGCGGTTTTTAATCCTCCTGCGAACGAGACATGTGGCGACTATCTCTCCATCTACCAGCAAGGCATGGGGCGTGGCACGAACCTTCTGAACCCAGGTGCTACGGAGAACTGCGAGGTGTGCCGATTCACTACTGGACAAGACTACTTAAAGACCCTCAATTTGAACGAAGAGTACTACGGCTGGAGGAATGCGGGGCTGGTTGTAATGTGGGCTGGGGTGTTTTACGCCCTGGTGTTCCTGATGATGAAGTTGCGAACCAAGGCGACGAAGAGGGCGTCTGCGTAGACGCATGGTGTTTGTTGATGTTTGTTGAAGAGTGAACGCTTGCCAAGATGCCTTACTCGAGGGAGAGTAAAGACGCAGTGCGAAGTTGAGCGCGTACGTGTTGGCTTCAGGTGTGGTATTGAAGCTGTAAAAAGGGAGATTCGAATCCTAGATCATAGAAATGCGCACTTGCGCCAAGCTTAGAATATTATAATAACTTCATTGTGTGATTAAGACCTTATTATATTCTCAAAGCTTCTTAGCTGTGGTGACCGACGATCTGTTGGGCGCGAGCTACCCGGGTTCGCCCCCTGTCCTTCCAGCACATCGGCAGAGCGGATCATATTTGGTATTCTAGTCTGAGAGGCTCTTGGTTGATGATTTCTCTTGCTAATACATATCATGATTCGCGGGCTTCGCTGCTCTCTCCTCATGGTCGGCATACTTTAGTGATCAACGGCGTTTACTTCATCGTCACGGAAAGTCTGATAGGAAAGCCAGCACGATGTTACGAGGGTTCAACCTACCCAATCCGCGACCACTTCTACAGTTCTCAATTCAGGTCCGTCAGCAGTATCGCGCAACTGGAATCGCCAAATCGATAGCAACACTGGCCCGTGGGACAACAGAACTTGCGCGTGCTGACGAGTGTCGGTTGATTTATCCACTGTCTAATTCATCAATCGTCCAACTGCCGCATCCTGACACTTACTCAACTAATTTTTCCAATACGGCAACCGTCCCCCAAGTTGGGTAGACCCCATTTAGCAGAGTATTTCTGCTTCTCTACCCCTATAAATACAGACATGATAGATAGCCAGAATACCATCGTTGTCATGATGACGGTGAGTTCTTGATGCGCCGCGTAGCAGGGGACTTTAGCATTGAAACGAGGACCAAGTTTTTAAAGTGGAGACTGAATCTATGGAGAGGGCTGTAGCAAAATTGATTCAACTCCACTAGGCCAATATGCACTTTATAATAATCTTGAGGAAAGAAAGTAGGATTAGGTCGCGGTCTTTAAGAGTGTTGGTCCGCTTCGAACAGAATCCTCTAGTACCTCGTGGTGGAATCGCTTGGAGTCCTTCTTCTAAGACGATATGTAATAGGCCATGACATATGGTTCACCACACGGCTCTGGCCCGTTAATCTAAACCGTCACATTGTAGACACGAACAGATCCACTGCTGGTATAGTAACTTTGACCAAGGCAATCGTAGTTAATTAAACACAATCGTCGAGGATGATGTTAGGCTTTCGTACTGCAGTGAGGATAGCTCCAGTGGACGTGAAGAAGAAGAGAGCCCTGTATAGAAGATAGAAAAATGAGAATTTAAGTTTTTGTACTATCTACAAAAGCACAGAGCCTTTGAGATGATAGAACAACACATACCATTCAAATGCGCCAAATACCACGGCAACCTGCGACAATGTACAATCTGCCGAAGAACAATGGACCGGGGATGGCAGAGAGCAAGCCTGGAAGACAAACCCTGCAAGCCAAAGTACCATGACACTACTCTCCATTATTGGAATACCACAGCGGCGTTCGAAGTCAAAGGAGGACACTGGAGATAGGGCAAGGTAAGGAACCACGAAGAAGGCAGTCCATATGGAGCTGACGAAAATGAAGATATTTATCTTGGTGAACCGTAAAAGGCAAAGCACTGTTAGAGATTAGAACCTTTTAAGTCAACAACCGTGGAAGTAACAAACAGGTGAAGCTTAAACCAAAAATAATAATTGCGAAGGCAGCTTGGACTAGCCTCACTACCCTTACTGCAAAATCACGGGATGTGATAGATGCCATTGCAAAGAGTACTTGGCTCGGGTGTTTCCTGGTGTCTTTGGTCCGACAGGAATGTACGGAAAGAAATCACGAGGCAGCCAAAGAGTCTTTATCGTTGGAATAACTCGACTGTAGCCCGATGGCGTTCGTAACCGTACGAGATTGGTCGTCACCTGCTCGTACGTTTGAGCCTGATGGGTCTGGAAAGACTATTCGTAACGAAGATAACTCAGGCCTTTACTACAATCTCTTAAGGTTGAAGATAAGTAGATGCTACTAAGTACAGCAGTCGTTGGTTAACATACCAAGATCGGCATAGGGCCAAGGCCAAATTAATAATCGAGCCGACAGTAAACTTAATTAGCGTCAGAAGAAGTTCCCAAGAAAGAAAGCCGAGTATGAGGACCTGTGTATTCACACAGATCTTCAATGACGCAAAAGTATATTCAATAGGTCCGCGGGAGGAAATAATGATCGCAAAAGTAGCGTCGGAGAAGGAATTCCCACGGAAGAAAGCCGAGTGCTTGCATCGTCAGGGTTGACCGAGATCTGAAGCGACGCAGTGAATTGATTTTATTAGCCTAGAACTGGAACATATCATTCTTTAGGTACTGTGTGTATAAAATTGATGACCCATTTCCATTAGGGAAATGATTAGTGTACTGCATCGGGTAGTTGAAGAAGTCAGTCTTGTAGGCGGGACCCATTGATTTTACGATTATTCAACTACCCATCGCTACGACTTGCTCCTTGTCCGTTTCAGTTGGAGGCGAGGGCACGTATCCGGCTGAGAAAACACCAAGAACTTGTCAGGTTAGCGTAAATCCTCCGGACAAAGTCAGAGATCATGCTTACAGGTTCATTTGGAGGAAGGTTTACCCCTGTTGCCACGTTGCGACACTAGGCACTTGCTGCTCAGGAGGAATGAAGCCCCAACATCGGAATTAAGTCATGTTCCATGTATGAGAAGAACCAATTTGATTGAAAATCGACTCGGACTTCACGTTATATATATACCCTCTGTTTTCCCTCGAGACGAATGATTAAGTTTCCTTCACCTTACCACACCCCCCGACAAATAATATCTGGCATTTCCCTTAAGAATTCCCTAAAGAACGGTATGAAAAATCCACCTAATAGCTGCATCGCTCCTGCGTTAATTGTTGGGTAATGGCACACAAGTCTACTAAGCGAAGATTTGTGGTAAGAATTGCACCGAGTAAGTGGCCGCCAAAGCGGTCAAAAAAAGACGAGAACAAACATTCGATTCAAAGAACACGAGGAAATATTCTCCTCAGAAGACTGGCCTGATCGAACAACGCTCCAGCATCTACGAACAGAGAATAAATCAATGTAATTTTTACCGGGTTCCTTGGGCATGCTTCATGATAAGTATCAATTTAATCTTCTTGATTACGAGGGACCGTTCTATGCGATGGAAAAATATATATACCTGAAGTCCTCTTTCGCTTGCATTGAAGACACCCGTGATTGGAGTTTCGCAAGACTTTACGAGGCAGATCCTCGATCTAAGTAGCACATAAATGGAGCGGACCTGTAAGCTAGCCTGTGAAGACTTCGAATAGAGCTTACTGCATTTTGAGGTCTGATTTCACTACGGCAGCGAATCAATGCTGAGGACAGCTCCGCCACCGGGTTGGCACACGCGTAGTAATCTAATATCTGCCACATCCATCGAGTTGTATAGGCAACACAAAAGCTGTACGGAGTAGCAGAGTGACACCTTGTATTCAACCTTTCCATGGAGTAGCAATGCAACTTCAGCAGGTAAGAAATCGCCCTGGAAGATTGTTCTTCGGCCCCACGAAGCTATATCACCCATCGACATGACGTTGGCTAACCCGCTGACAGATATTTTTGCCAGGATTTGCCCGGACGCTGATTTACTTAATTTTCGAAGTGATGAAATCAAGGGAAAATGAATCATGATATTGCAAGTCCAAGCCACATTTGGCATGAGGTATCAGACTCCTGGGAACATGACTGCACGCTTCTTGGGATAAAGAGGGAATAAGGGGATCCAGATACGACGGAACACCGTAAAATCCTCCCACGAATCTAACGCCTGTACCACATACGCGTTACCTGAGTCCCCCGTATCTTCTTCTGAATGAGGAAAACCCCGTAAATCAAGGCTTCGGCGGTTGGAAGACCTGCAAATGTTCAAGAGTCAGTCGGGTGTGTCTAACCACATACACAAGCTAGGATTATATCACTCACATCCGGGAACGTAGACATCAACCGGCACAATCCGATCGCAACCGCGGACAACGGAGTAGCTATAATGATAATAGCCTCCGCCGTTTGAACAACTGCCCATGCTGATGACATATCGTGGCTCGGGCATCTGATCATAAACCTGACGAAGTGCTGGTGCCATTTTGTTCGTGAGGGTGCCTGCGACAATCATAAGGTCTGACTGTCTTGGCGAAGCACGAAACAAAAGGCCCAGGCGATCAACGTCGTACCGCGGTCCAGCGACATGCATCATTTCCACGGCGCAGCAGGCAAGACCGAAGGTCATCGGGTAGAGGGAGCTCGCGCGGCTCCAGTTGGCGACTTTATCGAGTGTCGTCCTAAATAGCCGCCACGTTCATATTAGCTCTTGTAGCGAATATGGCTAGATTTGGATCACAAACAGTGCGTATTGGACCATGCCAGTTGGGGTATCCTGGCTAGGCAAAGCGACCTCCTTCCGAACTTTTCCACTCGCGGTCAGGGTATGCTTCAGTCTTTGAGCTTGCGGCGACATCAGTCTCGCCACGGTGGACATCTTTGGAGACCATTGATGGGCTTAAGAGATTCAAGACTCTCTTAGCTTTGCCTGGCTGATCTTCTTGATATCATCAACTTACATTTTGGACCAAAGGCCACCATTGCCCTGGCCAGAGTAGCTCGGATCGTGGGTGGAGACATGACTAGGGAAGGATGAGTAACTGGATCGTCGAAGGAAGAGATTGTGTAAACCTCCGCAGAGTAATTGGGAAAGTGCAATCAGCTAGTTAATCAGAATCAAGTTAGTGCATCTCGCGAGAGGGTCTTCGATTGGGAGGGGGGAGGGGGGAAGGAAGAAGAAATTGAGGGACCGCGGTCAAGGATCTTCTTCTGGGTGATCACGGAACTTTCTCGTTAGGAACTACTTCGTGAACAAAGGCTTTTTCACCGAGTTATACTTTGCCCCTAGGCAGTTCTCCGGCTTTGCAGCAGATATATGAATGATCAGGTCTTGGAACGAATCGGTCGTACCAAAGTGCAGAACCTTCGCTTATACAGTAGTTTATCAAATTCAATTTGACTTGACACGGGTGACACTTGATCTTGGGACAATGTACCCAAACCCGCGTGTTCTGATTGCTCTCAATTCTTCACATATTAACCTCAACCTCTTTTTCTAGTGATACCTATATTTTACAATCTCTTCGGTAGCATAAAGTATTCTACCGAGCTGTTCCGTCTTTGAGAAATTCGGCTCGCTGCCGTGAGAATAGTCCTTGTTCTCCTTTCAAACACATGTTATCTATGTTTAATCGAACATATCCCAGCTTCTGCTATTTTATGAATGTTTAGTTTATCTTCTCAAGTATCTCAGACCGATGTTGGAGTCCATAGCCATGTCTCGCTCCCTCCTTTGCTGGTTTCTGAACAAAGCAACTTGATAATCATGAATCTGATTACGGTGACCTTCGTCTGTTAAGCAACTGTTTCTTTTCGATATCATGATCGTGTAGGACCAATAGAACTAGATTATACTTGCCGATTGGGTCTTTGGATGGATCTCACGAAGACAAAGTCAATAAAAAAGATGCTCAGGTTACCTTTCCTGACAGGCACCGTTTGAGTTGTAATGAAGGTGCAACGTGTAGAATACAGTAACTACGGCCCTTGGTGGCAAGGGTTATCATAGGACTGAGGAATTCGTAAAATAGTGTTCAGTAGGTGGTTGCCCTAATCATCGAACAATAAAGACTGTTCAGGGCCATACCAACTCGATAGTACCCCACCTGAGCTGATGCCTACTCTCGGGTCGGGCCCCACTTGGCGGGTGTTGCCTGACTGGTGGCCAGGCAGCAGCCCCCTGAGAGCCTCATCTCTCAGGCCGAAAACAGCACCGGATGTCTCATACTTTGACACTTAAAAAGCCAACCAGCCCAATCTCTCCTGGTTTTTCTACTTTCTCATTTATTTGTGTATCAATCACAGTTTGCTGTCTTCCTCCTTGACTCCGGAGCTGGTCTTGCTGCATAGCGTCGGTGTTTATGGTCTTCTCTCCACACCCCTCAACCAAGCTACTGAACACCTTCGTATTCCCTCGGCCTTGGCCATTTCCCTCCCCCTTTTCTTTCCAACCTCACTTTACTTTCTCCATACGTCTTGTCACTGTTTGCTTGACCTCAAACACAATGGCTCCCCGGTCGTTTAAAAATACGGTCATTGCAGTCAGCGGCACTCTTCCGGGTTACAAGCAGGGTAAGGAGATGAGCGCGGAGCTCGGGGGGGAAACTGACCGACCGACCCCACGCGAAAAGTGGAGATGAGGCTGATTGTCCGTTTTTCTCCTTACAGCCGATGTGAAAGCTCTCGTGGAACAGCATGGTGCTACGTTTAGCTCTTCGGTTACCGATCAATGCACTCACTTGATCACGACGCTGAAGGATGTTGAGAAAAAGGGTATCAAATGTGAGAATTGACCGGCTGATTAAATTCGTTCTCCATCATGCTTGAAATCGATGTTGACAAATTGACTACAGATCAGGCGGCCTCCAAGTTGGCTACGTGTCAGATTGTGTCAATTGACTGGCTAGTAGAATCAGCGGCCAAGAAGAAACCGATTTCTGAAAAGCCCTATCTGCTAGATGCGGGTAGTACCCCTGATGCGGCCGATGGAGCTGATGCGGCTGATGAAAATGATGACACCAAGCAGAATGGCAAGAGGGCTACTCGCAAAGCTGCCACAAAGGTCGCCGACAAGGATGTCGACGATGCCGGTAGCCAAGACCCCAATGGAGATGGCAAGACAGCCGCCAAGAAGGGCACCAAGTCTGCAAGTACGGCAAAGACTGACAAGAAGCGAGCTATCAAAGACGAAGAAGATGATGCTGAGGCTGAAGACAAGGCCAATGTCAACAAGAAGCAAAAGAATTCTCAGAAGGCTTCTTCCAAGTCTTTAATTGTCCCCGTGGATGAGACATTCATGTACGAGAAGCCTAACTTCAAAAGTAAGTGACCGGTGCAATGCCTTTGCTACCATTGCTGTGGTATTGACCATTCCGCATAGATCCTCAGGTCTACATTGAGAAATCGGGCTTGATTTGGGACGCCACTCTGAACCAAACCAATTCCACCGCCAACAACAACAAGTTCTACCGCATTCAAATCCTTACTACTGCGGATAATAAGAGCTTCGTGGCTTGGACCCGCTGGGGACGCGTCGGTGAGCATGGCCAGTCGGCCTGCCTTGGTGACGGCTCCCTAGATGACGCGAAGAAGTCCTTTGAGAAGAAGTTCAAGGATAAGAGCGGTCTTGCATGGAAGGACCGTCTCAGCACTCCTCGGAACAACAAGTACACTTTCCTCGAGCGCAACTATGAAGAAGATGACGAAGAGGCTGAAAAGGAGAAGGAGAAGAAGGCTGTCAAGAAGGAGCCCATCGATGACGGACCCCAAGTGGAGAGCAAACTGGAGAAGCCAATTCAGGACCTGATGGCGTTCATTTTCAATCAGCAACACATCAACTCCGCCCTGGCATCAATGTCTTACGATGCTCAGAAGCTGCCCCTGGGCAAGCTCAGCGAGAGAACTCTCAAAGCGGGTTTCTCGGTGCTTAAGGAGTTAGCCGAGATACTTGTTGATCCATCTCTCTCGACTTCCCGCTATGGCACTACCCTTGGAGCTGCTCAGGAGAGTTTGAGCAACCGATATTTCACCTTGATTCCGCACGTATTTGGCCGCAACCGACCCCCAATTTTGGTCTCTGATGCTCTGATTCGGAAGGAGGTTGAGCTTCTGGAGGCATTGACAGACATGGATGTTGCCAACGAGATCTTGAAGGACTCGAAGCAGGCAGACGAAATCCACGCGCTGGATCGTCAATTCCAGAGTCTTGGCATGGAAGAGATGACACGCCGTAAGCACAACCTTGACAATTACAACAGGGCCCTAAGCTAACCATTCTAAAGTGGACCGCAAATCAACCGAGTTCAGCGAGTTATCCGACTACCTGAACAACTCCCGCGGTGCCACACACAACCAAGAGTACCAGGTACATACTGCTTCCTTTTCATCCCCTTACCTTCTTCTTATAGCATTCATACTGAACAAACCCAGGTGATCGACATTTTCGGCATCGAACGCCAAGGAGAAACAGACCGCTTCACAAACTCTCCCTTCGCCAACCTCCAAAACAGCGACCGCCGCCTCCTCTGGCACGGCTCCCGCAGCACAAACTTCGGTGGTATCCTCAGCCAAGGTCTCCGCATCGCACCCCCGGAAGCCCCCGTGAATGGCTACATGTTCGGCAAGGGTGTCTACCTCGCCGACACATCCAGCAAATCAGCCGGTTACTGTTGCGCCTATAACAGCGCCAACTCGGGCTTGCTCTTGCTCTGTGATGCCGAGCTGGGTGATCCAATGCTCGAGCTTGCTGGTGGCGATTATCATGCGGGGGAGCATGCGAAGAAAGAGGGGAAGATTGCCACGTTGGGTATGGGCCGTGCTATCCCCGGTGGTTGGAAGGATGCGGGGGTGGTGAATGAGAATTTGAAGGGGGTGAAGATCCCGGACGCGGGTGTTGGATCGGTGCAAAGGGACAATGCGAATGTGTACTTGCAGTACAATGAGTACATCGTTTATGATGTTGCTCAAATTCGGCAGCGGTATTTGTTCTATGTTCGCATGCGCTGAGTGATGTGGAGAGGAATGGACGCACTTTTGGCTATCATCTTCTGGCGTTTGACAAAACTAATATCTGGCCTTGCACTGCGATGGAGTTCAAGATTTATCGGTTCGGGAAGTTCTTTATTTTTTTATTTTTGTAGCTCTACCAGGAAATTTCTAGTGGCTATCAATTTATCTCTTAGCATTGTTGAAACTAGTCTAGTAGCAAGGGGCTTAAAGAGGTCGACTGCCGACATAAACCTAGCGTTCGAATTATTCCAATTCCATTTGATTGATACGAACTGACCGTCTTGGCGTGAGAGACTGCGTCTGGTTAATCTCTCTCATCATATCTTGAGCCTCTCAGTAGACTCGGTACACTATGGGGATGCCACCAACTTTTCTCCGTAATCCCCTCCAAAGCTCCCCAAATTTGGGCAGTCTACGAACACATGGGTGACGGTTTCTTGCCGTATGTAGAAAGCTATTTATACGAAGAGGTTGTACGGGAATTTGCCGAGGAAGCACATATTGACGCAGCTACGCATAGGCCAACTAGCTACATAGGATAAACTTGGAATTCAAATATTTCATACTCTGTGTATCACTGCAAGTCCCATAATCTCACCGAATCTACAAAGTCATTTCGATTGATCCACCGGTCCTCGACGGACGAAGTACTAAAGACGGTTGAGCTTGCACCGCGCGCAGGCCCGCAGACTACACTCTGGACATTCTAAAATGAATACGGTCATGGTCTTCAAGCAGACCTCACAGGCGTTCATCCCCTCAATGCGATACCATCTCCCGTCATGTTCACAGGGCCGACCTTCACGCATGGCATCGGCTGCCTGTTGGACTGCTCGTGGGTTTTCCGGTGCGTTCTGGCGCGCTGCAACCTGTGCCGCTCGTGCGAGGAGTTTATTCTCATCCCAAGACGCGCACACGCATGTCTTCCACTTTTTGCCGCAGATATAGCAGAATTCATATCCGCAGCGGCAGCTAGGGATCATTTGCTTTGTTAGTCATTTGAAGTTCAGGATCAGCTCTAGGTAAGGGAGCATATACTCACGTCATATGATTGCAGCCCGTGTTTAGCTCGACAAGGTGCCCACAGATACATTGTTGCCACCCTTGTTCACCCGCAATATCGAGTAGATCGTCCACTGCTGTCTGGCAGTTTCCCTTGTGCGCCTCGTCTTTGCAGATCGTACAAGTCTTTGTCTCGCATTGCCTGCAGGTGCCGACGAAGCCAGACACACAATCTGGAAGGATGTACGACGAGCAGGTTTTATTTGAGCAGTACGTTCTTTCGGGATCCGCGCGCTCGATGCTTTTTTCCTCATACTGCCGTGTTAGATCTGGACCGATCAAAACACTGATGATAGATAGAGGGAGGGTCATCCGGCAGCAGCGAGGGGGGAAGAGGGACTCGTCGACAATTGACTGCGTGACGAGTTGATTAAGACAGTCCACACAGTAGTGGTGCGAGTATGGGGCCTGAATGACCGCGATCTCATCACCGGGGTCATTACACGAAACGCAGGCGTATTCTGGTGCAGCTGAGTGTGGTTGCTGCTTAGCCCTTTGAGATGATTCTGGAGACTCACGTCCAGTCTGCTCGTCTGTGCCTGTTTTCAGGGTGGTGGGCTCGTGAGCGAGCTTCATTCGCTTGAGCTCTTCCGAGACATCACGTTTTTCTGGCCGTGCTCTGCCTTTTGAGGCAGTACCACTTGGTTCAGCCCAAGAACTTGATCCGGCGACTGCTGCATCCACGTGGTGAATACGCTCTGCGTCAGAAGGAACTGTGTCTGTCTGTTCGGTTCTCCCATCTATCCGAGCGATGCGCATGGCCAGCTGGCGGTCAGCGCATGCTCTAGTCTCCTCTTGCTGGAACATTGTAATGACATTTCCATCATCTCGGACTGCCATATCGAGGCTTTTGGCCATTGCAAAATCCATCTCGAATTGCTCCTGGGCACTGAGCTCACGGTCCCACTGTTCAAGCGCGAGCTCGATATCACTTGGCCCTCGATTTGGCTGCTTGCCCTTGGTCTTATCCATCATATCGTCGACTTCCTGACGAAGTATTTCGCGGATGAGAGCCGCAGACTTTGGGTCAATAGTCGATGATGGATGGACGGGGGTCCTGATCTGGCTTTCATGGGCTGTGGTTGCAGATCCGCTGGGATTGGAAGATCTGCTGGTCGAGGAAGCTGGGTTGGCAGAAGATGTCATATTGGTAGAATGAACTAGTTGTACTGTATTTGGCATGCCAGCTGAGGATGCCGCAGCTGAGGATGCCGCAGGTGAGAGGTTAGAGGGGTAGGGTGGTGATGCGAAGGACGGCGCTTTCCCCGTGGACTTCGACATCTTGACAGTGACAAAGTTCGTTCAGGACGGAAACTTAGATGGAGCCTCGAAAGCAGAGAGTTTTTGGGGTGGAGGAGAGATGTGAGGTTGAAATAGTGGAGTTTAAAAAGGTGAAGTTTTCGAAGTTGGAGGAGCGTCGGGTTTCCTTTAGTTCACATCTTTCTTTCTATTCTTTGCATGAGGCCGCCATCCCTCTAATCCTTCGACATTCGGTAAACTACATGAATAGCAAGGTGTCGTGCTGTAAAGAAAATAAGACTTCAAAAGATATCACCATCCCTGTCAATCGGGACTGAGCAGCCACTTTTCAAGGACTGGTTCAATAGGTCAACCAGTATATTGATCGTCTTGTGGTCATTCCCTTGGTATCTTAGCAATCTTGGAAAACTTTTAAAACGGCCCATCAATGGTATTGACCACTTATCGCCGTCATAGAGAGCGTGTGTGAATTCGCTCGACGAAGCTAGTAGTTGTTTTTCACAGAATTGAGTGCCTGGTCTGACGATCAGGCCAGCATTTGCCTCGGGCGTCGGGGAATTTATTGATGCAGGCAGTCGTTTGCTTGGGCAAGAACAGCAAAGCAGTGTCATATCTAGCGATTCAATAACAATCCTTCAATTTCACTTCTTCCGTCTACAGAAGTGCATCCCCATTCTTCATCCACTTTCCTCCGACTCGAAAGCAGGCATTAGAGTTACCATATTGCTTCTTCTCTGGTCGACTTTCTGCCTTGATACACTCTGTACTTCCTTCTCCATCGCTGTCCATCCATTACCGCAGACATGATCGCCAAAGAACTACCTTCCGGCTGCGCCGTCTGTAACCAGAAGGAAGATCTTCTCCAATGCTCTGGCTGCAAGGTGTTGTCTTACTGCGGCCGGGACCACCAAGTCGCTGATCGTCCAGCCCATAAATCCGCTTGCATCGCCATCAAAAAAGCACGTGGCAAGATGGAGGAAGGGGAGCAGATTCTACGAGATCACCCTGGAGATTTTTTGATGCCTGCGGACCCCTTCACCAACAGTGTCGGGAACTTCTGGGGCGTGTTCCCAACTCGCGACTATATGCGAGCACGGTTTGCACTGGTCAAAGCCATGGCTGAGGTCGACAATGCCGAATCCGTCAAAGCGCAGCTGGACCATCTTATGGATATGCTACGTTTGTGCCGCAGTGATAACATGGGCGTGCGAGACCTTGTGCCCGGGCTCATGCTTCGTCTCAACAAGGACCAGGAATGCTACGACTTCATCAAGTGGTGGGCCGTCATCGATGACAATCCACGGTACGCCTGGGGAGATCCTGATTTTCCCTACCTCGATATCAAAAACGCCGATATTTTCGAACCTGTGAATCGATTCTGTGGTCAGTTCCCTGATCTCAGTCACTTAGTTTGCCTTTGCCTCTTGAAGATCAAGTTGCTCTTCGAGGTTATGAGGCTAGAGCAGTCGACTGCGAGCCTGGGCCCAACCGTTCCTAGCGAGATCCTCGATCTCATCCAGTCATCAGTTCCTCGGAGCCCCGCCGTGCGAGTGTCCCACGGCATCATGTCCGGTGATCGCGATGTCCGCAAGACCATTATTTCCAAGTTGAAGGCGCAGCTCAATGTCGTATTCGACGCGGTCGTGGAAGCTAACGAGCATTTCTGGCCCGCTCTTATTGATACTGACATTGATTTGACTGAAATTCCCCAATTCTACTCACATGGTAGCGTGGAAGAAATGATCTTAGTCCTGCGTTACAACTATGACGCCTGGATTGAGTCGCCCGGGGCGCTTAGCTTCATAGAAGCAAAGGTTCACGGTAAAATTTGATTGGGCATGCGTGTGATGTTGTAGTGCGGGGAGGAATCAGCCCCGTTGGCTGCCACTGTCAGAGCCGCGATGACGAGTGTGTTTGGTTATCTACAATATCATTGAAGGTGTATTCTTTATTGTTGTTTCCATAACAGATATATCGCTTTCGTGTGGAGGAAAAAAAATTATTCTTCTATCTCAGCTTATTTTAGTAACATCACCTTCAAAAGGCATTCAATAACTTCCATTACACCAGAGCTGTCCTCGAGAGCACGAGGCCACGGATTCCCGTCGTGTGTCAAGAATCAGCCCCCTCTTGAATTATAAAGAGAGAGACCAAGGCGATACTCTATCCACTCTTTTATGGAATCCATTAATACAACATCGCATGTAATGGATGACCTGATGGACCTGTTCTATATCCATTAAATTAATAAATCAACAGGTATCAATGTGCCAGCGACACCTAAGAATCTCCTGTTCCACTACTAGCTTGCCCTGGGAGAATCAATCTCTAGTAACGGCCCAATTGGAGGACCCTCTTGAGTGAGGCAGTTCTTCACATATATCACCCCACGGGTTCTCTTCAAGAGAAATCACACAAATTCAGCTGCGGGCTGGATCATGCCAATGATTCTGCTCCTAGGCGACTGCTTAGATAGGAGTTGAACTAAGCGACCTTCTTTTCCTCGGTCTTTCGTAAACTAATTTCGTACCTTAGCATTTAACTTTGCGTATCATCGAGTACTTGTGCTATTCCTAGGGCAGTTTAACCTTCGTCAGTATATTCGTTTCTTCTCTTTGGTCAGTCCACAAAATGATTTCCGTTTATTTCCGCCCTCAATTCTATTCGCCTACTACTATTACTGCTCATTACTGTGATAGCTTGCTCCGATAGTTCATTTTGACTCACAGATATATTTATTGTATCCGGGCTCATCCAACCATAACACCTTACACCGCACTTTGCTAATCGGCTCATATAAGCGGACATGTGTACGCAAATTTCCGGTGTATTATCAAAATCAAGCGTTCAAGGTTCATACTATCATTTAAATTTACTTGCCTTTCGTACTTGTTTCATTTCAGGGCCACAGTGGCGCGCCTAACTAGTTCAAAGTCTTGGCATTTCCATCCACGTCTTGTCTTTATCAGGTTAGCGTGATTCTCCATTAAATCCCCGGATCTCCGGGTTCACCGGTCCAACGCCAACCTCGAAATCTCTACAGGACCTAATATTCAATTACCCCATGAAATGCTGTACCTTTCATAGCCGAAGACAAGCGCAACATCCCCACAACCCGTTTTAGTCGAAGCCGAGGATAATCCCGATCGGGAACCCGAGATGCGATGCGCTAAACCTAATATGGTCATTAGCCGGTAGACTAACTGCGTTTGTCGAGTCATAGCCTACGCACGCCTTCTTTGGTGAGTGTTTTCTTCGGTGAATACCTGGAGATTATTTTGCGATAAGCCAAAAAAAAAAGGACGAGCTATATTACTTATAGCATTGCCAGGGCCTAGATTGACAGTTGAAACCTCCGCCGTGATTTTCGCAATTGTCTTTTTCAACATTCATCACTCGATATATCGCCGTACTCTCTACTTATGCAACACCTCCAAGACAACAACACAAAAATCGCCACAATGGGCATCAGAAACATCATGACCCCCAAACCTCACATCTGCGTCATCGGCTCCTTGAATATCGACTTCGTAACGGCGACCCCACGCTGCCCCGGCGCCGGCGAAACTCTCACAGCAACCTCCCTCACTGTCACAGCCGGCGGCAAAGGCGGAAACCAAGCCACAGCCTGCGGCCGCGCCTCCTTCACAACAGACAAAACCCAAGACGCAACTGTCAGCATGATCGGCGCCGTCGGCGCGAACGACGTCTACTACTCGACTCTTCTCAAGCCCGCGCTGGAGAAATCGGGCGTTAGCACGGCGGATGTCGAGGAGTCGGGCGAGGCGCAAACGGGTTCGGCAACAATTCTCGTGGAAGAGGGCGCGGGTGGTGAGAATCGGATTCTTGTTGTCCCTGGCGCTAATCATGCTGGTGTTATGGGGGATGTTGGAGCGATTGTGGATGTTGTCAAGGGACAGAGTGTGAGACCCGGTGTTATTGTTTTGCAGGGCGAGATTCCGAGGGAGACTACACTGGGATTGTTGAAGTATTATAATGGTGTTGGGTTGGGGGAGGAGAAGGTGCATGTTGTGTTTAATCCGGCGCCCGTTTATCCAGAGGGGATTTCCTTGGAGGCGCTGAAGCATACTTCTGTGCTTATTATGAATGAGACTGAGGCTGTCCAGATGTCGAGGTCTATTGCAGGGTTGCCTGTTTCTGACTCGACTCGACCGACCGAGTTGGATGATCTGCTGCCCGAGGAGCTGGCACCACGGTTCCACGAGACTGCTGATGTGCAAATTATTTTGATTACTTTGGGCGCCAAGGGTGTTTATTTCTCAACACGCACTGGTTCTCGTGGTGCTGTGCCAGGTGTGCGTGTACCCAAGGTTGTTGATACCACGGCCGCTGGTGATACATTCGTTGGATACTTCTCAACAGCTCTGGCACGGTTCCTCGCCAAGGGGGAGCCCCTGGAGGCATTCGACAGCGAGATTGAGAGCGCAGTAAAGAAGGCCAACGCCGCGGCTGCCAAATGTGTTGCTGCGCGAGGTGCAATGCAGAGCATTCCATTTGCATATGACCTAGAGTAGGGAATATCTGAAAAGATAGATACTGAGAGAAACGTGTTATACCGATAAAAGGAAATGGCGTCTTGGAGTATACATGATAGAAATGATATTACATATCCATCTCATCCGAATCCTCATCAAATCGTGCAAGTTTCCACCCAGCTTGAAGCGCTTCAGTCTCGCCGTCCAAGTTGATCCCAGTCGTAGCCGTGATCTTGTGGAATATCCCCATCAATACCGCCTGCTGCGACTGGTGCGTCATATCTCGTGCAATTAACAAGAGGCTTGAAACGAGAACAGGGTCCCATTGCTCGGGTGACTCATTGCTAGCTGCGATGCCGGCGATTGATTGTGCGTGCCAGATGTGTGACGTAAAGCATCGTGGCCCCGGTAAGGACTTTAGTAGTCGAGGCTTGTGCCCCAAGAGCAGAAGCGAGGTGATGTGATAAACAGCATTGGCGACCAGCGCCATAGGTGTGGTATAAATTAGGATCGGGAGGGCTGAGACATGATTTGGATCAATCTTATCTGCTTCGCCGCCCCGCACATCAACAATCTGCTGTGTGTCGACCGGGCGCTCGTTATACCATTTCTGGCAGTCGCTCCAGAGAAAGGTCCATTGTGACAAAAAGTGAGATTGCTGGAGAGCAGGGAATGCGGCGAAGTCTGAAGGGGTGGCGGCTTGGGGCAGTGATACATCAGGGCCGCCGCCATATATGAGAGACAAGCAATGACCAAGCAGACATAGTGAATGTTTGTAGACTTGATTGATGGAGCGTGGTCGAAGAGGGCGGGGTGTTTGAATAGGCGAACCGTCGCGGTTGATGTAGGATTGGAAGGGAATGATTGGTTGTTTCGATGTGAGGATTGAAGCTGCTAGGTCGAGTCGGAAATGGAGCCAGAAGATTCCTTCGCCTAGCTCCTCCTCCAGTGCAGCCGGGTGTAGCAAGTCCCCCTGGGACTGTAATTGTGGTAAGAGAATATTCCTCCAAAGCTGTGGCCCTAGCGGTAGGAGATCTTGGACGAGCAGCAGTGCACGTCCAGCATGCCCAACCAATCCTGGTTCTAGGTCCAGACTGTCTTCTGCCTCTCCTCGAAAGCGATTACTGCTGTCGAAATCTTCGATATGTGAAGGGGCTGCAACGAGTGGCCTTTGGCTCGCGGATAATGCTAATGTAGCTGCCTGCAATGGCCTGTTTGTTCGAGAGAGCAGAAGGACTTGAATTCCCAGAGCGCAGTCCGGATCTCCAACATCGATCCAAGGGCTGATGTTGTAGCGAAAATGTCGTAGTAAGTCCGTTTCATGGTTGATGCTTGATAATGTTGTTGTTCGAGATGATACCTCACCACGGTAGGAATGGGGAGTCCCCTGAGTGAACGGCCTATGGGTTTGGTTGAGAGAAGTCGGCGCATGTTGGAATAATGAAGGTCTTTGATTCAACTCGACTCGCCCGGGTTGGGTGAGGATGTTATCCAAGTTAAACGCTGTGCGAGTTTCGGGCAGGTCGTAATATACAGTTGTATCTCCAGGATTTGAAATCTCTGATTTTGCGTAGCTACTGGCTCGCAACTCCGATGCGCTGTCACCAGGGGGTTGAGATCTCTCTTTCGCTGCTGCGCGTGCAGCTGGCGAGTCGTCCACGAACTATAGATCCATTATCAGCAGAACACCCATGAATCGACATGTTCCAATGCCATCCACTAACCGTGATGGTCCCATACACCTGTCTCGCCCCAACACCAGTATCCCCCGATCGAGGCGGCACAAAGGCCAAATCAGCACCATACTTGCAAGCGAGGCCTTTGACTTCACAGTTGGCACATCGCGGCTTCTGCTCATCGCATTTTCGTCGCCTCTTCCGGCAGGTTAGACAGCCCGTCCTCACCCTCTGCTTTCCCGCAGGCGTGGGTTTCCGAGGCATTTTGTTGGACTACTGTGTACATGACCCCGGATGGGGGAAGTGAAAGAAGCAAACTGGGCGATCTGGAGGCTCCATACCCCCCGAACGGTGCTTAGGCTCTTTGCGGAGGATGCCGTCAAAACGTGCAGGGCGAGTCCATCCAGTCGGGGAAGTGGGGCGGGCCGAAAAGGGCAGGCTGATTCGACGCGGTTGGCTCCGCTTCGGGTTGGGTTTTTTTCTCTCCCGCATCGTCATTCTCTTATGGTGTCGGACGCCACCCGAAGGTCAGCCACGATTGACCGGCAATGCTTGATGTTCTGTTTGAAATATGGAAGTATTTGATTGATTCATTGGGCTTTTATTTCTGGATCACTGACTGTGGATCCCCTTTCACGTGCATACTTTCTTTAAACAGCAGGTACAGTCATGTGACATCATGCTACCTTTTTATGATATGCTTCTCTATCGTTTTACCTAAAGGGGATATAGAGTTTGCTTGAATTACTATTCGTATTCGTCACGAAAATGCATTAGAACATCCCTGAGTTATTATTTCAATCCATCACAAAACAATGTCTTCGTAAGCCCCATAGCGAGCATGACAGTTTTTACACGGACTCGATATAGTCCGAGCCCTCCTTCTTTTCCATATCACGTCCAGTGGCTGAGCCCAGTCTCTCAACAAAGGCAGTCAGTCCAACATCCCGCTGGGCCTCGCGTAGAAGCTCGGCATCTTCCTGGCCCTTCTTGCTGCCGAACACCTTGTCCATCTCCTCAAGAGAGGCATTCTTGGTCTCGGGCAGGAAGAACCACACCCAAAGAATGCCGACGAAAAGGAAGGCGGCGAAGAAAATATAAGTGCCCCACTGCCAAGCTTGCAGCATGGGAGGGACGAAGAAAGCGATAGCAAAGTTGTTGACCCAGTTGCTGGAAGCACCGATTGAGGCACCCTTGGCGCGGATCGATAGGGGGAAAATCTCGGAAACGAGAGTCCACGAGCAAGGCCCCCAAGTAGCGCCAAAGCCAGCAATATAAAGCCAGATAAGAGCTAAGTTTGAATTGTTAGCTGTATTCTGAAATGTCATTTGGGGAAGAAACATACCAACGGCGGTCCAACCAGCAGCAACATGTCCAGGCCAGTCGTGCTGGAACTTGGCAACGATAACTCCGACAATAACCATGCTGCAAAACATGACGATAGATCCAACGATGAGCATAGGCTTGCGGCCGACCTTGTCAATAATCAACTGTAGTGGGCAATATTAGCAGCGTGATCAATGGATGACTCTAACTCAACACTAAACTTACCATGGCAGGAATAGTGGAAATGAGGAAGACGACACCGGTAACACCAGTGGCAAGAAGAGCAATAGTGCCACCAGTGAGACCGAGCGATTTGAATACGTTAGAGGCATAGTAGATGACTAAATATAAGTTAGCAACCGAAATTGAACCGCAGAAGTCTTCAGAAACTCACTAGCATCAATACCACTCCACTGCTGGAAGAACATGATCAACCAGGCAGTAGCGACACGCTTGAAGTTATCCATAGAGCGAACACAGTTGGCATATTGCGCAATCTGGTTCATAAAGACACTCTGGCGCTCGCGTTCAGCCAGCTTAGGAGCCGACTTGGCAAATGCACGCTCCTCGAAGACAGCCTCGGCCTTGATCTCCAGAAACTCGACTTGCACGAGCTCATGCTCGACGGGAATCTTGCGCAGCCAGGCAAGAGTAGCCTGTGCCTCTTCATCGCGACCCTGCTTAACCAACCAACGAGGAGAGAATGGCATGAACCAGATACCGCAAGCCAAGCAAGCAGCTGGGATACCCTGGATAATGGAGGGCAGACGCCAGGCGAGATCAGACTGGCCCTCACCAGTTCCACCGATGTAGTTACTGCCGTAGCCAACCCAGAAAGAAATCATAATTCCGAGGATAGTCGCAAGCTGGTAGAAGGAAACCAGCAGGCCGCGCATCTCGGGTGCGGCAAGTTCGGCGTTGTAGAGAGGACCGACACCACTGAAGAGACCCACACCGAGACCGGTGAAGAATCGACCGGCGTACAAGCAAGCAGGGTTGCCAACAGTGGCACCGACATAGAGATATGATCCAAGAATCACCCAGCAGCAGGCGATGAACATGGTGTACTTGCGAGAAATGATTTCGCCAAGAACACCGGCGGAAAGTGAACCGATGATACCTCCGACTTGGAGAATAGAGGTCAACCAACCGGTCGCAGTGGAGGAGGCCACAACGGTCGGGAAGTTCTCCGTAAAGCGGGTCATGACAAGACTTTGCCCAAGGACACCTTGTTGATATCCATATTCGAAACCGCCAAGACTGTATTCGAGGTTAGCATGGAGAAAGAATTGGCTGTGGACATAGAGTCGAGGCCGTAGTCAGGATAGTCGGGAGAACATACGAGGCAAAGAATGCGATGAAGAGAACCTTGGGGTTGTCAAAAATCGACTGCCACATGGACTTCTTTGCGATTTGGAGACGCGGAGTCTCCTCCACATCCACCGAGGTTCGGTCGGCCATTGTGCAAATAAGAGTTTCGGCCCGAAACAACTGACTCCTGAACAGATTCAAATGGGAAACAAAACGAGGAAATCTCTTCGCACAGAAGAAGGAATGAATTATCGAGGACGATCTTCAATCTTCAAGAAAAATAGCGGGGCGGAGATGCATGTTATATGTGTTTTTTTCTTGGATTCATGTGCCCTGCACGAAAACTTAAACGGTCTACCCCGGGCTCGGCCTCCCGAGAAAAATCGCGTGGCCCCGGAAAAAGAGGAAACGCGGAGGCAAACAGAGTGTGGAGGACCATCAGACTAAGCCCAAACGACTCCGAACGGAGGCTATGATACCTTCTTTGGGCGAGTCTTAGCTAAGGAGTCGAACTAAGTGGGGCTTGTGGTTAACCGGACGGGCGGCGTTTGGCTAAGAGTTTGTCACATCCCCACAGACCCTGGCCGGCGAATTCTGGGAATTGGCCAATGACGGTGATTCTTAAACAACCTAATGCTCCCAGGGGTGAGACTAGCAACTGCAGATGGTGGAACAAGCCGTCATCTGATGGTTCACTTTGGGAAGTCAGAGGCACTGCCCTCCTCTTTCGGAAAGTCAATGCGGGGAGATCGTGGAGGCTCGTGGAGTATGCGGAGAATGATCGGGCGGATTTTCGATGTCATGGAATTCAGTTTTATGGAGAGACTCGGCAGCGGCCGACGAGTTGATGGGTAGGCAACAGGTTTGGAGCAGATATAAAGGTTTCTGTAAGGGAAGGGAGAAGGCGAAGTTGATCTGTAGTCTTGTTGGGTTCTTTTGGGTTTTTCCGTGGCCAATTGACTTAATTTTTGACTATATTGCATCAAAATCAAAGAAGTTCCGAAAAGTCAACATCATGCTTTGGCGCATTTCTTTGTCGGCGCTCTCCCTGGCTGCTGGGGCAGTTGCTAAGCACTATGCCATTATGGACAACGATTGGTATACAGCCGGATTCGTGCCTTATCTGATCGCTCTTGACGGAGATATTGACGTTCTAGCCTTAGCTTCGGGTAAGAATTTACCACCGTGAGCACTAGCAAACATACACTAAATAGTTATTCTAGATACCGCCAACAGCTGGCAGCCACAGGTAGCATTACACGCTGTTGCTACGCTCGAAGCCGGCAACTTGAGCTGTATCCCCGTCTATCCTGGCGCCACCTGGCCATTGATCAATACCCCCGAGCGCTTCCAAGCATGGGAGACTATTCACGGCAAACTGCCTTGGGAGGGTGCATTTGCACCGGAGAATGCGACTGCTGAAGCTGCGGGCAATGATCCCACTTCTGGCGATCCCAACCGTATCGTCAAACCCGCGTTCAAGGAAGGATTCCCCAAGGGCAAGCCCAATAACTCGACCTCTGCTGCAAACTTCATGGTCGAGATGGTGCACAAATACCCTGGCCAGGTTTCCATTTATTCCGCCGGTGCCTTGACGAATGTCGCATTGGCTGTGCGCATGGACCCCGACTTTGCCTCGCTTGCTAAGCAGCTTGTCATTATGGGCGGATATGTTGATTTGAACATGCTTGAGGCCACTGGTAGCATTATGTTGGCTGATTATCAGTCTGATGTAAGCTTTCATCCGGAAGAAAATGCTATATCACGAATACTTACTTTTGGATTAACAGATCAACCTCATGATTGACCCCGAGGCTTCCAAGATTGCTTTGACAGCCGATTTCCCCAACATTACCATCGCCGGGAATGTCGCCAACCAGGTGTTCCCTACTCAGAAATTTGTTGACGAGGTCATGACTGCCGATAATGCCTATGCTCAGCTGTTCGCCAAGTACTACGACCTCTCTTTCCCCTTCTGGGATGAGACGGCCGCAGCTCTGATGGTTGATCCCACGATTGCCACTAATCAAACATCTGGTAAGAAATTTCCAGACCCAAGAAAGTGGCAACCTCTCTAACAGTTATTGGTTTGATAGTTTACCTCGATGTTGATACCAGCTACGGTAGCCCGAACTACGGTAACATCCATGTTTACCAAAAGGCTCTTGCCCCCGGTGGAATCCGCCAGGTCAACTATGTTTTCGAGGTTGATGCCAAGAGATTGACCGAGCGGATTAAGCACTCCTTGATGCACCCCAAGACCTGTGCTGATCTCAAGTAAATATCGATTTGAGAGTGTCGGATCTGTTGTGACAATGGAGGCAATGATAGATGAGGATATAGACTCTGTAAATATCTCAATTTCAAGCTATTAGAGACAAAATACATAAACAGGAACACTCAGCTGCGAGTCCCAAGTGTTTTCTCAAGGAGATTCGACTGAACATTAAGACACACAAAGTTTGGGTATCAACGATTAATCACAAACAGCGGAGAAAAAGGTCCAGATACTCATATTCACATCTTAGATCGCTGATAGAATTTCACCGGGTTCATACCCCCAAGCTCGCTCAAGATCCTTCAACCTCCACAGCGCGCCCCAGCCAGTGGTCTCCTCCACAATTTTAAACAACTTTGCCACCTCAACGTGTTCACTGTGATGACTGAGAAGTTTCCCCGCAATATACAACGGTTGAATAGCATTAATAAGATTCCCAGAGTGAGGATTCGTCAAAGAGATCCCACAGACTCGGCGCGCGTGCCACACAGATGAGTAATGTGGCTTGGCCGGAGGCAAAATTTTCTCAGGGGGTTTCATATCCAGCATCATAATGCAAGCAGCATGATAAAGTTGATTTCCCGAGATGGCAGCCCAGTGCGCGAAGAGAATTTCTGGAAATATTTGACCCCCGCCGATTCCCGTTGTTTTGATGGGAAGCATAGCCGGGGGTCTTTTCTCAAGCCAGAATTGCAGCTCTTCCCAGAGACAGGTCCACTGCTCAGCGAAGGGGCGTGTATCTTCGACCATCTCACCCAGTTCCACATGTCTGGTTTGACGGCAGGAAAGATCACACGTCTTTGCACAAAGATATACCGCCCAGTTTGCATGCATGTCTGGGGAGGCACAGCCGTCTTGATAAAACATGTCTCGAATCATGAGTTCTCTCTCCCTGGGACTCGCCGTCTCGGGTACGGCGGGAACCCATTTCTCCAAGGGGAGCACGGTCGATTCAGCACCCCCGGAAATGATCGCACCGCACAGTTCCATGCGCGCATAGGTCCAGAAGGTGGCAGAAAGATGACCACCGGATAACCCGTTCACGTTGAAGGAGTCAAAAAGAGCGGCACATCCTTCGACGTGCCTCCTCCAGTCGCGTGGACTGACGGACATGAGCTCCATTACCGCCAGAATGCAGACTGTTACCAAGACATTTGGGTCTTTCGCTTGAAGTAACGGCGCTAATAGTCGGATTGACTCTTGGTAAAGTTCCAGACTATCGTATGCCTTATCAAGACAAGCCTTCCGCTCTGTTTGGCGAGCGGAGAATGCAAGAATGGCGTAAAACAAAGCGGGCGACCGCTGCGCAAGAATCGGAATATGAACGCCAAAATGGCGCGACTCGTCGAATTTATCAAGATAAGGAGCGCATTCGGTAATCCAGTTTTTGAGGTAGAAAATGAGTCGGATTTTAGGAATTGACACTCTTGTAAAATCTAATGTCGGTCGTGATTTCGTGGGCCCTTCTGGTTGTTCTGAAGGAACTGGTGATGTGTATTCACCGGGATCGAGGCTGGCAACGGATGAAAACAGCACACAACGTAGTTCCTCTTGTAACTCGAGAAAACGAGGATTTGCAGCATATTCGTCTGCACTGGAAAATGTCCCAGGCGATAAGAAAGCCTCTTCTTCAAATAGTGGCGCGCTGTTGTTGAAGGATTCCGACATCCTCGTTTCTGGTATGACAGCTGCGACAGGTTCGTCCATGTTGAGTTTTATGACATGAGAAGTCTGGGGTAGAAAGAAAGGGAAAGGAAGAGGCGGACCGGAGTTGGCTGGACGCTGCCCGAGAGGCGAAACTTAGTTATGGTTAGTCAGGGCCCACTGCCTCAATCCAGGACGGATAAGTCCCGAAAATGAGACTTGAGCTGCCACTGGCACCAAGGAGCAACTGGAGAAGGCCGATAGGGGGAAATCTCGAATTAATTCACTATGCCAGTGCTTTAGGCTTCAATTGAGAGGGCGCTTGACAGCGTATATACCACTATGCTTCGTGTCATAACTTACCACCGACGTGCGACCCGAAAGTATAGTCTCCCAAGAAAGTTCATCGGACAGCGCATTTGTCTGCCACAACATGGAAATTTGATTTCGGCGAAATACACACATGATGAATAAATCTTGCTATTCGACTAATTTCTTCCTTATTTATGGATTTTTCCAGGTGGACGGAGTGTCTATCAAAGGCAAGCATGCGGGTCTAGCCTGTCTAGTCAATATTGCAAATACATAATGAGCGTTCCTCCTTCCAATGCATGACAAACTGCTGCTGGCAAAATCTTACCTAACAGACTTCGCGCCGCCTACGGCGGACTATGGGGAGGAGAAGGCCATAACTCTTTGTCCGCAATTTAAGAATCGGGCGAATCTGATTTTCAGGCATTCTTTTGCCCATATAGTCTACGCATATCCTATATATCCTTTGTTAAGTGCGTTTTCCCGCACCGAAACAATCGATATTGATTCAGTATAAATGACTAGTGACATTACTGGAGCTAAAATGTAGATATAATCCGTAATCTAATATTAAATCCTCGTACGGTATAACATCTTTACCTAATACTATTAATTATTACGATCGTAACTAAGATAAAGGGGTCCTTTACTAGATAACTTCCTAGACGGCTTCCTAGACGGTTTCCTAGTTAATCTCTACGTTAATCTCCTAGCAATTAGCAAGTATGAATCGAATTTAGGGTAGAAGAAAAGCGGTGAATGGTCTTTGAAGAAATCTGGGGTTATAACCTTCTCTCCCTTATAGTCCGCCGCAGCCGCCGCAGTGTTATTCAACCTCAACCTTAGTTCTTAATCTTACCGGATTACCCAGTCCGAATGACTTGATTGATTCGGTCATACACTAACGGCGACCCTCAACTGTGTAATCAAGATACTCGCGCAGATACTGAATGTTGTTGGGGGAAGGCGCGCCGCACATCCCCACCCAGCCTTCGCTGCCTGCCAGACACGACGAACTTACACCCAGTATTCTACAGAAATCACCCGTGCTTTGACTTTGAGAGATAATGTGACTATCGGGGAGTTGCTTTTTTGTGATCCGTAGGCTTTTTTTTTTCTCAAACCTCTTAGTGACGAATTTGAGATATATTCTTGGCTTCTAAGGCATCGATCACGATGAAGGAGGGATACAATGCGCTTTTTCCCATAAGGTACTCTGATTCAATCCTTAGCTTGATTCTTTGAATATCTAACAATGAACGTTGCCTTGCTTGCGGATCTAAATATACAATCGTAAATGCATGAGCCTATGAAACATGTAAAGAACTCGATGATTAACAAAGAAGTCAAATTATCGGCAAACCTTTTTTGTATCTTTGTACCATACTCATCTGCAGTGAAGCAAACTATATAAACCTTTTGGGCTCATCCCTACCTTCGGCCTCATGGTCAGGGTCTTCCTTGTCTCAATCCCACTCTTCCCGATCACGAGCTGAACCGCCTCATGAAACATATGGCGGGAAGTTTAACCTTCGTTGTTGACCCGTGAAAGAACTTTGATAACTGTCCTTCTCTTAACGAGTCCCACATTATAAAATCCACCAAGATGCATTCCTACTACGTTATTATTCACCTTAGTTGGGATGATAAGTTCCGTGACACTGCTTCCTTGCTTGAGACGATTCTCTGCGCATTTGCCCAAGACATGCGGCTAATCGAGGTTGTTGATTTTGCCGAGCCTTTGACCCCCGACAATATGCCAATCAAAATCGACATGCCCCAGCCTCTTGAATTGACAGAACAAAACAGAAATCACCTTAGGAGCCAGGCGTATTATGTGGCCCGAAACTGGTTATTCCGTTATACTTCACACGGTGAAATCCCTTCTGCTTTTGAATTGGTCCACTGGTCTCGTCGCTAGGTAGTTCTTGTCTCTCAATGCTTTCTCTCCCTGGATCCATCTTTGTAGGCGCTGCTTGATTCGAGTTCAATTGCTTTTCTCCAGGATTTTGTATACTCCACGTGATAGTCACATTGACATGAGAAGTTGCGAAACTATCGAAACTATTTATTTATCGAATATAGACGAAGATACTCCTGTAAGGTCTTCAGAAAGCTAGTGGAATAATTTGCATGCTACATTACCAGGTTTATCCACAAACATAAAGGGCACAGTTAGGTAGATGTGGTTTGAAATTACCACGTACGGCGGAAGGATATCATATACGATGGAAAGAACTTTGTTCAATTGACAGCTAAGTGCAAGAAGAGCTATACTCAAATGGAATTCCACGAAATGGATAAGCTTCTACTTAGAAAACGACCTATTGAATTCATTCAACGATTGAGGTCGTTGATGATTATATACACAATCTAATTCTATTTAAATATACGTTCTATAATACCCACATGTTCAATCTCGTCATGCCGTGCTAGAAGGACATCCACCGCCGCCATTCAAAAATGCAAAGCTTCTTAGTCGTTCAGGCACTGTTAGCACAGGACCAGCTACTGGAGCCTGAATCGCCGTGGATCGCAACACCGGACACGTAGAGACCCAATCCACACTAGATGAAGTCAGTCATGTGAAGGAAAAATCAAAGGTGCTGGATGAACAAGAAGGGTAAATGCTGGACGCAATCGGGTGGAACTTACGATAGCGCAAGAAATAAGGAAAATCAGAACATTCGTAATCGTCAGAACTGTTTTCTTCCAGTTGCGGAAGTATTGGCCCTTGTTCATATGGAGCCAGAAGACGGCAGGCAGACCGACTGTAGAACATATTAGATACCGGGAGTCCAAGCCGGACACATAGTAATATCAAACTTACAACTGAACCAACTTCCAAACAGGGCACTCTGTAGTTTAAATCAACGTTAGTTGACTCTTCCAATAAAGACAAGTTGGGTCCATTCTTAAACTTACGATGAGACTCAGGAGATCGTTGAAGACGGGAATCGACTCTGCAACGACCCAGGAAATGATCCAGACACCGATGCAGATGGCGACCCAAGATCCGATGGAGAGTAGACTGCGGCTGTGCATCTCGTCGGAGCCACGGAACAAACGCACGTAGATGTACTTGCAAGCAACGTGACCCAGGACGACACCAGATAGAATAGTCTAGAATTGTCAGAGCAAGCCCATCCCATAGACAAAGGATAGAACAGAATCGATCTAGAGATCATGTTTAAGACTCACGGTAGGAATAGCAATACCCCAGGCAACCTTGCTCATGATGGGGCTGAGGGACGAGATGGCAGGCGACTGGACGTTGGGTCCAATGTAGTGGTAGATCAGCAAAGCACTGACAAGGTACAGAACAGTGTCAATAATCTGAAGCATCGCGAGCGACTTGTTGAAGGTGCGCGGGTCCTCCGTCTCTGACATGAAGCCGAAATAGGCAACATGGGCGACTGCAATCTTGAAATTAGCCCATTCGCTCTCTACTTTTGTAACGGACGACTCCATTGCTCATGAAGAATGGAAGTCTGGACGTACGGTAGGCGAAGATGATGTTGGTGACAGCCAAGAAGCCTTCGCGGAAAGAAACATCCGTAACCACCTCGTTCACCACGTGTTCCTTGGCTTCCACACCGGCGGTAATCATAGTGATGATGGTAGCGACCAAAACGCTCACGAAAGCTGGATACATGTTAACCGAGATCGAGCTGCGTCTGAGAGGATATACTCACAAATGACGGACATCCAGTAAACCTTCTCCATAGTGCGAGGCAAGGCTCCAAGGAAACAGATCACAAGGCCGACCACGCCGAAGACGAGGGTACAGGTACCGTGATCGGTCAGTACGTTCATCAAGATGTTGAAAGTCAAGATGTTGCTAGCCATGAGGAAGATAAGCAGCAGAAGCTGACCGATTCCAAGAACCTCACGACCGACGCGACCCATCAAGAGTTCGCCAGCGTCTCCCATGCTGTGGATATGGGGGTGACGGAGCTTGAACTGGCCAATGGCATAGCCAGTATACCAGGAAAGAGCAGAGATGAAGAGAATCATAATTGCAGCACTGGTGGATGTGGTCAGTCAAGGCAACCGTAAGATACAAAAAAATACCCAATACTTACGGTACCATGCCTAGAGTTGCAACCGCAGAGGGGAGCGACAAAATTCCGACGGAGACATTTTCCGCGATCATGACTGTTCAGATAATTAGCACTTAATTTCATCCCATTAGACTAAGGCTCATTCGTTTTTGAACACTCACGCATGCCGCAGTGCCTAATACAAAGTCAGCTTTCATAATTTCCAAATTTTGAAGTCTATCACGGTTCGAAAAGTCACCTACCACCACTTCATCGTTCGATATTTGACCTCCGCAGTCTCTTCATTGCCAAAAGGCTCCAAATCCTTTGCGGACAGAGGCTTCTCGTCATTGTTCTTAAGGGGTTCATCGAACATTCCCTTTCTGTCAGTACCGTATGACTCCTCGTCACTCATGATGGACAAGTTGTAGTGCTGCTGGGCCGCCTCGGCTCAATGTCAAATCTGATAAAATATTTCGGCCCTAGTGAGTGAATTGACACGGTATGACCAGCATTGACCAATAACACAGGTTAATGAAGGAAGAAATCTTTACAAAAGGGATTTCGATGCTACCCCAGTCCGGCCAAGAAAAATCTGTCGGGCAACTGGGGTGGGTCCAGACATTTCCCGCCTGCCGCGCGGGTTCAATAGGGTTGGCGACCGCCGATGCGGAATAATTCATGGTTCTGCGGCTACGCAAGAGAGGCTGAAACATCCCGAGATTCCGATTGGTGTGAGATGTACTATGTGAAAATGTTCTGGAGAAGTTTCCATGTTGGAACACATCTAGAAATGTCTCTGAGTTGATATGAATTTCCCGAGGGAAACTTCCGGCGTGGATCCCCATCTCCGTCATGGCAACATCCATTTGAGCGTGAGGGTTTTCGTGAAAAGCTCTTTACGAAGGGCTTAATTAAGGTTAAGTGTGCACGTAGCTTAAATTTCCCCTAGTCTGCGACTCTATTCCCCCCATAATAGGCCGAAATCGACAACTCCCTATCTCGTCATCTGTTTAGATCCCCATACCTGACCCACTTACTGGCTTCCGGCTTTTGTGGGGTTTGATGCTCAACGAGGAGCCCAAGATAGCATGTAGTATGTATGTTGGTTGTGTGATATGCACAAAACCCGTAAGCCGCGCAAAAGGAGCACAAATAGCCAACAACAAGTCAGAATCACTTAATTCTGGGCAGTATTCCATTAAGAGATTTTATCTCTCCAAGTTCAACCCTTCTTTGATCTTCGACTACCAGTCACGTGATTTATTTTCGATAGTGACAATATCAGCTACCATATCTATCAAACCTTCTTCCTCGTCTGTTTTTCTTTTCCATTGCCCCTCTTCCAGAGAGCCTATTGTTTGCTCACTTGGCTGTCGGTCTATGGAGATTATGCTCCTCATAACAAAGTCTCCGCTGGCATATATCACAGTCTTGGTAAGCTTAGCAGCATGTACCAAGCTTCTTCCCAAGATCGTCACCCTGGTTCTTTACTCAGACATGACGTTGGAATTGATATTAATTGACTTGTCCGTACTAGCTGAGTCGTCAGTGAGCGACGAGGGTCGGTATTAGATTCAGGACGACTACGAAGGAAGAGCAGGTGAGTCAACTACAACCAATCGCCTCCTACTATTGATAGCCACTGATCTCAAAGGAAGATTTGATGTCTGAATCGAAGCAAATTTAAACTATCCACACGTGACATCACACGTGTGCTTAGTCGATGCTTCATACTTTGACCATGAACCTTGGGTCGACTGGATCCTACCTGACACCACCAAGATAGAGCGCCTATTGATCACAACGAAACTTGACCTTGGTCTCCAACTACTGGTCAACGCGGTGAAACCCTGCCGGAAGATATGATGAACCGCGGATTATGGCGCAATTCTTGTCGGAAAAAGCAATTTGCGTTCAGAGCGCATTTTCCAAGTAGTGATCCCCAGCTCGCGATTCTACACCTCCCGTCCTTAGGGATTTTGAAACCATGTACAAGGGCGAGATGCTGCAAAAATATCACCCTAGGGCTATTACACTGGTTCGCTGGCAGGAAGGACCTGTCTGGTGTGATACTTGTCCTTGAGTCTCTAACTCACCTGTATCTTCAAACCCTGGAGATCTGCGTTTCATCCCCTCGGCTTGCATTGAACTGCTGACAATCTTGACGCTGTCTTGTCTCTACGAAACGAAACTTAGCTTGACAGAGGCTGCGCAGAAAAAACATGTGCGGAATCGTCCGTGTCAATCGTTCCTTCATCTTCAGCTCATGACTTGTTGCTACAAGCGACGTGCTCTGGAATCCGCTCTGGGGCAGTGTCCTTCCCCACAGTCATTTTCATTCAAGTGCGGCTGGGCAATCGATGATTCCGCAATTTCATTGACTTCAAACATGGTGTCTGTCTTGCAGCCTGTTCACCACGAGCTGAAAGATCTTTTGTTATCCTATTGCAACGACAACGACTTCTTGTTTGAGGGATTTATGGGACCATTGAAACTGGGCTTCCAGGCACTGACCTGGACCGTCAATGCCCCGATACTACTTTACAAGTGGTTGCTAGAATTTCTCCAAGTACTGCACATCATTTCCCCCGAGGAACGGGACGAGTTGGACTTTTGCCGTCGAAGTTTACGAGCGATAATTCGGATGCGCGAATTACGGTCCATCCTTCCCAATCTACGTAAAATTCGACTTGAAGCGCCCTTCGAAAGAGCTTGCTCAACTTATGGGGGTTTTTTCTGTGCAAGTTGAGGCAAGAAATGCGGGAATAAGCCAAGTTGGATAATTCTGTCAGCATTCCAGTTCTTGAAATGAAGGTATTCATAGAAAGAACAGAGCTACTAAGTGGTTTGACGCTCAACGCGCCAACATGGGCTTATTAGATGGAGAATTGAAATGGGAAAGCCGGCTCATAAGGATCCCAGTATATATTCCAGACTAGTAACAAGAGCGTCTGAGTTTCTCGATGTATTATGGTTCACTTTAAGCTATTGTTCTGACTCAAGAAGCTTTTGTCATCGGGCTTGTAAATCCAGTAGCAACACGTTGGCCCCCCTTCTTCTGCCCCACAAGTACATCACTTCCACACTTGGCAAGCGACACTGTACATCCTCTGCCAAGAGCCTTGGCTTTCATGTACCTGCCCGCTATGTTCGAAGTGCAAACAGCATCCGCCTTGCATGATGACATGAGGTTTTATTACTGGGACACACCCAAGGGCTAGTAGGTGGCTGACGTCCGAGATATGTTTGCTGACAAGGGCTACGATCAGGAAGCATGGTGGGATGTGCTCCTCGAACACATCGAAACTTGACTTCTCTCGACCTTGTTTGAATGACCCACGGCCTCTTAAGAGGTACTAGCTTGTCGCTTAGAAACAGTTCGTAATACCCTCATGGAGTTTCTATTTTTGTCACAGCATAAAATAAACAAGATCTCGGGTGGCACCACCCACTTTGTCAAACGCGCACGAGGCGGGAGCAGCCACTCACTCGCGAACTCCTAGGTTGTATATTTTCCGTTTACGGCAGACTGCAAGAGTCTCCTAGTGGCCATTGAGGCTGTCAAATTGCAGTTGGCTGCGACGTCGCGAAGTGAAGACTTTCAAGACCAGCCCTGCCAGACCTGCTACCGCCACCGCCCGTCACAGAGCCCTTCCGTTGCCCAGCCCACCCGGCTGCCCAATCAGCAACGGTCGATCGGCCCCCAGCTTCCCCCTGTAGATCTTTCCTTGGCGGCGAGGTTTCACTTGCATGGATTGGCCCCTGCTCCACGAGTGTGTGGCGGACCTGGGGGCCGCGCTGTTCCTGCCGCAGATCGTTAGGAATGCTATAAGACGTTCCACCCCAGTGACCCGGCATTCTTTGAGTATTGCTCGACTCTGACATATCTGTCTCTGCGTTGAATATTAGTCTGGTATGTTGTCGTTCAAGCTTCCTTCGTTGCTCGAATTCACTCTTCGCAACTACGCAACTCTCGCTGCAAAAGATAGCATCGTCCTGCCCGCTGGATGATCGGGCTGCATCCCTTGACTCCCCCCGACTCTTCGCTCTGGTTCACTGCTAACTCGTTTTGATACTATTCACAGATACTTTACGCTCAACCTTTGACGAACTCAAACCTTTCCATCAAAATGCGATTCTCCGTTCTCGTCCTTGGCCTACTCGCTAGTGGCACATACGCCTTCCCTCGAGTCCTCGAAGTGTGCCGTGGGGTAAGCTTGAATACAGCAAGAAGAGAAACATGGAACGTCGTACTAATTGCGCAACCAATGTCTTCTAGGGGAATTCCACATGCGATGCCTCCGCTCCTCTTGGAGATCCCACAGCTTGCTGCATTGGTCTGTCGTGTGATAGCGGAGTAAGTTGTGACTCTGTTGATTTTTATCCAGCCACCAACTAACGATTCATCTTCCAATTGATCCAGGTTTGCGTGCGATAAATACTCGCCCGTACAAAATCCGCTCGGTCAAGGTCCAGCACTGGAACATAGCGCCCTTGGGCCTCTGGCCGAGGCTTTGCACATATTCTCATTCTTTCCCACGGTCGGCTGTTCGGTTTCACGACATATCATAGGCGGAAGGCAAAAAACTGTACTACACGGAACGATCACCTGTATTTAATTTGGGTTTAATGGTATATACATGCTCAAAATCGCTGCCAAGATCTGCGTTCAAAAGATGAATTCGCTGTGCTGGTTGCTCGTCTCCTTCCATCCACTACATAGTCTTCTGGGGTGGCGACCTCGGTTTACAATTGGTGGCACGGAGTCGAGTACACGGAGTGTTGGTGAAAGGGTGAAGGGTATCTAGTAGTCTTCCCGATTCCAGGGGTCACAAAAGCTTTGCTGGCTTCTTGCTTATTCACATCAACTTGGTATCAGACAATCAGGGATCGCCATTCCCGGCGCACACTTTAGATATACTTCACCTCGATGTATTTTTCCGTTTTCCCTCGAATGGATTACTAAGTCGCTTGCATACACAGATCACTATGTTGGTCAACTTACTAGTTATCTATCGTTCTGACTACCCAGAGCGGGGTAGTGATGCAAGTTCTGATTAGCTTGTCTCAGACAGGGCTGAATGCCACTTCGATCGGATAAGCAATATCCTCAGAATCAACCGATACGCCCCCTGTTTGGCACGAAACAAATTACAGGAAAGTCCTCAAAAATGCACAGGAAGCATGCTCCATCAACAGACCAGTCTCAAGTCAACCAACCGGACGACGAGAACACATGGTCACCTCTTCAGCTCGCCGCTGCGAATGGGGATCTGGATGAGGTCCAGCGGCTTCTAGCCCAGGCTACGGTTGATCCTAATGAGGCACCAAGAGGGTATTATGGGAAAACAGCACTCCAAGCTGCTTCATTCAATGGACACCTCGCTGTAGTTGGGATACTACTAGCAGCAGGGGCAGACGTTAACGCCCCTGGAGGAAACAACGGGGGCCGAACAGCCGTGGTTCTGGCCTCAGGAGCAGGCCACGCGGATGTCGTTCGCCGGCTCGTCTCCGCAGGAGCGGATTTACATCGTCCACCCCATAAGTATATGGGTCGGACCGCTCTGCAGGCTGCTGCCGAGGGAGGTCATATTGAGCTGCTACAGTGGCTCCTTGAGCAAGGCGCTGACATCAATGCGCCTGCTGCCAATAATAACGGTCGCACCGTGCTTCAAGCGGCTGCATCGGCAGGTCATGGCGATATAGTGGAGATCTTGCTACAGCATGCAGCATGTATCAATGCGCCAGCTGTCAGGTATAAGGGTTTTACGGCGCTTCAAGGCGCAGCACTGGGAGGTCATCAACACATCGTTCGGCGACTGTTGGAAGCAGGGGCTGATGTGAATGCACAAGGCGCGTATTACAACGGATATACAGCACTTTCGGCGGCGGCAGAAGGTGGCCATTATAAGATTGTACGGATGTTGCTCGACGCTGGCGCAGATGTATCCGCCGTCTCAGGAAACAAGACACGAACGGCAGCACAAATTGCAAATTCCAGAGGCGAAAATGATATTGCGCAACTTCTCCAGTGGACTGGCCAGGCTGTGGACATTTCATAAGATATAAACGAGATTCTCAGCTGCTAGAGCAAGAGTTTAAATCAATTTAATCGTTGAAACTGGCCACAATCTGCATATTAGGGAAGATAGTGTGTCTCGCTTATGGTATGCATTTATCAATTGTTGAATTGGCGATCGGTGATACCTGTTCGTGTGTCCAGAGCATCACATTATTTCAGCACGAGCAACATGCTTGTCTCCGAAATTATGCTCTATAGGCCATCTTGAGCGCAAAAATCCTTTATACATATGAAATAAAAAACGCCAAACACTTTCGTGACGTGGACGGCTGCCGGGCTGCCAAACTGCACGGGATTTCTCCTTGTTAGGTTTATCTACGCACATTGATAAGCTAAAGTCTTTCAGAGATAGAATCATGTATCAGTTGAATCTCTTGAGTAGTATCAATCGACTGGGGGATGTCAAGAAGCTACCAAATTACAAATAGTACGCTATTTCCTAACAACTGTCCCAAATGATCAACCTCTATTGAACATTCGCCGACCAATTCGAAACACTCAGGGTTGCAGATCCACCTGTGAAGGGCTCTGTGCCAAATTGCAAGTCTATTGTATCCGGATCAATTAGAAGTCAGGGACAGGCCAACCAAATAAAGAGATCACATACCAATCAAGTATTGGGAGCTCGCAGGGAAACCCTGATTCTGAGTCAAATAGTTGAAGAAATGCATAATGTCGGTGGTGAAAGATTGAATTGGCGAGGATGCAACAAAGCTGTATGTTTTTTGTGAGCCATTTGATCCGTACCAAAGCGCCCAGGTATTCCCGTCGATTGTAGCAGTGGCGATTTGCGAGCCGATGGGCTGAATACTACCATAACGAGCTAGCCTGTAACATACTATCAGTCTTCCTACACTCCTTCCATAGTATTTCATGGGTGATGATGGTACCAGATCATGAGCTCGTAGTCACCACTGTAGGTGACATGATTGATATCAGCCGCCGTAAATAGATCGTATGAAACATCGGCATTGATATTGGTGTTGTCGTAGCTCCATTGCACAGAAGTCGGGATACTGCCGACCTGACTGACGAGCTTCTTGTTGAAAGAAAGACCCGAGTTGGCGTAGCTCTTGACTGAGCTAGATCCTCCAGACCAGGTCCAGGTCGTGGACCAAGAGACTCCAGAGCTAGAGATGGAGTTTACTTTTGTGCATTGGGAGCCGGAGCCGGCGCTTTCACCCCACAGATTGTTGTTGACTGAGTATGCGCCGCTTGTGTAGGAACCGTATTGCGTGCAGAATGAGGAAACCTGGGCATTAGCCACAGAGAGGATGGCCAACAAGGTAATGATGGATTTCATCTTGACGCAAATTGATTCTTCGTCGTACTTTGTATGATTGTCTTATCGTCCAGTTTGATTGTTTTCTTTCATTCCAACTTGTCTCTGGATGTCCAATTTATATCCCATCACTGAAAATGATCTACTCGAGAAGAAATGGTATACACCTTTTTCAGGCACGGAGTAGACTCCGCTCCGATGCCACCGTAAGCCATGATTTGCTGGGAAGTCTGTCTCAACCCCTGAAGATGTCGCTAGCGTAAAGTCCTAAGCAATCTTCGAACTATTCAAAAATATTCAGGTTTAAACCTAGTCACATTTTAATGAATAAGGAGAACCTTCGACCAAAATGCTAAGGCATCAGTCATTTACTCCAGTGGTTTCACATATCGTAGCATTTAAATTAACTTATCGAAAATGTCCCTATTGGATCGCAACCTCCATTCAATCCAGTAAAGTCAACTACCCTTGTTTAAGGCTCTGGATCCAGCCACATTCGTGCAGAAAGCGGGTTGCCCAGGCCGTAGGGTAGTATCGTTCGCGGAAAAGCTGCGGGGTGCGTCGGGATTGTTTCAACAAGCGGAGAACGGCAAGAGAAGGAAAAAACGACCCCAGATGAGCTAACCGAATACAGTAAAGTTGTTCGACAGGTACAAGCAGCTATGTTACAAGCAAAGTCTAAATCTCAGACTCCGGGAGGTTAAGGAGCGCAATGAACTAAGGTAGTGGCGCGAAAAGGAGCGAATATAAATCGAGCTATTATTCTAGATGTTGAAACTAGCAACGCCGCTATATTTCGATCTTCTCTCGAATGATGCTGCGGAGGCAACTGCTGTGAGACCCATCATAATCTGGGACATCATATTGAATATATTTCTTTTGGTAATTCGCAGCGTTGAATGATTTCTTTTTGGACTTTTTGTCTTATAGGGTAATGGAATAAACCAATCTGTCATATCTGCAAACCTGCACTCTTTCCTGAAAAATCTAGAATAACGCCGAATCTATCTTGAGATCGACATCTGCTCCGTCGATCCTTGCTACTCTAGCAACGGGGCAGGCCGAACGTTCGTCAGCGAAATGCTACCCCGGATATCAGGGCCTCAATCGAGCATTTTGGATTAGATCGAGTCCGAGTCTGAGTACCGGCACGATTTCGGAGATAGCTAGAATAGGATAGGTCCAAATACCCCTGCAAATTGCGATTCCTACACTCAACCTCTAGTTGGAATTTGCTTTCCATATTTTAGGCGGAAGTTCCAAAGCGTCTTTTACACAGCGTCAAGAATTCTTGGACAAAGTGCTATAAAGGGCGGCAGAGAGAAGATGGTAGGCAAAAGACGGCAGATCAGACGGCTCTAATAAAAGGGTCCATGGAGATAGTTCAGATTTGCGGGTACAACTGCTAGCCTTGACAACATGTGGATGGGGCTGGACTTATTCATACGCCAGTTTGTCTAGTCCTTGTGACGCTAATCGTGAGGGAGTGATGGATCAAGAGCAAATTTACGGGTCAGTGTTGTGTGCATAGGATAGTAGAAGCCCATGAACGTTTTCAATTATGAACTCTATCACCATAGTATAGAAGGACAGGTTGAGGAGCATTTATTAGCCAATTGCCTCACGTAGCCCGAGCAAATATGGAACTTTTGTCTAATCCTCCTCAAGGGGTTCATTACGAAACCCTGGTAGGGAATTGGGTTAATTCAAGTGTGTCATCTTACATCCTTGTACAGCTGGAATTTCGCAGTGATCAAAGGCATAATCCTTCGTGCGATTTAGCTTTCGATGATATTGGCGACAACAATCTTCATAGATTTCAAAGTCTAGTTTTTTAAAGTCCCTGCTCGGCGGGTGAGTGAAATTGATTTGACATTTGTATACGCAGCTATGAATTATATGCCATTGTCATTAAGGAACTCACATTGATGTTTAAAAAGTGTGGAAAAAGCGAGGTTGATTAGAGGGAGAACGACGAATGGAAGGGTTTCTCTTTTTGCCTTGAGGCTAGTCATACATTGTTCACCTCTGCTAGCTCGAATCTCACTGGGCAGAAGATCAAGGTTATATTGTATATTCAAACCCAAGATAAAGCGCACTTGTCAGGGGGCGAGCTCATTCGTACTTTAGAATCAATAAATTCTCGACGCTTAATTTATCACTAAAAGATCATCCAGTTTGAATTCCACCTCCCTCTAGCTTTAAATATCCAGGCGTACTCTCCTCAATGATGCGAATCCATAGATCCCGAGATCCCCAGCCCGAGAAGAGGAACTTATTAGCGCGTCGGGTTGACTCTGAGAGTTCAAGGATAGGCAGGTCCATATCTAGGCTATTTCTCATTAGAAGCAACAAAGAAGCGGAAAATATTTACTCTGTCAGAGAGAGGGGGAACATATGGTTCATTATACTGCGGCGGGCCTCCGATACCAGACTCGGCGATTTCGCTGAGAAATCTACCCAGCATCTGCTCGAAAGACATGCTTTGACCCATATTCCAGGGTCGACGGAGGGTAGAGACGTGGACAAGCCCGTTAGAGCCAAAGTCGGCTAGGGTCAGGCGCCCGGTGGCTAGCCCACGCTCGTCGATCACGAACCACGTAAGGCCCGGCCCGTCGGCGAATATTACCGTGCCATCCCGGGTCATCGAGAGGGCGAAGAAATGGGCCGTGTGAAGGTAGAGCGCGGGTAGGAATTCGCTGAGCGTGATAGGCGCGCCAGAGCCGGCTCCAGGGTCAAGCAGCTGCGGGATATGCGAACTAGGGGCCTCGCCTGCCCCGTGTACGTCGAAAGGGTGCAGCCCATTCCATTCATCTTGATGAACGTACATTAAGATAAGAAATTCCACGAGACTAACATAGTTATGGGCATGCGATTTCCGGTCAACCGAGGGTAGATATAAGAATCGTTTGTTGGGTCGTACGGTGAGGTGAGAGAGGGCTACAGCCGGGTAGTCAAGAGCCGAGTGATAACCTGGGGCATTTTGATAGTAGGACTGTACTGCTCGTTTATACTTGAGTAATTCTTTCTATTCATTCTCGAGGACTTCAAGAAAGATGTAGGAGGGTGAAAAGAGAGTAAAACTAGGAAAGGCATCAAGACTGCGGGTGTTGTTATACGGACCTCGCGGAACTCCTGGCCGGCAGTGGCCCATCTCTCAATGAGGGCTCGCCGGTGACGCAGCGCATTTGCGGGGGTTAATATGGGCTGGGATTCTTCCTGTCAAGATCAATCGTCAATACGAACCTCAGCATCAAAGAAGGGTGTAGACTTATAGACTACCATACCCGTACGAACAGCAACCACCCCTTAGCCTCATCCGCAAGCTCTTCCGAGTGCAAATCGGTCGGATGCAGGCGGATCCCGGGAATTTCCGTGGGCCAGGAGGCTTGTGATGGTGGCTGTGGCATTCTTTTTTTTCACTGATTTTGAATTTAGTCGTTGTGGGTGTCGCCCAGGTGAGTTTAGGATGAGCGCCGCTTTACGGTCGCGTGCGACGGGGGTGAGATAGGGTGAGTGCACAATAGACGGCGAGAACAATCAAGGTGACATTCTGGAGATATTCAAGTGCCGTCAAAGAGTCGCCCGACCCGATTTCCTGGATATGCATATGACGCTAGACGGAACCATGCTCTTCGCGTTATAGGCTCATTAACGTATTTTCCAGGCCTCTCTTCTCTTACCTTAACGAATCGGTGGGTTATTATATCATTTCCTAGATGCAATTTTTTTTAATGCTAAGTTTATATTAAAGATGAAAATACGCTATTATCTTGGCGATTGTCCACGTAAATATTTTAGTCAAGTGCCCGTTGGCCGTCACATCCTCGCTGAGCATTGTGCCCGACTGGCTTTGCCTCTCGCTGAGCGTTATGCCCGCAGCCGAAACGGAGGATCGATGGGGGTTTCATTTTCATGTTGCCCTATTAGTTATAGCCCGCGTTCGAATCTTTTAAGCCTTCACCGTTTGGGTTTCAAAGACTGCTTTCATACCTTGGGAAGGGAGACACCTCTTCAAGAATTAAGTTTTTGGGGTGGGCTTCTTATTGAATTTCCTGGCCGTCTCGTACACTTGGTGGTCCCGTACACCCAAATACCATAATAAATGCGATAGTTTAAATTATGATATTCCAACCTATAAGGGTTTGTTTGGGCTTATAAGACATTCAAGTGTGTAATATATTATTACCCTTAGCATATTCACCCAGCCAAATAAAATTGAGGTTAGACGATAAAGATATATAGTCATGCATCACCTTGTTGGCATATATTGCTGGTCGTACATGTATACAGCTATTGACTCTGTTTATTGATAGATCTTTACTAGCTTATATGTCATTAGGGACCATGCTAACGAAAATCTGGTAGTATTATGATCATATATAGCGACCTGAAATATCGCATTTACTATGGCGTTTTGAGGTGTACGGGACTACCGGGTGTAGGAGATGACCGGGAATTATGTTACTGCGTTCAAAACCAATTCATCATGCCTGTGTGACCTATCACACCACTCTCGCGCGTGATGGGAAAGAGGCCAAAAAGTTAACGGTACTATGGGCCCGATAGTACGACTTTTCTAAATATTACTTCACTTTGCCATCCGATCGATGCGTTTTGATGGCACACTTGGTGGGACGGCACTGATCAGGTCGAGACCCTATGCCACCAAAGCCGAGTCTGGCTGCATTTGGTCGTATCCGCGTCTCTGGTTATCACATGTTCCTTGACCGATTTTCTTAAAAGAGCAAGCCTAGATGCGAAAGTGTCGCCTCTTTGACTTGGACTCATGCTGCCTCGTGCTAGCGGAGGACTATACGTACAACTCATGTGGCACGATGCGATACTCAGGCTGCACGAATTAGATGTGATCAGTCCGGTACTTACATTACTGAGTTTACGTAGACATCTAGGCGTATTCTGGCAAGGTGATCGATCGATCGAGGGAAATGTGTTGGCGATTGAAGCAAGGACGACCTGGGTACGGCCAAACGTGGCTTTTGGATGGCTTCGAGTCTCGACCCACTCAATGCCATCTGCAGGGTCGCTAATTGGAGCAAATTATTCTATCGCCATAGAATAACCCATACTCCCGTTTCCGTTTACCTTTTCCGCTCTAGGGCGGAATGGGCTCAAAAAGGGCGGTGGTTTCATCGGTTAAGTTCATCCCTAGTTTTCAACATACCTTGGATCCTGTTGATGGCTACGCCGACTCACCGAAAGTATACAGTACAAGCAGTCGAATTGTGTTCCGCCAAGAAAACAATGTGGAAGGAAATGTACAAATAAGACGACCTGGTATGACCCAAAGCTTTAGCAGAGGCTGAATAGCCTAGATGTGGCCAGCTCTGGTATCCTATCTGTACACTCGTTAGCGTAAAAGCTAAATTGTTTCGTAGCCAATCAGAGCATCTCAGTGACCATCAATTGTCAGCCACAGTAGGAGTATGCATTAAAGGGTAACCGAATCTTGGGGCTCTGTAAGGTTCAAAAATTGACTCGGCTCCGAGGGAGAGAGGATCTTTCGGTCGCTCCGAAGAAGCCTAATACAAGTAGAATGTATCTAGACTGGTTTGGAACGCTTCGCTGTATATCTAATTGATCTATGTATTTTCACGCCCGGTAGCTCGCTCTTATTATACCACCTCTTTAACAAAATGCTTTATTTTAATCCCTGGGTCAAACCTTCCTGTTTTAACTTCAAATCAAACCCCCTTTCTTGGTAGGACCCCTTACCTCTATACATTCCTTCACTAATTCCGCTAAGGCTCTAATTGCTGGGATAGCTTATGCTCGTCTAATAAACGGTATAACCCACTGAGTCTTGCAACCCGATATGCCTGGGTACTTCTCCTTCTTGATTGTGATAGAGGCGGTATCTACCACGTTAGAATGAATGCTTCAGACGGATTCAAACGCCGGAAAGCAGGCACAAAGAGGATTTGGCATCCTTTTCGACTCTATGCGAAAAAGCTTGGAAACGACTTGTATCTATCGGGTTTTCATCTGTACTTGAACTTGCTAAAGCTGGGGGTAAAGCAGGTCTAGATGTCGATGGTAGAGTGGCAGTGGGAGGACACTGCCATTCGGCAGATACCGGTTTCGCCGTAGAGACGGGCCTATTGCTCTCTCTCCCCTCTAGATCGCTGTCATCAACTGTATTTGGGACTAGTATAATTGAATAAATTCCACTACAATCCTTCAAAATGGTTGTACGAAGATAGGATCACCGGTGTTTAATCTATACGCTGTCTTAAGCACTTGGAAATATAGTTTGAATATCTTGAAGGCAAAAGGGTTGCTGGTATGAGTCGCGAATTGATTCTCTTGAAGGATGTCTCTTTTCTCAACCATTCTTCATCCCTGCAGGCAGTCTGAATTAAAATGAAGGCTGAGGAATACGCTACTCTAGAAAAAGCCATGCCCCTCAAAATCTGCCCTTTAGAATGACTGCGTTTAAAGTAATGTAGGGTGTCAAGCATTTGCAAAGCGGCCCTAACAAAAGTAGGATGGATTCCTAGATAAAGCTTTGTCGTCTCAATTTACAGCTGTTTTTAAGAAAATCACAATTATATTCAGTGGAGGCTATTCGCCGCGCCTGGAGGCATGCACACGCGAACCCTCGGAATTTCTGCGAGCTAAATTGTGATCGACGGCACATTCCACCGGAGCATCGAGCATCGCCAAAATATTCAACGCTTCTGTAGCCCTTCATTCCTAACTTTAATCTCTATATGAGACCGTTAGAAACCCAAGTGACACAGGCTGAAGGTATATATAGCCCCTGCCCTCTTCAAAGATTCTGCTTTAAGGCAGACGCTTATCGACATAGATTCTCCAAAGTTTTATATCGGTTGATTCAAGGCTTATACGAAATGCTTCCTTCGTTTGTCATCCTTTTCTTCTGTGCTTTAGTCACTGCATTCTCCGCAGGAGACCCTCAAGAGAAGTGGGGCGGGTATGGGGGTCACGGCGACATTTCCCATGGGGGTAACAATATTGGCAATGGAGATGTTGGTGGGATCGTCGGTGATGTTGGCATAGGGGGCGGGAGCGGAGGTGGTTGCGACCCGGCCGCTTGTGACGCCAAGGTAGGACATGCCATAACGAAGGAAGTTATATCACCGCTAACATGCCGACTTATGAAAGTGCAAAAGTTTGGGATTCCCATCGGGTTTCTGCGATAACGAAGGTGCATCTCCCAGTTTACTTGGACTTATCCTGGGAGGGACTACGCCGTAAGTCTCTTATCGGTCGTTTTATGATTTCAGAGCCGTTTAGAAGCTGATATGGAACAGAAGCTGCGTTTGCTCACCAATTACAAGTAGTTGTACTACCACAACTACCGCGACAGCCACAACTACCGTCACCAGTTCAACTTGTACGGATACTATTACAACCACCGCTACGTCCACCAGCACCGCTACGAGCACAACAACCGCTACGAGCACAACCACGGCTACTGTCATCCCTACAGCCATCTGCTTCTGCTGTTCCAGCCCTCAGCAGCCTGCAAGTGGCGGACTCCAAGGAAGTTGCGACCCAGCGACATCTTCTACTTGTACTAACCCTGGCAATACCAACCGTTTCTGTTGTAACGGGCAAACATGTACCCCTTCCTAGGGTCAACAAGTGGTTTAAAGCTAGCATGAGGACTTCCTGAATCCAGTGGATCCTGAACTAGCTCAAACAAGCGAAGATTGTGGGTATACAATCTGTTGAATTTGGCTCAGTGATGTTGTGTGCGACCTAGTTAGTTAATCAGAATGGCCCGGGGTACTATTGCGAGATCAGTGTAGCAGTAATATAATTCGTACTGGGTGGTGAAATCGCGGACGCACGATTTGCCCTCATGTTGAATCGACAAATTAATGATGGGAATCTTATCGGACCATATCTTTGTTTTACCAAAAAGCTTCATAAGTGTAAGGGCCAAATACTGGACTGCTGCGTCGAGGACGACCTAAGTACTTCTAATATGGCTAATAGTCATTTAATATTTTCCGATTTAGCTACGCAAAAATTTAGGCTTTGCGCTAACGAGTGAACAAATAGATAGGCATTTAACCAGAGGTAGCCTCATCTAGGCTTTCTGGCCTATGTCTAGACTTGTTGTCATATAAAGCCATCTTATTCGTACAATTTCCCCTGAGGTTTCTCTTGGCAGATCAGATTTTGATTACTCATAGACTCATAGCGAGCGAGGTGTAGCCATCGACATCATCTAAGGTAGGTTAATGTTTAGGGATCAGCCTGTACCAACAAACCACTACATTCTTTGGCATTTTTCCGCCTTACACAGAAAGAGCTAAATAGCAACGCCTATACTATAAATACAGAATCATTTAGTTCGACTAATCGGCGATTGTACAAATACTACAGTACTGATTCGGTCGGGACTCGAAGCCTTTCAAAAGCCACATCTAGCCGTATCCCGTCGTCCCTATTTCTATAGCCGCTACATCTCCTTCGACCGGTTATTTTAATAGAATAGGCCTAAAAACCTAGCTGTCGTCCCCGCGACATAAGTTCATGACGTCTCTCATCAACTTAGGGCGAAAATTGCGTGTGTAATGACAGGTATGTGACGCTGCATGATTATTGTTACGCGGGAAATTCTTGGCGGCCCATTCTACGGCGGCCGATAGTGGCCTCGAGCTGCAGATGGCGTTTCTATACCGCTTTTGACACCGCCTGATGAAATAGGGGTTTTCGTTCTATATCCAAATTATCATCGTAATTCACTTCCTATCCCTTCGCCCCCTGAAATTTTCTACCCTCTGCATCTCTCTGCCCTCTCAATCCTCATCTCTGCGCCCAGTATACCGCGTCGAATGGTACGCAGTGGCGAATCGAATTAAGCTATCTTGACTACACTAGCTGATGACTATGCTGGTCTAGTCGATTAGGGACTAGGAGGCACTCATCGCTCTAAAGATTTAGATCAAATTCAATTCAAATCGTTTCAAATCGCAAAAGAGACGTCATCAGAAACGTGAGCCCTCATTGGTTAAGCCAGAAATCTTGGTAGCCGTAGGCAGCCTGACTTTTCAGGTTAATATACAGTAATGTGGCTGAATGTGGGATTTTGCCGTTAGAATCAATAAAAAACGCCATTTGCAGTTGGTGGCCACTATCGGCCTCCGTAGCCCATTCATTCGGATAAGGCTCCACTACCACGGTAATCTTAGTACCGGAACCCGGGATACCATACCCAAACTAGGCCCGATGGTTTCCGAGTCGCTTGGTATAAAAATAAAGTTTTCTAGAAACGGGGGCTTATGCGGGGTCTATAATTATAGTCCTTTGGTTGACGCGGAAATCATAGCCCTATCGAATATAGCGAGTTATAATGATGCGCGCGTTCATGCTAAGTAATGATGACCTCCTGCTATATAACGTGAATGAATAGGCCTCTAAGAATTTACCGCTTCATAAGCCCTTATAATTAGTGCTGCTTGAGTATCGCAGTCATCCCCCACAAATTCTATAGTCCTCCGCTAGCACGAGGCAGCATGAGTCTAGGTCATAGGGGCAACACTTTCACATCTAGGAGTATTCTCTCAGGATGAACCGGTCAAGGAACACAGAGTGACAAGAGATACGGACACGAAAAAATACGGCCAGACTAGTCTTTGGTGGTAGACAGTTTCGACCTACCGTCTCTCAAAGTGTACCACCGAAAATCATAGGTCGGGTAGCAAACATAGCAAACAATAAAGTTAATTTAGAAAAGCCAAACCATCGGGCCCATGATGCCGGTCATATACGAGCAATCGGCCCTTCTGGCCTATCTCCTATCACGCGGGGGAGTGGTGTGGTAGCTCATGTGTTTTGGGAAGAGTAGGTGCTCTAGATTGGGTTTGAAAGCAGTATCGAAAATTATAAATAACTGTTCTATGTCTACCCTAAAGGCTAGTTCACAAAGACTCTTCCTTCGTTGCCAAGGTAATCAAACTTTCCTCGAAGATTCAAGAATACTACATAAACCTGGGGCGGGGAATATGAAAATGAAAACACCATCGATACTCCGTCTCGGCTGTGTGTTAGTAGTGGCACTTATCGTGGTCGCGGGGGTATCCGCCTTTCCGGCACCAGCCTCAGCTGCGGGCATAACACTGAGCAAGAGGCAAGGCCAGTCGGGCACAACGCTTAGCGAGGATGTGACAGCCAACGGGCACCGGACCCGGACATTCGAGTGGACAATCAACAAGGTGGCTAATCCAACCACACTCGATCTGGTCCAGGGTGAGAGCGGCACGGTGACCTACACGGTGACGTTAACTAAGGACGACGGTACAGTCCACACCTGGATCGACGGGAAGGTCTGCATTACCAACGGTGGCAGTGTTCCAACTGAGAACCTTAAGTCGACCATTAAGGTGACGCAGCCGCCGTCCCAGGTGGTCATATTGAGTACGCCACTTGACACGACGGCTAAACCGGTCCTAGCTGCCGGGGAGAGCTACTGCTACCCCTATAGCATCGACATCCCGTCAGCAAACAGCGACACATATAAGGTAAACGCCGATACAACGATTACCAATCACTCGGGACACTTAGGAGAGCCGTTTGGGCCTAACGCGGCCGCCACCACAACGATTCCGACGACCGAGACGCTTGTCCATAACACCGTAACTGTCTCCGATACCCTCGGGGGCCCGTTGGGGGAGTTCTCTGATGACCACACAGTGACCTACACCCATAAATTCGACTGTGGTAATGCAGGAGACAATCCTAACACCGCCTCCATCACCTACGACGACGGCACGGCTGGGCCGTCTGCATCGGCGACGGTGACGGTTAAGTGCACCACCCCACCGCCTCCGACCACCCAATGGTGTGGGATTGGTACTGCATTTGGGAAGGCAGTATCTTCCCAAACATTGAATTCACTCGTTCCGCTACCTAATACCTGCAAGCGATGGGGATGGTATACCTACACATCTTCTCCGGTCAGTGGTACGCTTTATGTCGGTGCTGGCGGTAACGACATCGGTAAAGCAGTTGATGTTGGAACATGGTCAGCTACCGTGTCAGGCCAGTTCATCGATGTCACCTACACCCTTAAAAACGATTCGCCAAGCAACGTGTTCCAGGTTACTGAGGTGCATGTATACGCCTCCTGTACTAAGCCGACGACATGTGCACCCGGTCAGTACACATATTCGCGAACTGGCCTGACAGCACAATCTTATGACACTGGTCCAATCGATACTAAGTGCAATGGACCATGGTACATTATTGTGCACGCGGCTGTAAGCCAGCAATTTCCATCTACAGCTACCTGCCCTACCCCAGTTCAGTAAGTAGCTGTGGAAAAGTGTTACTTCGACCATCTTATGTTTCAAGTGATGCAAATCTACGGCTGAAGCCCGGGAAGGGAAAATGAAGTTAGGGATTTATTTCTAAAGGCGACTTTTGTTCTTTAGAAATTTTTGGGAATGAAAAGTATGCTAATTGATTTTACCTTGGATTTTACTTTGGATTTTACTTTGGATTTTACTTTGGATTTTACTTTGGATATTGCTTTGGATCCTACTTTGGGTGTTAATGTACTTATCTGACATATTTTGAAGTATCGTAGCTGCTATATATTCATTGAATACTGAATTTAATTGGAGTTACATTGGGGCAAGTTTATGATATCACAGGTTTTACCTATCTTTATGTTCTGAATGATATCCGAAAGGTCCAGCAGCGGAAGGACGGCACTTCTGTCCAGCTTAGCAAGAGAAATTTGAGGCAATATATGAGGGTATCCTGCATTCAGTGCTTGACCATATCTATTATAGGGCTCAACGGTATTCTGCAGACGCTTTTACAACATTTGTTGTAGATATACGTACAGTAGGTATTTATGTCCGTTACTTTTTGCTCTTGAAAAACCCCTCCGGCATCTCAGCAGCCGCATTATTGTGATAGATGGCCGAAGCCAAAATCTGTCCTCACCACGGACAACGCGTCTTTCCACCATACTTCACGGATCAGAGAGCTATACTTAAATGCCGGTGTTATATTATTATACCTACCACCAAATTCGCCGAATGTAAATCCGATCGAAAATTCTAGCTCCTTTAGATGGCTAATACAATTACGAGACATGGCACCGTTTTTTATTACATTTATCACGTTGTATTGAGGCTTTGCAGGAATTCCCTAAAACGAGGAACGATTAAAGGGGTTACTGCCCTGCGTGAGCTGCCCGCCAAGTTCGACTGCGTCCCTGAAACGAGGAATAAGTGAAGGGGTTATACTACCCGTGTAGCTATAACTTTATACACTCCCGCTAGATCCGATGTCATTGACTTTACCTCACGAAGAAAAATTTACCTACCGTAGTTCTTTGCTGAGAGATTTTTAGTCTACTTTCTATACATAAAGATGTTCACGTATAGTGACAGAAGTTATATCTAGCTCATAGTATTAACACGATCTGCCTGTAAGAAACAAAACATGCTATAAAAATGCATTATTAGATAGCTGCATAAAGATCACGAGACTACTAGAATAGAGAGCATCTTCGAAAATTATGTATTCATGGTTAATCATTGGCTAGCCGCAAACTTGCGGGTTTAGTTGCTGTTTTCACCTTGTTAACCGCCACCGTAGGTTTTTTGGTTTTGGTCTTCAACCTCAGACCACAACCAAAACCGTGCCGTAGTCCAATCGCGACTAGACTAAGGTCTTGCTCTAAAAATTGAAGAATATTTAGGTAGGTAAAATACCGCCTAAACCCGCCCGAACCCGCCTAAAGGCCGACGCGGCGAGCCGCCCAGCACCGAACGATGGGCGCTAGGTGAGCATCGCCATAGTATTGCTGTTGTATGTTTTTTTATTGCCGCCATTCTTGGAATAGTAGATGGCTGCACTCGTACTGCAAACCCTTTGCCCGTTCTCGCTGCTGATTCGTCTATGTTTATCTTCTAGGACTTGCCCATGCTAGCTCCTCCTCGCTTGGACAACTCTCTCATTGACTTAAGCTTTCTTAAGACATTAATATTGACTTCCACAGCGGGCATTGCTGATTCATTGGCTTTAGAATCCCTATTTTGGCCTTCACTGATCCACGAGGCTCTATGGCGTCACTGAACATATGAGAGTACAAAGAGCTCTGCCATGAACCGCCCCTCACTACAACGGGAGCGTTCCGGGCGAATCGTTGGTTCCCTCTCGTGGTCACAGCGTGAGCTTTGCCACCTTGTCCTGCTTGAATTACATAACTTCTAAAACAGATTGAATAGCAAGGCATCATGTAGACGATTAAACGCTCCCTGGCCGTCAATAGACAGGCGTTATAGACAGCACTTTATTTAACATGTTTGCACCTCCATAGCGTATTCTGGCCACGCTGTAGCATCACCTCCAGTCTAGAACGCGGTCTGGTTAAACTTTCGACTATTTTGCCACCGTTGGCGTTAATGCAGGGTTCTCTAGCTTAAGGGCACGTCCATTGTCGTGGTATCCCACACATCGGTTCGCTTAAGAGCCATCAGGTGATACTTACTGAATATCACTTCTTTGCCTGACCCTATATTCGGTGGTACTGTTAGCAAATATCATGATATATGCGTTCCACAAATTCAGCGTGGTTAGGCCTTCGTTCCCAAGATCCTTTTCCGGGTGATGGTGTATGATGAGGTCATAGGTTCCGTACGTGATGCCGCTGATTGCATGGTGCCCCGGGTTGGGTTGGGATCTCAACTGCGAACTGATGTCGAGCTTTGACATTGTACCAGTCAGAGATTGAGATTATTTAATGGATTCAGCCGCGTTCTGAATTCACCAAGTACCCATTGTATTAGCTGAAATTGAATACAACAGCGGCAGATGACGTGGAGACGAAGATGCGGCAAATAATAATAATAGATGATAAAACCAGTCTTCGCTACATCTTGCGATTGCTGTGCCTCGACCTCTGCGTGGCTGGTTAATAGCTTACACTGATTTGCTCCCACAAGGTAGCTTTCGCCTTCGCCCAGTAACCTCTTGGCAATGGGTCTCGTCCTTGCGTCCACGGTTGTGTGGCCATGGTTCGAGGCCTGCTTTTTATGTTCGAACTAGTGAGCAATTATTAGTGGCGGCGACTATAAAAGGATAGGAAATCCCCTTCCTTAAAGTTGTATATTTGATGAGAACGGACAAACCAAGATCCATCCATTGAACATCTTCTTAGGAAAAACAGTTCAGCGTTGCTACCTCTATCATGCTATCTGCAAAGAGTCTATTGATTGCTGCCTACTTAGGCTTAGCCGCCGCCCAATGCGGGCCTTCTGGCGCACACATCCAGTCAGGCACTGAGCAATGCACATGCTCGAGCGGCGTGGTCACATGCGAGGCTTTCAAAATCTGCGGCGTTGGTAACAACGATGCCGACGTCCAGGTGCAAGCCGATTGTACCGCCACCGTCACTTGCACTAATAAAGGCGGTAATACAGTCGATGTTAAGACCAAAGTCGTCCCACAGTCTTCCAAAATTACCCATGCAAATGCCAGAAATGGATGTGTGAACATCCCTTCGATCCAACTTACGGAGCCATCGAATAGTGATTTTGAGAAGGCTGCGACATGTCCGAACCCGAACTGGACCAAGGCTGTGAAAACGGGAAGCGTTAGTTGCAGTGTTAAAGAAATTGTGACTTTCTCAACTATTTGCGGAACGACCCCATTTGTCACCATACCAGGCACAGGCTGTTAACCCCCACCTGATCCAGAGATCGGCGTATATGAAATGATCCTCCAATACCCTTTTTCAAGGGAATGTGGTGTATTTCTCTTATGGTGACCCTGGTGTTTTGAAGTTTACTCTTGTCTACCGACAAAAAAGGGTTTGAAGTTCTTATGAAGTCATTTTATGATCCTTTGTATTTCCTGACGATAATGATGAGCTTTTAGGTTAGTATAAAGGGGGGACCCCTTAAGTTAATCAAAGCTTCAATTGGAGAGATTTATCAACAAGAATTTATGGCATTGGCTCGAATTAATCATTCTTCATAATAGGAGTCAGATTAAGTAGTTCTACAGAAGATTTAGAAAACAGATGTCGCAACAATTTAGAGCATTTTCCCGCTAGATCAAAAATGCTCCATTGGCTACATACTTAACTAGTCTGAAAGGGCTTCTGTTTGTTCTGACAACAGATTATCCCGCGAGCACTCACACTTTGTTTCTCGCCCCGGTATCCGAGTATGGGCTAATTTGTATTTAGTAATGCTATGCCGAACGCTAGCAATATACTATCTTGAACAATAAATTATACCTAGATATTGAGCATACTTGCTTAACCCAAGACGAAATATAACTTAGCCTTACTATTAAGTTCAGCCAATCCTAGATTAGAATATAATAATATACTAGTAGTAAGAGACCTCGCTCTAACTATACTAAGTCGGCCGAATAATACTATATTCAAGCCCAGAAGAGAGCGGGTTGGTGCGGCAAGCGCATGACGGAGGATAAGAATCATCCACTCTTACCCGGCTTCTCACCCTATCTATTACGCACTCACCCTGTCTTGCCCTAGTCGCGTGACATTAAAGCGGCGCTCACCTAAACCCCACCTTGGCAGCACCTACCCGACTATCTACCGCATATAAGCTACAAACCAGCCAGTTAGTAGTATGGTGGGTGACCATTTACAGATCCTGGCCGTTGTATGTTGTAAATTCTTGATGTTTGATAATTCTTTTTACTCCCTCTATCCCTTTACATAATTCAATTCTTGAAGAAAGTCTGCTATATTTTATACATATGGAAATATTATGCTCCAATTGCCTATTCTGAACCTTAGGGCTGACTGTCCTATAGCGAATTCGCCTTGGTACAAAATTTCTCTGACTCAGGTTGACGCTACAGCAGAAAATATGCTTGCATCATCGGTAACTAAGATAGCAAAGGGGCCGTGTATGAGCTAGGAATTCGATGATCAAAACCATTTTGAAGGGCGGATGAAGTAAGCTCCATTAGTCAATAGTAGTAAGTTACGATCGTCAATCAGATCTTGCAAGGAGGCAACATATTTAGAAACCCTAGCCCACCAGTAGTGAAATGGATATCTGCCCCGGCACAAGACTCATCTTCATAGCACGCAGCTAACGATCTAGTGCTGAAGCCGGGCAGTTATAAGCATATTTACCAATAAATTGGTTTGGAGCCCACAATACCTGGCTTTGGTGAATTTCCCAATTATCAGACAGGGGGGTACATGGTGAGGCTCGCTCCGGTGGTCTTCAGTAAGAAAAAGCCCAACCCAGAGAAGCCCTTTTCCCGGTAGAGGATGGATCAAAGGACAACGACCCAGGGCTTCATGAGGATGATGAAATCTATCCTCATAAGAAAAGATAATATCACCGATTCGTAGGTAGTCCTCATACGGCCGGACTTTCACTTCAGTGTATGCTGGACCATCCGCTGCCTTTCCATCTTCCTCCACAAGTCCGATACATGATCGAGGAGATTGCTGAAATAACATTCGCCTCCAACTTACCCCCTCTCGGAAAAAGCGTTCTATATCGCGAGGATCAAAAGTAGGTATCTTCGCCCGGCTTTCTATAGGCGGAGCTCCCCCCAAAAAATGGAGTTCTTGCGCAAAAGAATGACCATATACAGTCTACCAGTAATGGGTTGCGAATGCCTGGCTCCCCTCGTGGTAACCTATATCTGATGGGCTTGAAAAACGGGGCGGCTTGTATGTCGGCCGAATATTCGATTAGAATGCGCCACTTACGGTAGACTCTTTGCGCAGACGTCAGTAATGTGTGTATTTCGGTTTCAAGCAGGATCATTTTTAGTATTTCGGTCAGCAGGAAAACCTCGTGGGGCCCTGAAGAAGCCATAGTTTAGACGGAAGGTGAAATTTCGGGTGGCGGGCCGTTGCAAGAAGACGAAATTGAAGGAGGTTTGAGTTTGTTACCAGATCATCTGGGTGGGAAAAAAAGCAGCTCAGCGAAACTCTGAAGCGGGCGATGTCTCGCCAAAGATTTATGCTTCTCAAGAGTGCCTCCTCAAAAGATTGTCAGAGATACGTGAGCTTTACATAGAGTACTCCAATTTCGGGCAAGTTCCGACCCGAGATAGCTTCGTTGCACGGATGGGGCCGCATCAGTTTGTAAACCAGTAGGTCACAACGATCTGGTAGTATGGATTGTTCCGAGCCTAACCAGGGAAATACTTTTGGCCCTTTCTGATCTTAGACACTTGCCTTCCCGTGTTCCACGCTAGGTTGTGTACCACACGACCTCATGTTGTTGTTTACATAGCCGCTCCTTCCTTTTCGTAGTTATTTACTGTTTTAACTTTCCGCCCATTGTGCCCGTCTTCCTTAATGACCAGGCCGACCTCTGGACTGGTAAGCATAGTTGAGGCAGCAATACTGACGGTTCTATTTCACATGTGAAATACAGCTCCCTTTACCGTTGTGGAAAGTCTCGGACAGTCTGCCCGTGGCCCCTCTCAGTGTTGAGTCGTCGCGCGAGAGCTGCCCTTGCCTCTAGAAGCTCGTCAATCCGCCGATTGAGTTGTTCAACGAGTGCCATAGCCTCGTAACAAGCAGCACGCGTCTCACGAAACTCCCGAAACAAGTCCTCTTCGAGCTTAGTGGCACTTGTGGTTCCTGGTTCTGCTGGTGCAGTCTGCAATAACACACGAAACGAAGGGGCCTCTGCCTTGCCTGCAAGGAACGCACTCTTGCCCAGGGGTCACCTGGGGGCCTATCCCCTGTGCCAGCAACGCCTCCAGGTTCTCAGTCTTGGCACCCACTGCGTTGAAAATGCGTGGTCCACTGAACGCGCGTCTTGAATTGCGTAAAGCAGGCTCACGGTATAGGGAATTTTGGCGAAGTTGATAAAGGGTTGACCTCGGTATATGGCCGCAAGGGTTGTCATGTGCGGCGACGGCCCAGAAATCAGGCTCTGGTCCGTCTCTCCCCAGCAGAGGATGAGGGGCATTTTGAGGTTAAAAGTCCATGACTGGCTTGTTATTAGCTCAATTCAGTGATGCATGTCATGGGTTGAACATACTGCTTGTAGAGGTAGATAAGTTACGGTTGGATGGGGGATGGTTGAGTTGGTCGAAGTGAGATGAGAAGGGTTGGAAATTTGGAGGAAGACAGGTTCTAGGAGTGTGAATTCGCGATTCTGCCTCTTCGGCCGTCTTGCTCTCACTTTTTCTTTCTATCTCTCACTTTTACTCTCGTTTTCTATTTCTACCTTCTTCTACTCCATCCTCCTCATCCTCTCCAATAGCAAAATCCTTTGCATCAACGAAACACCTACCCGTCAAAATGCCGGGAGAAGATCCAGATCTGCCTCCAACTCCTCAGCGAACCCAGGATGACGAGCCACCTCGGACGCTGCGGGGCGTTGGCCGAGTTGGAAGCTAGTATGTCGTTCAACTTAGTCGAAAACAAGTGGATAGACTGACATGATCAATAGTCGCCCCGCAGATCAGGCATCTGTGACATTTGGAGATGCCACGACAATCCCCGAGGGACACGCTGGCACAGCAGAACTGGACCCTGGGAAGTGGGCTGCCCTACTCTGGCAAACACCATGGACGGTGGCGATGCAGGGCCGCTTCTAAAAGGGCAGCCTACTTCCGGCGCTCATCGACATGCAGCCCAGGCGGGAGCTGATGGCCCGCGAGGGGTTCTTCTACTCCGGCAAACGAGAAGAAGAGCGGATTGCAGATAAGCTCGTCAACGTCGAATTTGCCATGATCCAATGCATGGGTGAGGTGATGCAGGCTGAATGCACCAGCTGTGTCAAGCACCTAGGACCCTGGGTATGCTAGCCTTTTTATTTACTTTGATGATCCCTGCAAACATTAGATGTTAATGTTTCAATAGGCGAAGTGCATTCGACTCAGCGGGGGCGAGGGTGAGAAGGGCACCTGCGGAAATTGCCGATGGAATGGCCAGGCCAAGCGATGCAGCCTATCCAACGCCGAGGCAGACACCGATAGTCCGAGACACCTACCCGTGGACACCGTCGTGGAATCTCTATTGACGATAACCTGAAGAACGACTTGGCCATCCTTCTCCAGAACCGCGAGAACGGCCAGCATAATGCCTGTCGGCTAAAGGTAGGCCTTGAGGAGCTCAAGCAGACATATCCCGGGGCCCAGACGATGGGGCTGGAGTCGTTGGTGGAGAAACTCCAGCAGGTCTTGGAGATGACTGAGATGACTGCGATGATTTAGATGACTTAGATGACTGCGATGACTGCGATGATTAGATGACTTAGACGACTGCGATGACTAAGATGACTAAGGTAGATCAAGCTAGATAGGATCTTAATAGCAATCTCAGTCTAATCTCAGTCATCGCAGTCATCGCAGTCATCCCTGCCGACTCCCGCTCTGGCGGGCAGTAGGGGGTTAAAGGACACAGACCTTTTCTTTTGATTCCTTGGTTTCATTTCATTTCGGCGATGATTTTTGCATATCTTTGCCAGTTAAGTTTGGAATCAGAACACGTTTAGTTATAGGGAATCGCCTTAGTCATTTAATATCCACTATGTAAAGGAAGCTCTTCGATTCAGTGCTATATTAATACCTTCTATTACATTAATAGTCTGTTAGGCATAAATTTATATAACTATATAGATTCGTGCCTCTATCGACGCTATCAATTTAGGGTGGTATTAATAACATGACAGAAAGGTTCGTGGCACGATAAGGCCAGTCCTAATAAGGAATTTCCCCCTTCAGCTACATCACTACCTACTATCACCCTTTCCTAAAGTCTTTTCTGAGGTCGTTTCTGAGGTCTTTGATAGTTATCTACTTCACCTAAATACGTATAGATCTTAAAAAGATAGGTAAATAAAGTTTACATAATACTAGTATAAACAGTCGCAAATAACACTAGCAAGAAGTATTATTATATAGAATTGTATATGTATGGGGATTCAATAAGTACTAAATAATATATAAATCTTGAATGTAGCATTCTAGGTCAAAGGGCCGCGGGGGGAGGCATTACTTATTAGGACTAGCCTTGTCGTGCCATAAACTTTTCTATCGTGGCGTCAACATCACCCTCTTTAGACACTTACCTACACGTGTTCCACTCCAGGTTGTGTACCACATGACCTCATGTTGTTGTTTCCATAGCCGCTCTTTTTATCATGGTCATTTCCTGTTCTGGCTGTCCGCCCACATTGCCCGCCTTCCTGGAGCTTCTGATATTCTGAGTCATATAATGTGTTAAAACCACCAGGCTTCCACTGATTTACTCCACTAGCCAAAACGCTTCAATGGTTCGACTTAGCGCACAATGAATCCAATGAGAACGAGGCCCTTGTCCGTGTGCGCCTCAACCAGTTTCTTGGATTGACACTTGGCTTTGCCAAGGAGCTTCATATTGTCAAGGAGCAGCCAGAGGAAAAGGCTCTGTCCTGGGGTTACGAAGCCCCCCTCCGGAGTGTTGCGCGGGTTGGGCGAAAGTCGAAGACGTTGTCCGGGCGCCCCGATTATGCCCTGTGGTACGGGGACGAGGTAGCCTTGGAGACCAACCTGGTCATTGTAGAGGCCAAGACCAGCCTGACCATCGGCGCGGGCGAAAAGCAGCTCCTTGCATACATGGGTAAGTGGGGATAGCATTACTTCACAAGCATCGCTAACCAGTTTCTAGGTCTCGTCCATTCGGGCCGGAAGGAGCTCAAGAAGCACGACATCACCGTCCATGGCATCCTGACGGACAGCCGGGCATTCCACTTCTACCGCATCGGTTGAAATGGCAAGGTAAGTCATATGGAAATGAGTTACTGGTTCGCCAACACTGTTGTTCTGACTTTTGAAAGTGGTCAAAGCATACCATGCATTGGGGTCAGGATACCAATTTGGATACCACCATTATACGCCTCCTCCCTACGATCATGAACAAGGCATCCGACCATACCCTACTGCTACAGGTCGGGCGAGTATGATGAGCGGAGGTCGACAGAGCATGATGAGTGGCAAAACCTTGACGGACAAGGGCAGCACCTTGATGGAGAAGGTTGCCACTGGGACGAAGGACCGGGATACGGAGATGCGGGATGTAATGTGATGGAGTATGGCACAGCATATTGTCATTGCAAGTTTGTTTTTGTCCTTAGCTACATGACCAGGCCAACCTCTTGGCTGGGAAGAAATTATCGACAAACGAAAAGGCATTCAGAGGCTCAATACGATGAACACTTTTTGCATGAAGGACAAAAGTAGGTACTCTCGAATATACTGCTCGCCTGCCTTTGGCCCGCCCTTTTGAAGGTTGAGAAACACAAGTTCATATTCCGTGAAGGCGCTTTCTGCGAGAATCATCCAGATTTGATGGGACTTCCCTCCGTTACTCAAGAGGGTAGGCTTTTGTGTATAAAAAGCCCGCCTTGGGCACTTGTAAGCTTTGTTCCACAATCATTTAATTCAAACCACCCCTCTTCTACTGTGGCTCCACAGGGGTCATCATTTTTGACTTGACATACTGTGTAGTGACGGTAAAAGAGATCTTGTTAGCTTCAGATAACATATTTCTGTCCCCTTGTATCCTATGACAGATATAGTCTGCCGGATGGGGTAGCTTCTATATAAAGAAAGTCGAGAGTAAGAAGTATATAGATTAAAGTTAGCTTAAGTAAGTCTTCCGGAAGCACCTTTCCTATAATCCGAAGGCGTAAGTTATATATACTCATAGCTAAAGGAGGATGCACGAGGCACTAATAGGAGTAGGTATTATCCACAGAACTGATTTAAAAGTCATCGATAGCGCGTCGCACGAGCATAGAGCCTGTATGGCTAGACTCGACGTTTCTAAGATGTTCATACACCTCTTTCTCACTTCTTCGATGGCTAGAGTCATGCTCGTACATTTTCAATGTAACATAGACATGCTGCCTACTACTTGTCAGCCCTGAATCTCAATGTCGCTGGCAGTAGAACTCACTGTAGGTCTCTACAAAGCCACACTGTAGAATGGCCCCCATAGCCGAGCTTTCCAACCACCTAGTACCTTAACCGAGATACTTCACCGATCCTCACGGGGTAGAAATCGTCTGGCGAGTACCCTCGTAGGTTTTCCTCCTCGGGTTTATTGTTTGGGTCAAGAAGAATGCCTGGAAAAGAAAAATTCCTAAATGGAGAAGGTGGCCGCCTAAAGATGGTCTGTTTCATTCGATGCGCGAGGCATTGCATCATCATTGGACTAGATTTGCACAGGGTGCGAGGTATTTAACAAAAGGGAGGATAGTAGGTCACTTGGACCGGGCTGTTTAAACAGCGTAGATAATCACGTGATCCGGGGAGAAATGTACCTCGAGAAGCAGCTCTGGTCGACTAACTCGAGTCGTGGCTCATCAATCTCGATCTCGTTCGGACGGACGCGGAGCCTATCACTTAAAGCCACTTTCGGTGTCTTCTACACACGTCCTCTATCTTATCCTAAAAATAGGTATCCTGGGGACACTCGAGTCCTTATCAGATCTTTATGCTGAGTTACGGATCGAACATACCTAATTATAGGATTTAGCCTGTAGGTGGGGAGAAAGAGTAAAAGCGTATAGGACATAGCGTCGGAGTGAAAATAGTGAAGGTGAACTGAAAAAGCAATCAGAAAATAGTAAAGCTAGGTATAATTAGTGCCTATTCTAGGAAAGGCATTTTGCTCCAGATCGATCGCGCACACGAAGTGTGAACTTGTGTTCCAACGCATTCATTGCTGCTAGTCTATTAATGTTAGCTTATGAGGTTAGAAAAATCTAGTAGCCTGGCCATTTTCTAGTCCTCTTCGTCCTAGAGCCTTTCCTCCCCTCTTGGTATGCGGGTCTGTATCGACACTATCAATTTATCATGTCTATTGACATTCCTATTGTAAGACACCATGCGTACACTAAGAAGAATATCTATTCACGCAATATATAAGATCCCGAATACTACGCGCTAGAGAAGGTAGCTGCCGATGCTTATTGGAAGTGAGTAAGCTAATGTAGCAGGAAAGCGACTGTTTCCTATAGAGCTTGCCAGAATTACGCCATTAATGGCTACCCTCAGAGGTTTAATTTTACTACACCTCCATCCTCTCCAGGTCCTCCCTAACACCTAACATAATCCACAATACAAGCCGCAATGAATCCCACGCTTGCATTCCCACAAGCCCCAACGATGAGAACATACCACCACCCCACACCAACAGGCCAAATCTACATCCTCGACTCCAACCCCTCCCCCTCCAATACACCCCCTCATCCCACTCCCAAGCCAACCCTCCTCCTCATCCACGGAAACAGCTCCTGCATCCGAATCTGGCACCCCCTCCTAACATCCACCCCGCTAACACAAACCCACCGCGTCCTCGCCCTCGACCTGCCCGGCCACGGATGCTCCGATGACGCCTCTACACCGGGCGATGTATACACGATGCACGGGTACGCGGGGTGTATACTCGATCTCCTGACTACGCTAGACGTACATCGCTTTTCGGTGTTGGGGTGGAGTTTAGGCGGCCACGTCGCTCTCGAGATGTTATCTCTTATCCGGTCAAACCCGTCGTCAACGTCGAAGTTAGACTCGAAGTCAACGTCAGGGTCCACGCTGGAAACAGAAATTGATATCAAGGGTGTCATGCTGGTCGGGACACCACCTAGCTACACCCGGTCCCAAGTGGCACGAGCGTTCACTAAAGACCCGCCCTGTCCGGCGCTGCCCCTTGCTAGCAAAGATACCCTTACTACTGATGAAATCTGTATGTTCGCTACCGCGATTACGGGACCGCCCTTTGAGAGCTGGCAGGTTGATGCCGTGGCCCGGACGGACGGTGTCTCGAGAGAAACCATGTTCGTGACGTTTGCGGCCGGAGGGGGCGTTGATCAAGTCGGTGTTGTTGAAGACGAGGCAGCTAGAGGGGACGAGGGGGTGGTGTTTTCTGTTGTGAATGGGGTGGAGGATCCGTTTATTAATTTGGATTATGTGGATGGACTGGGGTGGGGGAGGTTGGTTGGTGGGGAGTGCGTGAGGATGGAGGGGTTGGGACATACGCCGTTTTGGGAGGATGTGGAGAGGTTTTTTCCTTATTTGATGGAGTTTCTGGGGGTGTGTGAGAAGTGAACATGATGTTTGTATAGAGGGAGGAGTGGTGGATCTATGTTCAGCTCTCTGGGATTGATCGTCATGAGATAGCTTCGGGGTGGATCAGTGGACCCAAGGCATCGAGCAGCATAGTATTTGGCAACGTTGCGTTGGGGTAAGAGGCATGTCGTCGGGTCAATACGAGATCGCCAGGAATATATGCGGTTACAACAAGTCAAGAACTACCGTTCATAAAATGCATCAATAAAGATATACAGACAAGGCAAAAGATAGAACAACGAAATCGAGTAGATGCAACCCGGGCCAGTAGACAACGTCGAATAAAAAAAAAAAGGTATATCTACCACGTAAGCGTCCAAGATAATAGACAGGAGAAGACAATCAGGCTAGCGTTGGAAGGTGGGAACCTCCTGGAAAAGAAACCACACCGGACAAGCCCACCAGGAGAAGGAGACCGGCCCATGACGGGCCAATTACACAACTCGCAAGAGAAGAATAGGCAGAGATGAACGTGATAATAAAAGAAACTCCTTAATTCCTCCTGTACAAAGATTTTAACAAACAAAAGGGGGATGGTCGTTGTGGCTAGCACGAGATCAACCCATCAATATGGCATGGCGCTGCTTAGAAGACGGAAGCGCAGCCCCAGTGCTGCTCCACGTTGAAAGAGCCGGGGGACTTCCAGTCATCGTCGGCGTAAGAGAAGAAGATGGACTTGGAGCCGAGAGCGGCAGCGATCGACTTGATGGCAGTCTCCTGCTCGGCAGTACCGGGGACGGCGGCACCGTTGGCGTCACCAGCGTTGGGCCAGCCAGTCTCCAAGTTGACCACGTCCTTGTTGCACAGGTTCTCGAGGATCTTGAACTCGGAGAGGGCGAACTCACCGGCCTTGGCGGCGGTGACCTGAGAGTTGAAGAAGGGGTGGATGTTGGCACCGACAATGTCGACGGGACTGCACAGGGTGGAGGCACCGTACTGCTCCCAGACATCAATGGGCTCGGTGGTGGTTACCTTGCCAGTGTAACCGGCGGCCTTGAAGGTGGACTTGCAGGAGGTGATGAAGCTGGCGAGCGCGGAAGCGGAGGCGTAGCCGGAGGAGACAGCCTCGTTACCGACCACGATCAGCTCGACCATGCTCCACTGAGCCCACTTGGCAATGGCCTCAACCTGCTCCTGAGCGCCGGAGGTACCGGAGCTGCTAATGTAGACACCCAAGATCAGGTTCATGCCGAGCTCCTTGGCAGCAGAGCCGATGTACTCGAGACCGTTGCAGTCAGTGGAGTAGACACGGACGAGGGTGAAGCCCTTCTCCTTGATGACCTTGAGGTTGGAGGTGACCTCGGACTGGGACATGCAGGCACCGGCGGAGGTGTAGGGGGAGAAGGTCATACCGTACTGGCCGGCACCGGTGACACCAGAGCTGGAGGTGCTGGAGCTGGAGGCAGCAGCAGCAGAGCTGGTGGAGGAAGAGGCAACGGAAGCGGCGGTAGTGGCAGCAGCGGCAGTGGTAGCAGCCGGGGCGGTGGTGCTGGCCAGGCCGCTGGTGGCATAGGGGCAGACGTAGGTGTAGTCAGTGCGAGTGACGGTGACGACGGTCTCGGTCTGAGTGTAGGTACCGGGGGTGATGGTCTGGGGGGTGGGGTAGACGATCACGGTGCTGGTGGGCACGGTGGTCACGGTACCGGGGACCACGGTGTAGGTACCAGCGGCGGGGCAAGTGTAAGTGGTGGTCTCAATGACGCTGGTCACGGTGGTGCCGGTGGGCTTGACGGTGGCGTAGGGGCAAGTGATGACGGTCTCGGTCTCGACGACGGTGGTGACACCGCCGATGGTGTGAGTACCGCTGGCAACCTCGGTGGAAGTGGCACCGCAGACGGTGGTGGTGTCGGTCACGGTCAGGGTGGTGGCCGGGATGGTGTAGACACCGGTGGAGGAGAAGCTGGTGACAGCGGGAGTGGGCAGAACCACCTGGGTAGTGGTGGAGCTGGAGGGAACCGCCGACGAGGAGACGGCCGCCACGGAGGGAGTCACGGTGACGAGCACGGTGCTGGTGCTGGTGGAGTGAACGGTGCTGGTCAGGGTGGTGGTGGACTCGACGGAGGAGACGGGCACCAGAGTCGGGGCGCCATAGTAGGTGATGACCTTGGTGGTGCAGCCACAGGTCTCCTCGGGGCCGGGGGCCAGCGAGGAGGGGGAGGCGGAGGCGACGACGGAGCTGGAGGCATCGCGACGGTTGTGAATAGCCTCATGGCGGCGGTGCAGGTGGGCATCGGCCATGGCAGAGCCCACCAGGGCCGCAGCCGCGAAGATGGAACCCTTCATGATGAGAGGATTCGAACGTTCTTGGATTCAAGGAATGCCCGCTGAACGAGTGAAGCGGTGGTCAGTTGGAGGGAGAGTGGGAAGTATGAGAGGGAAGGGAACGTGGGTTGGAAGGAGGGAGGAAAAAGGAGCGAGGTGGGCACGTCAGGCCTTTTGTTGGAGCAGGGGACTCGTCACACTATGGGAAGGCAGCAGGAAAGGGACAAGGGAAGTTAGGGGGGGGGCACCCAAGAAAAAGGGGAAAGTCAGAAAAAGCCCCAAAAGATGAGAGACTCCATCGTGAATTTTCCCTCATTTTCCCATTCGGTACGGAGTACATCGAGTCTAGACGGGTTCAGGCACGCTGTCCGTATGATTGGCCGGTGGATGGGAGACCCGGTCGAGGACTGGCAATGGATTGGCCCGCACGGGTCGGGCAGGATGCGGGACCTGATACTGATACTGATACTGATACTGATACTGATACAGTGACTGGACATGTCCTGATCCGATGGAGTACTGTACCTGTGGATCGGAGCAGTTATCCGCAGACTGGACCAGGTACCCTGGGGCCAGACCATCGAACTAGGCAACTTGGTTCTGCTCGCCTATGCAGGTACATACGACGAGCTCGTGGTTCATACTCCAGATATATCCTGTCTATACGAGCTATGCGGAGGACGGAGTACAGTAGTTACGGGGTACACTGTGATCTTGTCATCCCTTATGCTCCGTACTGTAACTCGTTATTCCTCGTCCAACTGGGGGCCAATCTCCCCCGACTCAGCCTTTCAAGCAAAAATAGCTCTCGTTGTCTCACTGGGGCCAAGGCCGGGTACAGGTACACCGCCCCTTACCGCTCACGCTGCACACAGGCAAATTGCCCCTGACTGCAGTGGGAGGACCCTGCGCCCCTCCGGTACCACTCCGTAGGGCGGACCGAATCGAAAGAAATGGGGATTGGATCGATGAAGAAAAACTCGTTCCGAACGGAATGGAGGATCCAGAATCATTCCAGAGTCCAGAATCCATCGTGTGGTCGACTCGTCCTTCTTCAACGACCCTATCCGCTTGAAAAAGGTGTCTCACAGAAATCAAAAAACCCGGTCATCGCCCATGCGCGATGTGGAGAGATCTCTAAACCCGATCGGGCCAAGTGGCAGCTCCGGTGGGGATAGCAACCCACTCTGATTGGCTCAATCCCGACTCTAATTTCCGCCCTGCCGTTCCTCATTCGTGGTGGACTCAATGGGGGTATCCATTTCCGTACGATGCGTTTCCCAGTTTTACAACGTTCAGGGCAAACCCCCCGTATTTTATTCATTTCACCGTCTCTTGGCCCTTCCCCTGCATCGATGCCAGTCCCCGGAGAACACGACGGAGAACCGATTTCCGCTGTGGCGAGGAAATGACATCGGTGGGCGCCCTGCATATGTCCACCGTAATCCTCGTAACCATGGACGGGCCTTGCAATTATAAGAATGACAGCAAAGACCCCGGGTGAACAACGAATGATTGCATTGCATTGCCAGCGGAGCAGTTACACCTGGACATGCACCTGTGAGATTACACTTTCGGTTGTCGGCGGAGACTCCTTCAGAGCGAGCCCTCGTCGGCGTGGACATTCCGATTAGCGAGTACGACACGATAGGGCTCACCGTGATGCTGGACAGACCAGACCTGCCATTCACGGTATAGCATCCATCCCCCTCTAGTCACATTTCTCGACATAAACGCCGTCTTGGACCTCGTGGTCCATGGCCCGGTCCATTCGATCCGCATTCGAGATCGCCCACGGCAAAGAGTGGGCACGCTCGGTCGTGGCCCCCTCTTCTGCTAATCCATCGCTGATCTCTATGCGAAGACGGTCTAGAATTCGGACCGGTGTCTACGGGCGAGAGTACTGGGAAGGATGATATTGATATTTCACACAAAACACCGTACAATCGTTCCGTTGGCCCTTTTCCTTTCCCCGGAATATCACGTTTCAGCGCCGGTGTTTATGGGGTAAACGGGAACCGACTAAATCCAACTGCCGTCCGTGGCGTAGAGCCGGATATGCAGGGCGACGGGTTGAACTGATAACTGTACGGAACTACGGAGTGTAGTCTACAGTAGAGACTCCGTACGGTAGCTACTATTGTTTCGAGTACGGAGTACTTATTAGATGGAGCCTTCCATGGCCAGGCCATAAATAACATTCTTCCCTTCGCCTCCTGAAAGAATAACGTCCCTCGCGTTGGCCTTTTTCCCCTTGTGCCTGCTCCGTGCACGATTCCTCCGGCCAATGCTTTTTTCGTTAGCACTCACTAGTCTCGGATCACCTGCCTCCCGATCACCTCCAATTACCCCCCAATTCCCAATCCCCCTCTATCATCAACTCCAATAATTGGACACGCCGCGACAATTCTGTGCCTGGTACCTCGAACCTCAGTTGCCATTCATGCGGCTTTAGGGGGTGAAAGCTAAGAGGGAGTAGTCCTCACCGCTCCAGAGGTCAACAGTATCCCTCCCAAGACTCGCTCACTGGCGTAGAAAACTCAAATTAACTCGGGCACACTGAATAAGTTCCTCAGCTTTAAGCCGCCATACTATAATTGGGTCTCGAGTCTCGAACCACTATCTAGAAGGGGGAACGCTACGAGCCGCCAAGGAGGGTAGCCGACCTGGGCGGCGCGTGTCTCCCGTTCGGATGTGATGGGGGAATTTAAGCACGAGGCTTGGCGGAATCGCTCCTTTCGAGGTTTATTCAGGGGGGCGAGAGTCAGGGGGCTGACGCTTGCGTAGACCGAGGACTGTGCGGAGTGTGGAGTATCTATCTTCAGGGTGTGATTGGGGTTTGTTTGGATGGACTGATTCACTGGTCATTTGGCATTAGCTATTTTCGTTGAACTATGGTAATTGGGGCTTTGCTGATGGGGGAGTTCGCTGGGTCCTATGATACCGGTTCGCCGAGAATGGTCTGCTTTGCTGTACGGACTATGTGAGTTGATCATGCTGGCTAAAGCAGGTTAGATCCTTGCGGAGCAACGACTGTGCTGTGGACATCGGTTGGTTTGTTGAATCGCCTCGGTGGAATCGAGATCTTCCCTGAACTCAACTACGGGTTGCATGGGCAGCAGTAATAGTAGTAGTAGCAACGTTTTTGTGGGATGCTTCTAAGATTCCGCCAAATTTACTACTATACGGCTGCAGATGAAACGCCGTACCTACCTGCATGGCCCTCCGGGGGATTGTAAGCGGGACCTCGGCACCGTGGTAGCTATAGACTTGGACGGATTGCCATCAACACACCTCGTAGTCTTGAGATGAGGGAATGGTATACTCTCCCCCGTGTGTATGTACGTTTTCTCATATACCCAGTGCGAGATATTGTCCTATCAGGCATAATTGCTGTACGCAGGTAGGTCGGTGAGGTCGTTAATGCAGGAAACTGACTGCGGCTCCTGGGAAGGATATATATCCAAGACTCCGGGTCACAATTTCACCCAAAGCTGGCTCAGTGCTTGCATACAAGAGTGGCTGCTTACTGGAGCTCTGACCCCAAATGAGATAGCCTCTCTCAATGTGGTTGCTGGCAATACGCTCGAGCTTCCACAGTCCCCATACTCCTCGAGCCTTAAGGAGCCTGATGCGAATATTTTTCCAGACGGCTATGATCTCCGTTCAGCTAATGCGTTCGAGTTTGGCTGGTCCGAGACTGCCGACGGACTCGATGCAGAGGCTGAAACTCTACTCCGATGAAGTAACGGAGCAATCAGCGTCGTCGTCACTATTGAGTGGCACATCCACTCCAGATCATTTAGAGGAACTCTCAGCGCTTGGAGACTGGCTCAGCACGATATTTCCCTCGGTAAACCAGCAGGCGGTTTATTCCGAACTTCTAACTCAAGTCTTCTTTATCTTGGGATATTTCATGCCGTTGAACTAGCCGGCATATAAGCGCCCCACGCCAGAGACTACTCTCAGCGTGTTCTAAAGCAGCCGCCAAAGCTAGATTTGTTTGCTCCATGGCCCTATCCCGTCTTTGTAAACTTTCTAGCAGTCTGAAGTGGTACTCAGACAGATAATCCATTTGATATCTGGGATCGGGCGCTTGTCCTATTGTTCTGTGGATGTAAGACTTCCAGCCCGGCACAGACTATAAATACTCACACCCAGAGACCCCGAGTCCTGAGGCCAAATTTCCAAACCCTTACCACTGGTGAGTCTCGTGGTGAAACTTTGGCAAAGGCCTTGAAGTAGGCAGGGATGCGAGGAGCGCGGCTCTGTTGCAAGCTTCATGGTCTGAGATTCTGGTTAGGGAGGCATGCGCGTAGACCTGCTGGCTTTACTCTCGGAGCAACGGTGCATTTTGTCAACAGGCCGAATCTGAAGATTGTGGAGTATACGCCTGACGCCAGTTATAATTTCAACGCAGCCATTGTCATTGCATCATGGATAAAGTACAGGCCACTGACAGAGGCCCATATAATCTTTCTCATCGATTATTCGGCTCTAATGTATGTAGCCGACGTAGACAGATGTTACGAGACTGTTTATTAAAACGCTAATCCGGAAACGGCAAAATTATCAAACTGTAGGAACCGGGCTTGATATTACATGCCAAAAATTAGAACATAGATTTGTCTTCTGCATAGATGTATAGACGTGATCTCAACCGAACAACATTCCATCACTTTATTCAGTAACTCAACCACCGATCCACTTTTTTCGCAAAAGTCACACACCAATCATCCACATAAATCGTATAAAAATGCGATGCACCCACAACCACAGCACCCAGCAAAACTCCCGTCGACCACCAAGCAACATGAAATGAAAAAGGATCGTTCCCTAATGCCACCCCACTAGTCCCATACTCCTTCCCACTCAACACCGAATAAATCAAATCCCGCAACGGGTTCCTCCACAGTTCATAAATCGTCTCATGAAGCAGATACAATGCAAACGAAATCTTACCCAGATACTGCGCTACTCGCGAGTCAAGCGGCCGCTGTAAACACGGTAGTTCCCCAATGGCATAGACCAGCATAGCCGATCCGATCGTTTTCCAGCAAAAGTGGTATATATCCCACTTATCCTTCCAGCGGGAAGGTTGCAGGACGGAGAGGAACTGGTATCCTGGTGGCAGGTGGCCGTCGTTGCCCAGACAAAGGAGATAGTATCCCGCGACGAAAATGAGCACGGCACTTATCCGTGAGAAAGTGATACAATTTCGCGATTTCAAGCTCTTGCATCGAAGCTTGCCGCGAAGCTTGCCGCGCCATGAGCCTAGACGCAGGGGCGCAGTGAAGAATGACCTGGATCTGTCTTCGTCTTCAAACTCTGCCATCTCGAATTCCGCATTCAGAGGTTCGTCAGATGGCAACGAGGAAGTAGTCGCCGTAGCTCTAGATCTAGCTCTCTCGGCCAGCCAGAGACCCCAGATAAAGCCGAAGATATCCCAGTTGCCATACCAGAGAAAGAAGCATGCGAGAAGGGGAAGAACGTAGAATCGCGACTTTGATCGCCACCCCGAGAGTCCAACGATGAGGAGGTAAACAACGTTTGACCCCCTAAACTCGACCGGCATAGTCCATAGCTGGCCATTCAAAGCCCCGCGGTACTCGAATGCGATAATGTTTATACTATCCGCCATGTAATTGAGCACCCACGTAAAATGAGCCCAAGGTGCCGTCCAAGGTTTAGGCAATGTCTCCAAAAACCCCTCGTCAAACGGCCAATGATAAAGATCAAAAAAGTAAAAGATCTGAGCAAAACTAGCCGTCACAAACACGGGCATATAGATGCGGAAGACCCTTCGTACGACCGCCGACGAAACTCGCGCCAAGAATTGGGGGCCATTTCGAGCGTTCAGGAGACTGATGGAAATCGCGTAGCCGGAGATCACCATGAACAACGTTACCATTCCATGGGCGGAGAAGAGAATGCGAATCGGTGGTAGTTGCACTATATGGCGATTTCCCTCGGGCGGGTCGGTCCAGTAAGAGACAAAGGGGTGCCAGACGTCGCTCATGAAGAAGTGATCCGCGGCTACGATGGCGGCCGCGATGCCGCGGAGGCCGTCGAGCCATTTTGTGCGTTCCATGGGGATGGAGACGTGGTTTGATCCTCCTATATTGCTCCAGTTTCCCCCTCGCCTGTATCGAGACTTTATTGATTCATGGGTGAGATTGATGTCAAAGTCTTTTGGGGCTCAGCTTTGATATCTTATGTGAGCTGGGGGAAATAAAAGGGTCCACGCTTAGCCGCAGGGTATTCGTGCCAATCACAACTTGCAGAATGAGACATACTACTGTAACCAGTTTAGCGTGCCATGTTGGGCTTAGCGTTAATCTAGAATAGATAAATTCTTCAGGCAGAGATGAGAATTATCAATGAGATCGCCGAGTCATCATTTACAGGCTTGCAAAAGCCCATCGGTAGGTGTTTTGTTTTCTCTTTAAAATCAAGCTCTTCCACTTCAAGGCCAAGCAATTCTCAATCTGAGAGCTGGAGATGAACGTAATTTAGTGATTCGCATTTCTCCTGGAATTCAATCTAACAGAAAGGTAGTCCAGGTGATTCTTATAGAACTTGTGAAAAAACTGGATCAAAACATCTCAAGATTCGACCTGCTTTAGGGAGAGGGGCAAAAAATCCATGTGCCCCCCCTTCTTCCCGCCCCTCTACACGACGCGAATATAATTAGGTGAGGTGATCTCTCGAGTGTTGTCGACACGAAATGTCAAGGCATATAGCATCTCCACAGATTGGCATTAGCGAGCGGTAAGCTGGCTTTCGACACCTTACAGGATAGAAAACTTGGAGATAGCAACTTTGCAGCCCGAATTATTCGGTACTGGGAGCCATCCATATACACTCTGGTGAATGGGGACTAGGCGGAACCAACTAAAAGGGATGAATTGATTAATTGTCGATAGATTCGTTTTGCTCTATTTCACACAATCTGCCTCACAATGAGGAGCGACCTATGACTGCATGTCCAACTATCGCTTTTTGACATGCCGTTGCCAATTAGCATCGTGTCCGCATGATGGACAATACTGGACCTTCCCAGAACTATGTAGGCTCCACTCTGTGCCACAGTTGGGACAATGGTACGTCATTGTGCTAACGTGATGACCACGGCTCTGCACAATGTCAGCCGCGAAGCCTGAAATTTCGCTCAGAGCTTGTTTGAAACCATCATTTTCCAGCAACTCAATAAGATGCTCCAAGCACGTGCTAACAACAAGATCTCGGAGCCCTCTGTCTGCAGCGGTTGTAGTGGAATATGCGCTTGCGATGGCAACGGGAAAGTCAGCCATCTGCCAGCAGGCGTTAATGGCAACGGCAAACTTCTCCTTCGCTTGCTCTTTCAGCCTTGGGACGCCATGTTTGTCCCCAATCTGATAAATATTGACATTGAACAGCATTGGAGATATTCGTCCCTGGTCGCTACCACTGCTATCATAATAGAATCCATACATAAAATGGATCATTTCTTCTATAGCTCTGGGGTCATCTTTCTCAAGTTGTATGACATTTTCTGTCACTTCCTAACAAGTAGAAGTAAGCCACAGGCGCCCTTTGCTTTAGTATTGAACTTACTTTCCAATTGTGGTTGAACAGTCGAGAGAAATATCCCGATTAACCACAGACAATTAGCTTGTGCACCTCAAATTTTTGATCCCTTGTGACTATCGTCAGGTCTGAGAACGTCGATGTATGAAAGTATCTAATATTATTAGTACAGCGCAAGACCGCACTTGACTAGGTTTGACAAACCTTTGGATGCTAGCGGTAAGATCACCTTCGTTTCCGTCGGCCTCCAAAGTCTCAGCCTTCAGTTTCACGATCAACGTCTGATCGTTTTCCATCTCGGCTGCGTAAAGGAATTATCCCGTAAGATGGGATGCCTTTGCTTTTATTTTCAGGATTTGAGGTGAAATTTAAATCTTGTGCCAGAGGTATTGGCACACTGCCTCGTAAGATTGGTCAACGAAGGCCACACTCCCCCTCCTTTCTTGTGTCCAATCCTGTCAAGCCAGATGGACATGCATTTGTGTGGCTGCTGCACTTCGATTGTCGCCGGGCAAAGGCATTCTTTGAACGACCTCTCAGTTTGTCTGAGCATGCATATGTATGCACGTGGCAAACACGCTGGACCTTTACCAGGCTTGTATACCTTGGCTGGCCGATATGGATCACAAAAAGAGTCTACTAATGCGTATCCTGGATAACCGTGTCGCCTGGGCTTCTCTCTACAGAGTAGGCAACCCTAGGGCTCTTGATTCAATACATTAGCACTGTTCCTTTCTCATTCAGTCAATTGCATATTTCTGATGATTCCAGTTATCCTCATTCGCCACTATGTTTACAAGGTCGTACGCTTTTAACTGGCTCTAACATGATAGAACAAGTATCCTAATTGTGATACAAAAATCTCTAAGTATCCCCTTGCATCCATACTCAAGGCAGACTTGGCATCCCAGGAAGACTCTCCCACAATCGGACTACGGCAACCGGAGCTGGAAGTACATGATTTCCCTTCGAAAGCAAATAGCGACCGGTGCTAACGCCGTAATAAGCTCAATACGCCAAAAGTTAAAGGATCAAGAAACACAGATCAGTTACACTATACTAAAATCCGGCATCGGTTTCGGATTGGTCGTATAGCGTCAGCAAGAAGCCCGAGCTAGGTGTACCAGCCCTTGTATAGGTCCTTCCAGATAATAACCTGTCACGACGCATCCAACCACAAGAACCGAACCATTCATCCATTTAATAAACCCTATAACCATCTACAATCCTCTCTCAGTTTCCTTAAAATCTATTCCAAAAATCACACCACGCCACCAACCATCCCGGAGGGTCCCAAAACGGCCCGATCATGCCACCGGAGAAAAATCCCGCCAGCTGACCACAACCCAAACCGCCCCCAGCAAATCAACTCACACCGAAACCCAAGCACGATAAAAACTCGCTAGAACCAACAATCCATGAAATTCCCCCCCCCCCCCCCCTCCCCTCTGCGCCTCTCGGCCAATCCCGAAACTCAACTCACAGCCTCCATGCGTAGCGCTGTAGCTGTAACCCTCCCGGAAGATCTGTCTCCCGCGTGGTTCGGCCGTAACCACACCACCCCTTTACCCGTTCGACGTCATGACTGGGCTTTGAGCCCGCTGACCCCGGACCCGAGGACTCGGGTGCGAGATCATGTCACCTATACGCCGTGAATTAGCCTATTTGGCTTTGGTATGGCTGGTTCGATTTCTAGCACAGGAATGTGCGTGTCGGAACCGCTACGGACGAGTGTTCGGTTCGTTCGGCCGGGTGCGATGGCGTGGTTCCAGGTTTGAGGGCGATCTTGCCATTGACTATCAACGGGTTAGATGGTTCGTATACTTGGTGCATTCCGTGGGATTTTCGCGATGCGAGGTATATAAGGGTTACTGGGTGTGATGGACCGAACTGATTCTATTCTATTGTTCATCAAGATAATTCATATCATATCTACTTCAGAGAAGACTCTCTTATAAGTCTAAGACTACTACTACAACCACAACCACAACAACAATAATCTCGTCTTTCGATCCATCAACCGATCCATCCAATACACGAACAAATCAATCATGAGCTCTACATCCAAAACTTCCCAAGCAGCCCGCCTGCAAAACGATTTCGGGGCCGATTACTGGGTTCGCAACAAGGAGGCACATCGGGTTAGTTCTATCCCGTTCTTACTATAGCCTCTACCATTCATTATCAACGTATGCTGATGATATGTGAATAGCACGCGACTGCTGGACGAGGTCTTTTCGCCGGTCTCCAGGATGTCAAGTCCTACAATGTAGACCATGGCTGGGCCCGCCGTAAGTCTGGGGATTCGCAGACTGGCTTGATTGGATCTTTATGGAATAGGTATGTCTTAGTATTGCCTGGCTGTTGAGGGTATTGGTGAGATGTGGAAGTGACTCGTGGTAGATTCACCGGTGGATCGTACCACCCACCCTCGGCCTGAACGTCGTCTTAATTCGGGGGTGAAAATTGTGAAGGGCCTTCGTTTGAGGATTGGTGATGCTGAGGATGGAATTTGAAATTATGGCCTCGTGCCGGGGATTCGGGAGATGGCACTGGTTATGTTGATTATGATAGCTTTGGAGTTATGGTGCTTTTTAGATTTTACGTTATACACACGTTGATGTTTTCAACACTTGTCACTTGTCTTACGAAGAGGTCCACATGGACTATGGGTACTTCTAGGAAGGGAGGTGTTTACTTGTCAAACGTATTGAGTATCCACCCCCATGGCCTCCTGTCAATAATCCGATATTATGAGCAAGACTACGCCCGATATAAGTGGCCGGCTTCAAATGTATTATGACACTAAAAGGTTGACATATAGCTGACTTGGAAACCCCACAGCAGTAATTGAAAATAATATGAAAATTGTAGATCAACTGATCTGTTTTAGTGAATAAAAATGCCGATAGTATATACAAGAAACTCCTGACACCCAAGCCAAGCCCACAATATCTTGCAACGTAATGCCGAAAAACAAGCCAGGTAATCACCACACTCTCAGCTCTTTCTTTACTCCCAAGAGTTGATCTTCATGGTACCATTCTCCTGCAAGTTCTGGTGCATCTTGAACGCCTGGAACAACAGATGGGGCTCGTGGCCCATTCCCTTCCGCAGACACTCAAACTCGGCCCGATCCAGATAATCAGTCAGGATAGGCTGGTAATCTGGGTGAGCGCACTGCTTGATAATAACGCGCGCACGCTCCCGGGGCGACAATCCTCGCACGTCCGCCAGACCCTGTTCGGTAACGACGACATCGAGATCGTGCTCCGTCTGGTCAATGTGCGTGCAGAAAGGAACGATGCAGCTAACACCGGTGGGATCAACCTTGCTGGGCCGTGTGGACGGGGTGTGCATGATGCTGTACTTGGAGTTGCGAAGGAAATCGGCCGAGCCGCCGAGGCCGTTGAGCATGCGCGAGCCCATGACGCAGGTGCTGTTGGCGTGGGCGTAGATGTCGACTTCGACGGGGGTGTTCATGCCGATGACGCCGAGGCGGCGGATGATCTCGGGGGAGTTGGAGACTTGCTGCGAGCGCAGGAGGAGCTTGCCGGCGTAACGCTCCCAGTTGTCGTAGAAGCGCTTGAAACCGTCGGGTGAGAAGCGGATCGAGGTGGCGGTTGCGAAGTCGAGGTTGCCACTGTCGAAGAGGTCCAGGAAGGAGTCCTGCAAGACTTCGGTCCAGACCTTCAGGTTGGTGAAGTCGGCACCGCCCTTGCTGAGACCACCGACGACGGCGTTGGCGATGTTGCCAATGCCGGACTGAATGGGGAGCAGGTTCTTGGGCAGACGACCGTGCTTGACCTCGTGCTTGAGGAATTCGATCAGGTTGGAGGCGATGGCCTGGGAGCCCTCGTCCTCGGGGGCGTTGGGCTGGGTCTGGTCGGGGTAATTGGATTCGACAATGGCGACGACCTTCTCGGGGTCGACGGGGATATAGGAAGTTCCGATACGGTCTTCGGGGGCCATGATCAGGTAGGGCTTACGACCGGGAGGGAGATCGGAGCCCACGATATCGTGCAGGCCTTCGAACGAGGGACTGGCCGTGTTCACCTCGATAATGACCTTGTCGGCCATCTGGACCAACTCCGGCGAAGCGCCCACCGAGGCACCGGGAATGATACCACCATTCTCTGTAATCGCAGAGGCCTCGATAACGGCCACGTCGATCTTGTTCTTCGGCTTGTTCAAAGTATAGTAGCCCTAGATCGATAAAAGAAAACGGTTAGCGCCGATCATTCTAGGCTTTCCGCTCCCCGCGGCGGGAACCTCCGAGCCTTAGCCCGTAGTACAGCATATCAATCCCGGTATACTTACATAGACCAAATCCGAGGGAAACATGCTGAGATGCTTATCGAAGAACTTGATTTGTCCGTTGTTGATACCCTTGGCGATTTCCTTTCCGACCTGATGCGGGCTGCGGCGCTCGATCATGTTCAGGCGAGCCCAGCGATTTTCCGTCTCTGCGCCAGATGAGGCACCCACGAAGAGGGTGTATTTGAGTTTGCCTTCCAGGTTGTTCTTCTCGACGTGGTCTGCGAGCGCGGTGGGGACCATCCTATGGTGGCACGGCGGGTTAGTTCACACGCCCAACTGATGTCATGGCGGATGGGGACAGTTCAATGGCGCAGAATTATTCCAATGCGAAGAATGAGAAGCGCCAATACGAAAGTACGTACTTGGGATAGCCCACACCCGTGAAACCGGACCAGCCGATATATGAGCCATGGGGGAACAGATCAATGAGATCCTCGGCCTTGGCCAGCTTATTGAGATAAGAAGGCCGGCGGACTCGGCTCTTGAGCAAGGCGGAGGCAGCCATGCTGTGAATGTGTGAAACCAGAGATCAACTAGAAAAGAGAGAAAGCAAAACACCGAGAAGAGTGGAGAGTGGGAGGGTCTGTAGAAGAGGGAAAGTGGAAGAGGTCAGAAGAGAAAGAAAGTAACCGGAGCTCGGGGAAGGGAGACGAGAGGTCAATTAAATAAGACTCGAAGGAATGGAAGACGAATGATCCAGATCCACCAGGGCCCAGGGAAAGGGAGGAATGAGGAAGCGAATAATACCGGAAGAAGGGAAGCTCTGGTGCATCCACCTGAACGAAGAGTGTCACGCTTCGTCTCTTCCGCGGGCTTCCCGTGTCTGTTCTACAGCTCACTCATAGACCACCATAACCTGTAATGAATATTTATTATAGATAGACAAATCCATTATTAACATCTCCATCTTACCACTCTCTTTCGAACCCAATTGACTCTATTCCTACCCTTAATCATCAAACATTAGCTATTCATTTTCGGAAAAAAAGCCCCCCCCCCCCTTGGCCATAACTTCATCTTGACGTCAGCTCGGCATTCCCTCGGCGACCCCGGCCATTTCTCGCAAATCCCCCGGAAATTCAACCCACCAGCGTAACTCCTCCTGTCACTCGCTTGTTCCCCAAAAAGCCTACATGCTCCGAATACTCCCCAGAAATACCCCGCGAATCCCCTCCTCGGCGACTCCCTTGCCGATGAACACACCGTCAGATCCGAGCAAAGGCTGTCGCAAAGGACATACTCTCATAGTGACTAGGCTGGGCCTATCGCCGAGTTTCGCCCACGCCTCGATCGCAGGTGATCGCTGGGGTCTCCACTCGGCCCGGGGGAGCTCCATTTTTTACTGATTTCCAGTGAAATTCGTTGCCGTCTCGGACTGTTTCGGTTACTGGGGCTCGGCCGCACGGAGGTTCTAGTCGTGCCTTAGATCTGGAGACCGAGGGTATCTACCCGTTTGGAAATACTGTGGTTTGGGGAGTTTTTTTCGGTTACTATTGACGGTTACTAGGCCCTGAGTATGGAAGAATCTGTATTGATCTCAGTAGCATATACAGCCGTATTCTATCTACTGAAGTCCATCTGGTAGCAAAGGGGTAGCCGGCTAAATATACTACAACCCCGGGTTTGCATTCAAGTCAACAACTTAACACCAAGCTGAAGCCTAGCCCAGACGGATTCCAACCCATTGAAATATATAGAAATACAGTACAATAGTAGAGGTAGGGTGGGGTTTCCATAAGAGTGCAAGAAGTCTTAAGCGCACACTACCCATACAAGCTGGCTAGCCTCAGGCTAGAGAACCGACCCCAAACCCCTGACAAATGACCATCCCCCATTGGCCGTCTTCTTCCCCAGAAGTGATCTCCAGAGAAGACGGGGGGATACTCATCCGGGAAGCAGGTGTTATTCGGCATTCATCGGACATCGTTGGCAGGACCAGAAACACAACCCCACCAACACAAAACGGAACAACTAAAATAGTACAAAGCCTATCCTGTACATCATCACCCACGAAATAATAAAGAGAAGAGGAATCAAATAAAATAAGAACCCCCAATAAAATACATCACGGCTAAGTGAGAACTGAAAACAGAATCTTAAACCCACAGGCCATAAAATAGAAAAGGTAATAGTAGCAACATCCGTGTAAGCTCATTGCGCAATTTCCTCATGTGAATCACAAAAAAAAAAAACAGGAAGAAAAAAAGAAAGAAAAAGACGCCATCCCTGTCTCGCATGTCAGTCCGGCAAAATGCATGTATCATCCTGTTCCCCGCAACACGATAACAAAAAATCCCTATCAAACCCTTCCCGCCATCTCATTGAGCCTGCAGCTTACGCTTCGGCACCGGCAGGCTCGGCGTCTGCCATATCGGTATCAACCTGCTGGTCGGTCTGCTGGACATCCCCTTGAGTATCAGCAGCACCAGCACCAGCAGCAGTAGCAGGCTCCGCAGCCTCGGCGGGTGCAGAATCCTCCTTTTCAAGAGTCCCATTCAGCCAAGAGCGGAAGCGTTGATTCGACTCGTCGACCTTGTCCTTGCTAAGCCCGCGAGCCCAGTTGGGGTTATTGACAAACTTCTCGACGAAGCGATCATGACGCTTTTCGCGGGAGGCGGCCCTCCCCTTGGTTTGCTGTTCTTCCTTGGCCTTGATAGCCTCGGGGTCAGCGTCCTTCTCATGGACGGGCGCGGTCGAGCGCCAGAACCAATCGTGGCTGGGCGGTTGGTAAAGGATGGTATAGTTGTTGGCGCAGATGCGAATGATGAGGCCGTCGTGGTGTTGCAGGCGGCGGTAGAATCGGTCGTATTCCTCGTCCTCGTCAAGCTTGTTGGGCAGGTTGCGCTTGAGGAAGGGCATGCGCATGTCGGAGTAGGAAACGCCTTCGGTGGGATCGCGCATGGAGTAGGCGGTCACGTAGTAGGACCAGCGGGCCTCGGAGCTGAGTTCGTCGCTGTCGAGCGTGGCGTCTTCAGTGGTCATGACCTGGACGGTGACATGGCGGTCGGATGGGAACTGGACAAGCTTGATTAGTATATGACCGTCAACCTTCGATAAATAGCCATTACTCACGTAGGTAATGCGGTACATGTCACCCTCCTTGATCATTCTCTCCACCTGCTTGCGGTATTGCATCTCTTGGTGGTGGGTAGTCTCATTTTTCTCACGTTCCTTGAAGAACAAGTTCGCGATATCCGAGCTGCGATCTTTGGCATCACCAGTGAAAATAGATGCCACGAACTTGCCGATCGACGAGAAGATACGTTCTAAATTGTACAAAAGGTAACCGCCCTGCATGTAGAATCGACGGAGAGTCTCTTCCAGGTGGAGCTGGTCAATATCTCCACGAATGACCTCCTCGCACATGCGCACGATCTGCTTGTAGAGATTGGCCTTGGGGTCGACATCGTAAAAGAAATCACCCGGGAAGCGGTCAATCAGACACAACTCATGAGCGGGCTTGGGAAGAAGACCCCGTCGGACCTGCTCGCGAGCCTCTCCCTCTTGCTCCTTGATGCGCAGCAGCCGAGAGTACAGAATCTCAAAGGTCCGCAAAAGGCACAGGAGATTCAAGTTGGCGTACATCTGGTGCTCGGTCTTCTTGTACTTCTCGTTCAGAGTGTACTCGCGTTCGAGGTTGAAATTGCCTTGACCGGGGTGCTCCATCCACTTGAGCTCAGCGACATCAAAGTTGTCTTCCGGCTCGGAGACCGCCATTGAAGTAGCCCGCACATCTGGAGTGGCAAGCTGGGTGGTGGCCGGCACAGCAGCAGCACTGGGAGCAGCTCCGTCTTCCTGAACCGGGCCATTGCCCTTCTCCAGCTTGCGCTCAAGAGTCTCACGCAAGAGATCCAGCTTCTGCGTGTTGACAGCCTTCCGGCTAGCCATCGAAGTATCGTCGGCACCGTACTGATCTTCCAACTCCTCAGCCGGGGTCGCGTTGATCATCAGCTCGTCCATATACTCATGGAAGGACTCACGATCCAGTCCAAAAAAGACGGGAATAAAGTCCTTGACAAAGCTGATCAGACGAGACGGGTCTGCACCAAAGCCAGAGGTGCTGCGGTCAAGGTACAAGCAAAGCAGATGGGTAGTATCCAGCAGGACGTCCAAATCCTTAAACTTCATCTCCATCTGGTGCTTTGGAGGCTTCAGACCGCCCTTGCGCATGGTCTGGGTCTCCTCAAGCTTGGCCTGCAGATCAGACTGAATGTTCTTTGCGATGAACAGCTTCTTATCAGTTGAGCGGGTGGCAATAGCCTGGTGGTCCAGACTGCGCCAGTAGGCACGCTGCATTTGCTCGCGCCAAACCTTATCCCACTCACGCTGGCACGCCTTCCACTCCTCCAGTTTTTGTTTGAGGCGGTAGAGAACGATGGGCAAAACCTGGCAAGGACGATCAAACATGTCACGAATGATCTTCTCACCACGCTGGCGATCATAAACCTTCTTGATCACGCGCTGGTAAATGGCCTCACTCTGACCACCCAGGCCGGGAGGCAACTTGAAGTTGGCCCGCTCGGCTTCCGACATGTGCAAGAACTGCTGGCAAATCGGCTCAATGAGCTGGATGGTGCGTGTGCAAGCCTCAATATGGTGATCATAGTCATGACGATCCTCCTCAATACGGTGGAGAGCATCCTCAAACTGGTTCTTTCTGTGGGCAACGAAACCAGAATCCTCAGAGGCCCAGGTAGGATGTGAAGCCCATTCGTCGTTCAAGACATCATGGCAGAGCTGATCACGGCCACTACAGGGCTTCTGGCGCTCGCGCTTGGGCAGGAGACGATAGCTAGGTCCCAGAGACCGACAGTGAGCGAGATTGACCACACCAGCCTCCGTCTGCGGCTTAGGATCGATGGTCTTGTCTTCGGGCTCTTCCACATTCATGAACCGCTTGAACCAGCTCATGAGCTCGGCATTGGAGCCAATGAACCCCTCTGCCCGCTTGACTAGAATGAACCGATCAATCAAGTCATTCGTGTACAAGTTGCACAGCTTTAAGAAGTCACTGAAGATCTGCTTGTTGGCAATGAACTTCTTGACACGATCAAAGAAGGCAATTTCTTCCTGACTGGGCGTGGTCATGACACTTGGTGGAACCGGTTCAGGAAGAGCTGGAATCAGAGTTGGAGAAACGTTGGGAATGTCGGCTCCGGAAGGCTTTCCATGGTAGTGCTTGGGTCTCTGCGATCAATCGTCAGTAATCATAGCTTCAAGTGGGAAACAGAGGTGGAGGTGAGAGGACATGGGCAATAGCGCCACTCATGCCTGTCATATCTACACCACAATGACAAAGGGAGGTAAACAAACCTTGTTCCCATTAGTGAAAGGGCCTGCAGGAGGACCTCCACGAGCATCTGGCATACGAGCCGCATCAACGCCAGAAGGTCCCGAAACGGAGGAGAGGCCAACACCAGGACCGCCTCGTCGCTTCTTGTTCTCCTTCCCAGAGTCCTTGACGTTGAATTGGCCGAGGGGGGGCATTTTCACGTCACGACTAGGAGTTGAAGACGGCAAACCCACGGGCTCACCCCGAAGATTCGACGTAGGAGCAGCCTCTTCAGCCATGCGTGCTTGAGCCTGCTGTTTGGCGTGGGCGGCAGATTCAGGCAAGAACTGCTTGAAATCCTCCAAGAGGTCAGGAGCAGTGTTGAAGAGTTGAGTGACCTGGGCGTAAACGTCTTGGATGGGCTTTGACTCGCGCTGGTATGTCTGCAAAATCTCAAGGAATTGCTTGTAGATCTCAGGCGCAGAAGAGAAACGATTCTGTAGAGGGTGGGGTGTCAGAAAAGAAATTGGGTTTGGATGAGGTGGTAGAAAGTGAGGCAGACGAACCTTTATCTTGTTCACGTAGCTGATTGCGTGGTTGAATTCAACAGGCCCCCGTTTGTTTAGATCCGCATGACCACCTTGAAGTATGCCTCCAACCCCGGCTAGGCTACTCATCGACTGACTTGATCCACCTCCAGACACAGGCAGCATCGACGGTCTTCCCAATCCAGACGCTGCCGATGCTGCACCTTGCAACTGAGCCACACCACGGTGATCCTGCGGATGAGACAATGCCGAAGCACCCTGAGCCTCTTGACTTTGATACGCAAAGTGGTGATCTTGAGGAGGGGCCTGCCCTTCCTGTTGGTACATGCCAGAAGGACCGATCATACGCGAGCTGGGAGAATACGACCCCGGTGCACCTTGTTGATGACCCTGCTGCTGCTGTTGCTGCTGAGTCTGCTGCCAACCAGGGCGAGACTGTTCATAATAATCGGAGCGAGGGTGACCACCCAGGCCCCCAGAAGGACCAAGGTCATTAGCGGCATCAAGGGAGCGTGCCGCTCGAGGCATACTCAGGGTGTTTGTCCCCGAGGGAGTAGTCACGCGAATCGCATCTGGATTGTCTTCGGTGCCGCATTCGATGCGGTAGCCTGGAGGCAGGAAAGTATTGAAGCCTTGGATAAGGGCGGGGTGACCATTGAACAATGTTGAAACCCTCTGGATGACACCCGGGGTATCAATGCTGTTGACTCGCGGTTAGTTTTCTCTCTCAGGCAGCCACCTCAACCTTGCATTCCCAAACAGGAAATAATTTTTTTTCGGAAAGACTCACGCTTGGCTCTTGAAATCTTTCATTATATCCAAGAACCGGTTATACACGTCAGGCTGGTCTACGAATCGCACCTTGACCTGGTCCAAATAGCTGAGGGCATCCTGTTCCACCAACGGTACGTGAGCCCAAGGCATGTGTAGTGAGAACCCGATTGGGCCACTTACGTTGAGAATCGGTTGCTGACCCTGGGCTAGGGCCGCAACATTCCCGGGGATCTGCTGCCCCTGTCCATTATATCCCATCATGGGAGGACCTGCGGGGTGTTGCATGTACGACCTGGGGGTACCCTCGCCGTGGGGCATCTGAGGTCCTCCGAAAAGAGCTGCTGGGCCACCGGAAGCTTGAACGTTAGCCTGCGGACCATTAGGCGGATTGGTGCCGAGATTCGACAGGAGACCATTCGGACCATGGATGGAATTGGGAACTTTTGACGCGACGGGTTGGTGGAGGGGAATCGAGCCGGTGTGACTCTGAACCGGGTGGTGCTCGCGCTGGCGTTCCATCTGCTGGCGCTCCATCTGTTCGCGCTCGCGGTGCGCCATCTCTTCCTGACGCTGGCGCTCGAGGATCTCGCGCTCTCGAGAGTCCCGCTCGTGTTCCCGATTGAGAGACTGTGGTGAAGCATGCGACATGGCCTGGCCAATGCCAGGAAGAGAGTGACCGGCGCCATGAGTCGGGCCCGCCGGGTGCTGTCCGTACGCAGGAGGTTGGTGGGGAGCCCCGTGACTCTGGCTCAGTTCCGCTAGGCCGGGGAGGGAGTGACCGGCTTGACCACCGGGGTGGTAGGGGCCTATGAAGAGCGCGGAAAGGTTAGTTCATGCATTCCAAAGGGCCAAATGATTTGAAACCCGAGGTCGACGTCCGTAGTGGTCGAAAGATTGCACGGGGATTTGCTAACCGGATGGAGGAGGGAGAACGGGCCCCGAGGGTTGCGACGCCGGACCTTGCTGAGAGGGATTTTGACTATAGATCAAAGATTCCGATATTAGCATCCGACAATACAATTCATCCGTCTGAAAGCATCATGTCATACCTGAAAGACCCCAAAGGTCGGGGCTGTTGATTCATCTGATCCATGCCAGGGTGCGACGGAGGCCCACCGGCCGAGGAGTGCCAGGAATCGTTCCCAGAGTTCATGATCGGCTCATGAACTCGGATCTGTACCGATAGGCAAGCTCAAAGAGTATATGTGTATTGAAAAGGGCGGGAAGGGAGGGGAAAGGTCGAGAGTGGGATAGAAACGTCTGACGCAGGTGTGAGCTCCAGCTGTTTCTCTGGGTCTGACTTTCGCTACTCTCGCTCGCTTGGGAGGTAACACTCAGAACGCACTGGGGTCACAGCATGACCAGCGCTTTGGGACAATAGAGGAGAGGTATACTCGAGACTCAACGCGGAATAACTGCGATGACGAGGACAAGGTCTAGGGACAAGAGAGTGCGCGCGACCGATCGCGGGCTTCTCCAGTGGAGGCTTTCCTGACCGACTCCCGCTAATCCAATTACGGTTAGGCGTATAGTCCCTCGGACCGTTATTTGTCCGAGTGCATTAGACATTTTGGTACGGTATTATCGGAACGGGTCCTTATCACAAGGACCGCTAAACTGCAAGAGACGGTATTGTGCGAGCCATTGATTCCGTTCGCCTTCGTCATCGCCCGCAAAGTCCAGCAGAAAAAACCCGGCAGAAACGGGCGAATCTGCGTGGGTGTGATGATGCTAGGGCTGGTGGGAAAAAAGTGCGATTGATCGTACGGCGGTCCGGAGTTGGGAAGGAATACAGAATACTCGGAGAGGGATGGTTACCAGACAAGCGTATTAGGATTTTATTCATCCGAGAGAATGGTATCATGAAGGGACATGAAAATAGGAATCACTCCATCATTCGTAACCCCCTACCCACACAACAGGAGTAAGGAAAAGCCGTCATGAAACAGGCCCCAAGAAGGCTTAACATTCTCTATCATGAAGCGCCTCCGTAAAACGCCCGTGGAATACCTAATAAAATTTGCATATAAACCAAGAGAGGAAGATATGGCGATGGCAGAGGAGAGAGGACTGTCAAAAGAAAAAAGAAGAAGAAAAAACTGGGAGCTGAAGCTGAAGCTTAAGCAGGTAGCCTTGCGGACAATCGGAGAATGATGGGTCCTCTGTGAACAACAAAGAAAGAGAGAAGGCGGGTAAGGTTGAAGGGAAAGTCCTGGGATTATGGAATCTGGGCGTGCTGCTATGGCCATTATTTTTGCTTTCATTTTTTGTTGGTTGCGTCCTTTCTTTTTCTTTTGTTCGCTCTCCCGCCAGTATCATCAGTCCGTCCACCCACCACCCGATCCCATCGCCAAGATGCACTTGTCCGCAAGAACATTGTATGGGGGGTTCCGATGTAATGAGCGACTTGACGCCGCTTACAGAGCAGAAAAGACGAAGAGCTAGAATCAGGTGAAATGTAATTAGTAGGCAGCTTCAAAGTCGTCATAAAGGGGACCACAGCCCAGAGATGAAGCTTACGTTGTTTGTAGCCGCAATCGCAATGCTGTCCTCGAAGGGATGCCAGCTCATGTGCAAGATCTTCTTGTTGAAGTCGATCTGGTCGGCATCGGTCTCCTTCTTCATCCGGCTCCCGGGGCCAGCAGGGCTGCCGGACCTAGAGCCGGCCTTCTTCGCAGTACCCTTGTTCATCGGGGTCGGTACGCCAACCTTCTTGGCCTTGAAGGCCGACTTGTCCGCCTGTAGCACAATCTCCGTCTCCTTTTGCTCATCCGTAGGGTAGATCATGAAGTTGTTGTTATAGCTGCCCGTCATTACATTCTCGGCATCACCAGAGAAGACCACCTCGAACTTGTCGAAGATGCTATCGTTCTCATACGTATCGCAGAGGCGTGGCCGCAGATGTTCATGGATGGGAATCGTCTTCACCGGCTGGCGTTCCATGTTGACGTCCCAGATCTTCACCGTCAGGTAATCCCTCGACACAATGTACCGGCCGTCGTGTGAGAATCGAACGTCTGAGATGGAGGAAATGATCTCGGAGAAGAATGAGCGCGATGAAGCATCTTCTTCTTGTTCAAACACTGAGAAGAAGATTGTATCAGCACAAAAGTGGCGACCAATTGCAGGGAGGGGAGGGGGAAGGTTGAGGGAAGTGCTAGAATCAGCATGTTTCAAACTCACACTTGGCATGCTCGTCGCAAAGAGCGCGCTGGCGCATGTCGGCCAACTTGATAGTTCCCTTGGAGCTGGCATACATGAACCAGTTACAGCTGACCGGGTGGAACTCGGCCGCCGTGATGACCTCTGTGAGTTCCTCCATGTTGGCAGGTTTGATATCCACAATGTTGAAGCTCTGGTCCTGGATGTTGAGGTTCCACAAGTTGACTCGGAGATCGTCACTGCTGATAAAGGTCTCGCCATCACTGTTCACGGAGATGCTATTGATATGATACGCGTGGGCATTCGCATACGTTCTGCGAGGGACGGCGGCAACGACGGTATCATGGTGTGTCAGGCGTGGCATCTTGAGAGCTCCGGCATCCTTGAAGGTTCCCCGCGGTGCCCGGGGAAGACCACCACCACCCACGGCACCGGCCGGAGTCATCTCATTCGACAAATTGTTCTCGGCCACCACTTTGAGAGACTTGTCGAATACCTTCCAGAGCTTTATGGTCTTGTCGTTTGTGGAGAGGAGGAAGTGTGATGCATTCTGTCGTCGACACCATTTTATCTTGTTGATCTTCTCTTCGATCTCTAAGGATTTGAGGTAGTCGAATTCCGGCTCGTGGGATTGGAACTCGGTATGGAACTTATACTCGCAGGTTTTTTTCTGTGATGGCGATCATTTTAGCACGGGAGCTTTGGCCACTGAAAGAATCGACGTGCAGAAGGGCCGAGGAGAGGGGAAAAGAGGAACGTACCGTTTCGTTCCGCTCAAACAAAACCACACGTCCACCCTTGTCTCCCGTAGCCAAATAATTACCGGTGTGGTCGAATTCAACGGTCGAGATGATATCAGCTGCGGGAGAAGCTCCAGTTAGATTCAACGTGCTTCCGGGTGGATTAATCGAGCTGTTCGGGGGTGGGTTACCTTCTGTGATGTCTTCTACATCACCTTTATCGCCAAAGCATCTGGGGGAGGGCCATATCAGTCAGAGGCTCGCCCACTTCAGGTAACACCGAGCAATTCCGGTGCATGAACGGTTGACGAAGCCACGGGATCACAGCTCCATTTTCAGCGGCGACTCACTGTGTGAACTTCCAGGTGGGTGTGCCTGGATCTCTGTCTACCATCTTTTCGTTCTAGGGTCGCCCGAAGGTCGCAGAGAATGCAGTTAGGGAGACGAGAAGGAAATCGGCCTGGCAAAGAGACTTTTCAGGTCTCCAAGAGCTCTATCGGAGACGATGCAAAGATTCTGAATGGTGGCCGATTCGAGAGATTGAACGACAAAGCGGAACCGGTCGGACAGACGAAGACCGCGCGATAGGAAGCTAGTAGATTCAACGAGGGAAAAGGCGAGAGTCGATTAAGTCGATCCCACTTGATCGGTCGATGGGGACGAGGGGCTCGAGACCGATGACGAGAGATCGCGAGGGAGGGGGGAAGGAGGGGAGAGGAAGCGGGGGGTGGGAGGGGGAAGAACGTAGGGTAGGAAAACAGCCCACACGAGGAACTCGAATCTAGAGAGAACGGATGGCAGTCCTGGCGTGGTGGACAACGCAGATGGACCAGGATGGGGGGAGGAGTTGAGTGGAGGAGGGGAGTTGGTGGAAAAGAGGAGCAAACGACCCGGTTGTTATGAGTGGACCCGCAGCAGAAGAGCTTGAGAGGGGATCATAGGAAGACCTGGACGGAATACCAAGTTAGGATGAATGGACTGAGAAAGACGAGAGCAGAGACGACGGGAAAGAGATTCAAGGAAACGAAAAGAAAAGAAGGCCAAATCCATACGAGGTAGAGTTATGGGTCGAGTGGGTGTGGGTGTGCGGCAGTGGACGAGGCAGCAAGAGAGGTGGTGGTGGTTGGGTTTTTGATTTTGGAGGTTTGAAGGGCGGAAAGAGGTGAAGAGGTGAGGCGGTGGTGGGGGAAGACTTCTACGGTCTGCTGCTGCCAGTCGACCGGGGAAAAACCACGCCTGTCGCTCTGTTCGCGATTTCGGTCACTTTGCATTCACTTTTTTACAATGATGGCGATCAAGATTGAAAAATTAAAACTTGTTCCAAGAGATCTCGGTAGACGATAGTTCTAGAGTCTCATTCGCCCATGAAAATCCGTCGTTGCAAACGTGGACCGCCAATGCTGACATCAACACTGACGGGACCACTGTAACATGGCCCGAAGCAGACAGCTACGAGACTACGTCTTGGTTCCTGGCCCATCTGGTCTTCGATGGATTGAAGATTTCGAGTCAAACGAATCAATTGATACTATCCACGTGTAGTACAATTTTATGCACATTACCATCAGTGTGATATGTGCATGGTACATTCGATACTCTTTACCTGGTCAGCTGCAGCTTTGTACCATCGCATCTCCGCCTCTGTCGTCATCCTGTCGGCGAGTCCAAGTACATATCCACGAAATTCAAGCATTGTACCTATCATAAATATTGACGCGGCTCGAACGTACTTGGAAGATCAGCTGAGGTTGTGGATATTGATCTTGGGAGGAGAATACTATCTTATGGACCTGCCGCGAGATGTAACTCGGCTAGGTACAGCACAGATATATATGTACCGCGTCATACTCGAGGCCACTTTTTCTGTATATATCTACCCACGCTCAATGTACGAACAACATCAATTTTCTTGTTACTGAAAAGAAAACTTACACTCCGATTGACTAACAACTGACAATCAACCCTTCTAGCACTGGATTACCCCCAGCTTCTAACCCCCGACCTCAGCCCTAACTGACTATCCATCCCGGCACCCTTCACATGCTTCCCTTCCTACTTCGTCCGGCCCAGCGCTCCCTTCAACCGAACCCTCCCATCTTCCAATCCTCTCAAGCCATGAACCCCAAAAATCCCTACAAAAAACCCTCAATTCCTGTTTCCTAGCATCAGTTCACCTGCGAACCAACCTTCAAAGCCGACACGCCCAAAACACTCACCCTATCGGGCGCACACCCACACCGCCAGAAAGCACCGAGCCATCATGCCCGACGACCCGGAGAACATGCGGGGTACCCGCGACTCAACCCGCCGCCCCAACCTCGACCCCGACGAGATCGAAACCACGATAAACGATACACACGCTCCGAGCAAACCCGCCTCGACGAGTGACAATGACACTCCATCGCTGGCAAGTCGCATCCAGAGTTCCGCGGCCGGGCTAGCCCGGAGCGCGATGCAGGGCGCGGGTTCATCTTCGGATGCGGCGCGAACGATAGCCGGCGCAATGCAGGGGAAGGCTGCTGGGCCGTCGGCACTTGCGTCGCCGGGCTGGGGGGGTCTGGCTAGTCGAGACATCGGTACGCGGGGGTCGGCTGCTGGAGCGGGTGCTGGGGCAGGGTACTCTGGGCCAGGCGCGGAGTCATTTCGCAGCGAGAACTCGAGCGAGAGGAGTGGTGGGGTTGAGATTCCTGCCCTCTCGGAAGAGGCTTTTCAACGATTGGGCGCGTATACGGATGAGATGGGTGCGCAGGTAGACAGCGGACGAGGGAATGCGTACCGCGACACGAGCCTGTCGGATTTACAAGGCGAAATGGGGAATTGGAAGGGCAAGCAGCGGGCGCATGACCCCATGCAACTAGACTATACCAGTGCCTGGGAGCGCGCGGACAACTCCGGGGCTCAGGCGCATACGTACGAGGCACAAGCCAGCGACGGCGCTGCAGTGGTGTCTTTGCTCCAGGATACATCGTTCGATCCGGACTTTGGGGGCCCGGAGGATCTGGATCTTGATATGGCTGCCACACCACCGCCACTAACGGCTGAAGAGATCAAAATGCTAGACTCGTTTCGACGGCAGATCGGGGATTCGACGGATTTAAATCCCCAGCACCAACAGCCGGGCCTATCCAGTCTCAGTCTTGTCCCGGATATAGACACTTTCCTCCAGCAGAACGACCCGTCTGCGTTTACCCAGAGCATGGGCACAGGTGCTGCCTCAAATATGTCCCTCCGCGACTCGGTCCTCGAATATCTCCCCGGTGTGGAAGACTGGGTTACCGTGCATGAGCGGTACCATGATGAAGTGTGGGGGTATCTACGGCCTGCGCTGGAAGCGGCCAAGGCGGAGATTGAAGAGAAGACGGCGGAGGGACGGGAGGAGGATGAGAATGATGGGCCGGCTGTGAGACGGTTGAAGATGATATTAAAGCATATGCGGGCGTAAGGGTTGGATTGACTTGCATTGTCCCGGATGATGCGCTGCATGGTAATCACGTTATACCGGATCTGTACAAATAGTGTCTTGAAGTATCAGGGATAGAGGGTGTTTGATTTGATTGTAATACCAGAAACCACATGCCGCATGAACTGCATCCATTTATCCTGTACGTATACAAAATTGGCCATTCAATGGTCGATAGCTAGCGAACTCCTACCGCGCATGGACTCCGTCCCTATATCATGTGTGCATTATAAGCTAAACCAATTTGGCATCCTGGGCGCTTATTCCCCCCAGAATCACCTGACGGTGAGGTTGGGCTTACCAGGGTTGCTCTCTCGTCGATTTCCTCTCTACCATCTCATACTTCCTACATTCAGCCTCTGAGATGCGCGAACATGAACTGTAAGACGTGTTGCGAGAATGAATCCACCTATCGCGTACGGTGATACAAACTGGGGGTTTCAAGTCGGAATCAATCGCGGTCAGATCGAAGCACAATTCCATATTGCGGGGGACATTAGTATCCGTACGAGTCGAGATCTTCACTGTTCTTCTTCATCGCTAAAATCTTCTAGAAAATATCACGAGCATCCGCCCACTGGCTGATTCCATATACAAATCTCTCTTCAACGCACCGGATACTTTCAGTCAAGTCAGGAATGAACTCGGCCTTCTCCTTTCCGTGTTGAGAATAACGGAGGAACAAATCTCAAAATCCAGCCCAAATGACTCCCAACATCCCGAATTGAATGATGTATTGGAAGGATGCCACGGGGTGCTGGGGGACCTCGAGCGACTGAAGACGCACTACGACGAAGTCGGCTTTCAAACTCAGACGACATGGGAACGAATGGGATGAGGGTGGATGAACTGGCGGAGATCCGAGCCAAATTCTCTTCGTACATACAGGTGTTGAATCTTCTTAACACTAACATGATACGGTAGGTGTATCCTTGCGACGGGACGCTTTTGAAACTTGGCTGATAGGTAACAGTTCGTCTCAAGAAACCGTCCTAAACCTGTTGAAGACCTACATCGGCGATTGTCGAAGTGGGAACCGTGAAGGGGCGGCCATGTCGTGTATATCGACAGGGTCACTTGAAGGCGGCGCGAAAGAGGCGTGGAGAAGCCTAAGGAAAGATCTACAAAGCGTGGGAATCACACCGGAGCTGTTCAAGATACACCGGCAAATTATCCTCAGCACTATTCAGAAACACTGGGCACTAGACGGAGTGGAGGATGGCTCTATCGCTTTCCTAGCCGATGCGGAAAGCGCCAGCCAAGCAGATTGTGGACTAGGGTTGCTCTATGCAGACCCCAAAATCCCTAGAGATTGGCCCGCTTCTAGGCACCTCTATTCGGTCAATGTGTCTGAAGGACGTGAGTCCCTGGAATCATGGCGATATTCAAGCCTCAATAGCAACATGTGCGACCAATACGAGTAAATCCGCCGTCATACAGAGCAGTATGAAGGCCAACGGCAGGAGAGGGCCACGGCGATAGAGCGGATGCTGTCGGCCCTGGCAAAAGATCACCTCGTGGAAGATTAGCCATACAACAGCCTGGCATGCCACTAGGTGATTATGATGGATCGGGAATATTCAGTCACAACGAGCTTGAAGCTGGCGACCTTCTATTATCGCACACTGTGCTGTTGATCACGAAGCTTTGCATCCCGCCTATAGGGATTGCGCTATCTGCAAATATGACACCGAGACCCCTCGTCTCTCTGTGCTTCCCAATGCGGATGGAAGTAGCGTTCTCAACGATCGCTCGAGTGATTCAATCCAGCCATTCTACAGACGCACCCATTCTCAACACGAATCACACCGTTCTTATCCCACTCCCCAGATGAGCCGTGACCCAGAGTGCTCGCCCTTTACGAAAGCATAGCGACCATTAGAAAGTTGTCAGATAGTTCATCCTTCGATGTTGGGTCCAATGTTGGCGATGAAGTCTACTTCACCTCCTCAACCGATCCACTCTACGAGGAGAAGCTTTCGAGCGTAGTAGTACCTCTCAAGAACGGTCTCAGTCATTTCCCACCTTCCTATAAATACTCTCCAAATATAGCCCTGCCGCAATACTGAGCGCTTTCAGATAAGCCGCTACCTGTGTATCTACAGCTACAATCTCAGCCACCTCGGTCTCCGCCTTTTCACTTCCAATCGCTTCAGTATGAACCGCTATCATGATGAGCGCACAGATATCCACTGCAACCATCCCGAAGGCGGGATTCTCTATGTAAAGTACACATGGACTTTTGACATCAATTTCGAAGGAGAGAAAGAGGGACGGAGGGAGGGAGACAACAAGGCTGGCCCTTAGATTGAATGAAGCTGCATGAAGGATTTGGCGATTCTGACGAACGTACCCTCATGGCTCTAATGATGATTTGCTGAGCGACCACTTTCGTTTTCATAACGTGTTTCATGCCAAGAAAGGATATGACTAGTGCTACATTTGACCAATTATTACTTGCTCCCTTTCGAACCTCCCCTATGAAATACTCTAGTCTCTTAAAGCCTCTCAAGAGGCCTTTGCAGCGCCTTCAAAGCTTCATCAACATTCAACACATCATCAGCCCTGGCCGCAGGACCTCCCCACCGCACATGGCCCTCTTGATCAATAGCCCAGTACCCACTGGACTGCCATCTACTTCCACTCTCCGTAGGCCTATTCCAGATTCCCTGCTCCTTCCCGAGCTTCCACGCATTCACCAGCGACGCCGGGCTCAGAACATGACTCAACGAGACCACTCCCAAGCCCCATTTCGCGTAGATTTCACGCTCCGCATCGACGACGACGGTCACCGAGCCCGGACCGTCAAGCTCATTCAGCCATTTCTCGGTAGCTCGCTGGTCACTATGCGATATGGCGATGAAGTTGATATCCGGGTGCTGAGTAGCTGCAGTACGCATCACAAGGAAGGTTGCCTCTGCGACTGCCGCCCAGAATAAGAACGTCAGTGCCAGTTTTAACTTTCAGTGATAATGAACGATGTAAACAAACATGGACACCCGCAGTGACGGAGAAATGCGACGACGGTTGGCTTTGCGTTTTTGGCGGGAAATACCAACTTTGGGTCTGAGGGGGCTTTGTCGCCGACCCGTGGAGCGGTTGCGAGCTTGACATATGATGGAGAGAACCACGACGCGAACTCTTTTGATATGCTCATCGTGGATGAGATTTGAGTTTGTGTTTTCTTCTTTGCTTTAAACCCCCTTTAACCACTCCCCTCTACCTTGATGTTGATATTAGCATGGTTGCTAGCGGGGCAGACGTAGCCTAAGCCTGAAGTGGATAAGAATGGGGCTACGTCATCGCAGGAGTACCTCACTACGGTATTGCGATGTATTTGACCAGGGAGTGCTCTGATTTGGAATCTGGGGTTTTTTGTCTGTATTGGTATTCCGGCCAAGCGACGACCTTTGTAAATACACCAGCAGCAGAAACCGGGACAATCACGGCTGCTTGATCATAGTCTGCCAAAAAGCATATCTGATATTGTGCAGTTGCATGAGATCTCGAGAAGCATCTGACTCTGAGCCATATAGAAGTTGGTGCAGTTGAATCCCATGCTCTGCTGGGATGGGGCTGGCGTCGGATTAGGGGGGTGCGAAATTGTGGTCAGACTAGGGACCGGGGTTACTCGCATGCTGTTATATTGGAACTGAGAGCAGCTTGGGCCCCCCAGAACTGTTCTCAGGCGTGTTCACGGGGGTCCATGTTCATGGTGTCATGGTTGAGAACCTATTCACGTAGCAATCATCATCCCGCAGCCGTGGGATCTGGCGTAAAACAATAAAAGGCTGGATGTCGGCCCAAATATCTACTTTATATATGCCCTCTTTCGTTTACGCTGTCTACCCAAGAATGCTTTGGCAAGAACGTGGAGGTGGACTCGGCAGCCATCGAGAGCATAAAGCGGATTTGCTACAGACTTTTCAGACATGACACATGAGACACTACACACGGAACGATAGATATCACTCTAGAAATGGTATTCCAAGAAAGGTAAAAATGGTGGTATGATATGTTACAAGATCAAGACACACCCCCACAATATCGGGGAGGTGCACACATTTATCATCATCAAATCAGCTTATGAACCAACAAGCCAAAATTGAAGCAAAGAGACAAGATCAGACAAGACAGGATGGGGCCAAGGGGGTATGGAATTTAGAAAGTCGTTAATAGTGAAGTTGGAGACGCGAGTCATGGGCCCAGCTATTTTATATGCCAAGGCTGACAGACGCTTACAGCTCCAGGCTGGGGGTCTGTCCCTTGACGCGACCGATGACGGTTTGGGCGGCATACTTGGGGATGACCTCGTCGTCGTGGAGCATGGCGAATTCTAGAAGAGAAATGTTAGTGATGAATTAAGGGATGAGGGGCTATGGAGAAGAAAACGTACCCTCGGTAGCATCACGACCCATAAAGTTGAACAGAGCGTTGGCACCACCGGGGTGCTCGTCCAACCAGTTGGTCACGTCCAGGACAATACCCTTGACGACGATCCACAGGTCGTCCTTCTTGTTGTGCTTGGCGATCTCCTCCATGGAGAACTCCTTCTCGGGAATCTTGAAGCTAGCCACCGGGTCGGCCTTGGCAGAGGTGTCCTCGCCAGCGGGAGTGGCAGCAGCAGCAGAAGCTGCGCCGGGGGCAGCGGTGACGCTGGGCAGGTTACCGCCAGCAGGGGCACCGGTCCACTCGACGGAGATCTTGCCGGGGGTGGAGGGGTCAATGTGCAGGGAGATCTGGCCGAGACGCTGCTGGGCACCGGAGGAGCCGGTGGAGATGAGCTTCTTGAAGAGGTGCTGCGAGGCAGAGTCACCGGCGACACGACCGTAGACGACACAGCCCAACAGGGAGGAACCACCCAGACGGTTGGCACCGTGGACACCACCGGCCAGCTCACCGCAAGCGTACAGGCCGTTGAAGGGCTTCTTCTCGCCATTCAGGACCTCGGAGTGCTCGTTGATCTCAATACCACCCATGGTGAAGTGGAGGACAGGCTCCATGAGAGCGACGTGGAATTCGTCGTCAATGGAGAAGGGGAGGTTGTGGAAGAACTTCTTGTTCCAGGGGTCCTTCTTCTTGCCATCGGCAATGAGGTTGTACTCGTCAAAGGTCTTCTTGAGGGCTGCCTCGCCGCAGCCAATCTCGGCAGCGAGCTCCTTGCCGGTCATCTTCTTCATAAGACCACGGCCGGAGTAGTGGCGGGTGTGGAAGTCCAGGACCTTGGAGGCCTTGCTGTTCAGGACCAGGCGGATGGGCCACTTGCCCTTCTCCTTCTCCTTCCACATCTGACCGGAAACGTAGTCACGGTGACCCAGCTCGTCAGAGAACCGCTGGCCATCCGAGTTGAGCAGGAGACCACCCTCACCACGGAGGGCCTCGGCAGCGAGGAACTTGAACTTGGCGTTGGGGTCCTTGGGGTCGACCAGACCGGTAGGGTGGACCTGGACCTTGTCCATGTCAATGCCGTTAGCTCCAATCTCCATGAGCATCTTCTGACCGTCACCGGTGGCGTGGGTGCCGTTGGTGGACGACAGCCCATAGGTATCGGGACGATGCTTCTTGAGGAGGGAGGTGTCGCTGAAGTCAGCGGCGTAACCACCGGTAGCCAAAATGACAACACCGTCGGCCGTCTTGGTCTCGCCGTTGAGAGTGTAGGTGACACCGGTCACATCGTTGCCGGACTTGTTCACGGCGGTAACGTGGGCCTTCTTCACGATCTGGACACGGGTAGGCTCGGACTCGGCGAGCTCCTCGAGGCGCTGCATCAAGGCGTAGGTGATGGCCATACCGGGGAACTTGGCATCGTGGCCACGGTGTGTGCGGGGGTGGGAGTGGCCGCCCAGACGGGAGACCAGGGTGAGATCGAGATTGAAGACATCCTGCAGCCACTCGACGGCGGCGGCGGACTTGTAGGTCAGGACCTTGATCAGGTCTGGACGGGCCTTATCACGGGCGGACTTGAGGGTATCCTCGTAGAAGGCCTTGACGCTGTCGCCAATGCCGAGGTCGACCTGGGTGCGAGTGAGAGCACCGTTGATGCCGGAGGTGGCCTTGGTTGAGTTGCCACCGAAGAAAGCTAAAAAGGGGGGGGGAAGAGGTACTGTCAGTGGGATACGGTCTTTTTGCAAGAAGGAAATAGAAAAGCCGTTGAACAAACCTTGCTTGTCGAGAACGAGAACATTTCCGCCGTTCAGGTAGACGGTGTGAGCGGCACTCAGACCAGACACTAGATGAGGGAATCTGTCAGCCGAGAGATTCTGGGGGCAGGGAGAATAATGCGGGGAGAAGGCGACATACATCCACCGCCGACCACAATGACTTGGGGAGCTGCCATATTGTGTGTTGGCTAATGTGTGAGAGGATCCAAAGGGAGGAAGGGAGGGAGGGTGAAAGTGGGGGGAGGAGAAAGAAAAGAAGCAGAGATGAAGGGGGGCTTGCGATTTTATGGAATGGGAACCGCGGACGGGTACTGGGGAGTTCGAGGTGAGAGGGGATTCTGGGGCAGCAGCGCAGAAGCCGACGAGAGTCTATCGGCCGAGGCACGCGTGGAGAAGTGGATCCCGTGAGGAGACCCGGAGTTGGTAATGGAACAATTACGGCTGGCTCGGGGCAAGAGCGAGAGTGGGACGACAATAAGCTGATCACTTGAAACCTGGGGAAGTGTGAGGGAAAAGCTCATGTTGCTGAAGAACTAATCAGCGTCGTATGCTCGTAGGATGGATTGACAATCACATGCTGGGTCGATCGCAATACTCATGGGACCAGGGTTCATCTTCACATGCGTATGCGTCAGCATCATCGCTGGCAATTCCAGTATATACAATAGGAGAGCACGGTGACTGACATCACCATAAAAGCGATAACTCATACACAGTTCGAGATTGAAAGAAGAGTCCAGAGCATCAAGTCCAACTTCCGCTAGTTCCGCAAGCATTTCTTCAGGAATGTTCCGATATCTCCTCTCTTTCCACTAACAACCTGCGTGAGTGGTGTCGGTCGGCGGCCCTGTGAGCCTCGGATGTACAGAAAGTCGCAAAGGACCGAATTTCCGAAGAATGCAACCACTGCGTTAGTAGTTAGCCCCCCTGATTATAGTGTATCATTTACAGAGAACAATATCGATATGCTCGCTATGTTGATATCTATAGAATCTACCACTCGTATTGACCCCGTCCATAATCCACCGTCCTCAGCCGTTTAGCCATAACCCCCATCTTCTCCTCAAACGGGCAAAAGCAGTTGCCGACACTTGCTGGTTGGGGGCACGGACCGGGACTGGCTGACATAATCCGGTGATCGGACCGGCCCTGAGAAGGCTAGAATGACATCACCGCCTCACCCCCAATCTGGCTCGGGTCAATTGCCGACGGAATTCATCTCTCGGCCAGCCGGAGCGCGAAATGCGAGACTACAAATTGAGCTCCATCCCCATCCTTCCACCCCGCTAGTGCCGGCGCCTCACTTCTCAACTGAACACGCAAGAGGAGACTCGGGTTCGTGCATCCCGGCCAGCAAGTCTGTTGGGTCGACGTGGGTCGGCGCGGCTCGGGGCAATGCATCCCGAGGGCAGCGAGGTTGACTTCTCGCTCGAAAGAGTGCCGAGGCTGGCAATTGTTGAAGATGCGAGGCGGATCGGGTAAATGAGGTACGAGATAGGTGTAGGGTCAGTTGTTTCTCGGTCATTGATCGGGATGGCCTGCGGTATCCATCGGCATCGTCAGGTGTGGCATGATGTTTTTGGAGCAGCCCCCCGGAGGACAACCTGCGAGAGATTAATATTCCGACAACATTCGCCGACAATAAACTGTCCATTCAACAATCCAATGCGTGAGTGATGGATTGACCCAGGACAGCGGCGTGGTGCTCGCACGCCAAGAGTCCTGAAGCTCGTTAATTGGCTTCCTTTTCTGAGGATGAGTGTCGGTCAACTGAACCTTGTCGGAGACACCCCAGAAGGCAATTCCAACACAGGTAGGAACCTTTTGGCAGGCATTGGCGGCCTAGCATCACACGTTAGCAAATGTTGGACAAAACCTATGTGTCGAGCCTCTCGCATTGAGATAATCTCCGGCGGCGGCGCCCTCGATATCAAGCTCGGTGATGGCAACCTCGGCGACACCAGTCGACGCGAGAGCTTCCGGAGCTGTAAGGGGATGTCAGAACCATGAGTTATCAGCAGGTGGGTGAAGTACCTGCCCCGGAGAGCCGGGGGTTGTGCAGAATGCAAGCGCTGGTTTCTCGGATGAGTTGGAGAATTTCCTTCCGGTGGGTAATTTGCAGTAATCTGTATGTAGGGATGACTCGGGGAGGCTAATTGGATGAATGGAAAGGATGTGTGTGGACGGTTATTTGCGCTTGATTAAGATTATACAGAAGGGGGTTGCTTGGTTTTGGTCTGTGTTGTTAGTTAGGGCTGTGGATCGCGAACTGTCATGGGAGGTGGAAACCGGACAGGCTTGTCCCTGATTTTTGAACTTTGGGTGCTCCAACGTTTTGGTTTCAGGTACGATATGGTGAAGGGGATTTGTTATATTCGGTTCCTTTATCTAAGGTGGGCGGCATAGACGTCGTTAGCTTCGTCTGGGCTTGGCAATCCACCAATTACCATCTCTCCAATTATCCTCGTCATTTACGACTTCAGCCCTTAATCAGGTTGCAACTGTGAGAGTCAAGAAATTCTCGGGTAATTACATTTTGCGCGTCTGCTCCCATGTGATGAATGTATAAGCTATGTACAGTGGGGAAATACCCAAGATGTATGTCTCCGATAGATCTCCATGGGCTGACCTGATCCCCAGAACTAGCTGCTGGCTATTGCAAATTGGCGCAGGTCTGATCCAGCTTGATCGGGCCAAACTGATACATGATGTTTCCCGGGAAGTAAGTGAATAGTCCGCTCCATTTGAGCGGAGATACAGGTCTAGGTCGAAGTTCGGGTTCACAAGCTGGCGCCGTTCGATGCTGTCCCGCCTGGTCTTTGAGTCCCCAGCAATGCATTGCTTTTCTATAGCCTTCGCCAGCTCCTGAACGAAGGTCTTGGTTTCCTTGCTCTTCCAGCCGACGTACGAGCCACTCTCGAGATGGCTCTGCACGGTGGTTCCCAGACTGATGGCCAGGCAGGATTCCGCCCCATTGTGCTTGAACGTCCAGCGTGAATACACCGACTGGGACAGGGATATATTGGGCATTTTCCCGTCCACATCAGACTGGATACGTGATTCCGCGTACCCATCCACTGCCACTGCTCCCATATTCCCACCACTGCTCCGAAGGGAGACGCTGCTTTCGGAGTACATGTCAAAGGAGGTCCATTCTTTGTAGATTCTCTTACCAGCCAGGCTTTGCGTTCACCTGGACCTATGTAATTTTCGATCCCTACAAGCTCTGGGAGGTATCCAGGACCCACTCGCCGCCAATCTTGAAGGTCACGTTCGTCTCACAGTACGGGTGGAAGAAGCCGGCTGCCTGGTGCACCTCAAACGACTCTCCCAGATTCCAGGCGGCAATCATGGAGAACTCGAAATGCGACTCGATGGTGGTGGTCCCTTCCATGGCAATGCTCAAGTATTCCCCGGCCTCCTCACCCTTGTACGGATGTATTGGGTTGGTGAGCCCGATTCCCGGTAAGTTTCCTCTTCCTCCTCACTCTCCGTCTGTCTACATTTCTCCAGAGGTGTGAATTAACAAGCATAGAGTCCCCGCAGCAACGAACACCGCTCCTGTCCCGCGAGCCTTAGGCGCAATCAGCGACTGTGTCTGGTGAACCTACACAGTCGAGGGTCTCAGCTGTGAGAATCTGCTCTCCAACCTCGGATTAACAATCGACGTCTTCTACCAGATGAAGCCATCCGTCAAGGAAGACTGTACCGGTCTGGCTATCGGCACGTATTAATGCGGATCCACGCTTACCATCGGTGTCCTCGCCGAAGACGACGAGCATCCCTCTACCACACTGTCTACGATCCCCACCACCACGCGTGGGGGCATCGTCACCCCCACTCCTACCCAGGTACGACTTCACCCCACGAAGAATGCGCGGAAGGCACTAACCAGAAAACAGAAGGGAATGGCATCCAACTGTGTCGAATTCTGACTAATTGTAATAGACGATGGATGCTGGTCAATTGCAAACGACCATTCCGTCAGCCAGGCCGATCTCTACACCTGGAACCCCGCCATTGGCAGTGATTGTGGCCTGCTCTGGCCCGACTACTGCATCTGTGCTGGGGTGGAAAGAACCACAACGAAGATAACCACTACCAGCATATCTACAGCTACACCTACGTCAACGGAGCCGGGTGCGCCAGGCCCCACGCAAGACTGGGGCCACGGGATGGCATAAGACCCGTGGGGAGGCGACCAACTTGATATATAGAAAGCTAGTGACCTGTTGTACTCTAGGATTATGGACTGGCAGGAGTGTTATCAGATCCTAGTATTCGTTTGGGGGGGGGGGGGGGGGGGGGGGGGGATCCACATAGGACGGAACTAGATAGTAGATCCTCTAGCTAATAGAGTCAAGATGGAAGACTCTCTAGTGCATAAGAGATTTACTCTCTGATGAAGAAGGGAAGTCAAAAGAAGGTTTTGAGATTAATTAGATTGATTGAACTGCCGGCTAAATTTGTGTGCGAACGAGCGTACAAGTACACGATTAGATCAATTTAGGCTGCAGGAAGTAGGCTAAATCAATGATCCAATCGATGATCCGATCAAATATCAATTATCTAATCAATTGATCATAGATCTAGATTAGCAAGGAGCAGGATGTTAGAATCCGTGGCCGATTGGCCATAGTAAAACTCTCTGTAAAAGAGGGATATGCAGAGGGATATCTGGGCGATGGTCCGGTCCGGGCCGCTGGCTGGGCCGCTGGTCAACCAACTCACATAGCTATACACACGCACACGTGTACTAGTATAGACCTTAGTTCATACATCAAATTGTAATGTGCGATATAGGCATCATTAGTAGGATTCTTGGCAATATTAGTGATCGGGCCCTCAGCCATAGCATTGCAAAATGCGCTAATAGGTTTATGTCTCTAAGCACAACTGTATTTTCATTATATATGATAGATTACACGACCCTATGGCACTAGGACTATTGGCTCGTGAATGTACAATCATCGGTCCTGATGCTATACTGTATTCGGTGCGCTTTCTGTGAAGTGCAATATCCACGCAAGGCCAGACCAACACCCAATAGCAATTAAAGTTTCTAGGATAATTCAAATCGAGCGTTCTGTTTCCAGGTACGCAACGAGTTCGAGACTCGGGCTGTCGCCTCGTACCTTTTTCTATCGGAGATATTGAGCCAACATATACGAGGATATTATTTCCGTAGCTACTAGGAGATGCATCTGTTCCTTATCCCTCGCTCCATTGAAGCAGAACTTAAAGGAGTCGAAGCGGATTCAAGCTGAAGTTGCAGGGGCGCTCTTTTTCTGGTACACAGATACGTTCCCCATGTTCCAAGCTTCCAAACAACTGACTAATATCACTTGTCACCGTCGGACCCCGCCGAACCCCGACAACTGTAACAAGCCACTGATAAGCTCAACTTCAGCCACTAAGAGCGCCACAGATAAAGTGACCTCAATCTTGATTATGTGACGGGATTTGACACGTAAAATACGAGTGAGTAATCAGGGGGGCTGCACCTGGTTTACAAATAGTTGGTAGGTAATCGTAGTTAAGCCAACTAACCCCAGATTTTGCCGTGTCACTGTACTGTACCTCACTGTAACTTATATTATCACTGTGATTAGTTTCCAGCTTATCTTTATCATTTTGAAGTGATAGCAGATACGCCGTGGCGCTTCTTCGATTCTCTGGTGCGATAATAAACCGCAATTGCCGTAGTCGATGTAGTTTAGGAGAAAGTGTTTTATAGAGAGACTATGAACATGGAAATCGAAAGTTGGATTTCAAGTTCGGAGAAAGAAGCATATGTACTTGCTCACCGGGGACCACCGACAACCAACCCCCACCCAGGTTAAAGATGGATAACTCCATCCACTCCACCGATGGCCCCGACACCATCGTCCCTGACTCTAACCCTAAATTGACGGTCGGCCAGCGTGTGCGGGGCATAATCAAGAAATTCACCACCAAAGAAGGTCTCGTTGGTGACTATGACTATGGCTTCCTGTTTCGCCCCGAGCTCCCTTTCATGAAGAGAGACCCCCGTCCGGCTCCATTTTTCGGGTTGAATGAGAAGATTCCTGTGCTTCTTGCCTTCATTCTGGGCCTACAACATGCACTGGCAATGTTGGCGGGTGTCGTCAGCCCTCCTATCATTCTGGCTAGTTCCTTGAACCTACCATCTGATCTGAAACAATACCTGGTCTCGACATCCCTGATCGTTTGCGGACTGTTGTCAATGGTTCAAATTACACGCTTTCATGTCTACAAGACTCCGTGGGTTGATCCAAACGCCTCCCTTTTACAAAAAGCTTGCCTGTTAATGCAATCTAGGTACTTCATCGGAAGTGGCGTTCTCTCCGTCATGGGAGTTTCCTTCGCCATTATAACCGTTGCTTCTGGAGCATTCAGCCAGATGTATGCCAATGGATTCTGTCCAGTGGCCGATGATGGCACTAAGCTCCCTTGCCCTGAAGCATACGGTGCGCTATTAGGTACCTCGGCCTGCTGCGCCTTGATTGAAGTCCTTCTTGCTTTCGTTCCCCCCAAAACGATGCAGAAAATCTTCCCGCCCATTGTTACAGGCCCCACCGTTATGCTGATTGGAATCAATCTAATCAGTAGCGGATTCGAAGATTGGGCTGGTGGGTCTGGATGCACGACTGGTTTGTGTCCTTCCGCTACAGCACCTCGAGCCATGCCCTGGGGAAGCGCGGAATTCATTGGACTGGGTTTTCTGGTATTCGTCTCTATTCTTATCTGCGAGAGAATCGGTTCTCCGATCATGAAATCCTGCTCCGTTGTGATTGGACTGTTGGTTGGCTGCATCGTTGCTGCTGCTTGTGGCTACTTTGATCGTTCTGGAATTGACGCTGTATGTTTCTTCTCTGCTAATGTATTCTTGTGTGCTTTCTTCATCGACTTACAAATTTTTAGGCCCCCGTCGCGTCCTTCATTTGGGTGAAGACGTTCCCCCTCACGGTATACGGCCCAATGGTTCTCCCTCTGCTTGCTGTCTTCATTATCTGCGCCTGTGAATGTATCGGAGATGTGACAGCAACTTGTGATGTCTCTCGCCTGGAAGTCGAAGGCGAGATTTTCGAGTCTCGTCTTCAGGGTGCTGTACTTGCGGACGGGTTGAACTCCATTTTTGCTGCACTTGCCACTATGACACCCATGACAACCTTCGCCCAAAATAACGGAGTCATCGCCTTGACACGCTGTGCCAATCGAACGGCTGGATACTGCTGCTGTATATTGCTTATTATCGCAGGCATTTTTGCAAAGTTTGCCGCTGCTATCGTTGCCATTCCGAACCCTGTCATGGGCGGCATGAAGACATTCCTATTCGCATCAGTGGTGATTAGTGGGCAGGCTATCGTGTCCAAGGTGCCTTTTAACCGCCGTAACCGCTTTATCCTGACAGCCTCCATGGCTCTCGGGTACGGTGCGACTCTAGTGCCTACCTGGTTCTCTCAGGTTTTTGGAGCTACCGATAACAAGAACCTGGAGGGCTTTGAAAATGCGATTGAGCTGGTTTTGGAAACAGGGTTTGCTGTTACTGCTTTGTAAGCTCTCTCTTCACCTCGACGACATACTCTCTACTGCCGGAAATCACTAACATTTTGGCATAGTGTCGCCATGCTTCTAAACCTGATCATGCCTCTCGAAGTTGAAGAAATTGGCGCCGTGACACAGATTCCTTCTCAGACCACTGATCGAGGCGATGAACTCCAGGGTCAAACCAAGCAGGCCTAATTACAAAAAAAACTATGCTTTGTATCGCTGTTAATGGTGTATCTCTGTGTTTGCAAATAGAAGACTTCTGTGCAGCTATGTAGGATGACATGTTAGTAGAGGAATCGAATTCGAATTCTGGCCAAATAACCACCGACAAAGCGGATTTCCCTTTTATTTATCTATTTATAGAATCAACTTTCTAGAGGCTATGAAGACTATATGATTGACCCACTCACATCGGTACGCTCCACGATCTGTAATTGCGGATGGGCGTATGTGACTAATTCCTATAGTATGCTCCTTCTTCTTCTCGGAACCGTCGCCATATATCCCAACGCCTGAACTGGCAGAGTTCCTGCAATCAGGACCACCTCCCGTCTATATCGGGTGCCGACCAGGAGATATTTCTTGGAAACGTGATTATCAGTTTGAGAGTGGTGCATTCCCGACTTTGGACGGCAGTACGCGCATCAGCTTATCTGCAAATACACTCTCGATCATAATCTTACGCGTACCAATTCCGAGATCCGGGCATTCTTGCACTAGCTTAGAGGATGGAGAGCCCGGGCAACCTTCGACAGAATGTGTCGAAAGATAATTCTGAGATTCGCGGTAAGGAGGGATTTGGCAGCTGGACAAGCCCAGGAGAGGAGAACGACAAGCTATATAGAGCGGATTATGGCCCACAAACATCGCGTCTCCGCGATCTTTAATCTGTGTGCTCAACATGAGCAGGGAGACCTTGTTGCTTGTGATAGCGCCATTTCAACTTCATGTGCTTTCCTGCAATGCGATGAAGCTCAACTCGTCCCAAGGGAGCATCAAATTGCCCAACAGAAGAAGGTTCTGGGTTTTGAGATGGTAACCGTGACCGAATATTCAGTCCATGGCGAAAAGAAACTAACGACGCTATATACACAATGCCCATGCCAATTACTACAACTGATGATTCAGGTTGACAGGACCAACAAGACTAATCCATCCAGGTCACACTTTTCGTTACCAAGAACTCATTCAGCCCCTCGTCCGCATTGAACCGGCCCCATCCACTATTCTTCACTCCACCATGCGGCAGCACCGGCTCATCATGAATCGTCATACTGTTAATATGCACAGCCCTGAGATAACGAGTCAGCACTTCGATACAGACCTCTCAATCGCAGCCAAAACGCCAAGTCATTTGGAAGGACGTTTCACTCACCCAGACTGAAGCCTCTTTGCCATTGCAAGCCCCTTCCTCAAATCCTCTGTAAACACACTCGCTGACAACCCGTACCCGCTCCCATTCGCCAACCGCACCGCCTCCTCCTCAGTCTCGAATTCCATAAATGCCGCCACGGACGCAAACGCTTCTTCCTGCCACAACGGCATATCCTCCGTGACTCCGCCCAAAACGGTGGGGGCCATACGCACGCCTGCGTCAGCAGGCAGTGGGGATTCCTTTGGACCGGAGATGAAGTGTGCGCCGGACGCGAGGGCACTGGAGATGAGGGTTTGCACGCGAACTTTGGACGCAACGTTGACGAGAGTCGGTGGGAGGGACGAGGCCGATGCGCCAGCCGCGAGGGCGGTTTTCAGTGCGTTGGTGAATTGGGCTGCGATGGAGGAGTGGACGAGGATGCGGTCTGTTGCCATGCAAATCTGACCGGACTGCGAAAAAACAGATTAGATCTCGTGTTAACAAACTGACGACCAGAACGAACAAGTCTCGGTCCATTTCACTTACATTCAGAAAAGCACCCGCCAGCACACCCTGCACTGCGACATCCAAATTCGCGTCCGCGCATACAATCGAGCTATTCTTCCCACCCAACTCCATGAGACAGGGCTTCAAGTTCTGGCCACACGTCCGCGCAATCTTCCGTCCCACAGCTGTACTACCAGTGAAATTGATCTTTCGCACAGCCGGATGCTCAATCATCGCATTGACGACCTCGGGTGCATCCTGTGGTCGGCAGTGTAAGATATTCAGACAACCGGCCGGTAGTCCTGCGTCCTCGAAAGCACGGCCAATGGCCCAATAGCAGCGCGGCGTGAGTTCGGAGGATTTGAGGATCGTCGTGTTTCCAGCGGCCAGGGCGCATGCGGCAGACCGTATCCCGAAAACATATGGCGCGTTCCTGGGTCCTCGTCAGTGATCAGGCTCAGCATCGATTATAGGCGTAGTGGTCGCGAGTATCCCATATAGAGTACAATACTATCACCATCTCACACATCACACGTCACATAGACCATGAATAACCAGGAATACATACCACGGCACAATCCCCAAAATAACACCCATCGCCTCCTTGAAGACGATCGCACTCTGTCCCTCCCCCTCCACGACCGGTACACTCCCACAAATAGAACTAATCCTCCCCGCAATATCCCTCAACATACGGATCGCCAACGGAACCACAAATCCCGCCGACGCCCCCTCGTCCGCGCCCATCTCCGTCCGCATGTACAAAGCATTCTCCTCCAGTCGCTCCTCGAGCAAGTCGGCGGCTTTGAGGAGGATGTCGCGGCGGGCGTTGGGCTTTGTGGAGGACCAGGAGGGGAAGGCCGCCTCCGCCGCCTGGACGGCGCGGAGGGCGTCGGCGGGGGTTGCGGATGAGGAGTTCCAGCAGGGGGTGTTCGTGTAGGGACTTGTGACGGGGAAGGTTGTAGGTGTGTATTCTTCTTTGCCGTTTATTAGGAGGGGAATCGTTGGTAGGTCGGTCATCTTGGTGGGCTGGTAGGTATGGTTGTAATCGTTGGATGGGGGGTATAAGACAGTTTGAGTACAGGTGTGAAAGTGTAGAAGGGCAAACTACATCAGTTTACCATTGAGAGAAGTCAATGTACTCGCAGTCGAGAACCCGGCCCCACCATTCAGCTACCCTCTAATACGAGTGGAATCTTACAAGGATGTGGAAGTCTTGGTAGTATTGGAGTCGTGAGTTGATTTGATTATCAGTATGAAGATCCCTTCCTAATTGTTGAACCGAGGCCCCCGATAAATTCATCCAGGGCCCACTTCCATACCGACAATCCACAAACTATTCATTTATCACCGCAGAAAGTGCATCATTGTTCGGAGAATATGCTCTTGAGTATATACCACCGTTCTGTCGAGGACTCAAGATACCCATCACGAACGTCATGTCACACCCCGCTGTGGCTGAAAGGCCCGCGCTCTGCCCCGCATGTTAGGGTCAACAGCAATTTAAGTTAGGAGGGGATAGTGGCATTATGAAAAGGAAGCGGCTGTTACTGTTATTGTCAAAACTGAGTCATTAATGAAGCAGGAGTGGTTGACGCGAGAAAATCAAGATCAAGATTGAGCAATGATCAAGGAGACAGACTCCGCATGCTGCCAATAGTTTACCCCATCGCCAACCTGTTCTTGACGGGCGCAATCTTTACGCGTCGGGCTCCACAGTCTCAGGCATCTGCCGGCTGGGAGATGACGATCAGTTCTCTCTATAGAGTATGCATGCATTGGTTCCATGTTTCTGATGTGGTTCAATTAAAATTCAAATAGATTAACTTGTCGACATGAGTGAAGTTAACAGCCACGATATATATACACATGCGCGGTCGGACCTCTACGAGTGTTCTATTTTGGACAGTGCAGAAGCTTCCATGCAGCCAAAATGCCATGTCCCTGTCAATCTTCGTCTATTCTGGAAGGGAAAGTCCGATAAGCTTCAATCGTCTGGTAGATGCCGTCTAGGGCAGGTTTTACTACCTTGTTTCCATGGGTGAATAAGCGACTATTGACTCGGGATCTGCATGGTCGGCCTGTCGCTTTGGGTATCGAGAGTGGATTATCCGGGTCGCTGAAATGAGGTAACGTGGGGAGAGAGGAGAGCCCAGGTAGCGTGCCTTGATCTGAAACGCTGATTACTTGGATGAATCTTGCATACATCCAGATCTATAGCGGGCCCTGGTGCAAAGTACCGAACATATACGAAGTACGATAAGTTCACTCCAGAGTGAAAAGATAGTCAACTGTCGCTAGGTGGAGTTCTCCTATGGAATCTATAGGAATCGCCATGATTTTCAATCCTCACGCGCCACTCACCATATCAGATGGCGATCGCAGCCCCGTCCTTCCCGATTGGGCCTGCAGAATCCACTCTCTAGCAAGCCAAACCCACCTCCGTCTCCACTCAGTCTTCCAACAACAGAAAACATTTGTCATTCTAAATTCACCACCGCGGCAGCCTTCCTCTCTCAGTCAAGATGTGCGGCACTAAATACCGGCGAACCGCAAATCATCGCTCGTTCTGACAGGGCCCCCAACCAAGCCCAGCGCGGTACTAGCACATTATTCGCCTAGCTCCATCGGTTAGCCAGGAACTGGGAACGATAGTGACCTCCACTTCCGTGCAGATCTCTATGCGAGGCGCACGTCTCGGACATGAAAGGTGAGCTGCTGCTAATAATTGACGGGTGCGGTGGAGTGCGCCTGTTTAGATTGGTCCGGGAAGGACAGTCCCGAAGGGTGTCGGGCTGCAGCATATAGTCCACCGGTTGCGATGGACTCGACTTGTACATATCTATGGTGGAGGACGCTCGGGAGGATTGACTCGCTCCAGGAGTTTCATTCTTTCTTGTGATTCGCACCCTCCTGCTTGCTTTGTAGATTCGATTGAATCTTGTCATTCATTTTGTACCAGACGAAGGGCCGCTATCTGTGAACATCATGGCTCCGAGTGCGCGGGGCTGGCAGATGATCGAGATCGTCACCGTTTTGGTGGCGCTGTGTTTTATCTCGGTCGTGTTGAGAATTGTCGCCCGTTTGCAGCGGAGAGTTGGGTTTGGCGTTGATGACTATCTCAGTGTCATATCCATGGTGCTGATGATTGCCATGCTCATTGAGTTGGGACTATGTGAGTTATCATTCAGAGGGATCTATACTAGTTCGTTCAAGCTGATAGTATGCAGGGTGCTCGATCGGAGGCAACGGGGCCCACGTTAAGGATCTCGATGCAGATACTCTGATGAATTACTGGAAGGTATGATCATTCGCAGCCCAGCACACTCCCAGCATCTGACCTGTTGTAGATCTTCCTCGCCAACCAATTCACCTATTTCCTCCTCTGCCCCGCCATCAAAATCTCCATTATCTGCTTCTACCGCCGCGTCTTCACAACCCCACGCTTCCAAACCTTCACCTTCGGTCTAAACTGTCTCATCGGCGCATGGGGGACGGCCATCTTCCTCGCGTGCGCAGGCCAATGCCGCCCACTGCGCGCATACTGGGACCACAGCGTCGAGGGCCAATGCTTCGACGCAAACCTCTTCTTCATCGTCAACCAAGCCTTCAACGTACTCATGGACTTTGTCATTCTCGTCCTCCCAGTTCCCATGATCTGGAATCTACACCGTGCTTGGCAAGACAAGCTCGCGCTGAACGGTGTTTTTGCGCTGGGTGCCTTTGTCTGCTTTGCGAGCATCTACCGCATCGTCGTGCTCTTTTGGATCAGTCCGTCCGACCCTACGTACACTGTCTACCAAGCCACCCTCTGGACACACGTTGAGCCCTCCGTAGGCTTGATCTGTTCCTGTCTGCCGATTATCCGTGGTCTCTTCCCGGCCCTCAAGCTGAAGAATCGATCGAATCGAAGTGATCGCCCGTACTATATCAACACTGACTTGAGCAACTCCAATTTCCTCTCCAAGTCGAGTCCGCGCTCGCCGGATTTGGAGTATATGAAGATGGAAGCGGGTACGTACGGAGCGCAAATTGAGCGTATGGGGGCGAAGATGGGTCATGGTCGGTTTTTGGGTGATGATTTGCATCCGTTGAATATCAAGGTTCAGACTGATATTGCGATTACACCGGAGAGTGGCTCTAATACGTCCGAGAATGGACATACCTAGCGTCAGTGAGATTGTTCTGGGTTTGGATCCTGATACGATGTGATGATTTATACATTCTTTTCTAAGGGGATTGCAGCGGTTGTAGGCTATTCAATCGAGTTTACCGGATACAAAGTTGATTGCCTATCGAAGTTCTCTGCTAAGAAGCGCATCATTCTAAAGCTTTAAGACTTCATCAAGCATCTAACACCAACCTCCACATACCCACTAGACAAAAGTATCCTCAAACGCAAACATAGGCGGCCCCAACGCCTTCGGCGGCCAATCAACCTGACTATCAAACCTCGACTCAAAAGTATACCGCCCCGACCCAACCCACCGTCCTTCCCCATCACCCTCACCAGGAACAATAACACGCGTCCATGAATTCGGCGGAACAACAACCTCCATCTTGAACCGTCCCCCTTTAACCTCCCACGAACACTCCAACCTTCCATAAACGGTCTCATAAATTGCCTCGGCCTGAGTCACCGTGCCCCCGGGAATAGGTTTCACCAAAACCCGCCTCCACCCCGGATCCAACGGACTCACGCCCGCAACGCACTTATGCAACCAGTTAATTATCGAGCCGAGCGCGTAGTGATTGAAGCTCGTCATTTCACCGGGATTTACACTGCCGTCGGGACGCATGCTATCCCATCGTTCCCAGATTGTCGTTGCACCCATGGTGATGGGATACATCCACGATGGACAGGTCTTTTCCTGAACCATGCGGTATGCTAGCTGGGTATAACCGGCTTTTGTAAGTGCGTGCGTGATAATCGGTGTTCCCGCGAAGCCGGTTGAGACTTGGAATTGGGCGCGGCGGACGAGACGGGCGAGACGGGCGCCGGCGTTGCTGATTTGTGTTGGGGTATCGAGGAGGTCGAAGACTAGGGCGAGACTCAGGGCTGTTTGGGTGTCGCCGACTAGGTAGCCCTCGGGTGAGATGTATTTTCTTTGGAAGCGTTTCTTGAGAGTGAGGTAGTCTGTTTCGTAGCGGGTTGCGTCGGCGGCTTTTTCTAGGATGCTTGCGATGGAGGAGAGTACTTTTGTGACGTGCACGAGGTAGGCGTCTGCGACGAGGGTGCCGTCCGTACGGGCGTTTCCTGGTTGATCGGGTGGTGCGGTTGGATCCAGCCAGTCACCGAGTTGGAAGAGGGTATGGTCCCAGAGTCGGTCTGGTCCGCGCTGCACGCCGCGGTCGATCCAGGCTGTCATGCTGGGATATTGACGGCGCAGGATATCGGTGTCTCCGTAGTTTTGGTATAGAGTCCAGGGTAGCAGGACGGTAACGTCGTCCCAGATAGCTTGCGGGAAGACCGGCCAGAGCTCCTCGGAGATAACATTTGGTATGACAAAAGGTGGGATGGCATTTGGTGAGACGAGCTGCTCCGCTGACAGGTCTTTAAGCCAGTCACCTAGCATACCTGCCGTGTTATAGAGGAAACTTGCCGATGGAGCAAAGACTTGGATATCGCCCGTCCAGCCGAGGCGCTCGTCTCGCTGGGGACAGTCTGTTGGGATGGAGAGGAAATTGCCGCGCATACTCCAGGTGGCGTTCTCGTGCAGCTGGTTAATCATTGGGTGCGAACAGTTGAACCAGCCCGTGCGTTTGAGATCCGTGTGCATGACTTCGGCGGTTAGACTGTCGAGGGTGAGAGGGTTGGTGCTCTCCTGGGGACTCCATCCGTCGATTTGAACGTAGCGGAAGCCATGAAATGTAAAGCGTGGAGTCCAGTCTCGGATCTCCGTGCCTGCAGAAATGATCGTGTCGGTACATTTGGCTACGCGGAGAGGGCGAATGCCTAATTCTTGATCTTCGAGGACTTCGGCGTGGATGAGGGTTAAGGTATGGTTGGCTGGTTTGATAAGTGATGGGATACGGATACGCCCAACTAGGTTTTGGCCAAAGTCGACGATCGTCTTTCCCGAAGGTGTCGTGATAATTTTGACTGGCTTGACGATCTCGGTTACTCGCACGGGCGGTGCGTTGGGGGATACAAGTTCCGCTTGAGGGAATTCGGTCTCGCGCGACGCATCCCAGGACTCTTCAGCAAAGGAGCTGTGCTTCCAGCCTTCTTGTTCTTCGCGGGCATCGTACACCTCGCCATCGTAGATCTCACTGGTGATCAAAGCAGACTCATGGGACTTCCATGTGGAATCAGTCACGATAGTCTGCTTTTCCGTTCCCGAATAAATCTCGAGCTGTGCAAGTAGTGCCATCTCATCGCCGTAAAGGAACCGTCGACCACCGTGGAACCCCAGTCGTGTAGCATACCATCCCTCTGCAAGCTCCACTGCAATGGCATTTGGCCCGTTTGTTATGAGCAGCGGTGAGACGTCAAAAGTTTCATAATTCAATCGATGCTTATAGCTCGTCCATCCCGGCGCCATACAATGATCCCCCACGGGGAAGCCGTTGATATACGCCTGGAACACGCCGAGACTGGTGATATAGAGGCGTGCCTGCTTTATAGCTGCTGCAGATAGGGTGAAAGTTTTTCGGAAACGGTGAGGTCGGAGGGGACCTTCTGCTTGCTTGACCATGCTCGTGATTGCCTTTGCCGTCCAATCTTCCCGGTTCAACAGGCCACACTCGACAGTTGTCCATTCGGACCATTCTGTTGGCTCGGCACTTGAGCCACCGTGTGCGCGGATACGAACTTGGGCGGCTTCCCGAGACCGGAGGGGATGGCTAGGCCAGGGAACAAGGACGGATTCGGATGACCGGACGTGATATGATTCTGGGGAGCCTGACTTGCGAGAAACTTCGAGTGTGTATGCCGTTTGCTCCCAATTGGCGATCGTGTCGTTGGTTGCCGCAAACCTCCAGGAAATGCGGGGGTTCGAGACTTCGATGCCTACTCCGGAGGCATGCTGTTCGAATGATACAGACACGATCGATGGCTGTGAAGACATGGTGGGTGACAAAACGCTTGCTAGAACATCTAAACCCTCATGGTTGAATGAAAAGCGAACAATCTTCGGACAGTCATGGTGGTCAGGTTCCGTTGGACATACTCGTGGGTTTCGGGACAATCGCTACCGACCGATAATGCAGTACGCGACCCCCGCACGTCCATTCTACTCGTGTCGCGAGGGCACTCTGATCGAAAGATAACTGAATCAGGGGGATTTCCGACGGAGATCGGACCGATCTACCGTCAAGCCCCACCTCGTCCTCCATCTTTAGTGCGAGAAACGTGGAGTGGTGGAAATAATTCGGGAAGAGGCTAGGATCGGCCGGGGTAGCCGAGTTGCAGTCTCCTTGTAGGTGTGCTAGAGACCTGGCAAGACCGAACCGGTAGTTATAGCCACCAGACCCTGCATAGTTGCTAAAGGCTATCACACTGATCGACTGAGTCTTAGGACTAGAACCAAGTTGCTCATATCCAAAATAACACTCATCTCTATGCCTATACCGTGTACTCATTATCTACCTGCTTCTTGCTTTTCTTATATTTAGGCCTCAAAATCAAAGCGCAGCATGGTAGTAAGAACTGCCTAAATCGGCAGAGTTCTAGATTTCACGGCAGGCACCTTAATTCAGTCACATTCCGGCAAATGCCCGAACGAAGGAGGGGGTTCTCATTTCCTGTTGAACGGCAGAACTTCGGCTGATTGTCCAAAGGGCGCACCCACAAGCCCTTAGTCAAGTAGCCAGCACGCTATGTATGACTATGGAGTCCATTCCCTAGCCGGTGACTAAGTGACCCCGGATATCGACCCCAGACTCAATCGGCTTGCAGTGCGGAGAATGCGATCGGCACTTGACACCATGCAGAGTCGCGTCCCAAACGAAAGGAGGATTCAACCTTCAACGTTACCTATACCATATAATCATTACTGTAGTTCATAATCTTCACGTTAACTCCGGCTTATCCTGAGAAGAATGTCAACGATCGACGGTCAAAGACTACCGAGAAATGGAGAAACGGGGAGTTGCTGGCAGTTCACCCCGCCGAACTCGGCCCGTTTAGCCTTTTGTCGATTTAGCTTTTTCCTGGGCCATTCTTTCGTTCTGGGGTTACGCAACCTCCGCATTTCCAGAATCCCCCATCTTCTGCCCGGGGAGAGACGGCAAGAAAAGTATGGGCTAGCCTGGCATAGTTTAACCTGGTGATGGTCCCATTACTACCTCCGGGGTAATAGATGCCATCTTGAGACAGGGCATGGAGAGTGGGTGATGCATAAAACCCCCCTGGGCTGCTCAGTCGAACACTTGCTTCACCGTGTGAGACTTTATCATCTACTTTCTTGATCACTACTGTTTTATACCCTCATATTCCTCCTTGTCAGCGGTACAATGGAGAAGCCCAGTGCGGACATTGTCGAGGATGCGGATAACCAGCAACTAGGCCATATTGCCAACCAGGAGGATCATGAACTGAACAAATGGCAGAGTCTGAAGAAGTACCCCTGGACATTCTTCTGGTGTACCTATGCCGTCTGGTGCATTCTCCTCGTCAGTTTTGAGAACCAGGCTTCCGGTAACGTCACCGGTATCCCGGAGTTCCGCAAGGACTTTGGCCACTACTATGAGGGGAGCTGGGTTCTTGAAGCGAAATGGCAGTCTGCTTTCAGTGGTGCTCCTGTCGCCTCTGCCGTCGTCGGTGCGCTATGCTCGGGTCAGATTGCCGATGCTATTGGCCGCAAGATGACCATTTTGATTGCTCTTCTCATCAGTGTTGCAGCCGTCACGCTGGAGTTTGTCTCAACTACGAATGAGATGTTCTTCGGTGGAAAGTTCCTGAATGGCTTTGCTGTTGGAGCTTTGGCTTCGGTGCCTGTTACCTACGTCGGCGAGGTACGTATCTCTACGTCTAGTTGCTTTGGCCGAGTTGCTCACGCCGAACTCGTTTCTATAGATCACTCCTCTCGCTCTTCGTGGTACCCTCACTTGCTTGACTGCCCTCGCCTATGTCATCGGTCCCCTTGTAGTCGCCCTCATCACCAATTCGACCGGAACTTATTCAAACCGCTGGGCTTACCGAGCCGTTTTCTGCGCCCAGTACGGCTTTGCAGCCGTCGCCCTGGCCGGTATTGCCTTCATGCCCGAGTCCCCCTGGTGGCTCATTTCAAAAGGCCGCGAAGACAAGGCCCGTCTCTCTTTCCGCAAGCTGGGCTATAACGAGAACGAGAGCACCAAGAAACTTGTTCTGATCAAGACCACTCTGGATGATGTCCGCCAGGAAACTGAGGGCGCCACTTATCTGGAATGTTTCCGGCGTTCTAACCTGCGCCGCACCATCATCTCCATCCTGCCGCTGAGTATCCAGGCCCTCTCCGGTGTTGCCTTTGTGGCCGGTTATTCTACATATTACATGCAGCTGGCTGGTTATAGTACGGCGATGAGCTTCCGACTTCAGATCGTGCAGCAGATTGCCTCGCTCGTCGGTAACGTCATGTCATACTTTGTCATTGACCGCGTCGGTCGTCGCAATGTCATGTTCTACGGTCTGGCCATTCTCACTGCCATACTGATGCTGACGGGTGGTCTGGCCGTTGTCGGATCCCAGACTGATAACCCCAACTCTGCGGGTGCTATCAAAGGAACCGTCGCTTTGATTCTGATCTACTGCTGGTGGTATAACATGACCATCGGTGCGGCGGGATATACCATTCTGACTGAGGTGTCCACTTCCAGACTGCGTATTAAGACTATTGCCATCGGTCTGGCGCTGCAGAATGCACTTTACACGATGTGGTCATTCGTCCTACCTTACCTTTTCAACCCGGATGAGGCGAACCTTGGTGCTAAAGTTTCTTTTATTTTTGGTGGACTTTGTGTCATTTGTCTTGTTTATCTGTGGTTCTTCCAGCCTGAGACTACTGGTAGGACTTACGCTGAGCTAGATGAGATGTTCATGAAGAAGGTGCTCGCGAGGAAGTTCAAGACTTACACGACTGATGCCGAGGCTATGGGTATTGCTGCCAAAGGAGATCATGAGATTAGGGTTTAGTTGATTCGAGGATGCCCGTGGTGTCACATTTTGGGGTGACAGGGAATGAATATACGTATCCATTTACAACCTTATTTTGTATCTACAACCTTGCTAGTCTTGGTCTACCCATGCTCTGACGAGACCCTTAGGAAATACTACGTGCCTTTTGGGTTCAAGCACTGTGTGGCCAGGCACGAGATAAACTGAGGTGTCTTGTAGCAGCAGTACACAGGTGGGCAGATTGCTTCACCGAAAAGAAATTCCTGGAAATTGCACTGGAGACATGTGCGTTCCAACCGCGGTGCTGGGGGAGGGAGTATGGCGAGTTGATCAAGCTGGAGCAGCGAGTAGCGTGGTTCCATTAGATCTGCATACTCTTCTCGCCAGAGGCTAGACCAATGACATCACAAGACAGAGAGAGCAAAATTAAGATACGAGACCTTTTGAATTTGGATTCCTCTTGGAAGCGGAGGAAACTACCTTTATACAAGGAGCAAAGAGCCTCACGAAGTATTCCAATCAATCAGGCGGCTACTGTAGATTGTTCATGAGTGTGTAGAGTTGGCATCAATTCGTATCTTGTCGTCAAAATATCTGGTCTATCAATGCACCATCTGGCTAGTAGCAAAATCCTGGGACAAGGTTAGCATAGCGTTCATGTTTCACAGATCAACAAGCTCTACTCACCGGGAACTGATCAGCAATGCTAGTAGCAACACGTTCAACGTCTTCGGCAAGCTCCTGCACTCCTTGGTCCCATTGCCGCAGACTGGCCCCATTTGCACCGGATCCAGCCGCAAAGTCCGAGTCAAAAGAAATTATCCCATCAATTTGGTCAATTCGACCACGAAGACGACCCTGTTCCACCATTCGCGCAGCATAAGCCTCTGCCTTTTCTCCGGCGGAGAAGTCAGCTGATGATTTGAGTCCCAAGATCTCGCCAAGGGCATCGACATTGATGTTTTCGTAGAGCTTGCTTGCGGCAACCAGGTTGTGTTCGATGACCGCCTTGTCAAGAACGGTGATACCGTCGGCGGTAACAGCGAGCTGATGAGGGGCAAGCTTCTTTGAGAATGCAGCGACTTCGTCAGCATTAAGCAGTCGGTCGAGGAACATCTTCTCCAAGATCGAGAATTCGTCTACTGATGAGGCACGGTCATCCTTGTACAGGCGAGAGAGGGAACGTGAACGCTGGGGGCCTGCGGGAGCCAGGACTGCGCAACGGATGGCCGCCGAAAGCGCGGCAAGTCGGTCACCCTCATCGACTCCTGGGGCTAAGCTGACATTGAAGTATTCCTGTGCGGCGTCTAGGAATCGCCGGCGGGCATCGAGAATCCGAGCCTGCGAGAGCTGGAAATACAGCTTGGAATCGTGGTCTTCGAGCTTGCTGGGGAGGTTCTTGATGCGATTCAGGAATCCTTCTGCACTGGTGGTGTCGTCATCCTCCAGGTAGTATCGCACGATGCGAATCCACAGTCGAGCCTTGGCCGCATCGGACACCAGTCGCTGAGAGCTGTCAATGTTGATTCCGGATAGCGCGCGCGCCGCAGCACTATATTCTTCCTCTGACTCGTATGCCGCAGCTAGGATTTCCCGGATCTGTGAATCTTGTTCCTCTACCGATGTGGCGCGCGTCTGAAGCAGTGTGACTGCGTGTTGTCCCGTCTTGATCTTGACTTCGGGTGGGAAATTTTGCAGGGCAGCGATGAAGGAATCGAGGAGAGGACGGACGGAAGCAATGCTGATGTCTTCATTCAGGATGGAGTCGAGGTAATAAACAATATCTTGGGCAAGCTCATCGCCGGATGACCTAGATACGATGTCGTTGAGGAGGCTATTGTATTGTTCGAGCTTGGTGGGCTGGTGGGAGAGGGTTTCGATGGATGCTAGAGCTGCAGCAAATTTTTGAGACGCCATGGTTGATTGTGAAGGGCTGTGTTTTTGGAGCGAGAGAAGAGATGGCCGTCGCCCGGCGAAACTCAGACCTGTGAAGCTGTAGAGATGGGGGAATGCGGTGGGTTGGAGATGGAGAGTGGATGGTGGGCTTATCGATAAGCAAAGGCGGAGAAGACATACAACAACATTCGCATCAACGGTGCTGGACACGACAGAAGGATGTTACTTTTGCTTTGTGATAGAGTATTGATTACAGCGTGTTTGGAAACAAGCGCATGTGAGCTTGAGACTCTTTGTTTCAAGTCGAGTTTGACTTTTGTTGCACAGATATATAGTTGTGATACAAAGATCTAATTACATTGCTTCGGTACAACCACCGAGGTTAGCGATATAGACGATAAGACAATAGACAGTAATCCTGTAGGCCGGCTGATAATTGATTTGCATATTGCTTCGTAATAATAGCGGCATTCTTATTTCAAATAAAAAAAAAAGAAAGACGGCTCCGATGAAGTCATCACAGACAGAACAAAGTGATAGAGAGGCTCTTTCACTCACCGCCTGCCCAGTAAAGCTGACCAGTTGATTCCATTCTGGCAGCTCTCTGCCCGCTTTGTGGCGTAATTTCAACTTCACCCTTCTCACTCCTAACTCTCTCCTCCACTCTCTTTTCTCGTCGCATATCCCAACTCTGTCTCTACGCCATCGCGAACTCGATTATTTTCCTTTTGCAACCCCAATTACGACTGCGCTCGCTTTCTCCCACCTTCGTCATGGCCCAGGTCAAGCCAGACCCGGATGCTATGTACATCAAGCCCGATCCTGACAGCAAGGAGGCAGTCCTTGCAGACCTGGAGGATGATGATATCTACGAGGATGCGGGAGATCTAGACTTTTCAGCTTCAGCACAGAACGTGTGGCTCTCACGACTGCCTCAGCAGCTCTGGGACCATTGGGCGACAATGGATGAGAATGCGGATGATGATGAGGAGATTGAAATTGGAACGATCAGGATAGAAGGTGAACCAGGGGATCTCAAGCGGGTATGTTTTTTTTTCGGTGAAATCTTCCAGTGCGCGGATTCTCACACTCTTTTGATACGTTTAGGTTAGTCTGCGAATTCACAAACGCGAGGGCAACGAGGACATTCCCAAAGATTACACACTGCAAAAGCAATCTATGTCCACAAATGCGGCACACATGACCAAAAATACCTTTGTTTTCACGGAAAAGGACATCCCCGGAGTTGAGAACCGGTTGGCATCGTTCGGAGAGAAGCGCTCAGCGTTATACGAAGCTATGAAGCGCGACGCACGGAGGAGGCAACAAGGCAAAAAATGGGAGCCCTACGTTCGAAAGACAGTTCCAAGTATGTTAGGCCTGTGGTCCTCTGGCTGTGGCAGTTTTATTGACATTCCTTAGAACAAACGGCCCTGGTCGGACAAGTCAGCGAGGAGTTTAACCTCTTGCCGGTCGAGAACGAAGAACTAAGACGGATTTCCGAGAAAGCAGCTATTCAAGCTCTGAAGCCAAAGGAGAAGGTCCAATATGTCGATGATATCAGCCCCGACATTACCAATGCAGCTATTCTCCTGCCCTCAAACAAGGGACACTTTGTGGTAAGTTTTGAAAAGTACCTACTCGTTGCTTCTTCAACTTCTAACAACATTCCCAGCAACAAACCAAAATTACCAAGGCCAAAGCCCAAGAGAACAAGTCTACCCGTATGCCTCAAAACGAGCTTTTGGACCGTATCTTCGAGTGCTTCCGAGAATTCCGCTACTGGCCATTTAAAACCCTCAAGGCCAAGCTGCAACAGCCTGAGTCCTATCTCAAGGAGACTCTGGAGATGGTTGCCCATTTGGTCAAAGCAGGTGACTTTGCCATGACATGGGAGCTGAAGCCTGAGGCTCAGCACGCGAACTATGCTTCCATGTCCTACGATAACGTCAAGGACGAGAAGCCGCCAGATATGGATGACTATGACGATGCTTCGGAGGAGGATCCTACTGCTTCAGGCATGATAACGGATCATGACTAAAAAGAAGCTTTAGTGAAGCTATCCACAATTTGTAGTAGATTTAGAATCTATCGAGATTAATATATGTTATGTGAAAGCACAATTGTGGTAATGCGATATGTTATAATCAATGCTTTGGCAGCTTGCGTCCTAGAGCGAGCTTGCTTGTCTCATTGTAGATTTTGGCAAGTAAATGAGTTCGAATACGCCGAGGAAATTTAGCTGCGCCTCTGCAGGTTTACGCGAAATGGTCCAATCAAAGCTTCGCCAGTAGATTAAGACGTGCCTATTGTCCGGATACTTGATGGATTGTACTTTCTCGCTGTGTTTGTCCCATATCCAGTCACGTGATGCGATTGATAGAACCAAGGTCATGCACGTGATCGAATACGCCACTAGCGGCTATGGGCACGAGTCGTCATCCGAAGCTCCCAATTTCTCAGCGGCTCACTCATTCCCCCCTCAGCATTTCTCTCTTAAACCTCCAGTCAGCTCGTAGACTGAAGTTTATCTTCCCGTCTTCTTCATACACCACTACTAACCACCCAGTCCCTAATTTCATCAGCTCACCATGACAGAACATGATGATCTGTTGGCCAAGATTGGCCAGCTTGCTGGTAAGCATTTCTTGCCCTCGGTACAATCTCAGCAGTACCGCTGACATATCACTGTTGTAGGTCAAATCAATAGGCACAAAACCCAGTCTTCCCAGCCTTATCAGCCTTCCTCTCACCAGTCGCAATATGTCTCTCGTCACGCACCCTCTCACCCAGGCTGGGCACCTTACTCTCGAGGCAGAGGAAGAGGTCGCCATGCGGCACCTCATCGCAATCGCACCTTAGTTCTAAACAACGGAACGCCTGGATCTGCTCAGAGTAATATCTCTTCTCCTGGCCCATCCAGTGACAACGACGGTGAGGCGCGTCAATCAACAACCTTCAACGGCTGGGTTGCCAAGCGCGATCGTCATATGCAGCTGATCAACTCCGCTGTCTACGATAAGGAGAAGCAAGCTCGCGCCAAGGCGATGGAGGAAACTCGCAAGTTCAAGGAACAACGACGCACTGAGCGCGAACAAACCAAGGTTCTTCGGTACGCACAGGCTGTCGGAACCGGGGCGACTGTTTCGACAATCGCGCAACCAACGGCTGCTCACCAGATCCTTGTGAATGATATTCCTTTCAAGATTTCACACGGTGGCAGCAAGCTAGTTCGTGTAGCAAGTACGGGAGCCTTGCATGATCCACGTGTCCCTGGAACTGGCTTACCCGTTTTAGATGACCCAAACACCGCCAAAATCACACCAAAGCGAGTCAATGTGGCTGGTGTGACATTCGTCCGCAGCAAAAATGGCAACCTTCACCGACTTGGAGCCGTAGCCTCGAAAAAGTGCGTCGTCGACTTGGTAAATACTCGAGCCTATGCTAACCGCCATCAAAGACTTCCCACCACCGTCAAGAAACGCAACGAGCTCTGCAAGAGATTCACCTCGACCGGTATTTTATTTTCCAACGGACCACACCCTGCTCCGCTACCCCCTCCACTCTTTGTGGATACTAACTTACACTCACCATTTCTAGGTACATGCTACAAGGGGCCGTCGTGCCCATTCGTCCACGACCCCAACAAAGTAGCCATCTGCAAGGATTTCCTTCAGACAGGCCAATGCAGTGCCGGTATGAGCTGTGACCTTTCCCACGAGCCCTCACCCCATCGCTCTCCCACTTGTATGCATTTCCTTAGAGGCCGGTGCTCCAACCCTGACTGCCGCTACTCGCATGTCCGGGTGACACCCGGCGCCCCCGTTTGCCGCGCCTTCGCAACCTTAGGATACTGTGAGAAAGGTGCTTCCTGTGAAGAGCGCCATGTACACGAGTGCCCGGACTACGCCAACACCGGTGCCTGCCATAAGAAGCGCTGCCAGCTGCCCCATGTCGATCGTGCTGGCCAAATCCGCAAGGCCGCTGCTGCCGCGGCAAGAGCTGAGGCCTCGGCTGACAATGAGGATGAGTCTGACCAGTCTAGCGAGGAAGAGGATTATGACGCGATTGACTCGGATGATGTTGACTCGGACGAGTTTGACGACGTATCTGCAGAGCTCCTTGAAGGAGTGGACAGTGGTGAGACGGCGCAGCAGCATGATTTCATCAAATTCTGAACAGCAAGATCCCAAGATCATGGATCAGACATAGTTTTCTGGCGATTCTGTAGTTGCCTGGATAGCGTTGTTTTGTCCCCCTTTCTGCATCGTTCCCTCCCCTCGGATGGTTCCTATCAATATTTATGATACCCCGGAAGAATAAGAGATTTTGAGCAAAAGAAAAGAAAAAAGAGGAAAGACTAGAGAGATGACAGAATGGAATATTATTAGTACATAAAATCCTTCCCAGTAATTCATGATGAGCTGCTCGTCAACGTCGGTATCATCGTAGTAAAGGTAGCGAAGGGTCGACCAGAATTGTGACCGATATATCGCCCCGATCCCAGCTCATGATCTAGAGGCATGTCTTGCATAAGATCCGGGCAACGGCTTAATGATGAGAAGGACAACGTCAAGGAGATGGTCAAGATGGTCAATCAATCTCTAAAAACCCGAGGAATAGAGTCACTTTTTAGTAGTGTGGTCAAGCTTTTAGAGAGATCTAATGCCTCTCCTCAAGAATTTATGGGATCGCCAAGTCCATGACCATGGAAATGTATGTTAGAGAAGGACCTCAGTCAAGTCGCTAATCGACAATCATCTCAGTACTCATCTAACATACTATATAGTAACTCTAGAAGCTTTCTAGTTTCTCGTAATATACGACCATCTGGTCTTTGCTATAGGCTCTTTTTCCACCGAAGCCGATGGGCTACTGCAAACCTCCACCCGACTCTTCAAGTACTTTAAGGCTATTGAGAATGATGTATGCCCGCAAGCTGCCCAGAGCGGGTCTATACATCTTTTCTTGCGTCTAGATATTGACTCGAACTGTATATTTCTACGAGTCACTCAATGCTTAAGCATTCGTAGATCTATATACCACAAACGACAACCTTCCAAGCCTACCTGGAGGAAGAGTGTGTACTTTGTCGGTCCATGTGCGGGTGACAATACCATTTCCAGTTGCGCCGCTGAGCTGACAACGGTGCATCAAGTCCCGCCCTCCATTCGATCATACCCTTACCATCGTGATCATTCCCTTGAAGTCCGCAGTGAGAGTTCAAGACAAATAGTAAACCCCACAAGCGCCGCCCTCACCCCGTCTATGCATAAACCAACCATGTCGACACGGACTCAATATCCGGGTAAAGGTACCGATCGCAATACCCCTAAGATTCAGTCTTCCTACCAAATGACTTTCGATATGGCTAAACTGCAGCGTTCCCGTCCGGCTGACCGATAAAGCCCGCGACGTGCTAGACGGGATGATACAGTTTCCTTCGACTGAGTCGTAGGCCATTCCGGCAGTTCCTCCGGTAAATCTGATCATCTTGCTCTTGTGACTGGGTGACGTCCCGTTCGCATTTCCTGCGCAGCTCGTTTCGGTCAGATGTTTTTGTCTTAGATGATCATGATAGTCATGTTGCGTATGATTCCGATCTGGATCAGAATCATGGCTTTTGTTTCGCCTTCTGTCTAAGCTAAAGTGTATTCGTATGTAGCGCTACATATGCGTATGTATGTTGATGTCTATTTTCGGCCGTAGGCGCGGGGTGTGGGTAGCTTGAGATTTTGATTTGAGTTTTGTGCATTCGGCGGGTTGCTTCGTGGGAAGAGGGGGAGAGTTCAGGACGTAGATTTGGCCGAGACACCCGCGGTATTGTCGATGTGAAGTTGATGTCTTGTTTTTTCGATGCAGTATGTAAAGGCGATCATCGGGTAAAAGGATTCTCGGGAATGTCAGTGGTATGTTTTGGGAACAGTTCCGATGCCTTTTTGCGTTTGCCTTGTTTTGCTTTTGCGGTGCTTAGATACTCTGATCCTACTTGGATGATTCTGGTCAGCTTGGGGAGCTTGGGGAGTATTGGATTTCCAGGATGGTCCGGGTCGGAGGAAATTGGTGGATGTTGGAATTTGATATTGTTTGGAGTTCTGGTGTTCGGTCGTTGAGTTGTTGGAGTGGCATTCGGATTGCGTGGCGGTCGTTATGACGGGCTACTTAAGGTACGAACGTCTTTTGTGAGATTCTTTTCCAAGCGCATTAGCCTGTCGTGTAAATCAGATGCGGTAGAAACTTGGGTCTTGTCGTAGATCCTGATTGTTTTGGTGTGAGACTTCATCTGAGACTAAGACATGACAAGAGAGTGTAGAGCTGAGGGCATCTAGACAAGGAATAAGTATAGAAAAAGCTCAATATGAAAAAAAAGACAAGAGTCTGAGACTAAACGAGTGTGTAGGAAACTATAGTTCTGCCTTTAGAGCTGCTCCATAAATCTCCTATAGAGAAACAATCAAGGAAAACGCCTACGACCCCGAAACCAACCCTCGAAATGAGTCACACTCACGACTCTCGAACGACGTCAATTATCAACCACCAAATCTCCAGGACAATAGCGGTCTACAATCAGACAACCCATCACCATCACCGACCTTCTCCCATAGGTCCCATCGCCGCCCATCCTCATCAAACACAACCCCTCAAAGTGGAAACTCCATCTCGAATAGGAACTCCATCCGCCTACCACCCGGCCAAAGACGGCCTCTTTCTGTATCCCACTCCAAACCAACTCCCCCCTCCAAGCCTAAGTCCAGGCTTAAGCCTAAGCGTACCTAACTCTCTCATAGACTCTGGTCCACAGTACCCCCGGAAGCAGCTTAAGCATTTTTCGAAACCCCCCCCCCCCATCATGTGCCTGCCAATGACGTCCCGAGTTCCCGAAGTGAAGAATGGATCACATCACGTTAGGCAGGGACGGGGATCCCCGTCAAGGGGAATGGGCTAAAGTGAGGCTGTGGGATGCACGTTTCAGAGCGTTGGGCCTCCACTGTTTGTGGACGGGTCCCTCCTTGCACTGGAGCTTATGGGGTGTCTGATTATTACTATTGGTAGGGAGGAGCTGCACAATAGTACAGTAAGACGTAAAGACTATAGACGACAGACTACAACCTGTAGTGGATGGGATTCAGTGGAAGGGCCGGGCCCAGTTGCTTGTTTGGAGGTGGGGGTATTGGTGGGGGAGTTGTTTAGCACTGTAGTGTAGTCTACTGAAGATCTGTAGGTGAGTCATTCTGGCACAGAATATCGTGAAGATAGAGAGTTCCCGTTGTTGGAGGTACACACCGTTGTCTATCTAGATTTTACTCAGAGATTCTTTAGACTGTATAGATTATAGATGAGAATATCTGATATTGCAAAGAAACCTTGTCCAGCAGCCCAAACTAGACCCCAAAACAGGAAAATCCAAGATCCCGAGATCCAGGCTCATCACGAACTGGCCAGTCACCGAGTCCATCCTCACCATCAGCCGACATCACTGACAGCCCCGTTCATGTTAGGAGAGGGAGACGGGATGATGTATAATCCAACCACTGCGCCATACGAGCTGGGCTACCACTAGCCCATCCCATCGGATGAACGGCCAAGCCCAAGGTACGTTGACTGGAGAAGCACATCATCACATCCACACTCGGCTCTAGGTACCCTCCAGTCTCCCTATCATATGTACAATACTGTAGGTACAAGGTACGGCGCGCATGACAGTCTCTTTCACTCCCAACCTACAGTACAATACGAAGCACGGGGCCACAAGGCACAAGGCACACGAACCCCCCAATCCAGCCTGACGACTGGCTACTGGAAAAAGACCACACATAGCCAGGTCAGCCCTCTCCGCCAATCTTTGCTCAGTCGATACTGTAGTCTCACTCTCTGTCAGGGTGAGGGTCAGTGAATCCAAGACCGATCTCGGTCTGAATCTCAATTGGATAAGGTGGGCGCTTTCACCGCCATCTGGGAACCTGGTCCAAACGGGGGCCCTGGGGCGATTCGCGAGTCGCGGTTTACGATTTCCCAGAAACGGGTGACGGGTGACGCCGGGTCCGTCAGCGGGGCCGGGCCTATCAGCAGGGAGAGATGGGATAGTCGTGTTCCCCGTTGGTGGGTGGTGTGGTTGTGATGGTGGGGAGGGATGAATATGAGTGGTCGGTCTATGTATAGAGTGCGAACGGACATTGGAAGGTTAACAGATGTGATGTACGGGAGGATGTACTATTGTGTCTGAGCGTGTGAGAATAGGAACGGGTAAAAATTGTGCGCTTAAGGCGGTGGTTTGGTTTGGGGGGTTTAAGGGGATAGACGGTGTTTTATTGGTAGTTTGGGTGGTTACTTTATGGCTTTAGGATTGAGATTTGAGTGATGACGGTGATTTTTTCGGATAGTAACGACTAGCACTTAGGAGCGGTTCTTTGGTGGGCGAGTTGACGGGATGGACTAGAAGACTAGGCTGACAGTGAACATCGCATCACGATGGCATCATCGTTCGATCCAGGAGTTTTCTGGCGAGTGGCCCTTAGCTGTTAGTAGACTAGGCAGTAGTATGATGGTGAGACGGAGGGAGAGCAGGCTCGTCACCAGAGCCGTCGGCGGAGGGGGAATAGGCGAGTCTAGCTGGGGGGTGTTTGGTCTTAGGGGCCATGAGGGCGGCCTTGGGAAAGTATCTCCGGCGGCTGAGCCTGGACTTCAACCTGAACTTGGCTCTTGCAGTCATTGGAAGTCCCGATCAGGGCGTCATCCGGAGGGGACGAGTGATCAATGCAGAACATCCGTGCATCGCAGGCTTTCTCAGGGAAATAATTCTTCTGCAAGAAGGTTGGAACCATGGGCAAGAGGGGAGTGGATCACCGGCGGGCCGGACCCGTTTGGCTCCATCCGAACCAGTTTGACGAGTGGGAAGTAGTGACCGGTCCGGAGGAAAGAGTACGGACTCCAGGAGGAGCAGAGAGGAGGTCGAGGAACAGAATGACAGGAAGCACGGACCCGAGTCTCAGCGGGCCGTTCAGGAAGTCGATCGATAGGCTCTCGTTTATCGATAAGCCGGGCGAGGGTCTGGGTTAGGTAATCCACCTAAAGTGAGCCCTACCGAGGAAACACTCGACAGAGACAGAGCCATTCCTTGGATCGTCCCACTCCGATCTATATCCTATAAGATCTCCTATCACATTGGGCTCCCATCAGAATAAAAGGTTATTGCCGCATTGGGAACGTCCAGAAACAAGTCCATTCATGAAAATAAAAGAAAAATAATCCAAATATCCAAATCAGATCCCATGTCCCCCAAAATGCACGTCTGCCCAAGAGGGGCAAAGCAGCCAATCGTAGCCGTCTGGTCTGTCCGGGGCCCTGCCCTCCATTCCCGCGCAGACCGCTGGATGTACCGAAGACTTGCAGAGCAATGAGAGAGTCATACTCTCCCCCAGAAGGGAAGCAGGTACCTGCTACCAGATCACGCTGCGAGGTTCAGCACGGGCATGCGCCTGCTACAATTAGCCTGCATCTCCCCCCCCCCCTCTGTGGTGAACCCAAGTGACTACGACTGACATAAACTAAGTTACGACCAGGGTATCTCCTCTATTACCCTCCTCCTGGACAATCACCGTACACAATTTGGCCGGTACAGTCAACCCATCTATACACACTCCGATCCGCCCCTCCCCTCCTCCTCTTTCGTCTCGGTCGGCAGATCGTGATCTTCATTTTCGATCTTCTCTTTCCACCCTTCGATTCTCTTCTCCCCATTTATCGTCATTTTTATCATTGTACTTTCTCATCTTCACCTTTTCATCCCATCTTTATCGTTCACTGTTATTGTTCCCCGCCTCCCATATTCCTCACCCACCTTCTCTACTACACACCGCCTCTTCACGATGGCTCGATACGCCCAGTACGATTTCTACCAACAATCCCCCTCAACACTTGACGTGCCTCCGTCCGAAGAAGATGAAATGAGTGTTCTCGACGATAAAATCCTCGACTCTACCTCCCCAGGTCTCTCCGACCCCCGCCGCCCCTCCTACGACACGGATGCCGCCTTTTCACATCGCAACTCCGTTTGGTCCAACTACTCTCATGCCAGTTCCGACCAGTCCCAGTCCCGACCAGCCCATCTCTCCCACTCCGTCCTCGACTCAACGGGCGCCCAGTTCATGACCGTCGACGGTCCCCAGTCTTACGTACAGCCCCAGCCCTCATCGTGGTCCCTCTCCCGCACCGCCTCCGGCTCATGCACCCCAACCGCGTACGACCAGTACCCCTCCAAGGCAGAGCAAAATAATGCCTCGGGTCCGTTCTCTGGTGGTGCCGTCGGTCCGGTGGGTGTGATCCCGATGGGCCCGGTTTCATATCGCGGCGCGGTGAATTTTGCCGCACCGCCTGGAACGGGCGGGGTGGCCATGTCCCCGCAATCGAGTCAGGGCTGGATGCCCGCGCCCATGGATTTGGTGGATGCGGCGGCCGCCAAGAGCAGTTCGTATCGGAATGGGTCGCCGTTGACGCTGCGGCGGGATGGGATCCGCAAGAAGAATGCGAGATTTGAGATTCCTGCGGAGCGCACGTTGAGTAATATCGACCAGTTGATTAGCCAGTCGACAAATGAGGAGGAGGTGAAGGAGTTGAAGCAGCAAAAGCGATTGTTGAGGAATCGACAGGCAGCGTAAGTCACACTCGGGTGAGGAGACAGGGTTTCTGTATCTAGAACCGTGAACTGACCGCTCTAACTCACAGTCTTGACTCGCGCCAACGCAAAAAACTGCATACGGAGAAACTCGAAGAGGAGAAGAAACACTATACCCATACCATTACTCAACTCGAGGATATAGTCTCCAGCCTGCAGAAGCGGGAAGCCGAGTTGATGCGCGAGAAGAGCGAGTGGATCGCTCAGCATCAGCAGATCACCGCCTACCTCGAGAACATGCACATGGAGAAGGATGAAATGATCCGGGCGCATACCCTGGAGACAGCCGAGCTGCGCAAGAAGAACAATCTCTTGCTTGAGACGGTTGAGAAACTCGAGCACGGCGGCAAGCCTACCATGGCCGATCAAGCTCAAGCCCATGCCCACGTCCAAGCTACCGATTTCACCGGCTTTGAAAACCTGTCCATGGATACCACGCCTTGGGACGAGTTTAGCATGGCAAATGGTCTTCCCCTGCCGGATACCATTCCTACTTCTCACGGTCATCCCCATGCCCACGCCCATGCTAAGCCGCACTCGCAGTCACAGCCTCTCCAGGTCACCGAGCGTGCAACCGACAAGCCCGCCTCGGACTACCCCTTCAGCTGGAACGCCTTCTACATGTGCCTCCTCTTCGGGGCCTTCATTGCCTCCAACGCCAACACCAACCTCGCCGGCCGCTCTCTTCCCCAACTCTCGGAAGAGTACCGTGCCGAGTCTGCCAACGTCCTCAAAGCGGTCCTCGCTTCCTCCCCATCAGATCTCCCCCACCCCTCCGCCCTCGCAGTCTCCGCATCTGCACCCCAGCCTTCCATCACCATCGACATGAACCAGATGGGTCACTCGCACACACGTCCCTCCACGCTGGACGAGTTACATGATACACTCCTCCTGCCCAGCGAGGAACAACAGCGTGCGCAGGTCTTCGCCCTCAATGCGGATCAGTATAACTCGCTGACCACCTTTGAGGATGATGGTGCGTCGTTCAAGCCTCAGCCGTCGAATCTGCAGGCTGCGTTGGCAGCTATGCGGAATAATGCGGCCCAGCATCGTGTGCATACTGGCGAGGACGTGTACTCGCGCAGCTTGATGTGGGAGCGCGTGCCGGAGAAGGTGATTCGTGACTTCCGCCGTATGGTGCAGGAGTATGGTGGTGGTCCTGTCAAGGAGATGATGACCTTTTAAATCTCGAGGGATTATAGCATGGCCTTGGAACCCTGAGAATTTGGATAACTCAGGGCTCTCTTATGACTAATGCTTAACCCCCTTCACTAGAGGTTACTCGTCATGTTTCTCGGTCCTAGCCTGACATCTCCGTTCTCTACTCCTCGCTCGTGACGCTTCGTCGGACCTTTCCGACTTTTTCATTACGACAGGAACCAGCAATGGTTCTCAATTACGCTTGGCCAATCCCGAATAGAAAACCAGCGCCCCTAAGGAGCCTACCCGCCCTTTTTTTTTCCTTTGTACTCTGATATGATTTCTCTATGATTTGTTTTCAACACAATCCCTTTCATGTGTTTAGCGAATAGCGATTTGTTTTTGTTTTTTTTGCTTTTGACCTTTTCGACTCTTCTCACCATGCCTGTTCTACCATTCTTCTGTGTTTTTTGTGTTCTTTGTGTTTTTCGTTTTCCAGCGTTGTGTTTAGCGTGGCAGGAGCGGCTTTTCCTTTTGTTTTCTTTTTGGGGCTTGCGGTCATCACTATCATACGGAAATCCCCTTGGGCGGTGGCATTGGATACGAGAAACGAAACGAAATGTGAACTTGAACATGTTCGAGCCTTGAATTCTTCTTTGGTCTGGTTATTTTGAAATCTGGGATTCGGTTTTTTGGGTTTGGGATTGTGTACAGACAGATTATTTGCGTCACTGATGATGTGATATGAACATGGTTCATGTGTTACGAATTTATGAAGATTCGATCCGCCTTTTTGACGCGATCATGCTGTTTCTGGTTTTGATCATTCTTTTCTTTGCTTATTTCTTCTATTTGCGTGTCCCTTGTTGGACTTTTGGGCGGTCACTCTCCGAGGTTATGGTGGGGAATTCTTTTGGATGGTTCTTTGGGTCTACTCTATTTTAACATTGTCTTTTTTTTTGTCTTCTCCTCGGATTTGATCTTTCTCTTTGGCGGTCGACTCGATAGTCATCTCTTCCTGGACTCGGGGTTCTCTTTTCTTTCCGTCCTTTGGCCTTTTCGCACAGCATATTGTTACTACACGCCCGTGGGATCGGCGGCGACGCCTTGGATGAATGTTACGAAGATACGATATGACCATACAATTATGATATTCGCGAGATGTGATGATTTGGACGTGGATGAATACAATCATAACCATCACTATGACTATTAGGACTAGTGCTATCCCGCTTACCTTCTGACGGAGTTCGCCTTGAGCCATTACTTAGAAAGTCGCTTACTCTCTTCTTTGCCGATGACTTCTTTACTTTTTCTTTCTCCTCGCTCTTCATTGAATCAATTCACACCCACGGTTCGCGCCGTCTCGGCCATTTACCCTATATGACACTAGGTCTGCCTGGCCGGGTGGGTATGAGCGAATGGAGATTCCGAAATAGGATTATGGCATCGGATGTCTCCGACAGGCTCGTGTGTTATAACTGTGGATCAATTCTGATGCTGGCGCTGATGCTGATGCTTGTAGTTGTGACTGACTCGTCTTGTTTTTCCTCATCAAGGGCTTGGGGTATACCTCGACGAACCACGACACATATCAACCTTGTGAGCAAACTATTCACCGATATCGAAGTGACCAGGGTTCTCTCTTTCCGGAATCATCTATTCGATATGGCCGATTCCTTGGTTAAAAATTGACTTTGCCCTGGCACGCCTTTGCTCCACGTGTAGTCTTAGCCCGGGGGACCTTGGGGGTAAGTCATTATGATGGTGACATCCAATGATCTTATCGAGGGATAGATCCACTATCAAGCCTCTGAGAAAAGCCAAGAGGTACTCCCAAGCCTTTCAAGCCTTTTTCCCAAGAATTTTCAATGGGCTTATTTTCGTAGGCATCGTAGCTGGCAGTCTTAGCATGTTTATGGTGGTGGCGGTGGGCTGTGGCTGTCGCTTCGCGATGGAGAGTTTACTTCGTGATATTGGCAATTATAGGGATTAAACCATCAATCGGTGTTATCAATTTAGCTTGATCACTGCAGCACCTCTTAAGGACTCGTTCGGAGTACCATTGCAGTGTTCGATGTGACTAGACCATGCGACGGGGGCCAAAAATCGCTCGGTTAGAAACTCACCTCCCAAGGTCCTCAGGACGACGGCAGTCCCGAACGTATCTCGCTCATCCAAGCGATTTATAAAATGGACACGAAAATCCTTTCCCTGGTGGCCTTTCTTTCTCAATCCATGTTTATTATTTCCTTGCCAATAATTTCTGGCTTACACCTACTCCTGGCTATCGCCCTCTTTCCTATATCAAATTGGGGCTTCAATCCGATACCAGCACAAGGAGGCACATCACAACCAAGATGGCCGACTTTGACCCTCACAATGTCGACCTCGACAGCGTCGACCCCACTCAAATTGTCTGCTACCTCAACAGTGAAGGCAACGAATACGACGGCCGTCTAGGCGCGCGCATCTCGGCCATCTTCGTCATCCTAATCGTCTCCTCGGCCGCAACATTCTTCCCCGTCATCGCTAAACGAGCCCCCCGCCTCCGCATCCCACTTTACATCTACCTCTTCGCCAAATACTTTGGCGCAGGCGTCATTATCGCCACAGCATTCATCCACCTGCTCGACCCAGCTTACGACGAAATTGGCCCTGCCTCCTGCGTAGGCATGACAGGCCACTGGGCCGATTACTCCTGGTGCCCCGCCATCGTACTGACCTCGCTAATGATGGTATTCCTCCTCGACTTCGGCGCCGAGCGCTACGTCGAGAAGAAATACGGTCTGTGCCGCGATGACCCGGAACCGATCATGGCTTCTGGCGTGGGAGCTAACCAGCTCGGTCTGCGGCGATCAAACTCAAACTCGCACTCGACTTCTGTGTCCGCGCTGGACTCGAAGGATAAGCAGACCAAGGAGGTTGAAGCACAGTCTCTGGACGAGGGCCAACTGGAGCGGTCTTTCCGTCAACAAATCGCCGCCTTCCTGATCCTTGAATTCGGTGTGATCTTCCACTCCGTCATCATCGGGTTGAATCTCGGCGTTGCCGGTGACGAATTCGCGACCCTGTACCCTGTCCTCGTCTTCCACCAGTCCTTCGAGGGTCTGGGTATCGGCGCGCGAATGAGTTCCATCCCCTTCAGAAAGGGGAGTTGGTTACCCTGGGCACTTTGCACGGCGTACGGTCTGACCACCCCAATCTCTATTGCGATTGGCCTTGGTGTGCGGACGACGTACAACCCGGGCTCGTTTACGGCGAACGTGGTGTCGGGTGTCTTGGATGCCGTTTCGGCGGGTATTTTGATCTATACCGGTCTTGTGGAGTTGCTTGCGAGGGATTTCTTGTTTGATCCCCATCGCACTAGGGATGATAAGAGGTTGACCTTTATGATTGTCTCCTTGTTGCTTGGGGCGGGCATTATGGCACTGCTTGGGAAGTGGGCGTGAGCTTGCCGGGTGAATTCTTATTCTGTTGGAATGAGAGGAGAGATGCTAAAAGAGGTCGTGGGGTGGTTGAGGATTTGAGATGCTGAGCGGTGGATGTGGTGTGCATCGCTGTTGCTGTCGCGTCCGTTGTCTTGTATGACCATGCTACGATACCCGATTTCTGATTCTTGATACCTGTAAATTCGATAGACTGGATTTTTTTTGCTTTTGCGATTTGGTTTCGGACGTGGATTTGCGAATTACATCATGTCTTCGCTTTTGTGTGTGGATTTAGGGTTGGAGGACATAACATCTAGGAAAGGAGAATTCTCTTCCCATCGTTGCATTTATCAACCTTGTGAGCCAATGTTGCTACGTCTTGCTATCTCAAATCTTGCGGTTCATGTTTTTTTTAACAATTCCGTTCGTATTCTTCGCATCTGGAAGAGCCAAGTTCTCTACATTATATGGAGGCAGTGGTTTATAGAAAAGACACCCGACCACGTAGAACGGAACCTTGCAAAATGCTACCAGGGTAGTAACTAACCCTGGGTGGATAAGCTTTGAGATTGAATTTCATTGGATTTCACAAGAAATCACATCCCCCCAATGCTGAGACCCTCGGAGACCTAAGTTATCCACTGGTGAGGTAAGCCAGGGGGTCAGCAAGGACTTTTCTAGAATCATATTAAGGTCTTTGAAAGCTATCTACTTCGCCTAAATATGGAGAAATCTTAGAGAAGATAGATAAATAAAGTTTACGTGATCATAGCTTAAGTAACAGCTGATGGTACTATATGTACCTTGACCGGGAGTTCCGTAAATATAACAGTCTTGTTCCTCCGCATCCTTCATCTCATTTGCCTCGTTTCGGGGCTGCTGTGCGGAGCGCGCGTCTCCAGTAACCATTGGGCCAACTTTAGTGGCGGCGATAGGCATGCAGGCACTCTTCTAACTTTATCAGGCCTAGCGTATATTCCAGGTACTCTAGCAATATGTGAGTTGAAATAAGTCGCGAGCTAGGCGGTAGATCCATTCGCACGCCATTTATAGTGAGTCCGCATCCTACTCAGTGAGCTTCTACCCTCTTAGCCATCATCCTTATTACCAAGGCTGTTCTGCTGAAAAGTCCGAGAACCTGACGAAGATCGCGATTACAATATGATTCTCAGCGGTCGCGAAATCGTTACTCGCCTACTGGTACGGAATCTGCGGCATGTCGCCCAGCAGCAACAGCCGTGCGGTGTCGACCTTACTCTACGCCAGATCTCCGAATGGACCTCGGCTGCTACGATTGATTTCGATAACACGAACCGCCAGGCGGCCAAAACTTCTAGCCTGCCTTTCGACCAGACCAGTCAAGCAATTGTGTTACAACCGGGCGCATACTTGGTCGATTTCAACGAAACTGTTCAGGTTCCACGCAACTGTATGGCGAGTGTCTTCCCAAGGTCTTCGCTCTGGCGATCGGGCGTTGGAATCGCTGCTGGTGTGGTTGATGCGGGATATGAAGGCGCTATGGGAGCATTGATGGAGGTGAAGAATCCTAACGGAATTGTTTTGTACAAAGACGCCAAGCTAGCGCAAATTGTCTTTGAGGAGCTGGGAGAAGCCGTCGAGGGATACAATGGTATTTATCAGTCATCTACTACTAGCGTCGGACGGGATGGTGCAGCAAAGGTGTAATGTGCAAGGAATCAAAATCGGGAGTTTCATCCTGTCGTTATCCGGGCGTTTCGGGAGCAGTGAAGACAAAGTCAATATGAACAAAGGCTATCAGACGAAGGCGTGAGCTACTTTAAGGAAGAGCATTTGGTAATTTTTGATCCACAATGTTTTTTTGACGTTGTGAGACGTACACATGCATATATTGAGGCTTTCAATTTTGGGCGGCGTTTATGTTATAAATGTTGATATTATGAGTTCAGAAATTCAACACTGCAATCGGTCTGTGAGAGAATACAGTACCTAGCAGAGGAACTAAAAGCCGAGGTACAATAGACGTGCGATATCGATCTGGATGATGGGTTAGATCTAGCCTAGACTGATAAGGACAAAGACTCCAATTACTTCACGAAGCGCGTTATCGAGTGGGATATTGCTTGACGATTTTTGAAGAACATTAGGTCTTGGATCAAAAACCTCGTCCAGTCCGTCGAAAAAAAGGATTCCGGGCTGTTTCACAGGAAGATTTGACGTCCATCTTGCGTGAGATTCAAGCCGAATTCGGTCCTAAATTTAGATTCTCATAAACTACGATATTTCAAAACTTACCTCATGAGGCACAATGGGTGGAGTCTTCGGTACTGTTACTCGGAGAATCTTACAGCATGATAATGCTTCTACACATCCCGCAAATGTGGCTCGGGAGGCTTCAGCTGAAATTGGGTCGCACATCATTCGCCGGGTTCAAGACCCGCTGGAAAGCTCTGGGCACCTAGCCTTTCGAATTATTCAATGGCTCATCCGCCCAAAAAACCAAACACCTGAATTCGATACTCTCTCTCACCTCTCCATCTTTGGCATCAGGATGCTCAAAAGACGAATGCACCGCCACACGTCCTTCATCCAACCCTCCTACAAGCTCTGAATCAAAGATCTTCATCAAAAGCACATCGTCAACCCCCATGTCTGACAAATAATACCACCTCTGTTCTATATTGTACTTCGCCATCGCAATCTCCCATCCCACTGTCGTCTTTAATCCCTTTTCCCCTCCAAGCGCTTTTGCCCGCGCATTTCTTGAATAATCCATCTGAATAGGCAATAAATCACCTGGTTACAATGTGCTCCCATCGCAGACAGCGAGCGGATCCCGTTTGGTAGTTTTAAGTGGGCGCCAAACATTGATAATCGCCCATGATGTCTTGGCAAGCCAAGAGGCTTCTTCGTGCGGGAGCTTTTCATGAAGGTAGTTCTTTGCTCCTAAAGGAGTGTGGTCGAGGTGCGCGGCTCGTGCGGGGCCAGGCGTCCCCGTGTATTCGCTGTTGAGGTCGGCGAGGGAGGAGCGGATTGTGTGGGAGGCTACTTTAATGTAGGCTGGTTGGGGAGTGATACTTTTTGTGCTCATGTCATTATCTATAGAGCTGTGTCATGTTCAGGGGAGGGACTGTAAACCAACATGTTCTTTAACAACCCCGTTACCTCCGCGTAAAAATCCAATTTAATCTTCGTGGCGTCTAATATCGGGATGTACGCACTGGTATGGGTGATATATTGGAATCCGTTCTTCGATAAAGTAAATTCATCTTCCCGTCCGCGGGCGTCGTGGATTGTTACAGATTGTTTGTCGTTTGCATAACCATAGAAATCGGCAGTTCCGTACATAGTTCTGACAGGAAGGTTGGCGGGGATGAAGTTGATAGTTGACTGGACTGTTTTTCCCATTTTGATTCGCTCCTTCTGGTAAACTGTTAAGCTTGGGGGACTTATTGAGTTTATTGGAGGCTGGTAGGAGGGAAATCGTTGACGGTCAATAGTCTGCAAGAACTTAGAAAAAATATTGGGCCACTCAGTAGAGTTCTGCTGTAAGGATACTCTTAGATGTAGCACCATGCTGTATGGTGGCGTTTGACTGGTCAGCTAATCTGTTTTTCTTTAACCATACGTACTTTACGTGTGATATTCGTGTAACCTAATTATGGCGAGCCACTAACTCGGGCTAGGTATACACCGACAAATCCAGGCCCAGAGTGGATGCAATAATCGCATTAAATGTCCTTACTGCGTTCTACAAGTATGGACGAGGCTACGAGCTTCCTCAAACACTTGACTGGATTCAGAATATCCTACTCAACAGAGCGTACATCCATGGGACCCGGTACTACCAGTCTCCCGAGTGGTTCCTCTACTATGCGACTCGACTACTAGCTTATTCAAAAGATCCAAGTCTCAAGGAGAGACGTGAAGCACCTCTCAGAACACGCCTTATTGAGCGTATAGGAGTCAATGGTGATGCTTTCTGTCTGGGGATGCGATTGCTAGCTTGTAATTCCTTGGGGATCGAGAATACTCCGGATAAGGAACAACTTACCAGCATGCAGCAGGCAGACGGGGGATGGAAGCCATCTGCAATGTATTTTTTTCCGACGGACAAGAAAGAGGTTGGAAATCGGGGTACTATGACAGCGTTCGCTGTTAAAGCTCTCCAAGGTGCACTATAATTTTCTATGTATCCGAATCACTCTATGGGAGCATAATTTTGGCATTGCCAGTAAACAATCACCTAATCAACAACTCAGTCAACTAAGCTAAGCTGTTTCTTGGTGATTAGGTTAAGGAGGCTGCATTTAGGCTGAGTGAGTAAATTAGGATAGTTACTCGGACCGGGCTTAGTGAGTAGGTCACCCTGATTACGTACTGACCACAGAGCAGCTTCGTTAGGTCGCTCAGGGGTCAGCTCAATCCTACTCATTGAGCAAAAGCGGCGAGAAAGTGAGCACTACAACGGAAGGAGAACGCCAAGCGTTGCCAGACAATATCCGGTATATATGCAAGATGTAAGAAATTCGTCAACGTGATCATGACCGAAAAATCATCGGAGCTTTTAGAACTCTGCAAGGGAAAACCTCAAGGTCCATTCATGTCATGCAACCCCCTTATTTGGGATTGTACTTTTCTTTCCAGATCCTGCAAAGCGAAGGTCAGCAAGGCATAGTCCAAAATTTGCAGTCCAGAGGCACGGGTCGATAACATACCAAGAGTTTCCAACCGTAGGACTCCCATTCTCCTCGGCCAGTCGATAGTATTTGGCTGCCTTGAACTACAGTCCCACGACAATCAGCACAACTATATTCTCATTCCTCTCATCATATCTTAATCTCACCTTATCCTTCTTCCCGCCAAAACCCTCCAGATAACACCACGCAATTTGGTCCATGGCATCGGTATCACCCAGATTCGCGGCGGTCTCGTAATACTGCCTTGCGGCAGCGGGATCCTTCTTGACGCCCCAGCCCATGCGGAAGCAATTCGCGAGCTCGAAAATAGCGAGGACCAGCTCGCCTTTTGCAACGCCGCCCTTCTTCATACCTGCACGGAGAGCCTCGGACTCAACAGCGGCCGAGTTTTTGGCCGCAGCCGAGAGGTATGTTACTGCGCGCGCCTCGTCTTTCGTGCATCCCCAGCCGTGTCTAGGCATCGTTAGTATTCAAAACAATATATACCCCATTAGACAATGTCTTACCTCAGAGCTAAGCCGTAGAGAACTTGGCTCAAAGGGTTATTGTGACCGTTAGGGTCGGCTAGTTGGCCGAACATCATAGTCGATCGTTCTAAATCTATACACCCAAGTCATTAGCAAGGGATCCATAATCAACTTTTCACAATTGCAAATGCCATGACTTGTACTCACCTCCAGCTTCGTGCAGTCGAATAGCCTCTTGGATATTAATCTGTCCACCATCAGCAAGCTTGCACATCTTCAGATGATCCTCCCTCTTTGCATCCCAACTTACGTCATCCTGTTGATCTCCAACGCGACTGTGACTAGAACTCCTTGATCTCTCCTGTCCACCACTGGGCAATGACAAGTCCCCCACGGATGGCGGCGGCGATTGCCCAAAGTGCGGATTTTTCTGTACCAGCACCGTTGCCCGTTTTTCCCATTGCGCCTCCCGCTCCTGTTTATCCACACCCTGGTCGTCCTCAATCTGCGGCAACCCCTCGGGAATATGCGATGATGACTCTTGCGAGTCACTGCGGCTGCGACGGTTAAGCAGATTTGACAGGCGACGATCGCGGCGGGGACGAGGGGGAGAAGGGCTGGAGAGTGAGCGCGAAGAGTTGGAGCGCTGGAAGAAGTGACTGCGGCGGGAATTGGAGGAGGCGAGACGGGGGGACTCGGGGGTTGCACTTGGAGTGCTCGTGTGCTCGTCGTGTGGGTGTGCTGGCGGGGTGATTACTTCTTGGCCGAAGGTGTCGGATCGTAGAAAGGTGATCTCGGGTTGTGGCGGGGATGATGGCGGGTTCTGGGGGGTTGTTGATGGTGCAGAAGACTTCTCGCTGAGGTCTTCACGTTTGTGTAAGATGTCTCGTAGGGAGGGCATCTTGAGTTCGGTCCTGTCGATCTGCGGATTGGGATCTGCGGAATGTGATATGCGATGCGGGTTGAATGCGGAGGGCGTGGAGATGCAATAGCGAGTGCATCGATTCCGTAGAACGAGGGTAAAGTAGTCTGGGGAAAGAAAGAAATTGCCCTATCGTCTAGGCAGGAACAAGGCTACAGGAGGCAAGGTCAGCCGCATCAAGAATAGTAACATCAGCTTGGAGCTCGGGGCTGTGCGGGGAGAGGAGGCTGTTCCATTGGGTCGCGCCCGGCGGCTAAACGGAATACGAAGCGCTTAAAGAATGCAACCGTAGACAAAGGCAGACCGGCATCAGTATGGAATAGTTAAGAGTTATTTTGACTTGAAAGACATTTGAACTCATGCTTCTTGTAGCTCTGATAGATCTCATACATGCATGTCCCACATGTGGCGTGTGATATCGGTCCCTGCGTTTCTTAGCGTGTGGCCGACTGATTGATAACCACGTTGACAGATCAGAGGGTCCCGGAATAGCAGGGTACCTCTAGGCTCCTCATCGCCCGCGTCTCTTTCATGCAGTCAATTGAGTGGGTCTGCGTCTTGTCAATGCTGGATATTGTACGATGCCATACCAAACAATGGCTGTCCAAGAATATGAACATACTTTCAAACCATTGAGGACATAGATTCAAATCTCAGACTGCCGAACAAATCGAGAAATTTAAACCAGAACTTCAGCCTGAAATCGAATGACAAAAAGACTTAAAGTTGGCCTTCCTACGTATGAATGTTGAACAGGGCGATGAGGCCCATTGGACTACGAAGACCGACCGGAATATGAGCCAGCTCAGGCGCAAGGACGGCCGTAGGGCTTCACAACCAAGAGATAAAGCTAGGTCGATAAAAGAAATGGTATTGCAATTCTAACTTAGCAGATGCAAATGACCCCTATAGTTTTGTACACATTGGCATTCGCCGAGGGAGCCATCAGAGTCTATCCAATTAGGCCTTGGACGCCATGATGCCTATAATGTCATTAGTACATGCTCATGATGCCTTTTCATATATATTGCTATAGAAGCACTTACGCTCAACATCAGCAACGCTCTGCTGGAGAATCTGCTGCAGAACCTTGGGGTTCTCGAGCTCCTTCTGGATCTTGCCAATGATGGACTCGGCAAGCTCACGCTGCTGGCGCTGCTTGACCTGGCCCTCGTAGCGGACCCAGGAGTCGAGGACGGTCTTGGCCTCGGCAGCAAGAGCGGTGCGCTGCTCGAGCTCGTAGGCCTGAGCCTCGAGCTGGGCGGTCTCCTATAAAAACGCAGACGGCGGTCAGAACCAAGGTCACAAATTCCCCGGAATGTACTTCCGTTCATCCACAACGCGACAGCGATCGTACCTTGGAAACAGCGAAGAGCTGCTTGGTGACCTCGACAACACCGGACATCTCCTTGACGTTGTCAATGCGCTGCTGGACAGCGTTGGTGTGGTCGGCACGGGCAGCGTTCAGGATATCCTTGTGCTTCTGGACCTGGCCCTTGGCCCACTCGCCGTAGGCGGGACCACCGTACTTGGCAACGGCAGTGAAGACGGAGAGCAGACAGAAAGCGGCGACGGTCTCCTCGTTCATCACGTAGAGCTCGTTGCTGATGGCGGCAATGGACAGACCGGCGGCGGCGGACAGGGTAGCGGTCTTGGACACCAGAGAGTTGCCGGGAACAGCATCGAGGATCGACTGAGCCTTCTTAGCGGGCTCCTCGGCGGGCACACTGGAGGCCGCGCGGGTCGAGGTCAGGGCAGTGATGGCAGGGACACGGGCGGTAACGGAGGGCCGCAGCCGGGCGGCGCCTGGAGGGGAGAAGCGAGTCAGCTACCTGGATACATTCGATCGGACGGAGAAGGTCAGTAGATTGCGTACCAATGGCGCTCTTAGCAAGACGCGAGACCATTGTTGCGGATAGAAAGATCCTGTGAAATAGGGTGGGTGGTTCGGAGAGGAGACTTGAGGTCGGGACGGCTAGGACGGGCTTGCACACGCTAACCGCTTCGGGAGGTAGTCCAGCGTGGCGGAAAAACTCGGGCCCCGAGCTCCAAAAAATAATCCAAAGGTCCAACCAAAAAAAAAAGTTGACGAGAGTGAATCCGAGACCACGCCAGGGAAATTTACGTGACATTCGCCCAAAATGCCAGCAACAGTGGATTCTTCCAGCTCGAAAAAGCGCAAGAGCACCAAAATTGCCGGTGCCCCCTCCAAGCGCCGCGCTGTGGCCGAAGAAGATGGCTTCGCCGAGACCTTGTCAAAGGTTCAAGAGCTGGAGAATCAAATTGCGGAGTCGCGCAAATACTACAACAACATTGCCACTTTGATTTCGATGCTGAATGTGGAACCAACCGCGAAGAAGCCAGATCTGGCAGTGGCCGTCTCACTTTGCCGAGTGTTCAGTCGATTGATGGCGGCTGGAAACTTGTCCGAGAGCAGTCGCGATGCCGAGAATGAGAAGATCGTGGTGGCATGGTTGAAAGAGCGATACTCGGAATACCAGCGCGCATTGTTGTCAATCATTCGTGAGGCTGATACTACCTCCCAGGTGGGTATAATTCTGTCTGCTATCCATCAAGTAGGGCTGCGCTAATCAGAACACCAGGTTACGGCCCTCACTCTGAGCATGCGCCTCGTGAAAGAATACATTACACACATTCCCGGAGCGGACAGCAGTATCTGGTCTGGCCTGTTCAAGGATGTTATCGAGGCTCTCGTGGAGGCACAGGACGGCGAGGAAGTGCGGGCTGAATTTATCACAAAGTTCATGAAAGAATATGAAGATATTCGCTACCAAACATTTGCGCAAATAGCGTATGTCTCCCAATCCTTTGCACTCTCTTAATCTCTCACTAACTCAGTACAGTGAGTATGCCGCTGCTCGACGAAAGACCCCCATCATTGAGATCCTTATTTCCCTCCTTTCGGCCTGTGATGAAGCTCCGGCCTCAGATCACGAAATCGATACCGAAAACTTCTTCGCAAAGCCCGACCCAGCGAACAAGCGCCTCCGCACTGTCCATGGCCACAAGAGGCGAGCACAAGACGCATGGCTGGCCATCCTTCGGAATAATCTCTCCCAGCCGCAGCGGAAGGCCCTTCTGCGTATGATGGTGCACACTATCGAGCCTTGGTTCACGCGGCCTGAACTCCTCATGGATTTCCTGACAGACTCATATAACGAGGGCGGTGCTACCTCTCTCCTTGCTCTGTCGGGTCTGTTCTACTTGATCCAAGAGAAGAACCTGGACTACCCACAATTCTACGCAAAACTTTACTCGCTCCTCGACGCGGACCTGCTGCACTCCAAGCACCGATCACGCTTCTTCCGCCTGCTCAACACTTTCCTCGCCTCTACCCATCTTCCCGCCTCCCTCGTGGCAAGCTTTATCAAGCGTCTCTCTCGTCTTGCACTCAATGCGCCTCCCTCGGCTATTGTAGTGATCGTGCCATTCATGTACAACCTGTTCAAGAGCCACCCCACGTGCACTTTCATGATGCATCGTGAGATTCGCGATAAGAAGCTTGCCGCTGAGATTGAAGCTGAAGGCATGGAGGACCCCTTCGATCCAAAAGAGACGGATCCTACCCGCACCAATGCCATCGAAAGCAGTATCTGGGAAATTGAGACGCTTCAGTCCCATTACCACCCCAACGTCGCGGCCATTGCCCGGATCATCTCCGAGCAGTTCACGAAACAGGCTTACAACTTGGAAGACTTCCTTGACCACACCTATCAGGGTATGGTGCATGGCGAGCTTGGCACTGGCGAGAAACCTTTGCGGAAGGTTCCAGTGGTCGAATATCAAATCCCGAAGCGTATCTTCACGGACCGATTGCTGGAAGAAGATGGTGGTGTGGACTCTGGAGCTGGGTCATTCATGCGCGGACTTTGGGACTTTTAGTCTTGATGATTCCACTATCTCATGTTTAGTGACCGCCCAAGGGCTTGACTTTTTGATGTACCTTAGCCTTCAGTTCTTTGATACTCTTGCATCTATATACCGGATAATGTCCAGCAACTCTTGCCTGTCCCTTGTTCTAGGCCCACCCCATGATATGCACCATGAGGCACCCAATCGGTCTTAAGCAGGTCAAGTTGTTTTAACTCCGTGGTAAATAATCCTGCGGCTCTCTCAAATGTGACAGAATCAAACTACGCCGGAACAGCCATCCCGTCAGCCCTGAAGTCACTCCCAGCTTCAAGGACCTGTCTATGGCCTTCATCATGGAATACTCGTATAATCTGCCCTCTCCCAAACATCTCCCTATCCCACCCACAAACAACCTCCACAATATGACCTCTTCGACGTAAGTCGTCCACGACTGACGGGTCTACACCCTCTTCCACATAAACTGTCCTTTCCCTTGCGCTATCTATATGCTGATGTCCCATTGGCCCAATGCACACTCTCGGTGCATCAAGGGCCTGTTGTGGATTCATCCCGAATACACGCATATTCATCAGCAGCTGCACGTGTCCCTGCGGCTGCATAAATCCTCCCATGATCCCGAATACGGTATTCAACGATCCGTCCCCGGGGTTCGTAGCCATCGCGGGTATAATCGTGTGGTATGGTCGCTTCCCCGGCGCAAGTGCATTTGGATGGCCAGGCAGCAGGGAGAAGTTGGCACCGCGGCTCTGCAATGTGAAACCGCAACCGCGCGGGATGATTCCGGTTCCGAAGCCGTGATAATTGCTATTTACCACGGAGGCCGCGTTACCATCCCTATCGACGACGGCAAAGTATACCGTATCGCATGAATTCAAGGCAGGGCTACCGTGGGTAATGAGGTTCGAGACTGTGGACGAGTTGAAGATGTGTGCCCTTTTCGCTATGTATGAGTCTGATAGGAGATTCGGAATATCTGAGTGGGTTGAATCTCCGATCCACCAGGAGGCGTCTGCGAAGGAAATGCGGAGAACCTCAACCAGAGCATGTATGTACTCCGCGGAGTTGTGTCGGAGACTGAGCAAGGGAGGGATCTTCCTGGCCCGTTCCAACTCTTCGAACAACTTGAGTGCCATGAGTGCAACGAGACCCTGTCCGTTAGGTGGATGTTCCCAGATGTCAACCTCTTTGTTGAATCGAACACAGAGGGGACTGGTTGCTGTGCTTCCCATATCGGCATGATAGGCGAGGTCGGCGTGAGTGAGGAATCCACCGCGATCTTTTACCGCTTCTACAATAGCATCTGCAATATAACCTCGATAGAATCCAACCTTTCCTTCCAAAGCGAGTGTACGCAAGGTTTGCGCAAGACCGGTGTTGGTCATGACTTCGCCGGCTAGAGGCGCACGAACCGCTTCATCATCCAAGGTGGAGTCGGTCTTCAGCAGCTCGCGGTAATTGGGAGATGCCTCTCTGAGCGATTGCTCATTTTCTTGCCACTTCAAACTGTCAGCTTCCATCTATTCACGCTTGAGTCATTCGCAGAAGGTACCAAGCGTGCCGAGATCTCAGAAACAGGAAACCCATTATCGGCAAGGGAAATCGCAGGCGTCAAGATCTGTTCCAGAGAGAGTTTCCCACTCCCAAATCTTTCGACAGTGTCCACCCACCCACCCGCTGCCCCGGGTGTCGTGATTGCCAGAACACTGTTGAGTGGAATATTCCCGGGCTCACCAGGTGGAATTGCTAACCGTTCTCGGGCCGTATCAAGCGTAAGGCTCATGGGAGCGCGCCCAGACCCGTTTAGCCCATGCACTTTCCTCTTTTCACTATCGTAGAAGAGACAAAACATATCACCCCCAATACCCGTTGATCCAGGCTCGGTCACATTCAGCGCAGCGGCTAGAGATAACCTAGTTAATGAACACCATGTCTCTGCCCTCGCGGGGACGCAACGTACCTACTGCAACGGCGGCATCCTGAAATCGTCAGCCAATATATTATCCAACTCGATATAGAGTACTCACCGCTGCGTTTCCTCCATTTGCTAGAATTGTCTGACCGGCTCTTGCGGCGAGGGGCTGTGAACATGCTATCATGCCCGAAGTACTGTATACTGCACTTCGGCGCCCGAGGAATGACGTGAAGGGATTCTGTTGAAAAGGGAAAACCATGTTGACTGAAGCGAGCAAAACAAAAAGTAAAAGGTGTTATAGATCTTACTGGCACCTATGGTGTTCATTTGTACCATATATGGTATCATTCATACTACGAGGGTGATAGGCTCTTCGAAAGTCAGCCAATGATAAGTGGCTGACGTACGACCGGAGTTGACTCAATCCTCCCCGGCTGCCCTCGCCCATCTGCACTCAGTAGGGTAGAAATGGATTAGCGCAGCTATAGTAAGACAAGAGTATGTCGAACAAATTGTCCAATCAAATAGAAAATACCAATATTTGAGATTCTAGATCTACTCTGCCCCGCTACAGACGCAAGAGTCCCCCACTTATGATGCCACTCGCAAATGAAAAAGAGTTTCGTCTTTATTCTATCATATTTCAATAGGCGCCATCATTAACTCCTCTCAGCTAGGTGCTGAGTTCTTGTAACGAGATATATACAATGTAAGGTTAAGGTGATCACATCGACTTGAAAGAGACAGCTTGTCATCTCATGCGTACTCCATTCAATCACGGCCATGTCACACACTACATACTACCTTGGCGATAAAATCACGATCGACGTTCCCACCACATAGAATGATGACGCTAGTCCGGCTTGCCAATGTATGAGCAATTTAATTGAATCCGGCAAGAGCAAGTGCCGCGGTCCCCTCCACAATCGTACTCTCCTGAACAGCAAGAGCTTCCTTCGAGCTCAAACGCTCCGCTTCGTCGCACTCAAAAAAACGGTCCATGATCGAGTTTGCCAGAGAAAGTTTTATTGAGTCTTCGTCAATACCTCCGACCACAGCCTCAGCCAAGATAAGGAGATCTTTGCCGGGGCCATTGACAGAAGTGCAGACGGAAGTACATAGTCATTCAATATGAATTTAGAAGCGGTAGCAGCTTAGATAGGCAATCTTTTCCCACCAAACGTTATCCATTGAATTACGGAGCATATACACTTTGAAGAAGGGGGCAATTTTGAAAGGAATCATTTTTTGTATGTGCTTTTAATTCCCTTCTCGACCACTAAGCTATCTTCTGCTAGAAATTCATTCTGGGTAATGATAGAGCTGTTTCCCTCCGGCCAAAAAGGCAAGCTTTCGTCTGTATTGCACCCCAGTGAGGCAATCTTGACAATAAAGGACGATGCCAGGTTTTGAATACTAATGACGTTCTAGAATTTTGACATGGGGATCAGCTCATGGCATATGATCGTCTAGGATAAGGGTCACGCGATCATTCAGAATCCATCCCGGCAAGATCACATATAATATAGAAAAGGCAGTAAAGCACACTTGTTGTTCACGTTGTGGAATTCTCCTTCCACACGAGATTCTTGGACTGTTGACGTCCACCGACGTCCAGCCGAGGCCGGCAGCCGCCCTTGCGGACCATATGGCCGATCGCGCGGCTATGGTATATAAACACAGCTAGTCAATACTGACCACCCCTTGGTATGATACTGAAAGCCAAGAGTGGTTTTTAGAAATGCTCATGAAAATGCTGGGTTTGCAAATTGCAGTCTTGGAGGACGCTGGTGTCAGCCCTATCTTGGTTTGCGTCCAAACACTTCGCGAAGGGGTAACATTCCTAGGGTTCCAATGAACTATTCTACTGGCTTTCAATGCAGACTCTGCCATACATTAATGAATCATCAAATGACCTATACTATTGCATTAAGTAACTAGAAAACTATTGGAGAAGATGTTTAATGCTCCCCGTGAAGAAATGGCACTACAACTCATTGACTACTCCCTCTTCAGCGTAACTTGCTACCAAAGAGATAATTCTCTCAAGGGGAGGAATTTTCCTTTGGGGGTCCGACCGGTTATTGGTTATGGTCACTCAAGCATTTGAATCGCATACCTCATTGGGTAGACCTTGAAGCCTCCACAGTCCCGGAATGTCGCATTCTCCCAGACCTGGCAGAGCATCAACAATAAAATGTCAACACACGAGAATCCAGGTCTAATCTGTGGGGCTGGAAGAGATCAAGATTCCTCTTTGTAGCAGAATAAAGCATGGGGACGCGCCACCGTTTACCCATACTTTTCCGTACTCCATTCGCCTCCGACGTCGACATCTTTATACGCCATTATTCTTCTAATCTTACAGCATACTATCCTTAAACATCCGATTCGAATTCGTACACTTCTTTGCCTTTCTCATCGGTCGCCATGCATTTTACCGGAGTTCTCGCCGTCTCGGCTTCCCTCTTTGCTGTCGCCTTTGCCAACGACCCTCTTGCCTTTACGGCTTGGCCTAAGGATATCCAGGCTGGCAAGCCTGTCACTTTGACATGGGCGGGTGGTGTTCCTGACCAGGTAAATGACTCTGTTTGAGGTTTAGATACGGATAGTTGCTGACCCGGGTGGCTGCATTTAGCCCGTCACTCTCACCCTCCGCAAAGGAACCTCTACCAACCTCCAGGATGTCGAGATCATTACCGCTCAGGCCAAGGACGGCACCTTCACCTGGACCCCCGGTGACAATGTCAAGAGTGGACAAGACTATGCTTTCCAGATCACCCAGGGTGGCGAGCGCAACTACTCTGCTCTTCTTAAGGCCGGACCTGCTGTAAAGGCCGATTCTGCATCGGAGTCTTCACAGACAAACACTGCTGCTACCAATATCCACGCCGCTCAGACTAGCAGCAGCAGCTCCTCCACCACCTCCAACTCCTCTTCGTCCTCCGCAAGCAGTGGTACTACTGCCGCTCAGCCCAATACCACGACAAGCAAGCTATTGATCAGTTCGTCTGCCGCAGCTACTCCCTCCAGCAGCCCGGCCTCTTCAACTACCATCGTCCACTCCGTCACTGCTGCTGAACCCTTTGAGACCAGCCATATCAAGAATGGCAAGGCGGCCTCGGCAACCGGTAGTATTCAGAATGGCCGAGCTTCATCTTTGCAGTCCTACTCACCGCTCGTCATGGGCGCGCTGGGTATGCTGGTGTATCTCCTTCAGTAATCTATCGTCCTTGGTTAGTTGTGCTGGGGGGGCCGGTTGCTTGCCATTCATTCCAAAATAGTCTTCTCTTTTCTCATTTTTCACGTCTTCTACTCAACCCTGGACTGGGTCATCTGCATGTATATAATCCATTCCCCCCTTCATATCACTGAGAAGCGGCTGTTGGGCGTTGTGGTGGTAATTGAATTTGTTTCAAGACATTTTGACGTATCATTCCATTTTCTTACCTGTATCCTCCATTATCGTGACTGATGTCATAAATTGTCCTATCTAATATCTCTCGATGTGACAGGTTCACCATAAGTTTGTCCCCAACACTTGGTTAAATTGATGTTTTGCCAGGGGTTCGGCAGCACGGTGATCAATTTCCCAAGTGGGTTTAGCGGCCGAGTTAGCGCGATCCGTGCCTGAAATAATAATCGATAAGGGAATCTTGTCAACGACATCTCCGCCCACAGCTCAAACACTACTTTCTCATTCTCCAACCTCGTCCCGCCTCTCCGTTACGGCTCCCGTCAATATTGAGAACCCATTGGATGTTCCTCGGACTGTTTTGTGATAATTGACAAATATATCAAAGAATTCTCGCTTTTGCCGCGTGGGCAAATCGATCCGCTGATCTCCGGCGCGCCCACCGTCACTTTGATGTCGAGTGGACTTCCCGATTAAGGCGCTGCCTCGGCGATGGTCAGACTCCGCGACAGGATCGCATCGTCGCATCTGGCCCTGCTGAAATTTGAAAACGGTATGTGATCTTCTTTCCTCTTTCCTTCTTTATCCTCGTCAGCAACAATCGATCACTGGCCCCCCAACACCTGTCACCAGAATCCCCTGACAGCTTCATCATGTCTTCGGTGGCGCGCGTGATGCGACGACTAGCTTCCTCGAGGAATCTCGAGGCAGCAGAGATGATCAGTACTGACTCGCTCATCTCAATTTCAGAAGAAGCACCGCAAGTGAACCTTGCAGTGGTGGACACGCAATTGAACATGCACCGCTTCAACACACTTTTTGAAGAGGAAATGGCGGTAGAAGGCCCCAAAGGTTGGTTACAAGCTCATTGCATTTTCTCTCATACGCGACACATACTAACCGTCACTCAATCGGTACACAGACTCTCACAATTCGCCCGCACCAGCCCCCGCCTCGGCGAGCCCACGCCTCAGCAATGAGGCTCCAACAGAATGGTCAGCAGTCGGTCATGCAGCGGCAACGGGCAAGTCCGGCCGTGTCATCCACAATTTGCAGGAGGAGGTTGCTCGTTTGAAGCGGGACTCCGCCCTCTGGCAATCCAGAGCGGAGGAGTCTCAGCGAATTAGCGAGGCCCTCAAACTTCAACTGCAGGACATGGCTGACCGCCTCCGGCACAAGGAGCAGGTCAATGAGACCAGCCTCAAGTCCATCGACCGGAAAGACCGCAAGATTGAGGACTTGCGCGCCGAGCTACATGCGGAGCGCACCAAGCGCCATGACGCCCAAATCGTGGCAAACGAGACCAACGAGGCGATGCGAGTCGAACGTGAGAACCACCATCGTGAAATGGCTCGGCTACAAGAGGAGACCAAGTACTACAAGAATCAGTACGAGGTCCTGAGCAGTGCCACGAAGCGGGAGAAGCACGACTTGGGCCGCCGGGTGGATGAGGCTTGGGACAGGGTGCACGCCATCGCAAAGGCGCAGGCCACACATGTCGAGTGCTCTGACCGGCTGATGGTCATTGGGGACCAGAAGAACCGGGAGATCGAGGTGATGAACGAGCGGTACGAGAAGGCTGTGGCCCTCCACGGCAGCTACAAAGAAACCAAGGACAAAGAGTTCCGTGGTACCGTCGATCGGGCCCACGCCAACAACGAACTGATCGATGCAACTCTCAAAGAGCTCAAGGAGACTCAGGACAAGATGAAGTGGGTGATTCGGATGAGTGAGCTCAATGAGAACAAGAAGGCCAAGGACCAGGCCGAAGAGCAGCCAACGCCCGAATCACCCTCCTAGGTCTTCTATGCCCTTTCCTCTGTTCTCCTGTCTTCTGCTCCTCGACATTTGATACCTCGGTTCGTCTTTCTTCCGTCCGTGCCCTAACCTTCTCGAGGCCGTCCGACATCTCATCATACACGCCATGCGTGTCCTCTATCTCCTTCTCCACCGACACACCCTCTTCTGCCTCGACCATCTTTTCTTCATGTTCATACCTTTCGTGGTTCCTGGCGTTCTGGCAGCAAAGATACCCATTGCCGCAGTTTGGTCCAGACTTCTTTTCCGACCTCCTTCTCCTACCATACTTTGCCGTCTCTCCTGCTCTTCCTCCTCTTCCTTCCCTACCTACCTTATCGTTAGAGTTGATGCCGTGATGACCCTGCATGATTTGGCTCGGTTTCTTTCTTCTATCTTTATGCACATATATCTGGCTTTTCTGTTCTGTGGTTCACCCAATGGATGGGCGATATTCTAATTCTTTCTTGTACCAATACCCCTTCGTCCGATAAAGTTCGACTCACATATCTTCTTCTATCCTGTTCCTCACTTGTGGACGGTTTAATTACATAATATATTACCACCAGTTGTCTATATGCCTTTCATTGCGTATGCCTAGCAGCCTCGTCATGCCTTAAGAGACGAGTCATACGGGAAAGCTATCACTGGGAGCAGCAATTGTTGTACGCCGAGAAGGGCATTTACACTTCAATGCGTACTTTCATGCGAAAGCCTACCGTATTGATGATTGTGGAGTCATCGGTTACACTTGGTCATATTTCTTCTACTCTCGTCGGATATCCATCCCTACATCCAATCTCTTGGCGGATCTCGTCTCTCTCCCTTGAAAGCATCTACATCTTTGAACATCTCTTGCGCTCTTTTTGCTTTTGGCGGGTCATGATGGCTCAGTTGACAGGAATTCTAGTGGCGAAAAAGGAAAAAGCTCATCGCCAGGCAAATGCCAAAGTCCCCGAGAGTCGCGAAGTGCGATAATGCTGATATTTTAACACAGAGTTGTGTGCCGGGAGCAGCCAATCCTCAACTACCGAAGGCCTAACCTCTGCAAAGTTCGGTACATCTTGAACTAACTAAAGAAGTTTATGGGATCCTCGCTCCCTTATCAACGACCACTCAAGTCTTCTCGGGACCTCTGGAGCTGGATGTTCACATTGGTATTATTACTATCATGTATTCACACCAATAGAGTCCGTTTTTAAAAAAGCCAAGCGTCCTCTTTCTTATCTCTCCATCTATGAATGCCTATATAGCTAGCTTTCAATCTTCTACTGTGGCACTCGCGATCCCACTTTCTGCCAAAATTCACACCTCTCCCCACGACCACCTTCCCACGCTCTAGCATCCACCAGCCTGAACTCATTGATAATTCCTGAGCCTTCCCTAAGCCAGTATGCCAGATGATCGGTCACTATCTGCCGAACCAAAGTTCCACCCGTCGTATTCAAATCCATCAGCATAGGCGAGTCCTCCTTCCACTGTGGCCAATCGATATCGCCATTCCTACCTTCGGGAACGGTAGCATTAGCCATTCCACCTTTGGCATCGCTGACAGATATAATTGGTGAATCGTTGATAATAAAGCTCCCCAGTATGCGTTGAAAGGCATCTCTATATCCAGCGTTTGGCACAGAGGCCCCCACGGAGAAATAGGCCGTTAGGTCTGCGCCGTGGTATGCTGGTGTCACTGAATACTGATACTTCCAGCTTCCCTTCCCTTTCATGGGCTCTTCACTAGCTCCGGGAGAGAAGGCATCTGCTAGCCAATATGAGGGGCAGTCGAAAGCTGTCTCGGCGAAGATGTTGAAGGCGGTTTGCTGGAGGCCTGTTGCGAATTCAGATTGATTGAGGGCTGTCGGTGCACGGTTGCCGAGTGTGTCGTAGAGAGGACTGGTTGATTCCGGAGATGATGAGGGTACTGTAGGTGTCAATCGGGGGAATGCCGATTTGAGGTATTGCATAAACGCCGCCGTGCTGTTCAAGGTTGGAGGACTGAGAGGGACACCATCATTGGCGTTATTCTATATGGACTTTTAGCATGGGTACTAGAAATGTAACAGGCTAGATCATGTTGACTTACACCAGACAGCATACGCTTGCCACTTACCCTCTTCTCTAGCAGTTGTCTTGATGGGAGGTCCTGAACGAACTCTCCATCTATGACAGGTAAGAAGGCCCAGGTACCCCATGCACCAGATGTGGAAATATTAGCGCTGGCATATTGGAGTTCCTCTGTGTTTGCGCGCACCAAGCATTCAAATATTGAATGCTCACTTGAGCTCATGTCTTCATAACACCCAACTCGTGCTGCGAAGTCGTGATAGTGGATCGTCGGTATGTCGTCGTTATACTCGAACTGCGTCGCAGTATACGGGCTCGCAGCAATGATCTGGCACGGAGTCAGGTCAGTCTCAAGATCACCACCCATCGATGGTCATATTCACATTGTTAAACAGCCCATTTTCTCTCCCTCCATATGCCATAGCCTGCAGCATCGCAGCTCCAGCGCCCGAAGACTCGCCTCCGATGGTCACGCGGGACGGATCTCCGCCAAACTTGGCTATATGCTGCTGCACCCATTCTAGGGCAAACCGCATATCCAGGAGACCAGCATTGGCCTTGCCATATCTATGTACGGCATCGGATGACAAGAAACCAAAGGCTCCCAGTCGGTATTGAATCATGACGGAGATGAAGCCATTCTCATTTGTCTTCATCCAGTCGCTAGGATCATAGGTAGCGCCGAAAAGCCCGTAACCGCCGCCATCTATAAGATTTAGCATTCAGTTCTTTCAGATGCAGTGACATGGCAGAGACTCACGGATCCATACGAGAATAGGAAGATCTTCGGCCCCGGCGGGAGCGAACACATTCAGGAAAAGACAGTCCTCATCTCCCAGCGCTGAATTGAAGCCATATACTGCTGGTAGTTCTGCTGCTCCCGACTGAGGACAAAGAGGTGGTTGCTTTGTAGCCGATATGACGGCTGTCCTGTTCACTGATGGCGGTTGGGGAGCTTGCCAACGTAGCTTCCCTACTGGCGGGGCGGCATATCGAATTCTACCATGTTGTTAAATCGAGAATATTCGTTGTTTACTTACGATATAACGGACATCTGTCTCACCCTTTGAATATATTGATATCATAGGCGCCATCGTAGGCTCCTCGATATTTCGCGTATCCCAGGTCGACTACTAGACTGGCGGTGTGGATAGGATTGGCAAGGGATGCTGGCGAAAGGGATAATGCCAGCAGCACAAGGCTGTAAGTTCTAAAATTCCAGCCCATCTGAGAGCAAAGCTTACTGCAGTGATTTGCATGATGAAAGGAGAGGGAGAATATTTTTTCACGGGTGTTAATGAATCAATAACCGACGTGGGTCGCAGCTTCCTGTATGCAGCTGCCCAGGACACGTCCTTCACAAGGGCATATAGCATGTACAGTATTAGTATCTTGCTTTTGAGCAGCGGTAATGAATATATGCATCTAATTCCCACCGAACCTGGTTCCATTGACTAGGTAACCCTATTGGAATAGATTCGTAGTTGGTGGAACTGTACGAAGGTCCCAGCCTCGGGGGGCCTAACACGATGTAACCGTGTGCTAGAAGAGCGTTCTTTAATGATGGACGATTCAATCACTAGGGCCAAGACTCGGATGATGAGTTCCCTTCGTAGAGATGCTTTTGAGGAATTTTGTAAGCATACAAGGGGTTAGTGGTGAATTACTGGAAATAGTGTGGGACCTTTGTGAAGACTATCTACCGTACAAGATATATATCTTCAACCCAACTCATCATCAGCAGGGACGAGACACTTAGATACCTACCCTTAGGTTTGGAATTGACCTTCCTCCTACCCTCTCCATTAGCCTTCCTTACCTTGGGGGGAAAAGACAAAAAAAGATTAAACCTGCCAATGAACCTCAATATCCAAGTATATACACTGGGTGGTGGTGCAAGACGAAAAAACAAAAATATGACCGACGCAGGGGTCGAACCTGCAATCTCTTGATTCGTAGTCAAGCGCCTTGCCATTGGGCCAGCCGGCCGTCACGTGAGGTGACCATGTGGTCACACACTTGCGGATGATGATCAACGAACTTATTAGCTACAGGAACGTAGAGCAAATGGTCACTCACCTATTCCAGCGGACAACAGGGATCAACAGGCATGGCACATCCCACATAATAATACCAGATTCCAGGTGGAGATCTAGGGGATCCGACCTTTAATTCCAAACAGCCAGAAGAAATCATGCTAATAATTACATTTTATCAATTTGGACGAGCAATCTTGAGCTGACCTTATGTAGGAAGAAACCACACTTGAATGAAACGTGAATGTTAATCATAAGTGGAGGCGCTTGCACATAGTTATATTCACTTAAAGGGTAACCCTCATGTTTGGGTATCGAAAATGAGTGAAAGATTTTCTATCTTCTAATCATGGTTTATCTAGAAACTATATATTCCGGGCCGACATCACGGCTAGACCACCGACACAAAGTCTCCTATCTAGGAGTATTGTAATCTGTTCATTCCTCCTCCTCCGGGGCATCATCCACACCACGCAACCATGCACTGCGAGCATCAACTGCTGCCTTGCGTACATCTCGCTTAGGATCATCCAAAACAGCACGCAGAGAGCGCAACACCTGCGTCTTCTCTGGTAGAAGCGGGGAGATAGACGGTGGTAGGCGAGTGTTGGTTTCGCCAGGAGTCTGTTTGATAGCCAAGAGGTAAAGACACCTTAGAGCATCAGCGCGAAGGCGGGGTGGGTTGACGACGTTCGCATCGATTTCTGTAGTCTTGAGAAGTCTCATGACGAGGCTGTGAACGTGTCCACACTTGTCGATCACAGCGACGCCATTATCACGGATGATGACAGCCAGCGTATCGAGTGTAGCTGCTCGGACAGCGACGGAGTCGGATGTTTGGAGATCGAGAGATTGTAGAAGGAGAGGGAGTAGTGTGGGCAGTTCGGGCATGACCAGGGCTGTGGAGATGGTAGAGAGGATACCGGCAAGCGCGGTCAGATGGGCCGGCTTGATGTGGTCCAATTCCTTAGAGGAGTGGTCGCTACCGGCGACGTTGACTTCGCGAATGCGAGAAGAGATCATCGGGATAACGGTTGTGAAGACACGCTGTTTGCACAACAGGCGGATTGAGGCACCGTTGCTTGTGGAGAGTACATCGTCGTCACCAAGAAGGATGGAGAACCCTCGAGCAGTAGATGTGCTGGTCTGCTGATCGGGCGATGAGAGAAGACCCATGAGCGATGTAAGGACATGGGTGGTGGTCGGGGCAAGTCGGAGGACTAGTGCCTTGGACAGCCAGAAGATGGTACGGATTGTAGCCGGGCTGTAACTCTCCTTTTCTGATGAAACGAGAGAATCAAAGAGCTTCTCTGCAATATTCAAATCTTCCTTAGACAGGAACTTGTTGACAAGCAAAGCTAGATGACGCAGGAAGGCGAGATGTGTAGCTGGCTCTGAAGTTTGAGATACACAGCGTTGCACTAGATCTGAAAGAAGCTCTGACATGCTGGGAGAAGTATGAGGGATATGCTTTGCACAATCCTTAGACAGGCCTGCGAGAAGATAGGTGGAAATTATAATAGTCCGCTCTTGATCGGGTGTTGCGCGCTGTGCGAAAGGAACAGGCACGAAATCCTCTGTCGCTGAGAAGAGCTTATAAACATTCTCCGCCACCTGCTCCTGTTTCTGAAGAGAGACAGACCGAACAAGCAGGTTGCAGAGCCGACCGAGCGTGTCCAGGATGGTGGCATCGTTGAGGATCTGGTTCTTCCCCTTGCCCGACGCCGACTCCGAGACACTACGGCAGAGACCAACCACGATCTTGTCAAAGTAGAGGTCCACACTAGGATCAGTTTCCATCTTCCTTTGCTGCATGACATATAGTAGGGTCATGAGGATGGCCCTTGGATACGCGATGGCACCAGGTTGCTCCTTCTGAAGTAGGATGGTCAACTTGCTGAAGAGACGTCGGAAAAGAGTCTCAAAGATGTCCCTCTCAACGCTGATCTGAGCCAGAGTATCCAGCGTGGAAAGGTAAGTCTGGTTTTTGCCATCATCCTCATCTGGAAGTGTCGCCACAAATGCAGGGAATGTAATATCCATGATCAGACGAGGCTTGTGCTTTGAAATTTCAGCAAGTGCTGCAATTGCTTCCTTCTTCAAATCATCTCGACCAACAGACTCCTCCTGAAGCAGAATCTCATCAAGGTACTGTACGAACAAACCAATTTCGTTGTCTTGGAAAAAGTTACGCAGGGTAGAAAGACGAAGGAATCCCTTCAGAGCAGTCACTCGGAAAGAGACCTCTTCCTTTGCAGCACCCATCAATGCCTGCCCCAGGACATCCGAAAATTGATCCTTGAATTCGAGCAACGGATTTTCAATAGTGATTTCATCTCCCCGGGTTGTCCATTGACCGAACACTTGAATTGCAGACTCGAAAAGCACTGACAGGGTCTCAAGAAGAGCTCTTTGTTTGGCAATACCATCTGCCTCTTGGTAAATGGTGAAGATAGGGGCGACAACTGTTTGAACGATGAGGATAAACGCAATCGGTGAAGCAGATGACAAGGATCTGAGAATCTGTTGCGCGGGTTTCGCCTGCTTCTGCTGGGGCTCTTGCAATTGTTCATTGCACTCCTTAGTGATTGGGCGCAAATACTGTGCAAGTGGCATGTCCTGAGAGACCTCAGTGACACCTTCCGAGAGGCGTTGCGCGATAGATTGCAGAGCTTGGAGAGAAGACTCGGACAGGAACTCTTCTTGAGCATTGAGAATCTCGAACTTCAGCACCTCCCAGATGGTGATGGAATAGCGAGACACAGTGTCGGGATCATATGAATGAATGCAGGCGATCAAAGTGTTTAAGGCGTCTTTCTGAAATGATGTTAATATTCTGTGGAAGGTTAAAAATGACATCAAGTCCTTACCTTGACATTGGGTGAGGTAGAATCTAGCTTATCGAGCAATGCGGGAATAGAGTGAGGGGCGAAATGTCTCGTGGAAGAGATGCAGTCCTGTAGGCGACCTTTCAAGTCTTGGGCAGTAATCCCGTATGGGTCGTTTGGTGGAGGCCGGAAGGTAATCGGGAAGTAATTGTACACCGAATCAAAGAGCAACTACAAAGATCAGTGGAGAATAGAAGAGGTGTGGTGGTATTGAACATACCTCAACGTGGTTTGTGATATCCCACTCTATCATGACGACCTTCAAGATAGAGAACACCATCATCAAATTGCGTGGGTCCTTTTCGCCTGTCATGAGATCCACAATACCAACAAGCGAAACCTCACCCATATCGAGCAATGCTTTGATTTTGATCAGATATGTCGACACAAGGGGATTGAACTACCCAACATACCTGCACGGTGTGACGACATCAACTCGTTAAGCAATTGGTAAACTTGGAATCGCTGCGATTGGGATCGAGATTGTAGGTCTTGAAAATGAGAGAATAGACTAGGGATAAATTAGCTCCGAGTATATTAAGCTGCACCATATGCCCCAACTGCATAGAAGTGTCGAAGCATATCTTGAAATGAACATACGCTTGGGCAATCTCGGCAGCCAATTCCCTCGTGAACCGATCCAGCTTCTGCAGCGTATCCAAACCAGCAACTGCACCTCCATCTTCAATCCGATCACAGAAGAAAGACGTCAGAACCTGGATCTGTTGTCGGGACAGGAACTTCGGCGGCAGCGCCTTAATAACCGAAGTGAGGAAGGAGACAGCCTTTCCACGCAGTATAGGATCTTCATCATTGATATATTCGCCAAGCTGCTGAACAATTCCGATGAGGGTAGTTTTCTTGCTTTCGACATCTGCATTGAAATCTTCGATTAGAGTCACACGAACAGTGGTGGGTGCGGGGGAACGTGGGCCGATGACCGGACTGACCTTGAGCGACACCCTCAGCGATGCGTTTAGCTTCTTCCTTGTCGTGCTCCACCACCAACATGAATGTTTGCAGAGCCGACATTATGCCAATTAATCGGCCGGATCAGGCCAAGCTTGTGAAGAAATGCAGTGAGCTGAGAGACGAGACTTTCCACGGCTTCCTGTCCCCCTCCTAATTTCTTTGTGGTCCTTATCGATAACAGTCAGGTGATATCGGAGGTATCCATATCACGTGTGAATGTTGCGTCATGGCTGGGAGTGGCATGCGAGTCCTTAATAACGCCTGCATACATTCAAGATGAAAAGCAGAAGGCCTCTGGCATCGATAACTCTACTTTTAACCCTCACTAGCTCCGCTACTGCACTTTGGGGCTTATCTCTCCATTTTTCACAACAGCAGCAGCCATTAGTTCCTGCGCAGGGTCAGCAATCCATCATGGACAAACTCATCCCAGATATTCTCAAGCCCCAGACGACGGCTTCGAGTGAGGACGTCGTCGGCGGGGCATATCAACCAGTTGTCTCCGATGTCCTTCCGAAGACAAAGGGAATCAATATCTTTGCCCAGATGACCCGAGATTTCGACTCTATCTCCTCGCGCCTCAATGATGCCTCCCGCAACATCACAGTTCTAGCCCCGCGCAACAGCGCTGTGCAAGACCTACCACGCAAGCCATGGGAGGATCCCGAAGACTATGCTAAATTTGGTGATGTGAATGCCTATGAGGGCACTGATGGACAGGAGCGGGCGAGACGCAATCTGCGGCGTTTCGTAGAGGCCCATATCGTGCCTGTTAGCCCGTGGCGTGCTGGCGACGAGGTCGAAAGCCTGGGCGGAGAGAAGCTAAAGTGGACGAAAGAGGGCGACAAGATCATTGTGAGTTTTACTCGGCAGTCTTCGCTGCAGCGTCAAAAACTAATATGTGATAGCTGCAACCGGGAAATATTGAGGTGGAATCCGTTGCCGAGAAAGTCGCTAATGGAGAAGTCTGGGTGTTGAACGGTGTGATTAATTACCGCTCGGAATGACCGTACATAGCTATGAGATTATGAGATGACATGCTTCACGACGAATGGAACGAGATTATAGTTATGACACATTTTACAAGTAAATTGACACGTAAAGGCTGTGCCAGTTCCGATGCCGCAATGTCTTTTATCTATTCAGAGCCAGTGACTTGCCCTCCATTGGTGCTGATATATACACCGACTTGAGCATGAAATCCCTTTCCCCCCCATTTCGTCAATTAGTTCACCTCTGGCGCAAAGTTCCGCAGAACCCGCTCCTCAACACCATCGAGAATGCAGAAGTGCTCCATGACCTCCAGATTCTCCGCCTCGCTCAAGAACAGCTTGTCAGGGTCCTGGCCAGGCTGCATGGGGTTCATCATAGCGGCGGGATTGGCCATACCCATCTGCTGGGCCATCTGGTTGGCAGCTGTGTAGGTAGAGATATCAGCAATCAGATCAAACGTTAAAAGAGCATTCGCAGTCCCCGAGAGAGCTTACCATTGTCACTGCCCAGAATGAATCCAAAAACGGACTGCAGGCCCATCAAGTTCAGAAAGTACCACGACAAACTGGACACCCATTGAACATCCAAATCACGGGTCATAACACCGGACTGCAGCATAGACTTGAAGCGAATAGTCAACGGGAAAGGCAATTTCACTGTGTTTTCCTGTCAGCACGTCCAGTCACAATTGCGATTGGTTGTCCACCTACAGATCACGAATCCCGAGAAGAAAGCGTTGATCCAGCTCATGATCAGCGTCTGTGGGATCATCATCATCATGTTTCCCTTGAGCATGCCCATCATTGCCTCCATGCCAGCTGGATCCGTCATCGGGTTCGCCGGCGGCTGGCCACGGTTGTTGGGGTCCTTCAAGAACGCGCCACTCCGGAACCCATTGACGAGGTAATTCTTACGAGCCTCGAAGGACTCACGGTCCAGAACGGAGCATGCATGGTTGCGGAGGTTGACACCACGGAGGAGAGCATGGCGTTCGCGAGACTCGGCCAGGGAGGAGGCGGGCTTGGGGGGCGTGTTCATGAGGACAGTCGCATAGTGGCGGAGAATACCAGTCAGGATCTGTCCGAATAATGAATTAGCGATTGTGTTTTCAAAGTATTCGAGGCGTCCACGTCACAAACATACCATAACCACCGAGATGGGGAAGAGGATCCAATAGCTGCATCGTAAGGGTCAGTTCGGGCGCTGTGGCAGCATCGAATGGAGATCTCACAAGAGAGCCGGATCCCGAAGGATAGTCTGCTCAACACCTTGGACAGCCATGGCGAAAGACCAGGACGAAGAAGGAATTGCTGGTGAATGAGGCGAACGGGCTGTTCGTGGCTGCGGAGGGGGGATGGAAGGCGAACCCTGACGGAGGTACGGCAGCGTGTCATTGGCCCGCCTGAGCTCCAGCTCTCTCCAAAGGGCCACGCCGCATCTTGAGTTCCTTGAGATAAACACAGTAATTCTGTCTGCGACACCACCCTCTCTCTACTTTGTTGATATACCAGGCTTACAACCATATCTGACATTTACTTCTCAACTTGATTTCTTTTGATTTGGATTGCATCCATGGCAGACCACAAGGTGCCAGTCTATTCTACCAACGGTCCGTAGCGTCTCCGATCTACTCCTTCCTTCAAATGTCCGCGTCTTCACCAGCGACGATATCAAGTCTCGAGTCCAAGCTAACATGAATGAAACATGTAGACCTCAAGTCAACCAGCGATGATGCTCTACTCCCCTACCTAACGAATCTTCCTGCACCCTACACCTTCTCGGTAGACAATACCAAGAGCAACATCCGCTTCGTGCTAGGATACAGCGCCGTCGCAATTGCAGGTTTCACCTTCTATGCGGACCGCAAACTAGGCTGGGAGGCGACCACGTCACCGTGGATTATTACTGCCGTGGTGTCATACTTTATCCTCAACAGCGCGTTGACATTTTGGATCTGGGCCGTCGAGGCTGGCGAGGTGTTTTACGGAAAGCGCACGACTGGAGAGACTGTAAGTGCATACAATGGTTCTTTGACCTGCAAATTTTAGCAGAGACCTTGCCCTTAATGCAGTCGACTAAACATCTCTGCGCAAATAGATCTCCATCTCCTCGTCCGTGCAGAAGCACTCCGTTCCATACAAGCTACACGTGGTATACAAATCGCCCACCGGCAAAGTCTTGCAGGACAAGAAGTTCGAAGCACCCTTTACCAACTGGTTCTCTGCCGACGGTGTCTTCCACCCAGAGCCTTACCGCCGCTGGTTGGCCAGTGAGGTTGACGTGCTGAGATTGGCGGCCAAGGAGAACGAGAAGAAAACTGGAGGTGCTTCGAAGTAAGAGGATAGCACCGGAAGTGCTAGCAAGACGGTAGGAGGAATCTAGCTGGATCGGAATCTCATATATCAATCTCATTTTGGCTGTTGGTCATGTGCGAGTGCCAATTGAAGGGCCAAAAAAATGCATTTTGAAAAGCGAGGGCAGGTTTACATGTCGTAGTCAAATGTGACAGTCTCACGATCATTAGGAAATATTTCAGTCTTGCTCCACTGTAGTCATGCGTTGGGTTTGGAAGGATATACAACAAGTATGAAAAATAACAGCGAGAATGGAGCGATCACATTCCCCAGTGTACTCAAAATGGCTAAAAACAAAAGATTCTATATAGATAATTTTTCAGACATGACGACCTCGTGACATCCATCATTTCGATTTTGGCTCCTAGGACGATGCCTCCAGAGTGCCCGGTCGCTCGGTGGCGGCAGCAGGCTGGACGTTGTCCACCCGGCGGTTCTGGATGAGTCTCTGTAAATCTCTGTTAGAAATCCGCAATTTACCTTCAGTATCAGAGTCGGAGTGTTGACAACATACCAGCAGATTCCGCAGCAGGACGACGATAGTGACCTTGCCAATAGAAGGAACAAAGATGGAGGCCTTCTCCTTGACCTCGGGACCGAAGTTCTAGAAAAGCATGTTAGACACCGCACGGCTGGCAAAGTTGGATATTGTATGACGCCTACCTTCTCGCTCGAGAAGTTGATACACACCGCACCCTCGCGGAGCAGGCTAGTGTCAAACTTATACTTGTCGCCGGGCACACCGGAGATGACAACATCACACAGCGGCGCGACATCCTTCAGAGTAGCACCCTCCATATCGTGAATCTCGTGCCGGCGGTTCTTCAGACCCTCACCACGAGTGAACTTCTGCACACCGGTAATATCAACACTGTACACGCAAGCACCGTCATTGGCCAGCAGAGCGGCCAATGGGCGGCCAACGACCTCGGAGCGGTTCACCACACAGATGGTGTGGCCGAACAGACGGTTACCATAGGGGAGAATGGTGTTGTAGATGTTGAGATACTCGAGGATCTTGATGTTGGCCAGCGGGGTACAAGGCAGGATGCACTTTTGGCGCTTGGTTTCGGGGTCCAGGAAGCGGATGTTCTGGTACATGTTGAAGATGTAACGGTGGCTGAGACCCTCGACATCCTTACCGACATCGACAATCTGCTGCAGGTATTGGTCCTGACGGTTGTTGAAGATGGGGTAGTAGACGATAATGCCGTCGACGTCCGAGTCGGCGTTGGCAGAGATGATGGCCTCTTCGATGTCGTCGCGGGAGACTTCACGGAGGGAATACTTGAAGCCGCTGTATATAGTGATACATAATTAGCTTAATACCATATTGTTTGAGAGACATGGCGCATGTGGGGTTGTATATGGTGTTCCTTCGTCGCAATCTGGAGGAGGGGCAGGTATGAATCATAGCCAAACCACCCCACCACAAACCACATTCAAGAGCCATTGAGGTCGCGCAACAAGGACAGAATCCAAAACTTACTGTTCCTCGCAGGTCTTCTGCGTCCACTGCGCGTACATCAGCGCAGCAGGGTCATTGTTCGCTAGGAAGCCAACCAAATGCGGCGGCTTCTCGAGGGTCTTCAGCCCCTCCTGGACCTCCTGGAGTAGGACATTGGCGACGTGCTTGGACAGCATCACCTTGCAGGAAGACGGAGAAGAGGATGCCGGGGCCGACATGGCGACTGGTATAAATTCGAAGTGCGAGAGCTGGACGAATAGACGCTTTTGCTTCAGGTGGGGGACTTGTAATTCTGAGGGAAAAAGATTGTTCGCTTATCGATAAGAGATCGGATGCCGCATTCGGCCTCATCTGCCGAAGTCGCTGCTTGGAACTATGTAATTCGCAGTTTCATACTTTGCCTAGTGTGTGGGATAAAAAACAAATCTTTTTGTTGAGATCGAGTCTTGAGGAATTTCACTTTCATGTAGCTAAAGTGTCACAGTATTCATGATTGTTGCCGCCCCTCACATGGTGAGACCGAGTCGGAACGCCCTCTTCCCGAGTTTCTTACATCCTAGATGGAAGTCGATGTAATATAAATGCACTAGGAAGCCTATATGGTATGACAAAAGACTCTGACAATCATACATTTATTTAATGGTTTCAAATTAGCTGATTGGAATCATGAATTTTCACAACCTATCCCTCATCACTGACTTTTGCTCACATTGATCATTCAGCTCATTTGTCTTCCTCGAGATCCTTGCCATGCCTGCGTGAACCTAGTAGTTTGAAACCCGGCCTTCTCGTTATTCCTGTCATAATTTGTCCAATCGAGGAGGGTATTCGGAAACAGTCCTTAGGTACACATCTATAACACAGATGATAAATCACCATAGTCAACTTGGAACTAGTACCCTTCAATAGAAGTCAAGTGCTAGCTAGTCGGTATATCGATCGTGAGATCCACAGATGAAGAGACGGAACTATTACATTCCCGAGTACTCTGAAGAAGAAGATTCAGACGATAGGATCCAACCATTACTACGGGCTGTAATCAATGAGGACTTAGACATGGTAAAATTGTTGTTGGACCAAGGGGCGAATGCTAACTTGGGGTGTGAAATTGTGCCCAGTTGGAGATTGATTGCCCCCTATCGCTACCTGCTCTTCTGGGCTGTAGAGATTGGACATGAGAGCTAGCGAGGCGAATGAAAGAACAGCACGGAATATCAAGGAAATCCCATTATGGCGGGACTTCTCTTGAGAGTGATGCAGATCCTCATCAGATCGACATATATGGTGAATCCATGCTTAGCTGTGCCATCAGAGCCGAAAATAAGATACTCGTGGACTGTCTATTAGATCATGGCACAAATTCCCATCTGACAGTTGAGTGGTGCGGGCAGGCGAGAAGGTTATCTCACGATTTTATATGCGAACTCTTAGGGGGCCTGTCAGCTTCTCGATACTCAAGAATATTGGGTTCAAGACAGGAAACGAGACAAACTGTTCAGGGACTATTAAGTAAATGAAGTAGTTAGAAATCCTAGGGCTCACGTGTGCTTATACCAGCAGGACGAGTGACCAACCGACGCTGTCCTGGAGAGAATGACACGGGGCAAATACATCGTGACCTCCAACACGGATGAAACAACTACGATCTACAAAGGAAACCGAATAGAACAAAGGAAATGAATTGCGGATCCAACATGGAGAGACACATGGAGACCAGACGGCAGTAAGAACTAGTCTGGTCCTCCTCCCATCTCGCGCCCCCCGATGCGCGGAAAAAATCTAAACGTACAGGATATAATCACATTTTGGCAGCCCACCCATCCAGCACGCTGTCCGCTTCAGCTAGTCTTTCCAGGCACCGAGAGCAAGAGAAGAGATCAAAGATAAGTATGATCTCCTTTTCCCGGACCACAGTCGACGACGCAGATTTCTTTACATCGTTCTACAATCCAGTACTCTGTGAAATCACATACATTTTTGTTTCTCTCTCGCTCAAGGGAACTGTGGAAGGAGAAGCCGGAAAAGAACAGAACGAAACAAATGGGGTCAAAATTGTACAAGCTATCTTGTCTATACACATAGAGTCAGGGAAAATCAAGAAACGATCAACCTCATGTTTTGATAAGGAAACCGTTAAAAGAGTTATCACTGCGCATCTATGCGTTGAAAGAGCTGTTGAAGGCGCCGATGACCTCCTTGAGCTTGGCCTCAAGCTCCTTGGAGAGCTGGCCCTCCTTCTCGATGGTCTGCTGGATCTCGGGGTGGCTGCTCTTCAGGTGAGCGAGGAGGTCAGACTCCCACTGGAGAATCTTGCCGACGGGGATGGAGTCGAGGAGACCGTTGACACCGGCGAAGATCAGGGGAACCATGTCGGAGACGGCCATGGGGGAGTACTGCTTCTGCTTGAGCAGCTCGGTGAGACGCTCACCACGGGCAAGGGTCTGCTTGGTGGAGGCATCAAGATCGGAACCGAACTGAGCGAAGGCAGCGACCTCACGGTACTGAGCAAGGAAGAGCTTCAGGGAACCGGCGACCTGCTTCATGGCCTTGACCTGGGCGGCGGAACCGACACGGGAGACGGACAGACCGACGTTAATGGCGGGACGGATACCCTTGTAGAACAGCTCAGCCTCCAAGAAGATCTGACCGTCGGTAATGGAAATGACGTTGGTGGGAATGTAGGCAGACACGTCACCACCCTGGGTCTCAATGATGGGAAGGGCAGTCAGGGAACCACCACCGTGGGTCTTGTTGTTCATCTTGGCGGCACGCTCCAGGAGACGGGAGTGCAGGTAGAAAACGTCACCGGGGTAAGCCTCACGACCGGGGGGACGGCGGAGCAGCAGAGACATCTGACGGTAGGCAACGGCCTGCTTGGACAGATCGTCGAAGATGATGACGGAGTGACGGCCGTTGTCACGGAACCACTCACCCATGGCGCAGCCAGTGAAGGGAGCGAGGTACTGCAGAGGAGCGGCCTCGGAGGCGGTGGCAGCAACGACGATGGAGTACTTCATGGCATCCTGCTCCTCAAGGGTCTTGACGAGCTGAGCGACGGTGGAACGCTTCTGACCGACGGCAACGTAGATACAGTACAGCTTCTGGGACTCGTCGCCGGTAGAGTTCCAACGCTTCTGGTTGAGCATGGTGTCGAGAGCGACGGCAGTCTTACCGGTCTGACGGTCACCAATGATCAACTCACGCTGACCACGGCCGATGGGCACCATGGAGTCGACACACTTCAGACCAGTCTGGACGGGCTGGTTGACGGACTGACGGGGCAGAATACCGGGAGCCTTGAGCTGAGCACGGCGCTTCTCCTTGGCCTTGAGGGGACCCTTGCCGTCAATGGGGTTACCGAGAGCGTCGACGACACGGCCGAGCAGCTCAGGGCCGACGGGGACATCAACCTAATGTAAAGCATGAGTATTATTGTTGTGAGGATTTCAAAGGATGGGGCCAATATCAAAAACTGGACCCTCCCAAAGGGGGGGGAAAGGGGACTGAGCGACTTACAATCTCACCGGTACGCTTGACAGTCTCACCCTCCTTGACGAGACGGTCGGAACCGAAGAGCACAACACCGACCTGGCCGGCCTCGAGGTTCATGCACATACCCTTAACGCCGGAGGCGAACCTAGACGTCTTGTTAGCTTTCCCGAATGCCAAGACTTTTTCGGGTAGAAGAGATATATCACGTACTCGACCAGCTCCTCAGCCTGGACGTTGGTCATGCCGTGGACACGGGCAATACCGTCACTGTGAAGCTCAATTAGTTTTTCATTCGTTCCATTGTCGGATGGATGGTATCGTGGGCGCGTTTATCGAGATTGGATCGGGTAACCGAATTTTTCTCTTGCCGGGCAACCCTAGCGATTCCTGCTTTTTGACGTACCCAACGGACAGAACGCGACCGGTCTCGGCGAGACCAGCCTCCTCCTGAACACCACGGATGCGCTGCTCCAGGATGGAGGAGACCTCGGTGGGCTGGGCCTTGGCCTCGGCGGCGTAGGAACGGACCTGCTTGGAGGCACCGGCGAGGGGGCCGGGAACAGCCGCGCGGACCTGGAACGGGAGCGAGAAAAACTTGTCAACGGGGTGCTCCTGGAGCCAACGTGCGATGAACCCATCTTCAATGGGTGTGCGAAGGGGAGGGATAGGATCCGAGGACCAATCGAGCTCGAATTCGAGATGGAATAGGTCGGAGAATAGGGCGATGGCGATGGACGAAGAGGATACGGCCAGGATGGATTGAACTCACCGAAGCGACGCGGCCAGCGGCCGCGACGGAGCGGCTGGACTGCCGCAGAGCGTTCCTGAACATTGTGAAAGGGGGGTGGGTTCAGAGGATGGGAGGATGGAATTCTCTGAAGGAGAGATGTAATTGGGGAGAGGAGTTCGGAAGAGGAGAGAGAAGGTTGTGGACGGGTGGGAAGGGAGAGCTTTGTCGGTCGGGGGGAGGCCAGGATTCTCAGGACTCGCGCTAAACTGTTTGGGGCAGGGGACGCTCCGATGTGGCCCTAGTGCGGACCCTCACCACCGTGTCTTCTTTCCGGTCCTGCTCAGGCTGATGACCTGCTATCTTACTGTCTAGGTCTGAGAAAATTGATCTTTTAGATTTATAACCTCTATTTTGACTCTAAATTCACCCCCTTTACTCCATCCGTGCCGGGGAGTGGGATTGTCAAGCGAGGTGGAAGCGGCCCAGCCCTTTCCGTTTTTTTCTCTTCTTCGGATCGGCGGGATCCTAAGTCAAGTGATTTGCTTAGCTAATGCCTTTCGTCACGGCAACCACGCCCATCGGGGTGTTATCGAGTTCTATAGATCTGGAGAAGTTTATACTTCTGTTACTTTAAAAAACCTTTGATGTCTAGATTATATGACGTCGCTTCGGTCATATTCATTATTTTGTGACAGAAGTATTCCTCCGAAGCGGCATCACTTGTTACCAAACCGCAGACAGGGAGGTCTACTGTCGGGTCCTGCCCCAGCAACGACCAGTTCCGAGACCGGTCAGACAGATGCGCTCTGGGCATCACAACCCGACGAGGGTCAATGCAACCCCCGCATGAGCTGATTTATTACATCGTCGCAAACCCATCCTTGTCAGACCTTGAAAATAGAGCAAAAGAACTCAAACTCGGCGCTTGCTTTCATAAACTTCCGTGATAAATCAACTTGCTTCCAAGCAAAAGAACAACCCGAAAAGAACGAACCACCGAGTACATCCAACTGAGCCATATCCGCCGACCAGCGAGTTTCTCAGCCGTTCTTCACTGCGTCTTCTTCACTGCGCCGCCTTAGCCTTCTGCTCCTTACGGAACTTGGCAATTTCGATCTCCACGTTCTTGTCCATCCGCGCCTTCAACTCGGGTCGGTAGCCGAAGAAGAACAAAATCTCCATCCAGACAAAGAGCGGCGCAAGCAAGAGGGCCTGGACAAGGTTATCCAGCAGCGCCGGGGCGCGACCCTCAAACTTGCCGTGGCCGACAAACTGCGCCAGCCAGGACACGACGTGGATGCCACCGGCCCAGTAGTTCACGTCCATTCCGTAGTTTCCGAGCAGGTAGTTACCGCAAGCTGCGAAACCGATCACCAACGGGGCGAGCAGGCCGCCCGCGACCGGTTCGAGGAGGATATAGAAAAAGGCGTAGATGAAGGCTCCGATGGTACCGGCATTGGCAGGGAGGTAGTTGGAGGAGAGAACGTCAGGCGTAGGGAGAAGAGTAGGGCTGTTGCATGCCTGTAGAGCCGAGTCAATTGTCAGCTCTGCTTGTCTTGCGAAGATGTGTCAGGATCGGGTGGAGAAAGGAAAAAAACTCACCAGCACGATGCCCGTGAAGAGCAAGATAGGCACACAAGTAATGTGAATAGCAACGTTCACCTAAATCTCTCATTAGCCAAAATTGAGGCACCACCGTTGCACAGAGAGGGGCCACGATACGGGGTTATTGTGATAAGCTCCATACTGCGGAAAGTCAGCCACGGTCCCATGGTAATCAACGCGGCCGGGTGAGGCCGGGAACTCACGAAGAGCAGCTGTTTCTCGAGGTTCAGCGTCATGTTTGAAGTGCTGGTCGGTGGGGGAGGTCGAGGTCGATGGTCGGCGGATGCTGGAGGGACAATGTTGGGGAAGACGTCGCTGGGCTACATCATCAATTATTCGGACATGCCAAGTGGTGCAATCGGATCGCGCACAGCCGTCATGTGCGTGGGCCGAGGGACTGGCAGCTCATGTTTCTGTACGGTATGTAGCGAGAAATGGAGTGTGTTTTGTTGTAATTATACGTAACACGTGACAAGCGTTTGCACATCTACTGTACAGGACCAATTTTTGATTGCAGTCAAGCTCCCATAAGAAGCAACAACAATTAGAGAATTAGGAGCTCCTAATAAGCTGTGACTTATGAATATAGTCAAAAAGGTAATATCAATGTCCAAATTACAAAGTTGAAGACCCATCGTCCGGCTTCGATTGCAGCTCAAACAGCTTCAGAAAATACTGATCATCGAAACTCCATCCATCGAACCGGACCTGAACCACGTACATAATCAGCCTGTATTTATTCACCAAGAAATATTACTCTCAAAAAACCAGCGAAAAGACGTGAGGACATCTCCACAGTGATGTTCCTCCCTAGGTCGCTCGTTTCGTTACTTGAACCTCGACTCCTTCGAGGAGTACAAGCGCACTAGATTCCATGAGTCAACTAGACACAACTCATCAGGCTATGTCGGCTTACCCGCAGTTCTCAACCACCTTCATTCCCTCTACGGGCTTGAAATCGTACCGCATGAGCAGAGTTGGAATGAGCTAGACAATAACGATTCAGCGCGGGGAGACTCGGATATTGAAATGGATATATAAGGTCTTACCTTGGTCATCTCGAGCCAGCTAATGTCTGTTAAATATCAGCTTTCTAGTTCTGCATGACTCTTGGCATAAAGGACTCACTCTTTCCGAGACAAGTTCGAGACCCACCTCCAAAGTTGAAGAAGAATCGCTCTGGAAGCACCCATCAATATCCCAGTAAACTGTCAAAAGATGTAGCGATCTGGCAAACTCACTGTAATAACTCTGACGCTCCTGATCTAGCCATCTCTCTGGACGAAACTCTTCGGCATCAGGGCCCCAAATCTCAGGTAGCGTATGGATAACCCATGGAATAGTCCCAACGACCGTCTTGTAAAATCAGATTTTGCAAAGATGACTTGAGCTTTAGGAGTCACTTACTCCCTCTGGAATGTAATCCTTGCCGATACGCATTCCCCCAGCCGGCACATCTCGATCCATGATCATCCCAAAAGGCGGGTGTAGGCGCATCGACTCGTACATCACGGCCTGGAGGTACTCACAAGACTCTGCTTCTTCAAAAGTGATGGGATCACTTAGTTTCCCCTGTGCCTTTTTCTGCTTGAACTCATCCATCAGGCGCTCGTAGGCATCTGGGTTCCTCAAGAGCAGTAGAAACGCTGCACAGAGTGATGTTGCCGTGGTGTCTGATCCGCCAAAAACATTCGATGTCATCATGAATGCAATGTCCTGGTCAGTCAATTGGGACTTTGTCTTTTGGGTTGTAAAAAGCTGACCCAGGATATCCTTGCTGTCGCCGCCACGTTCCTTCCTGGCACTAATCTCCTGTACCGCAAGTCTGAAGAAATGACCATTGCGATCCGCTCCAGCGAGCCAGTTTCCAATAACCGGACTCAGTTTCTGGTGCAGTCGGAAGATCCACCCGGCATGCATTAGCCATGCTAGGGACGACATGGAGTTTTGGATTCTCAGGAATAGACCGTGATCGTTTGCGGCTTCGATATACCCAAATGGTTTTGAGAAGCTTATGGCACCGATGATATCTGTGCCATGTCAGATGTTTTTCTGAAACGAATTAGACGTCATTTACATACCAAAGGCATAAAGCTGCAGCCAAAATCCCAGATCAATAGTCTCGCCATCAATCTTGTCGAGCTGATCAACCATTTGCGAGATCACAATATCAACTTTGGGTTCGAGAAGAACCATGGAGTGCATGGAATAAGCTCGAGCTACAAGCTTCCGCTGTTCAGAGTGGATCTTCTCATTGCGCTGGCCAACGAGATCAAATGAACGAGTGCCTTGCACGACGTTATAGGCCGCGGCTTTGTGGAAATTATTCCCAGCCTCTATGGTGTGGTGGTCAGCAAGCCTGGAAGCTGAATAAACGGGGAGATGGTGTTTGCCGCACTGTATATCTCTCGGAAGGCTTCCGGGTCTGCGATGCTCCTGTATATGAATTCAGAATAAAGTATGCCACAGATCGTCTTGGATGGAGGAGGGTAAAGTACAGTTCATTCGGGGCGACTCTGACAAGATTGCCGTATCTTTTGTGCAACGCAATAAAGTCCCGGTGCCCATGTCCTCGGAGCGAAAGAGAGGCCCGATATAGCTTGGTTAGTTTAGCCCAGAACGGCCCAGGGTATTTCGCCAGCGGCGAGAAAAAGCACTGATAAATGACGTAGAGCAGCACACCACAGATGAAAATCTCAGCAGCATACAGACTCACGAGAAAAGGGGACGTTGTAGCAAGCATTGTGGCTGCTTCGACTGCCGAGATACTGCAAACCAGTAGCAGTGAGTTGTGGAATCCGTAAAATAAGCCTTAGACTCAAGCAAACCGGATGACTCGGCCTCTATGACTTGTAAATCAAGGGATGAAAGAGAAAGCGGTCTATCCAGCTACTTATTGTGGTGTCCAAAAGTTGCGAAGGGGGGAACGGAGTGCTCTCGGACCCTCGGGTTCTTTGTGTTATTTACATTGGAGCTGCATGATGATATCGTGACCCCACCTTGGACTACAGAGTAATGAACCATTCACAGGTGTTCACAACTCGACGTTGTGCATGCCAGGAAAGTTAAGCACGGGCTTTGACTTTTATCTGTTGCGGCTCATCGCGGGCTTCTGTCCCACTACATTCATTTTACAGCCGCATTATGTACCTGGAGTGAGAATTTCCTTGGAGCCTAACTTCAGCAAAGATACAGGATATTGGATCACGATCTTGCATCCCAAACACGTGGCTCGGGACATGCATTGGGAATCATCATGCAGGCTTATATCCACACCCCCGGCAGTTCGCTTTGCAGGAGACTGTGTTTGGATGATAGAATATTTACTCGATACCCCCTTTTTGGGAGATGGTATCTGTACACAATTCGGATAGGTCCGAAGAATGGAGGGGCATCGGGTAGATCGGCCATTTGGCCAGTCAAGGCAGGGTTCAGAATGGTACCGAATCACGGCTAGAGATTAAGTTTGACTTTGTGATCTGAGTGATAAACCTCCGTCTGGCCAGCATCCATAGGATAGCAGTAGGTAAGGATATCTCTGCCATCCGAACCCCTCCTACCAGGCGATTCCTTGACCAACGCTCTGCTGTATGGACGGCAGATACAGCAGGGGGCCTGGACAAGAATAAAACCATGATGCTCAGCATACTTAACTGATTGTTGCATGCCTGGGATAGCCCAAAGAAAGCCTATTTCCCGGAGCACTTGGAAGGACCACCTCGGGAACCGACAAATCAGGGCTCCGATGGCCTACTAACCGATGTAACCTGTCAAATGGGCGTCACGAGACGCTTGCTCGTTTGACAGCTCCACTGAACACGTCAGGCTTTCGTATTCTAGAAACCTGGAGTCTGCTGGCAATTGCTGTCAGAAAAAGATTAGGCCGTTGAAGGTCTCCTAGGTTGTACGGCATCACTGGGGAACGGAAATAGTATAGGGGTGAGCATTTGATTTCGTAACGAAGAAACACACTGTTTGAAAAATAGCTTCATCATGCTCGAGGGACTCCTTCAAGTTGTTCTTTCGAAATTAAGCGTTAAATAATTAGAATAAAATAAACTTGAGTGTTGGACAACAGCTGCTCTTTGAGAACATATATCTCGTCAAGGTGCCCGTTCACTGTGCAACAACATGGACCAGGTATCTGTCAATGAGAAACCTACCACAATTCAATAAAAGGCAAGTGGAAATGAGCTAAAATTAACAATCAAAATTCATTCATAACTGACGTTTTTTTTTCTTTTAATTAGTGCTACCTCCCATACCTCCAGTCTATCAATGGGAGGACATCTGTCACGTGACCATATTTGTCCATCAAGTTGGGACCGCTGGAGGGACCGGCCGACAATCTCAGGCAAGCTCCGACGTCGCGCTGGTAGCAATTGTGTATCTGCCCTTTTCACCCAGGCAGAGAGCGCGTCTGCTTACTAGAATCCTCGACGGTCATTTGACGCGGTAATTCCCCCAGTCTCGCCTCGCCCGCAGGTCATGAGCTAGCAGTCACCGACAGCGACTTCCGACCTCTCCTCCGCAATCCATTGCTTCTCTGGGTAAGCAACCACCGCCATTCGACCCTGAACACGGAAGCGACACATTTGAAGGACTACGGGGCTCTTTGAGCAACCACGCCCCCTGCTTTTGCGCCGGCACCATCAAGCGCTTAGTCGACCGTCACAGACAATTGAATTCCGAACCATCGGCAACCGCAAAGATGTTTTTCCTCAAGGAAGAGACCAAGGTCATTACCATGCATCCGTCCTACTTTGGACCGAACATGCGCGAGTTCCTGATCGCCCGGCTGAATGAGGAGGAAGAGGGCCGATGCACGGGTGACCACTTTGTGATCTGCGTGATGGACATGGTGGACATTGGCGAGGGCCGAGTTGTCCCGTCGAGCGGGAGTGCGGAGTACACGATCAAGTATCGTGCGATTATCTGGAAGCCATTCCGTGGCGAGACGGTATGCACCTTGGGAGAATTCAGCGGGTGCTCGCTTCTTGGAACGGTTGCTAACGATTTGGCTCTTATTAGGTTGATGCGATCGTCACCTCCGTCAAGCCTACTGGTATCTTCACATTGGCCGGCCCTCTATCGGTTTTCATTGCGCGGAAAGTATGGGCTCACTCAGATTTCACTCTTCAAGGATCGTTGCTAATGTAGGAGCCAGAACATTCCGTCCGATATCAAGTGGGAGCCGAATACCGTGCCACCACAGTACACCGACCATGCCGACCAGGTCATTGAGAAAGGAACGAGTCTGCGCCTGAAGATCCTCGGTGTCAAGCCCGATGTGGCGGCGATCAACGCCATTGGCACGATCAAGGAGGATTACCTTGGGTGAGTACCTCCGTTTTCCCGCAATATCTCATGTTGGAGATCTAACCATTGTGCTTTACCTCCTAGACCCCTGTAACGAGAAACGAGCCGCAACATACCCCATCTCCCCCCTTTTCATCCTATTACGATTTTGTACTCGATGCAGTCTATCTCTGTCCATGGCACAGCGAATGTTCAAGCGATTCTTCTGTCGAAGAAGAAATTCACCAAGAAAAAGAAGTTTATCGAAAGGGCCCTTCCTCAAGGGCGTCCTTCAAGGATAACGAGACAACGAACGTGTTCTAAGCGCGCGCAATCACATATTTCCCGACAAGCGCTAGAGGCGCATGAAAGGAGGAGGCTGCACATAGATAGCAGTCAACTAGGCTGATGCTTGCAATCTCATGTCCACAATCTCATCATTTCCACCGTTTCCCCCCCCATTGTTGTCTTTGATATTACAGGACTACAGTTGGGGGCCAGAACCGTGCGTGCTGGTCTGGCCCCGCTGAGCAGAAGACGATCCAGGCCTTGAGCAAATGAGATTTCATTCCATTATGTTAAGCCCAGACTCGCTATTAGCTACAGTACGTGCCATATACCATGCATTTGATACTGGGATTGATAGCTATGCACGGAATACACAGCCTCACCAGCCCATCTATGTAGCCGTATATGCAGAACCTCGTACAAACAGTCGTCTGGACACAAAAAGTCTCCAAGCTGGCTGGTTCTGCATAGCTGGGTATGAACTTTAATTCTGCACTGCAAAGGCCCAAGTTGCCCGAGAGACCGAGCCAAGGGGGCTTAACCGTGGCTCAACCGTCGAACAAACTGGGGCTCTCCCGTCCACTGGTGAAACGCTGGCGTGTTTTTTTCCGATTTCGTGTGTTTGTTTGATTTCGGTCGTTATTTACCTTTTGGAGAAGGCCATGTACCGTGTACCCAGTTGGTGCTAGCCAAATCTATCTCCAAATCTCGTACCCAGTACCTCGAAAAAGTGGTCCTCGTCGCGTAGCTGCAGGACCCAAGACTGGCGCATTTGCACGTTCGTTCCAGGACTTCCAGGACACGTACGAGTCTGGACAATTCGTCCCTAGAATCATCGTCTCCGGTAGTTCCTGAGGATCTTCTCCCGTAGTCTGTCATCCAGTCCCACCTGTTTCTCCCTTCTCCTTCCTCCGGTAGCTTCCCCTCGGCCCAGCTCATTTCCCACCCCTGACATCTGATATCTTCCCGTGGTCTCCCCCTATCGCACTCCCTTCAAACTCCTTCTGCACTTTTCTTGCAGACTGTTTTGAAGATTCTTACACTGAGTCAACCATGACTTACCTCAAGGACACCTATCAGCGGTTCCTGGCGAACCCCAGGAACGCGCCGTTGGCCGCCAATGCCTCGCTGATCTATGTCCCCACTACCACCAAAATCGAGGGTGCCGACGCGATCGCAACCCATACGTCACGACAAGCTAGCATTGTCAGGAAGAAGTCGGATCAGGTCCTCAATGCTATCGAGAGCTCTGACGCGTTGTGCTTGGATATGGAGACCACCCTGGAGTTTCTCGAGGGTGGTGGCGCCTATCTCCCCTCCCTCGATGATAATTTCCTGGCCGACCGCGTCGTGACCATCCCCACGGTAAACACCCCGATCTTTGTTACAGGTTGCACCGCGCATATTGTTCCCCAAAGTACTAATGCACGTTTCTTTGTTTCCCCGCAGGTCCACATCGTCCACTTCAATGCCGAACAACAAATCCAACAGGTCCGGATCTACTGGGACCAGGCCTCGCTGCTAAAGGAGATGGAGGTAATTGGTGCGCGTGGCCGTTCCTGGCCGATTCGCCCGGCGCAAGAGCAGGTCCGTCTGTTGAAGTCGGCGATCGAAACAAAATCTGCTGCGCCCGTCCTCGTCTCGTCCGCCGATGCCAACAAGGACCTCCCCGCACGCCCTGCATCCCCGGGCAAGCGATACATTAAAGATCCTTACTCCGCAGACTCGCTGTTCGATCTCCTGTCTCCTCAAAAGGGCGAGGGCGCGACCGAGCAGGATGATGATCGCCGACCTTCGTCCCCCGGCAAGAGATACACCCGCGACCCCTACGCTGCTGGATCCTTGACCGAACTGTTGTCGCCCAGCAAGGAAGAGTCCGCTCCTCCCCGCCCATATGCCCCCTCGGCTGCCCAGCCTGCGTCCCGCCAGTACGGCGAGCTGTTCATTGGAGACGACGACGAGACCCCCAGCACACCCTCCAAGGCCGAGAAAGTGGCTGCGCCCAAGGCGGGCTCTAAATTCCAAGGCAGCCGCATCTTTGGAGACAACGACGACGCCACAGACGAACGGGCCCCTTACAAGACCAACCCACTTAAATTCAACCACTTTGAGATTGGCGCTGTTGACGCCGATCCGGAGATCAAGGACCACGTCCAGCGTGGCAAGTCGCGCAACCAGTCGCAATGGCACCATGGCGATACCACCACCCCGAAGAAGAACACCGAGAAGGCGCGTGGCTTCGGATATGGCGATGACAATGCCGAGGCCGAGTCACCTCCAGCCCGTCCAGCCGTGCACAAGCCTCGTCGTGATGCGGACGTGCACTTTGATATGACGGATGATACAGACGAGGAGGATGATGGCCGTATCATCAGCTCCTTCGAGAACCGAGGCAAGGGCCTGTATGAAAATCGACTCTTCAACGAGGATGGTACTCCCAAAGCCGCTGGAGACGAGAAAAGGAAGACCGAATCCCTCGGCGTGACGGGCAACAATGTCAGCCGTAGCCAGGCCTTCGACTCTCATTGGGAGATGACCGATGTCTCGCCCGCGGCCATTCACAAAACCCCAAAGCCTATGGCCATGGATCGTGCCAAGGCCGTTCAAATGATGGAGTCGTCGTGGGATAACTATGACCAATCTCCCGAGCCTACTCGCACTGCTACCTCCCTGCACAATCCAGCTCGCCACAACCAGCCTTCTTGGACTATGGGCGATGATGAGTAAAGGTTGCACGAAGATATCCACCGAGTATCTATTGTTGGGATGCAATGAAAGACTCGGACTTGCTCTCCTGCTCTCGTGCTCTGTTAAAACACTACCTTTATCTTTCTGCCATGGCTTCGCCGTCGATGGCCACGGGAGACTAATGTTTCCCACCCCGAAAACACCCTGATAATGAGCGACGTGCACCGATACCCACAACATAAAATAACCTGCGAAGGACAGATAGGCCGGGGGATGGACGATACCAAGTTGGGTTTACGTGGATGAATGTGAAGAGAGTCTGGCCTGATTACTTTCAATCTTTTCCCCCCAAGGGGGTTATTGTTTATCATCACCATATGTATTACAGTGTGCGTGAATTTTTTAAACACCTTGCCATTCTTGTGAATTTTTTTTTAATTCCTCTTATTTTTGTTGCGCTGGATGTGCGACTCTTTTTTCTTCCTCTTACGCATTTGAGTGTCTTTTTGTCGTGCTTTTGGATTGCTCTTTTAGTACAAGATTTATTATTCCCAGTGTTAGTCAGGACTGTTATTTGATTGATTTTCATTGACTGGATCTTGTGCATTTGAGTTGATGCTATGTAGATTCTCCCTGATCTGACACGATATCTGCCAACTCACGAGTGTATCCAGTATCTTGCTTTTTGTAAGATATCTAAGACTGGGCTCAATCCACTGCCTCAAAGAGCCTGACAGTCTGGTCACGTGTTCCTAACTTTAGGGCTTTCGTCAGTGGGCTCTTTCGTCGAATGTCTCTTTCGCCGGATATCTTTCTCAAAACTTACCGATTGAGCTGGATTCACTCGTACATTCGCGCGTTGCTTTAGGTGGAATCATCAGATCCCACATCTCCAAAGTCAACGCCGTCGTCGTCGTTATCATCGTTATCAGAGCCATTGTTGTGAGAATCGTGGTCAGACTCATCGTTAACAGAGTCGTAATTGAGAGAATTCTCATAGTCGAATCGATCATAGATCAAAGTCGATATCGTCATATTCGGAATCCTCAGAGTCGGAACCAGAACTGCCAGTGAGGTAAAGAGGCAGGAACATCTCCTCCTCAATGGCATTTTCGTCGCGAAGGACATTGACCGTCCATCCGTAAGCTGCTATCTTCGCTGTGAACTCATCCCTGTACAGACAGTCACAGTGCGTGAAGATATTGAAGACGACCTCCAGTTCCGACGGAAACGCCCTGAGACGAGAAAAGACCAGATCCAACACCTTCGCATGGACTCCCTCCGAGCAAAGGAAGTGGTAAGCGAGCATCCCATTCTGAGAGATAACCGACGTGCACCCCAGGTTAAGCTTCTTCAGATTAGGACAGTAATCTTGAAGCATTCTGAGGGCACGACCGGTGACACTGTCTAGCCTGACGGTCTCATCTCTCCTTTTCGTGGACGGAAATGGGATTCCGATTTCCGTGATCCATCTGCTGTTACGGGGGCCAATTTGATTCAAGAAGGTGATGAGTTCCTCGTCCGGGCTGATGGAGGCTTTAGATGGTCACCCGCTGTTCCGAATGACGATGCGATCTAACAGGACTTGCTCCTCCGGGCTAAGGGTATCATCCCGATTCAAGATCTCGTCGTCCAGAGAGCTCTTGAAGTTGAACTTGACTTGTTCGTAAATGAACGAACGCGTCTCGCGATAGGTTTGGCGGTTAACCAGGGAGAGGCTGAGAGAAATGCAGTCGGCGTTGGTGTCCAAGTCCGCGGTGCAGTTTGAAGGTATGCAGAAGCCATAGATGAGGTTCCTGATCTCGCCTGGAAGGTCGAGAAAGGACCGGCCCGGTGGCATGATGAAAGCTTCGAATGACTGCGCGGGTAAGCGAAGTACTCTGCTGAGAAGATGGAAATTTGAGGAATGGTACCCATTACTGGTGTATTTGAGAGAAGATGGAACAAGGTGAACGTGGTGGAGATCAGAAGATAGCCAGAGATGGAGAGGAGAAAGAGGATTGTTGGTCAGTCTGGAAGAAGAAGGCAAACGATAGGAAGAGGAAATAGTCGTTTACTTTTTAGGAGAAAATGAGCATCTAAACGAATCTAAGAGGACTACCGCGGCGAGGAGTAATTCGCACCGGAGTTCGTGAATCTGAAGCCAGCCGGACCATATCTAGTATAGCAACGAACGGTGAAACGAGCATATAAACAAATCTAAGAGGGAGACCGTGGCGAGGAGCAATTCCCACCGTGTTTTGTGAACCTGAAGCCAACCGGACTCAATCTAGTATAGCAACTAATGGCACCCCCTTGATCACTGGGCTTGCCTGCATTTAATCCTAGGTACCGATACATTACAATATCTGAGTCGTCTATTGGAAATATGAAGAACGACATGACAGAGAGAATGTCTTAATAACATACTATGAGAAGGACATCATCAGAATGGAGTTTGATTCAAGGATTTCATAGCATAGACGGAGAATGTTTGAGCGAGGTAATGATTCCTTAATCTGTATTCTACGCCACAGGGCCTGATTACTATATTGAAAGACGGAGCAGATATGTTGGGCTAAGCATCAATTCTCAATTTCTATGCTATTTAGATCAATTTACCAAAAGACCCAGTATTTCCGTTTCCGAAATGTAGTTAAACATCCAAAAGAAATTGTAAACGCAAAGATGGCGGCATTCAAAACCGCGAGGACAACAGCACCACAAAGGCAAGACTGCGACATGCAAGGCCGCACAAACATTAGCGTCAGAAAACGAAGAGAGATGATAGCAAATACTGCGCAGACTGAAGAATCAAAAGACGAAAGTCAACAGACGAAAGTCGTGGGAATCGTGACATTTATTACCGCGAGAACAGCGGAGCCAAAAGGCGAAGACGGCAGGGACTGCAGAGTTCGGAACAACAAAGACAGTGTCAACAAAGACAGTGGCATCAAACACCGCAAACAGGGCGGCATTTAAAAGTTCAAGGATGGCGCCAGAAGCAGCAAGAACAGCGGCACCCAGAGCCGTGAGTATACGAACACCAAAGAACGAAGATCATGGAGATTGCGGCATTCAATACCGCGAGAACAGCAAAGTCAACAGACGAAGACAACGACAACTACATCTGCAGAGACAGCAGAGTTGAAACAGCAATGACAGCGGTATCAAATACCGCGCGGACAGAAGCACCAAAAACTGCAGAGAGGGAGGCATCCAAAGCCTCCAGGATAAGATAGCGTCCGAAGCAGTAAGAAAAGTATCATCCAAAATTGCAAGGATAGCAGCAACAAAAGATGAAGACAGCGGCATGCGAAGCCGCGGAAGTAGCAGCTTCCAAATCTGCAAAAATGGCGATATGCAAGAGCGCCAGCATCAAAAAGCAATGAAAAGGCAAGAAAAGCGGTATCCAGAGATGCGGCAGCATCCAAAAATGAAGACACTGACATCAAAAACCGGCAGAAAATATTCAGAAAAAGCCAGAATCGTCCAAGAAGAACGAATAAAGCTGCAGCACCAATTGCAGCCCAGAAAGAAACCAGGCGTCCAAACGCCCGAGGATAACCAAGTTCATACAAACCAAAATCATCCAACCTCCCGCCCGCCCGCCCAATGGTTGGAATATCTCACTTAGATGTAGAACATGGTATCCTTGACGCTGGTGTGAATAGTTGCTTGGCTGGCCTCGGGCACACGGTCATAACTTTCTCCACCGATCACACTTCCCGCCGGAGTAGCAGAGGGTGTCGGGTCGAACAAGTCGCTCATGTAGCAGCGAGCACGGGTGCAGACGAGATCGGCGTAGTAAGCTGGTGGACACACGCTGACAGCCTTGGTGGCTCGGCCGAAGAGGTAGCACATTTTGTGTGTCAGGTCTTGGAGTTTATCGGCGGCGCCGGTGCCCGGTCCGGCGCCTGGGTGGAGGGGGTAGAAGATCTCATCCCAGACGGTGAAGTAATGGGCTGGACGGGCTGTGCCTTGGAGTGCGGAATGTGCTTGCAGATAGAAATCCCAGTGGCGGGCTTCGGAGATGCCGCGGTCGACGACAGTGCCCGGCTGGGGGTTGGCGGAGTTTTCGGCATCACCGTCGGCTGTGGGGTAGAAGCGGGTGTTGTGCCGTTTACCAACGACGACAATGGCCATGCGGGGAAGACCCTTCTTAATATCTGAAGCTGGGTAGATGGTCTCGCAGGCCTTCTTGAGGAGAGGCAGTTCCTTTTCGATGACTAGATCGTACTGGCCCTCTGACACGCCGTCACGGTAAACGACGATGTTCTCTGGGAATTTGCCCTTATTGTGGTTTGCCCAGATTTTGATACGGCTCCGGAGGAGCACGTCCAGGTCAGAGACCATTTCTTGGCGTGCTGGCTGAATGCGGATGTCTGCAGGCCACTGAGCTAGTTGTGCATCGACTGAAGCGACGATGCCGACAACACTAGGTGCAGCACTGGTGGAACCTGGGGAGGGATGAGTGACGTCAAGTCCAACGAGCATGGTTTTACCATCGGCGAAGAAGCCCAGGTCTGAGGCTCGAAGTGTCTGGTTCGCGCCGCCCATCTTGAGATTGATTTTCAGGCCAACATTTGCTAAATATTGCACCTTGGCATCCCTTATCTTTTCGGCTTGCACGTTCACGTTTCGTACACCACAGCGCACATCGCAGACTTGCTTGACAGTGTTGTAGACCTGGGTATCCTTCGCGAATAGGATACCCAGAACGAGCTGGGGATTGTATTTTTCTTTCAAGCCACGGACGGCGTTTTCGATAGCCGTCGGATTGTCGGCATTCCAGTTGTATTGGACCCTCGTTCCCGGATGAGGCATTTCTGCTGCAACACCCATGTCTCTGAGAGTCTGGACAAACTGACCAAGCGAGTCATTCAACCCTGGTGGGGTAAGACCGTGTCTGCTGTTAGGGGCGTCGATGAAAAGCCAAGTCCAATTTTTCAGTGAAGCAGGTTTGGAGAACTGAATGGACTGCATATTCCAACTGCCGCCCCTGGCCTGAAGCACTTTTTGCTTGGCATACATAATGCGGGGAGCGTCCAGGACACGGCCCTGCACAGTGATGAGGTTGTCACCAATGTTGATACCGAAGGAAGCCTACAGAAATCAGGGAAAGTGAGCATGATCACCTGAACTCGGTAGAATTTCCATGATGCGGCAGTCAAAGAAGCGAGGAAGGGTAAGAGATAAAGGAGTGAGAAGGTGACGATGTGGCAAAGCAGGCCGTTTACTTACCAGCGTGGCATTCAGTGGCTGACCGATGCCCAATACACCCACGCCCTTCGAGACGATGGACTGGGCATTCTGTGATGGCATGCGGCCCTTGACAGCAAAGTTGAGCATGTTTTGTGTTTGCCTGGGGGAGAGTTTGCTTTTGACGGGTTGGCCGGCCTCGACCGAGCAGACATCCGCCGGGAGGTAGACAGGTCTCTCTCGCGTTCCAACGTTGACAACAGGGAGATTGGGATTCACCGTAATGTTGTACTCTAAAGTAAGAGGTTGGCATCGAGCAGATTGACTTGATCACTAGTACTGATATAACTCACCTTGCTTGAAGAAATCAGCAACGCTAATGTACTTGCCCGCTGGAGCCGGTCCAGCCTTCGCAGGGCTCTTCTTGCCCTTCTTGCCCTTTCCTTCGCCGCTTGAAGGCGGTGCAGCTTGCGAGCCAGGAGCATCTAAAAAGAACTTGACGGCGTGTGGGCCAGCTCCGTGACTCTCAACCATTGGCTTATTGGGTGACGAACCACCGTCGCGAGGAGTTGCTAGGCCGGAAATAGTCTTGACGCGAGCGGGCCTTTCCTTGCCACTCTTGCTCTTGCGCTTGAGGTGAGTAAGGCAAACTCGTATGCGCTTCAAGAAAGCTTCCAATCGGTGCATACTCTGTCTGGGATTGCTGGTCATCCACTCTTTCAACATCCATTCTAAGCGCCCCGATTGGTAACAGGCCAAGTATTTGACTTGGACATTTAGCAGGACACGGGCTGTGGCAGCACGCACACTAACAAAAAATCCGCGTAGCACCTCGAGACCACCCTCAAGACTGGCCTTTTCCATGATGCCGTCTTGCAGGCTGTAATGTCTGTTGCCCCCGATGGAGGCCACGGAGCGCTCGGTCTTGGGATGGTGGCCTAGAATCACGTTCAGGGCCTGGACGATTTCGGGTTTGGTGCCCAGCATGGTGCCAGCATTGGTGGACGTGAGATAGTTGAGCAAGTCGACAGGGTTGATATCTCCGGTGTATTGGGTGGTGACTTTGAACACCTTGGGGTTTTCTGGATATTCCTCATCGCTCTCGTCCTTGTATCTCACGTCGAACTTGCCTTCAGTGAGCTTGGCGACCGAGAGAAGGGTCGAGCGGTAGTCGGTTGCGATGCCCGTCAAGTTGGCAGCAAAGTGCTCCTCCAGCAAGAGACGCACAATATGTCGTGCTTTTCGGCCAGCAGGCTCCCGGCCGCCCTCTGCAGCGATGGAGACATGATAGCGGTAGATGGGCTTGCCCACAGAGGTGAAGGGAAGATAGTTAGCATAGAGCGTGACAGGCCGACCGAGAGTACCATATCCTGGTCGGTCGGGATATGCCTGAGCAGGGTTCTTTGCGTTTTTCTGGCGACTCGCAACAAGCGCCTTGGCCATGGCATCTTCCGTCTTGCTGACGGTCGTGTCAGGCTGGGCAATAGGCTTGCCCTCACTGCAAGGGTTCTGCAGTTAGATTGATTGTTCATGATGTTTGAGGATAGATTGACACAAAGAGGCCATCATAGGTTAGGACTGACTTAAAGATTCGAGGGCCCTGAGGACCACCACGGCCCATTCCTCGGCCGCGACCCCGGAAGTCTCCACGACCGCGATGATCACCACCACGATCACCACCACGACCACCACGGAAATTCCCACGGAAGTCACCACGGAAGTCACCACGTCCTCCACGATCAGAAGGGCGATATGGGAGATCCCGGAAATCTCCTCGGCCTCGCCCACGGCCTCCGCGACCACCGCCGCGGTCCCCACGGTCACCGCCATACGGTCCTCGACCCCGACCGCCGCGACCGCGGGGTTGGTCCGACATGATATGAGATTAGTGAGGTTGAGAGAAGCTGGAAGAGAAAGTTGTTAATAATAATGAAGTAAGAGGACTATAAAAGGTAGAGAGGGATGGGACTGTGAGGAATAAAAGAAGGGAAGTAGAGAGGTGAGGTTGTTTGTTACGTTGTGATATTTGTTTTATGACGGCATCTCGGGCGCTGCTTCACTTCCCCCGCTGAGTCGCCAACGCACAAAGAAATAAAACACGGGATGTTTCATGTACCGCTTCCAGTGCATATTGATTATAGGCTTGTATAACTCAAGTCTCTCTACTGGGGCACTCATAGGTCGTGACATGAATATGAGCTGTATACTATACATTGCCCAGACCTGTTAGCCCGGTTCTGAAGTATGGAAAGTATCAAAGCTATACCAGCCTGGTGGGGCTCAAGAGGTGTGGTGTGCTGTCCCACACTGGATACATGCAGCCAAACATTCTGGACTGGCCTTTTTGCTTTGTTGGAAATGGTTATTATTATTTCCGACACTTTGAAGTACGGGGTCTTTGAAGTAAGCAAATTTTTAAGCATCATGCTCTGGGTATACTCCGCAGCATGCGATCCATCAAAGTCTTATGAAACGGGCCCAGGCTATTAGTATTAGGCTATATACTCCATAGAAGCCACGACATTAACGTTAGTTAAACCACTGTTGCTAACTAAGTTTTCCTGGCCACATCGAGTTAGGCTCTTAAGTGACTCACTATATCCCTGTCGTTCTGCCATGGCCTATCATAATCCTTGGTGGGGAAGAAAAAACACGCATCCTCAATATGGATTTGGTGTGGGATGACCATAGTGCATTAGTGGGTATGAATGGAGCACCACCATTGGATATTTTTATATTCTCCACGTAACACCGTAGTCGTCGAGGCAGCAGCGACAGGATCACCAACATCGTCGCAGTAATTGCCCGAGGAAAGTATGGCGGTGGCCCCATCCCGACCCGCGTATTGGCTGAACCACCCCGAAGAGAGTCCGTGAGATCATCAGTTTATCGTGGCTGGTGATAAGCCCCCAAAAACGGAGATAGCTTCGGATTAATCATCACCGTTCCGCCCTCGAGGAAACTTGGGCGCGCGCAAATGCTATCCCCTCCTTATTCTCTCATTATCTTCCGAGATTACAGATCCTAGGGGAACCCGCGACTTGTACACGCCTTCAGAACCCCGTGGAATCTGCATTTGATCCCTCCAAACGACGACTACATCTGCACGAGGCGACCAGGCCTATTTCTCTGACGACACCCCTCTTATATCCGGCGCGAGCTTCCACCATCACCCTCTAGTTTCAGCGCAAACATCAGAACGTGTCCCAGCCTATCCACATCAATCCATTCAATACGTTGACTACGTGTGTTCCAACGACCTGGGCTTTTTTGACGCGACGTGGAACGTCTGGCGCAAGGCTGGGACTGACGCGGCGCAAACCATTCACCGCACAAACTCGAAACGACTCCTCAGGGGCTATCAGCAAACCCGTTTACGAGACGACCGGAGCCAGGCCGTCCGTACCCGACCGTCGACTCGGCGCACGGCTGAACGAAACGTAACAGGAGACAAACGGGCTTGACAATCGCCCTCGGCCGTGCGCATTCAAGATTTGGCTTGCAAATCGAAACCATCTTACACAGATCCACCGAGCAAGGGCATTTGAAAGATTTCTTGAACTGGAGCGGGATCAAAATTTCCACGCGCTCGCTGCCAGTGCTGATCCACACCAACGTTATCTGCCTGATCACTCGAACGACCGCCGAGACTGTAGTCAACCCTCACCCCTCACCCCTCCCTCACCCCTCAAAATGACGCCGACACCGCCATCTACCACTTCATCCAGCGCGGGCACCCATTCGCCTGAATTCAGGGTCATTCGCAAACGAAACCGAGTACCTCTCTCATGTGCACCCTGTCGCCATCGGAAGTAAGTGCCTGCAACAAAAAGCAAACCCAAGAAAAAGAAATGAAAGTGCTTAGCGCTCTTCAAGATTGGTGTTTAACCATGGCTTTGCAGATTGAAATGTAACCGCTCCCATCCTTGCGAAAACTGCGTCAAACGAGGTGATGCAGCCTCCTGTAACTACGCTCAGGCCAGCACCCGCAAGAAGAGCTCCCCACAGCAGACGTCCCCGACCTCGCCCGATGATATGCAAAACCGGATTGACCGCTTGGAGGGGTTGGTCTTGTCATTGATGACAAATGGTAATCAGTCAGCTGGGCCAGCAGCTGCCTTGGCTGCAATCTCGGGGGAGAGTAGTGCTGGGTCAACGGGGCTGTCGAACGAGATCGATATTGATGATATTGAAGATGATGCCGAGGGCAACCCGGAAGAAAGTGACACGGAACAGGTGACGAAATCATTCGGTGTGATGAAAATGGACAGCGGCAAGTCCTACTATATCAGTGAAGCCCACTGGGCTTCGGTGCTGAACGATGTGAGTTGATGCCGGTACAACTCTTTCTCGGTCGCTGCTAACCAGAGTCCTTATAGATCGCCGAAGTGCGGAATTTCTTCACAACCCATAAGAAGCAGTTCGAGGATCAGGCGGAGAAGTTGAAGGCCACACGGCCAGAAACGGACAACCCAGGGGGTTCTGCGCTACTATTCGGTGCGATGAAGCCATTAAGTCGACCCGAGATTATGGCTACCTTGCCCTCCAAATATACAACCGACCTCCTCGTTGCCCGCTATTTTAACAGCTACGACCCGGCAACGCATATTCTTCACGGCCCGACATTCCAAGCACAGTATAACAAACACTGGGAGGATCCCACGCAAACGGAACTAGTGTGGATTGCAATGCTCTTTGCCTTGATGAGATTGGCGATGCTCTCATACTACCGAGAAGGCGACGAGCCTCCAGAGTTCCGGGGCAAGGCGATGGACATGGCAGGAACCTTCAGGAACTCGGTAGCGCAATGTCTGACCTTGGCAGACTATACAAAACCACACCGCTTCCTGATCGAGGCCCTCGTATTCCATCTGTATGGTGACTTCTCGCAGACTCGGGATGCAGAAATCTCAGTTTGGGTTCTATCAGGCGTGATTGCCCGTCTGGCGATGCGCATGGGATACCATCGCGACTCGAAAATGTTCCCCAACATCACGCCTTTTCAGGGTGAGATGCGGCGTCGAGTATGGTCCTTTGTGCGACAAGCAGATCTCCTGTTCTCGTTCCAGGTCGGCATGCCGAGTATGCTCCGCACCACGGACACCGATACGGAGTTGCCACGGAACTTGTATGATGATGACTTCGATGAAGACTGCAAAGAACTACCCCCAGCTCGCCAGCTAAGCGAGCCGACGCCAATCTCTTATTTGATCACCAAGTCCCGTCTGTCATACGCTTTTGGCCGGGTCAACGAGCACTATTCGGCTGTCTCATCCTCTTCGTATGACAAAGTCATGGAACTTGACGCTGATCTGCGGCGAGGACGAGACTTGATTCCTGATCACTTGCAGATTCGCCCCATGGACGAGTGCCAGCTCGACCCCGTCAGTTTGATCATGTCGCGCTTCTCTGTAAGCCAAACTCATCACTCTCGGTTTTTTTTACCCCTCGCTGATAAATCCTAGGTAATGACTGTTTACCACAAAGCACAATGTGTGCTGCACCGACCTTATCTCATTCGCGCCCGAGAAAATCCCCGCTTCACGTACTCCCGCCGCACCTGCATCGATTCGGCCCTCGAGATTCTCGAGTTCCAGGCGATCCTGCACGCAGAAACGCGTAATGGGCGCCTTCGCGGCCACGCTAACCTTGTCACCTCTCTCAGCTCCGCTGATTATCTCCTCGCCGCCACGATCGTCTGCCTGGACCTCTATCAGAGCTACCAGGTTCAAGCCTCCAACCGACCCTCAGGTGACACCTACACATGGGGCCGTGAAAGACGCGACGAGATGGTGGCGGTGGTTCAGCGCTCAAAAGACATTTGGGATCAGATGCGTGACGAGAGCATGGAGGCGTTCAAGGCGAGCTCCGTGCTCGGAGTTATGCTAACAAAGCTCCACAGCGCTGTTCCCGGGCTTGAGAATGCCCCGGGCACTGGCGGTGCGATCTTCGAGCCGCAGGACGAGAAGCAGAATGCGGCGATGACGCTAGGCTTGCTCAGTAGCGGTATGAGCCCGATGAACCCGGGCCCGGCTCCTTACACGGATCCATTGTTCAAGATGAGCGACTCGCCAATGCCAAGTGGCATGTCGGCGCCTGCTGCTGAGATGCCGGGGCCATTATCGCCATTCAGTAGCATGTTCGGGACCATGCCCGACATGCAGGTCAATCTCGACTGGGTAGGCTGACTTTTTCCGGTTTATCCTCCATTATGATAGTCAACTAACGGCATGTGTGTAGGACGCATGGGATACCTACATTCAAAACCCAACCTTCGATACCGCAAACCAATTCTGGCCCATGATGGACTCCCAGCGCCAACCGACGCCGCAATCGATTGGAATGACCCAACCTCCAGTAACGAGCCCCTTGGGAACCACCAGAACATCGTCAATGTCGAACGGTGCTTCTTCGCAACGTCTTCCCAATATCTTTTCACCACCAGGGCCATCGCCTCAGAGTGGTACATCCTCGGTACCTGGCTTTACTCCGATGTCCTCACAGTCAGGCAACAGCGGTCGTAGCCAGGCTCCGATGTGAGAGAATGTTTTACGTCGTTGTTTATGATGATTTCACGTTTCTTCATTTGAGCTTTGTTTGATTTATCCAGCTCGTTGGATTACCATACCTTTTTTGTTATGTCCGGGATGCTGATGTCTTGAGAAGGGATACAGGATGATTCAGATCGGATTGTGTTGGATTTGTCGCGAGTCGATGTGTCTGGCCGGAAATTCGTCCTTGGAAAAGCTTGGGTTTGATCTAGTTGGTCTTCGTGGGACTGGAGGGTGCATTGCGCACTGTATTGCGGGAAATTGGATGTACATTATTGTGGGATTAAATGACAATACACCGACTCCTCTCTAATGATAGTGGTGTAATTCCATTAAAAGATGGCTATCATTGGCCGTCGAACGTTCCCCAAACAGCTACCGAATCGGGTGTTCCCTTCTTGGCCGGTGACGTGTGATACCGACCACGTGATCTATCTTATCGCTCCGCGGAACTTTTTGATCGCGGCGAGAGGCGCGCATGGCATCGAATAATTAATATCTTTGCAGCAGCGGAGAACTCTGTGCTACCAGCGTGTATTCTTACAAAATGTGAGTTGATTTCAATCGATGCTATTGGATGGCTGTCTATGTCTCCCAAATTGCGCACTTATAGCCTTTCTAATCAGAGCACCTCTAACTCAACTTTTCCCTTAAGGCATTGTCTCCGACGAGCGTCATCTCGACTCCTGGGCTCGGCAGTATCCTCCCAATCTCGATCGGCAGCGCGGTCTCAATTAATTGCCGGACGCCAGTCTATTCAGAGACTTTCTCCCCGAAGTCAATACCCTACAGCCCTTCAAATCCGATGGAATTCAAATCAAAACGACTTATCACCAGTGTCCCCCGAGAAGGAACAGAGAAACCAAGAAATAGACGCCCAAGATAAAGAGACAGAGGTAGCAAATGCCCCGGAGTCTGCGCCCTCGAACATTGGAGGTCAGCAAAAACCTCAGGGGAAGACAACGGAAGCCCTCAAGATCAAAATACCTCCCAATGAAACCGTCTACATCGGCAATCTATTCTACGATGTTACCGCCGAGGACCTGCGGACGCGTATGGAGAAGTACGGCACGGTGCTGAACACGATGATTGCCCACGATAACCGGGGCCTCAGCAAAGGGTGAGCAACACGAACCGCATACCCCTCCACCTCATCTATCCAGGTCAAACTAATCACAAACCTCCCTCAGATTCGGCTACGTTCAGTTCGACAATATCGAAGATGCAAAGGCTGCAGTCGAAGGCATGCACTCTACTGTCTTCGAAGGCCGCCAGGCCGTCGTGCACTACGCCCGCACCAATTTCAATTACAAACGCATTTCCTACCCACCCACCGAAACGCTCTTTATCGGCAACCTACCCCTCGAAATGACCGATCGCGATCTCCAAGATCTCTTCCACGAGGTCAAGAACTTGATCGACGTTCGTATTCCGGTTGACCGGCGCTCTGGAATGCCGCGTGGCTTTGCGCATGCAGAGTTTATCAGTACGGATGCGGCGATGCAGGCATTCGAGATACTGGCGAGACAGAGGCCGTATGGGCGGAAATTGGGCGTCAATTTCGCGGAGAGGAAGAGGGTTGGTATGATGAAGCCTAAGCCCGAGCCTGTGGATAAGGAGCAGGCGAGGGCGGAGGCAGAGGCTAGGAGGAGGGATAGGGCCAGGAAGGAAGAGGAGGAGATTGAAAAGGCATTGTTGAAGGAGCACATGTCGGGCAGAGACGCCAAATAGGATGACGAGGATTCCACATAGATGGAGAAGTTATGGGCTCTCTCTACCAATGCTGTATTATACCCATATACCAGATATTTGAAATTGTACTATATCGACTCCCATACAGATTCTGTCCTTGTGCACTTGCATTATCGATACTCATCGGCCCCATTACCTTTTGGGTCGGCAGATACCGCCACACGTGACCTCCGGGGAACCTCGGCTGACGGAAAGCGCATTAGTGAGCGATCCAACCCCACGCCTCGTCCACTATCCGGGGCACGGCTTTCTTCCTCTTCACTGCTCGTGCTTCGGTGTAAACTTGATTTTTGAAAACCCGCTTCGCACACCCTTCCTACATACTTAACACAACACAAAAGCCGTCACTATGTCCTTCCTTGGCGGCGCCGAATGCTCCACCGCGGGAAACCCCCTCACGCAATTCACCAAGCACGTCCAAGATGATAAGTCCCTCCAGCGAGACCGGCTGGTCGGTCGGGGCCCGGGCATGCAAGAAGGCATGCGGTCACGGGGTATGATGGGGGGGCAGGACCAGGTGAGTCCTTGGAATGCTGCAGCCAACCCTGGCTCTTTCCCGAGGAGGGGAGGGGTCGCAGCGGAGGCCTGTGTACCACCAAATTGATGACTCGGCGACTAACGGCGAGGCTCTTTGGACGGTTCTGTAGATGATGGACGATTTCATGCAGCAACCAGGCCAACAATTAAACGGCCCTTCTCCACAGCCCTTCGCCATGGAGCATATGCGGCGGGAGCTGGAGAACTTCCAGACGGCGCCGCCACGCACAGGATCACCCGGATGGGCTGCAGAGTTCGACCCCGGCGAGCAGGCTCGCATGGAGGCTGCGTTCCCCGGTGCTGCACAGATGAATAGTAGCTCTGGGTTTGCGCCAGCTGAGTTCGCGCGCTTCCAGCAGCAGAGTCGGATGGGTATGCCCCAGACGCAGAGCCCCACGACGGCGACCCCACCACTAATGGCGGGGTATCAGCGGCCGATGGGTATGAGTGGATACATGGGTGGGATGGGCGGTATGAATATGATGCGGCCGATGGGCATGCAGTCGCCGATGATGCAGCAGCCTATGGAGGGACAGACACAGGATAAGGGCAAGGGTCGGATGGTCGAGCTGGATGATGAGAACTGGGAGGCGCAGTTCGCTGAGATGGAGACCGCTGGGAATGAGACCCAGACAGATGAGGAGGCCAATGCGGCGATGGAGGCGGAGCTGAACGAGCTGGACAGGTCAGTGCCTACCTCCAATGATGCCTTTGAATCTGTTTGGGAACGAATCCAGACTGAGACTGCTGCGAATAGACAAATGGTTGAGGAGGGTGGTGACTTCGAGGTCACGGATAATATGCATCTCGGCGACCTGGGCGATTGGGAAGGCTTCGATAGCTTGAACACGCGCTTCCGGGACCCGCAGCTGGGTGATTACATGTTCGAGGAGGACAATGTATATTCGGCCGTGAACAACCCCTTCGAGGAAGGTTTGAAGATCATGCGTGAGGGAGGTAACTTGTCTCTCGCTGCGCTGGCGTTCGAGGCTGCGGTCCAAAAAGATCCCCAGCATGTGCAAGCATGGACGATGTTGGGTTCTGCGCAGGCACAGAACGAGAAGGAGCTACCAGCCATCCGGGCTTTGGAGCAGGCACTCAAGATTGACGCAGGTAACCTTGATGCACTGATGGGCCTGGCCGTCTCATACACCAACGAAGGCTACGACTCAACCGCTTACCGCACCCTTGAGCGCTGGCTATCAAACAAGTACCCCTCCATCATTGACCCGAAGGAGGTTTCTGGTGATGCGGACTTGGGCTTCACAGACCGACAACTTCTACACGATCGTGTGACAGAGCTATTCATTCAAGCTGCACAGCTCTCCCCCTCTGGTGCTCAGATGGATCCAGATGTTCAAGTCGGCCTCGGCGTTCTCTTCTACTGCGCTGAAGAGTATGACAAAGCCGTCGACTGCTTCTCTGCTGCTTTGGCCTCCACCGAATCCGGTAGTACCAACCAGCGCGAGCAACTCCATCTCCTGTGGAACCGTCTCGGAGCCACTCTCGCTAACAGCGGTCGCTCCGAGGAAGCCATCGAGGCTTATGAGCAGGCTCTCACCATCAACCCCAACTTTGTCCGCGCCCGCTATAACCTTGGTGTTTCCTGCATCAACATCGGCTGCTACCCCGAGGCCGCCCAGCACCTACTCGGTGCCCTATCCATGCACCGCGTCGTCGAGCAAGAGGGTCGCGAGCGTGCCCGTGAGATCATTGGGGGCGGCGGTGCACCTGACGGCCTGGATGACGAGCGTCTGGAGCGGATGCTACACATCAGCCAGAACCAGAGCACGAACCTGTATGATACGCTTCGCCGCGTATTCAGTCAGATGGGACGGCGTGATCTGGCCGACCAGGTTGTTGCCGGCATGGATGTGAATATTTTCCGCAAGGAATTTGAATTTTAGTTATATTCCCGGATTTGAGGTTTTGAGGTTGGAATTTGCATATGTCAGGTTTTCTTGTACTAGGGTTTTAGCTTTTTATACTTAGTTTATCCTTGTGTTTCTCGGGTTGCTGGCTAGGTCTAGCTGCATCATGGATCATTGCTGGTCTTGTTCACGAGGATAGAGCTGCATGGATCGGTCTTGAACGATATCACGACCCTTCTTCAATATGATAGTAGTTTCTACTGGCGTTGGCTTCAAGTAGGTGAATTTAGGTCCATATTAGAGTCTATATCCTCAGGCGATAACGATCACTACTGGATATGAAGCCCTCTGGAATGCGCGGGTGCTCGAGGTCTTATGCTTACTCAGCTACACCTTCCAGAGTACCGAGGTAGTGAGCGGTCCTTACCGCGGATATTCACTCGAGTTTCACAACATTCAGCTCCTTAGCTCAACGTTTCCTTAACGAAACCCTTGCCTTTCGTTGGCTTGCCAATAGGTCTTGGTACTCAGTCCTCGGTATCGGAGCTGGAACTAAGACTGCTGAAAACTATGGCTCCAGCCAACCAAACTCCTCGGACACGCCGCCACAGGTCCGCAGTAGCTTGCCAGGGCTGTCGTCAACGGAAAGTTCGTTGCAGTATCACAGTCACTGGCGTTCCTTGTGTTGGATGTGTCCAGGACGGCTCACAGTGTGTTGTAAATGCAAAGAAAGGAAAAACGTGAGATATATCTGCGCTGGGTGCTAGACGTTTGGATTCAACTAAAGCACAATGTTCCTCCAGAGCGAATCAGATCAATCACACAGGTTCTAGCCGGGCTAGTCAAAGTCTTCCCGTGACTCGGAGATCAAATCCTATACCTGAGGTCTCTTCGCTTGATCCACTGAGTGCTGCTGCTTCCCGAATGGGCTCAGAACCCGCTACATCGAGATCTGTAGTAGCCGACGAAGCTTCCTTACCAGACAATCCCGAAGATGAAGAGCGCAATGGACTAGAAATAGCATCCGCGGCATTGGGGCGGCCAGAGAAAACGGGGGAAGTGCCCTTTTATGCTGGTAGGAGGAGACAAAACGCCTTGAGTGGGCAAAAGCACCGTCACTTACAATTCGAACAGGCGGGCAGACGGGGCCTACTTCAGCCCTGGATATTTGCTTTACGGAGCAGTCATTGCCGAGGCATTTTCTCATTCCCCTCCATAGGACAAGTCTGTCTGAGGAGAATAAGGAATTTCTCCGTAGGAAGGGAGTTTACACACTTCCAGGGAGAAATGCTTGTGAAAGCTTGATTGAAGCATACCTCCTCAATGTCCATCCAATATTGCCGGTGATAGAAGCCGATTTGCTTTTGAGTCATCATCAAACTGGACAGCTTGAGAGGTATAATCTTTTGCTTCTTTGGAGTCTGTTCTTCGTCGCTGTCAATGTACGTCACCAAGTGAGCGGCTCACCTTTCGCAAATTGACCAGCTTTACAGTTTATCCCAGCTCACATATGCGAGCAAGAAGGCTTCACATCGAGGAGGGCAATGAAATATGCGATGTATTCCAGAGCCAAGGTAAGAAATCATTCCCCCGGCTGGACTACTCTGAATACGTGAACTGATTCTCATTGTTTTGTCGTCAAATAGTGTATGTACGAGAACGGAAACGAACGTAACAAAATTGTGCTGCTACAAGCTTCGCTTTTAATGGGTTTCTGGCACTCAGAAATAGACGAACATGCACAACCGTGGTATTGGACAGGCTCCGCGATAAGCCATTGCCAAATCCTAGGCCTGCATCGAGATCCAGGAACCTCAACATACAACCCGCATATCACCGACAGACAACGAGCTCTTTGGCGTCGTCTCTGGTGGTGCTGCTTCTTCCGTGACCGCTGGCTTGGTCTCACGCTGGGCAGACCTCTGCGTATCAATCTGAATGACTCTGACGTCCCCATGCCGCTAGTTGGGGACATGCTTTTTGATATTGAGAGCTTGGGCGAACTTGGTCTAGCTGATCGACTACCGAGTGACATGCCAAGACTAAGTGAATACTGGGTGATGCTCATCGAAATGAGCCGTCAGTTGGGTGATGTCCTGGTTATGAATTTCCAAGCTGCCCGACCCAGAGGGACACTTGACGATGTCAAAAAGCTCGAGGGAGATCTTCTACGCTGCAGACTCCCGGATTTGTATGAAGGGGGCTTGACGCGCATTTCCAAGTTCTACTCGAATAATGTTCATCTACATTATCAGTAAGTTCCCCTAAAATCATACCTTTTCGGTGAGCGCTTTTGCTGACCTCAGAGCGCAGAGCATTGCTAATTACCTTTTACCGGCCTTGGGGAATGGAGTCTCCGGACGGTATCGACCCTGGCACGAAAGAGGACTGGAAAGAACGAATGAGACTAAAGGCTGATCATGCTGCCTCCCAAACAAATGAAATCCTGGATAGGCTTGTCCAGGACGGACTGATTGGATTAGCAGGCCCTATGACGTGAGTGATCATAGGCACAGACTTGCTCCAATTGCAAAGTGCATCTCGCAGCTAACTCAAGCTTGTTTTTGTAGACCCCCACTCTTGGTCCCAGCAATGCAAACGCATCTGCTCCAATGCAAATGCGGCGATCCCCTTGCCAAGCGCATCAGGCTAAATAAGCTAGAAGTTTGCATGCTAGTGATGGAGGAACTGCAGAAGACCTATACCGTCGCTTCAGTGTATCGTGGAATTTTCACAAAGGCTATCCAGCAAGTTTTCCCGGATTACCCCGATCGTGCGATGCACACCAGTTGTCCACCAGCATCGATCCCTGTGTCTCAAGCTGAGGAACCTGCGAGGAGTTTATTCAACGAGGGTGAAGTTTCAGGTGCTGGGCAGATTGGGGAGTCTGATTTTGGAGTCTTAGATGGGGATGACTTGATGGCTGCTTTGATGGATGCTTCTGTCTTTGACTTTTGGCAGGCTTGCAATCAAGTCTGATAGGTAGTAAATCTAATGCCTCTTGACAGGTCTCCTGGCCTCTTGCAATGATTTGAGTTGGCTGTGTGGTAGTCGTGAGAATATTTGCAGATATTCCTTCTACTTCTCATGGTCGCGAGGGTCCGCTGATGTTTCATTCTTGTTAAATTGGCCACAATTGGACGCCGGGATTGCCGCAGGTAATTCGATGACATGGAATTGAGTGATATTTCTCTCTTCCGTACGGAACAAATCGGCAAAGGAAGGGCAAATTTTCATTCTCTGCCTGAGCACGATTGGTGAGAACTGACCCAAAGGTCAAATAGTCATGTTTGGGGTTATCTTACTGTTCTGTACGCGAGTTCACTGCTAGCGCCCAAACAAGTGACCAAAATCACTCCGGAGGCTACGACAAGGAGTAGAAAGAGCTTTGATGAACTGGAATTTCAATTACAACAACATAGCAGCTGTCTATCTAGATTCGAAACTAACTTTTTGAAAGTGGATTGTATGCTGTCAATTTGCTCACAGTCTAAGAACGCATTATAAAGATATCACACATTTATCCAAATGGAGAGCAAGCTTTGCTCACCCCTTGTTTCAAGGGCCAGGACAAGATACCGACCTTCATGGGGATTCAGTTCTCGGGGGCCACTTGACTCGTCGCTGTGCACGAACAAAAAGGTTGTTCGGTCGAATCAATTGGAACATGGGATCATATTCGATAGGCCCATCCCCTTCACGAGTGAATTTGTATCGATAGATCAGTTTAGGAAGGAAAACTTTGATCTCTTGGAGTGCAAAGTTGAATCCAATACACATTCTCTGGCCGGTTGCGAATGGGATGTACGTTGCCTTGTGCCTGGACTTCACTGCGTCTGTATCCCACCTATCGGGATCAAACCTCTGTGGGTTGTCCCATAGGGCCGGATTATTGTGAATATGGTGCAGCGCGGGAATCACAACGGCATCCTTCGGTAGTCTGTAGCCCCCAGGGAGAACCAAATCAATTTTGGCTGTACGACCAGGCTGGAACGAAGGGTTGTGCCGACGTTGAGTCTCCTTGATGTACTTGTCTAGGAATTCCAGCCGATCCGTCACATCCGCTGTAATTTCCGTATTTTCATCGATATCGTGATCGATAAGCTCCTGCAAAAGTCGTTCCTGCATTCCTGGATAGGTAACAAGGCCGTATACAAGCCACGAGAGAAGAGAGCTCGTTGTAGTGAATCCAGCACCGGTTGCGACGACGAGTGCCCATACCAAGCTTGACTTGGGTAGTTTTTCTCCCTTGCTATCGGCGGCACGAATGGCATAGTCTGCTTAGGTTAGAGAAAATTGTAATCGAATCATGGTGCGGTAAACATACCAACCATATTAGAAGCCTTGAGTGCGGCGTCCTGGAGGGGAAGATCCTCAACGCCAGCTCTTGCGGCCTTTTGGATTGATTCTTCCACCATTTGCTCAACACGTGCCTTTGTGCGCTTTAGCCTCTGAGCATCCCCAAATGGCATTCTTGCATACCAGTCACCTTTGGAAGTGACCTTTTTGTTCAAGGACAGAACTTCGGCAATGAGATGGACCATTTCATGCAGTGGAGTGTCGGGCTCATTGAAATGCTCAAAGTCCAGGCCAAGAGTCAGTTTGCCAACGGCCTGGGAGCCTAACTTTAACATATAATGATAGACGTTCCATGCCTCTCCATCTTGATCAAAAGCATCAAAGACACGGAAAGATTCCTCAACCGTCTTCTGCATTGTTGGAGCATAGTGACGAACTGCTTTTGGGCCAAGCGCAGGAGGAAGGAACTTATGGGCGACCTTCCACTCAGGGGTATCGGTATCACCGAGGAACACTCCGGCAGCTGGTGTTTTTAGGGCATAAAGCGGATGGGCTTCGTTGATCCTTTTGGTGAAGAAATCGGACTCGGTGAAGACGATGGCGGATATCTCCGGACTATTGGTTTGATAGATGGTTCGGCCCATGTTGGTGGTCTTGATCAACGGTCCAAATTGTTCGAAAAGACGTTGGTGATTACCGAGGTGATCAGGGTAAACCTCGAAGTAGTTTCCAACATAGGGCAATCCGGTTGGCCCGGGTGGATCACGAACTTCGTGGCCATCGATGGTAATAGCAACCTGTCCCGGCGCCGTAATCACTCTTGTGACATCAAGCAATGCCCGATCTTGGCTCAGAAAGCCGACCCCTTATAACTGGTCAACAGTGAAAATCAGGATTCGAATAGACGCAGCACATACCACTCGACTCAACAATAGCAAAATTTGCTGCTATGAGGCCCTTGAGGCCATCGATGTCAAGTGTCGCTTCAACTTCGATAGGCCTGGAGGATGAGGGATCATCGCCCAGCAAGTAAAACTGTTGTATAGTCATCGTAAAGGGAAAATTTGGCTTTGCAGTGAGATATTAATTTGGCTCGAGGAAGACCCTAACTTAAGTACTTTAGAAAGGATTTTATTTCTCTAATATCATTCTATTCTTACATAGCTATCGCTGCGAGCGTGACTAAAAGTACAAAGCTACCGAGTAATTACGTCGTTTGTCCTTACCTCGGAACAGCCTACCTCGGAAACCTTTACGCCAAGCATCCCGGACGACCCACCGGCCTTCGGCTTCCCGAGGAAGACGGACCCTGGGTATAATCTCCCGTGCAAGATCAATCCTAAGAAGAATTTGCAAATCCGTCTGCCTGTTGTTATGGAAATTCCGGGCTGTGTTGAGGAGGAGTAGTGGGTAAAGATTAATTCCATCCGTCCAACCTCGGCGAGGGTGGATAGTACTATATAGCGTGCCCTTGCCTATCTCAAATCAAATAACCTTTTGTGCCTTTATTGCCCGTGGGGACACACTTTTGACCTTCCTAACTAAAAAACCGATCGCCTGGCTTTGTGAGCATCGTATCTCTGGTCGTCAATATGTCTCTCTCCAAAGAGTATACGCCAGGGGATCTTGCATTGCACAAGACAAAAACTGATCTATGGATCGCCGTGCACGGGAAAGGTGAGTTAGATTCGTGAAAGTCCTTTGATACTTTGGATCCATTTTCTAATTTATATGATATAGTTTACGATGTTACCAGCTACGTCCGTGATCATCCTGGTGGAGCGGATGTCCTTCGTGATGTCGCCGGAACAGATGCCACTGCCGCGTACGAGGAAGTTGGGCACTCTGAAGATGCCGACGAGATCTTGAAGACTTTTTTCATCGGCACCCTTCAGGGTGGGAACAAATTCACCAAGCCCAAGCCTGTTCGGGTCATCCAGCAATCATCACCGCAGGTCAAAGAGAAGCCATCAAGCACCACTGGTAGCAAGGTTGCAATGACTTTCTGCTCGGTTGGTGGCTTCACCTTGTTGGCTTTCCTCCATCACCGTGGCTATCTTTGCCTCGGAAAGCTCGGTGCTTGGCTTTCTAAGAACTATCCCAGCTGGATATACAGAATTCCGATCTCCAACCTGAGCTTTGGACGAGGCGAATTCTCCAATGGTTTCCTTACTGCCGCAAGTGTTGGTACAACTATTGCTGCTGTCGTCGGATCTAGATTGATGAAACTTATTCAAATCGAATCTGGATTTACCCGCTATCCGTCACACTTCAAGAGCAAGCAACTTGCGAAAGTCGATCCGCACCTAGTCCAAGGGTTCCTCGAGCCCAAGGAGTTCAAAGAGCTTCCGCTCATTTCGAAAACACAGCTTGCACCAAGTGTATACAGATTCACCTTCGCACTTCCTCGTTCTACGGATGTCATTGGTCTTCCGATCGGTCAGCATGTGGCTATCAAAGCCACCATCAATGGCCAGTCTGTTTCTCGATCCTATACGCCAACATCGAACAACCTGGATCTTGGTGTACTGGAATTGGTGATCAAGTGTTACCCAGATGGTTTGCTTACAGGCTCATATCTTGCCAGCCTTCAGGTTGGGGACAAGGTCCTTTTCCGAGGCCCCAAGGGTGCCATGAAATACCGAAAGAACCTCTGCCAACACATTGGCATGATCGCTGGTGGAACCGGCATTACTCCAATGTACCAACTCATTCGTGCCATTTGCGAAGACCAAACTGATACCACGGAGATCAGTCTGATTTACGCCAACCGCACGGAGGAGGACATTTTGTTGCGTGAGGAGCTGGAGAGATTTGCTCGCCGATACCCCAAAAACCTGAAGATATGGTACATGCTAGACCAGCCTCCGCAAAAGTGGAAATATGGAAAGGGCTACGTGACACCACAGGTTATGGCAGACAAATTACCGGCGCCTTCTGCTGATACAAAGATCATGCTATGTGGACCACCTGGAATGATCAATGCTTCGAAAAAGGCATTGAGTTCTCTCGGATTTCAAGCCCCGGGCTCTATCTCCAAGATGACCGATCAGATCTTTTGCTTTTAGTTGAAGTCATTGAAGTTCAACTCTTGGATGTTTCTGTTCTCTCGTTCCTGAGTGGTTTTGTTTAATTTGCAGTTCACTCATGTTCAATAAAGTCGAATTTATAGCTATCTTAATGCATTACTTGGATTTCTATCTTTTGTTCTTTGTGGAGTGCTTGTAGACGGTTTCATCAACGGGAATATAGACCCACTGACACACCGTGAGCGTGTGATAGGTTACTTCGTTTCGCTAGGAGCGATACGTGTATGATAGTATTGACATGATCATTTTTGATACTTTGATAATTTCGACACATTAATTCCTCAGGGTCTCCGCAATGAGGCAATTAAGGGGCAGTTTCAAGGGCACGACGTCATAAGCTATTATATCGGTATGCCGAGGGTAATCGGCAGCCCGATACCATCGAGATCGGGCGGATAAGACGGTAAACAAAGCTTAAGTTCCTTTACCGACATATCTCGGTATCTTGCTTCCACATTGTGGGTCTTCCGAGGTAATGAGGGAAGAGCCGTGGATAACTCGGACAAGTTCGTGTGCTAGCTGTCCATCGCGAAACAAGCAAAGCGACCGTACACAGGTGTCTTTACGATGAATATATTAATCGCCCATGAATCCACCCCTGCGAAACAGAACAAAGGTGTCTTCCTTCTTCTACATTTATTCCAAGATTCAATTTGCTCCGATACGGAATCCCAACCCGCGCAATGTCATCTTCTTGGACACCCCCCAACGATTACGAGTCCAGGCCTGTGGCCATTCTTGGAGCTGGCGTTCTGGGAAGACGGATAGGTGAATGTTACTTGCAACTCACTAGATGAACAACCTCCGCTGACCATAGTATAAAGGATGCATCTGGGCCTCTGCTGGCTTTGATGTGCGGCTGCGCGATCCAAGTCCACAACAGCGAGAGGATGGAATTGCCTACATTCAGGACAATGTCATCCTTTACGCTCAGAAGACCGGCAAGCAAGTCGGTGCCGTGCACGCGTTTGAAAGTCTCGAAGACGCCGTAGCCAGTTGCTGGCTTGTGATTGAAGCCGTTCCCGAGAAGATCCAACTGAAAATTGATACTTTCGGAGAACTTGATTCACTGGCACCAGCCGACTGCATTTTGGCATCAAATTCGTCTTCTTATAAGTCTTCTGAAATGCTCGATAAAGTCTCAGAGGCTGGCAAGAGCCGAATTCTAAACATGCACTACTATATGCCGCCACAGTGTATGATCGTGGAGCTCATGACTGACGGCCATACCGAAGAGAGCATCTTCCCCTTCATGATTGAACGCTGCAAGGAAGGAGCAACCTCGCCTTATGTCGCCAGGAAAGAGTCCACGGGATTCATTTTCAACCGCCTTTGGGCAGCTGTCAAACGAGAGACCTTGACCATCCTAGCGGAGGGTGTATCGGTTCCGGAAGAGATAGACTCTTTGTGGACTCAAATGTTCGTCAAGGGAGGCTCAACCCCTTGCAGGACCATGGACGGTCAGTATTACCAGTCCATTGTGATACATTGATAATTTGCTGACGTTGCTCTTAGATGTCGGTCTCGATACGGTCGCCTTTATTGAATCGCATTATGTTGAGGAACGTGGCCTTTCTCCAAAGAAAACCGTTGATTACCTCCAAGCATTCTACATCAACGATGGGAAATTGGGCACAAAAAGTTCTCAAGGTGGACTCTACCCACCACAAGTACGCGAAGAAAATCACGCTTCCAAAGAGCCTCGACTCGTAGTTTTAGACATCGGGTTGTCTTCGGCTACCCCCTCAATGACATCAGGCTCCATCCTTGAAATTTCAGCAAATGGACAAATTCAACAAACTCTGGTCGAAAAGCAGGCTTTGCCCGATGGGATAGCCGTTGACCCAAAGACTGGACGACTCTTTTGGACCAACATGGGGATTCCTGGTGAGGAAAACGGGAGCGTGCTCTCCTACAACCCCCAGACCAAGCTTGTTGAGACTATCATACCATCGGGAAGGATCAATACACCCAAGCAACTGGCTCTCGACAGCACCTCAAACAAACTGTACTTCTCCGACCGTGAAGGCCTCTGTGTTTACCGCTGCAACTTTGATGGTACCAGCCTGGAGAAGATTGTGGAAGCCGGTAATCCGGCCAACCTTGAGGAAGCCCAAGATGCTAGAAATTGGTGTGTCGGCATTGCCGTTGCTCCTAAACTGGGGAAGTTTTACTGGACACAGAAAGGCCCCTCCAAGGGCGGACAGGGTCGCATCTTTTGTGCCAATATCTCAACCCCAGTGGGTCAGAATCCTTCCACGCGGTCGGATATCGAGTGTGTTCAGTGGGGGCTCCCGGAGCCCATCGATCTTGAAGTTGATGAATCGAGCTTGTGGCTGTACTGGACAGACCGTGGCGAGATTCCTTTTGGCAATTCTCTGAATCGTGTCCGACTTGACAAGCTTGGCCAGGGCTCGGTGTCCCAGAAGCCCGAAGTGTTGGCACGGAACTTCAACGAAACCATCGGACTGAAGTTGGATGTCGAAAATGACTCGGTCTATGTTACAGATCTCGGTGGCGGTATATATCGCTGCGGTTTGACCGGCGAGTCAAAGTCGCTGCTATACGCAGATAGCTCTCGAGCGTTTACCGGGATTGCCATACTTTGATTTATAGTTTGTCACTCTAGATGCTAGGATTGTATGTTTGTTTTTAGATGAGAAGGCTTGGAGTCGATTAAAAAGATATACGGCTGACCCACTTGGTTGAGTAGATAGTAAAGAATCAGCAAGTAACTGCCAATCCAGCTTGATAAACCAAACTCTCGTAAAGACAGCCTCCTTTAGTTCTGAACGCATCTGCGTAGAGAGCAAAGGGCAGGAGCCAAATAGTTGCTGATGGGGATGGATCGCGAAGCGCAAGGAAGCAGAAGGGAATCGAAATGAGAGCACTGCTTCTGGAAACAGATTAGGGGGAACGCCCGATAGGAAGGTCCCGACTGAGACTGTCTTTGGGTATGGCCATGTGCTTGAGTTGGTAGTGGGAGTATGAAGGCCACCTGCGGCTTAGCGCTAGGGGCAATGATACACTTGATGCTCGATGCCTTCCGAAGCCCATCTGGTGATTACAATCAAGAAATCTTAAATCTTACACTTTGACTTGAGACTATGCAGGAAACAAAGTCAATAATCCAACTATATGCGCTTCACCAGATCTTTCGGAATTGAGCTTTTTGGACGGTTATCCGCCGCAAATCGAAGCGGTAACACAATTACGTTACGGGTAATTTCGAACTATTATACAGTTGTGTTGCCAAGACTTAGTTCCTCGGAAAGAATCCAGTATTTTCACCATACCGAGGTAGGCTTTTCGCCTGGTGGCAGGCTTATGTGCAACTTATGAGTACGTCACCGTTTTGGCAATTGAACTGCAAGAAGTTTCCCCATCACTTCCGAATTTTCCAGAAGTGAGCTACGTAATATCTGGACTGGCGGAACCTCGAGTTCATCAACTCCATAATCGCTAATTCTAGTTGTGGCAATATAGCAAAGATATGCCCAGGATCTTGCTCATGGCCAATACGGCGCCAGTCCCAGATTTCTACATGGAACGAATAAGGTAGTCACTGTTTGTTAAAGTCAAATCACCGTTTTAAGATATTTAGCGAGGGGCATTTTCTACAATCTCTGGCATCTGTCTACAGGGCGGGCATGAGGAGAGCATCGATGCTAACCGTGATTTCAAGTGATCTAGATATAGATAACTTGCAAATCAGCTTTTAAGCTCTAGTTTGAACCTAATAGTCAAGAGATTAGAGTCTGGCAATATCAAGGACAATCTCTGTGCTGTGTTGAAAAGCAGCAAGCCTGAAAAAAGTGCGCAATCGAAGACCTCGATTCGACAAAATTTGATATTTGTGCCTTGATTGCTTGTTCAGTAAGGTACATGTAACTGGCTTGACAGGAAGTTTCCTTGAATGGAAACAGCCGTGAACGCAAGAATCTAAAGCTTCTCCCTCCCTTCTCCTCCTCCGTCTCCCGGGATTTTCGAATTTCCACCTTCCCACCTCCCTTGTCTTCTTCCACATCAGCCCTTCTACTGAGTAAGTCCTAGCTTCAACCAATCTCGCATTCCAACCACCACCAGCCTAGGTCCCCGCAAGGCAGTTTATTGGGGTACTGCGCTCAGCTCCCAGACACATGATATGAGTGTGTACAGTAGTCTCGCACCAGCACCCTTCTTGCTGCTACAAGTCTTCCTAGCTGAGACCACGGTGAATCCAATTCGACCGGCGCGAGAGAATTGAAGAGTGCTCTGTAGCATTTGCTTGATTCTTGCTAACACTCATGGTTGCGTCCGAGATAGAACGCCCTCAAGTATCTAACCTTGTTGACGCACCGCTTCAATCCCCTTTTAGTCCCAAGTTATGATTCCCAGGAAAAAGGAAGAGTCCACTACAGGTGGTAGCATGGAAAGAATCCTTCTGAACCGTACAGCCGCCCCAAGCCGAGTCCAGAAAAAGTCAAGAGTTGTGGAAAAAATATCGGAAGTTGCCAGGCATTCCCCGTCTCCCCGCTCCCAAGGACAGTTCTCGACAGGTGGAGCGTGTGATGAAGGACCTTCGGGATCACAGCGCTGAGATTGATTCGAACTTAGTCGTGTATACATTTGTTTTTTGCAAGGCATCCGGATACTGGACTGATTGCTTATAGTGAACAGCGGGTCTGCGAATGCCCATCCCACATGGAGGATCCTCGTTACAACGTTTTCAATATGACTGGCCCTATTGTAAGTTTTATTCTTCCTCGATGTTCGATCTAGACTCAGCGAACGATCCATGTTCCAAGAAAATTAATCATCGTATTCAGGCCATTCCTCGGTGTGCTTTCAAGTGTCCATTCTGTTCATACAAACCAAGGTTATCAACTATCAACTCCGTCTTGGTTTATGGCGCTAAATTGGGTCTCTAGCACGCGTAATGGATCCGAGATCACAAGTGGCGCGGCAGCGGTCCTGCGTAAGCACATTGAGACAATACACTGTGTAAGTCGGTCTGGTTCCCATTGGTCGCTTCGCTAGTCGCTAAGTCGTATTGGTTTAGGGCCAGAACCAGTACTGGGGTCTCTACGTGGTGGGTTACGAGGAATCTGTGGCCTGGTTGTGAGTAGAGGCTTCCATTACCCTTCTCGAGTCTCCACTGACACTTAGCAGCAGATATGAGGGGCCCGACGCTACGAAGAGTGAGAATGAGATCGATGAAGAAGAGGAAATTCTCTGTAAGATTGAGGAGCTTCTGCATAGACTACGAGAAGTCAAGCGCCGCAGATAGTCAATGGGAACGAGCCTGACAGTCCTCTTCTCAGGAAAATGCATATCAAACCCTCAAAAAAACTATCCGGGTCCAGTCATATGAGAATCTTAGAGGCATTTTCTCCACCAACTCCACTTTTCAAGGGTTACAGGATCAGATCCCAGAAATGCAAATAACTATGCCTTGATAATATCATTTGTCGCTACAATTAAGCAAGTACCCTTCTGTTACTTGTATCACGCTGGAAATACGCTTACCTCATGTTGGCAAACATGCGCCCCCCCTCATAGTCTATCGAACATGCCCTTAGAGCTGTCCTCAAGCAATTTGATCGTTAGATCACGGGACCTCGACATTGATATTACACCGTTGAGTTCCGAGCCCTGTGCTATAATGACATTGTAAACGTTCATACCATATGATAGTTTAATACAAATTGGTATCTTACTTCATACTGTCCAAGTCTTTTTGTACGATCTTTGTTCTATCAGACCTGAAGCAAGTTGGCTAAAATAAATCGATTGCAGGGTCCATTGAAAGCAGAAACGAGCCACCAACCAGCGGTTCTCTCCAATTTTAAATGACCATGTTGGGAAATCTCTAAATATAGATATTCCTCTTGTTCTTTGACATTGAAGAATTCGACCGTTGACCCAGGGAACAATGCAAACCATGCCTTGAGATAGCTCAAACATAATGGCATTCTTAACAAAGACTTACTTCCTCAATCTCTGGCAAGACTTCAGAAAATTAGTATTAATACCAATCCATTGCTCTTTGGAACTGATATGCTTTTTTATCGACAAATTGTGGCACCTTGCGGACAAATCCACCTGACCAAGTGCGGATCAGTCATCTTACTTTGCCGCCCCTACCACTGTTTAGGGCTTGCATGCCTTTAACTATTATGGCACCTCCAACTGGTCGTCCTTCCTCCTCTAGAGCAAAGATAGAACATGCGCTTACCAGATCTCTTGATAGATTTCCACATGATTCGCGTGGTGAAAATTGCCTGGGAAGTTTCGAAATATGACTGAAGACGCCTTCCTGAGCTGGAAACTCCAGCAAGAAGACCGAGCAATCAGGAAGTGTGCGCTCATTCACAAGGTCTCTTGGAAGACCCTTGCAATTGGTGATCATCCAATTGCTACGGATATTGTTCGCCCACCAACGGGGCTCACCACAGACATTGCGGTGGCAGTCCAAAAATTCACCAGCGCGAGTAATACTGCTCAACTAGCTGGGTTGCAGCGCTTAGCTAGTGCTATCAAGTGCCTTTTCCTTTGCCTCAGCAACACTACACCAACACGGAATTTGAGATCGTCTTAATCATGTCCCCATCTCGGATTTTCATTGTTTTTGGTTCTATGGGTATTTCTCATTACTATCGCATTTAAATTGACACAAATTGAAAATTTTTCTAAATTAATCATGAACAAAGACTGTACGTAATATAGTAATCGAAAAGCTCGCAGTCCTGGTCGTGACATCCTTCTGTCTGCATCTATAATTGCTTCCCGGTTGGGGACAGGATATGCTCTTCGCTATCACCACCGTGAGACTGCATTCTGTAATTCGTCCGATCCCCATTAGCCGACACAACCACTGTTATTTGTGCCCCGTGCGACTCAGATATCAGTCCAAAATTGCTTCTCCTGCGAGAAGATGTTGACTTGGTAGTCGGACGTATCGAGCCGAGTTGATAAGATCGCGACGTGTCATTATTGCGGTATGAGTTGACAGTAGAAGCGAAGGCTTTGAACAGGGGACCGTAGGTTGGGATGCACGAAACGATAACCTAGGAATCTGGTTAGCTCTGTCGTCCTTTGACCATAGACAGAAAAAAGGTTTCTTACCCCAAGGCTGACCTCAATGCAAGACCAAATCACAATGTTCTTGCTATCAGTGTACGTCTTCAAATCCTTGACCGTGAAGATTCGAATAATTTGGATTATGGTCACAAAGAATCCGAGTGCAAAGAGTCCCGCGAGAATGATTTTCTGCTTCAAACGAAGTTGTAGTCTCCAAAGCACTGGTAGTGGCAGGGCAATGATGACGAGGTCCAACCCGATACTTGTACCTGCCAGGGCAAAGTAAAATGGAATTGTATCGATACATTTTCCCTCGATCGATGAGTCCCACTGCTTTGCAACCTAATACTGTTAGGTCGCGTCGATCGAGGAGGAAGAGCGAGCTCACTGGTATGCACGAAACCGAGATTATGACGGCAAAGACCAGCTGGTTAATGACGCAAACCACAATGGCACTAAGAATGACTTTCCGGTAGAGCTTGACTACTCCTGCAATACGCAGGTACGAAGTCAACAGGGCGACCTTGAACCCGAGAAGTGCGAGACAGTAAATTGGACCGCCCACGTATTGGATCTGCATGTACATTTACCACCAATAAGCCTCGATGGGGTAATTTGAGAGATATTCCAAGGCTCACCTTGCTGAAGGGTATGACATTCTCCTCTGGAAAATAAGTCGCACTGAGGCCTTGGCCCCATCTTGTTTCTGCAATGGTCCATCAGTTGAATCTCCCTCCGACATTCAAGGTCCACCGCATTCCTCTACTCACGAACCACCGCAATTCCGGCGTAAGCTAGAGCAAATATTGAACTGGCCAACGCTGAATAGTCATCCACCCATGGGGTTCTGTTCGTTGAAAGTCGTACATAGAAGCGTAAACCGATCGCTAGAAGGGCGCTGATGGAGAAGACCAGGCAGATTGCAATCACCCGAGGTATTTCACTGTGAGGATCTTCCCCATAGAGGTTGTATACCCAGCCCATGGCGTAGTATAGACATTACACTACCTTAAGGCTACCCATTGAAGAACAGAGAGAGGGCTGTCTTGAGTATGAAGACAGTAGCTCAGTTCTTATTATGGTGAGTTACTGGTCCTTCGGTTTTCAGGAGGTGGGCCTCGTGGCTTTGCGGTATTTTCCAGTGTCGAGAAGAATAATGGCAGGGATTAAACCTTATTCAAGAAGAATTTGGTTCTAGGAACAATAGAGTTACTCTCGGTGTTACCGATCTTGGTCTATGGTTGTGCCACCCTGTGCTTGCAACGATTCATTCGATACTCTTTTCGCCCTCGTTAGTAAAATACCGATGCTGATGCTATGAACTGCTCATGGAGTCCAAGAATACCCAGATGATATCCTCCGTCAATGTCATGACTTTGCCCAGCATCGATTTCCGTTCCTGGGTGGAGATTTACGTCTGGTCGGTCTGGACCAATAATCCCGCGTTGAGAGCGTTGAAATTAATGGCTAATCTTGTTCGGCATTAGGCCTCTGCGCTGGAGCTAATTCGTCTAGTGAGCTAGCGTAAGCCAGGACAATCTAGAATAAATGTTGACCGTGTCGAAAGCAGCGGATGATGTGCAAATAGCGCGAACGGGCCTGGTTTCTACTCGCTAAATTCACAGTGTTTCATTGGTGGATCATTTACAGATCTCTATGAAGGCTATTCTAGCCCGTGCCCGTGGTACCGAAATGAAGATCGTCTGTTATGCGTAATTGCCTTGTATGGATTATCTTACGTCAACCCTTCCCACCCTCCTCGCCTGCGCATTTTCAGTAGACCGGACCATCCGGGAGCACACTCGGGAGCACTTGACCCGAATGACCTGAATAGATACCATAGAGCATCGCTACGTTGTCTGCTTGGATCTCGTTGGAATGTTTAACTTGTGGATGAAAATGCCAGTGGAATCGCTAATTCATAACAATGATTGCGATATTTGAGCTTTCAACAATGCGCATCCCGATCTCTAGCGACTTTATTCGATGGGCCAAGGATTGGTCGTCAATCCGATTAAGAGGAAGGATGTTTGGAAAGAGCTTGTTTAATTCGCATATTCACATCGCTAGGATAATAGGGCGGGTCACTGACAAGGATGAAGGAGCTGGTCGTTCGCAATAGATTGAGTTTGCAGATTCATTTCCAACAAAGACTCTTGATGGGTGGAATGAGTTAATTGGCCCCCACAGTGCACTGCCTACGGCGCCTACCAGGTAAGTCGTCAACGAAGCGGGGGCATTTGGGTTTAACTAGAGATCCTTCATCCCCACACCTTACCACTGTGGGTGAGCGGGAGCTTGTTTAAATTTTTATGGTTGTGAATGCTCTAAATTAGAGCGTGCAGTAGTTACAAAGCCTCAGAGCACCCCCTTCCAGAAGGAATCGATGTCGTCTAAGCGAAGTCGATTAACCCCCTGAATTCCATTGCCACGTTGGAATAAAAGCCAGGGAACTTCAGATCCATCAATTCGGTACAAGCTACCTTGGTCATACAGAATGGCTTTCTGGAAGTTCCTTGCAGCTTCGCTGTTGGCAGCTGCGTCTCAGGCTGCGGCCTCGACAGCTTGTCGCTGCTTCCCTGGTGACGCGTGCTGGCCGTCTCAGGCAGTCTGGTCTCGATTCAATCAGTCTATCGATGGCCGTTTGATCAAGACCATCCCCCTGGGAACTCCCTGCCATACGCCCAACTATAACGCCGACACTTGTGCTACTTTGAAGGCTGGATGGTTGCTTCCGGAGGAACAGTATGTTTCTGACTCGCATAATTGAACTATCAAGGGGCCGTCGAGCTGACCTGCTCTTCTAGTTATGATTCCTCGTCATCAGTGATGGCACCATTCTTTGCCAATGGCACTTGTGACCCCTACCATGCCATTTCTAAGCCCTGTACCTTGGGTAATTACGTTCGCTACAGTGTCAACGTGACCAGCCCAGAGCAGATTTCAACCGCAATTAAGTTTGCGACTAAGTACAACATTCGTGTGGTTGTCAGGAACACAGGCCATGATTATAATGGCCGGTCCACTGGAGCTGGTGCTTTGGCTATCTGGACCCATCACCTCAAGGACCTTGAAATCAGCGACTACAAGGACTCGCATTATCAGGGCAAGGCCATCACTATGGGCGCTGGTATCCAGGGCTTCGAAGCATATGAGCTGGCCGATGCTAGCGGCCTCCAGGTCGTTGGCGGCGAATGCCCGACCGTTGGTCTTGCTGGCGGTTACTCCCAGGGTGGTGGACATTCTGCGCTCGCTTCACGCTACGGCCTGGGCGCTGACCAAGTGCTGAAGTGGGAAGTCGTCGATGGTAAAGGAAACATCATTACTGCCACTCGTGATAACGAGTACTCGGATCTTTTTTGGGCTCTTAGCGGTGGTGGTGGCGGCACCTACGGCGTCGTCTACTCTATGACCTCGAAAGCTCACCCTGCTACACCGGTGTCTGGCCTCAACTTGACATATTACGCTACCAACATCAGCCTGGATACTTTCTACGAGACTATTGAGGTCTTCCACACCAATCTACCGTCAATCGTTGACGCCGGTGCCATGGCCATTTGGTACTACACCAACGCCTACTTCTCCATCTCCCCCATCACGGCCCCTAATATTCCAGTTGCTGAACTGGCTGCTCTAGTCAAGCCTTTCACCGACCATCTTGACAGCCTAGGCATCAGCTATACCATGTCAGCCAGCCAATACGACACCTACTATGACCAATTTCAAGACATGCAAGGCACTATTGAGGTCGGCACGGCGCAGTATGGAGGTTGGCTCGTCCCGAGATCGGTCGTGGAGAACAACAACACTGCTTTGGTTCAGGCATACCGTGAAATCACGGAGGCCGGTGGTACTTTTATCGGTGTCGGCTTAAACGTTTCCAAAAAGGTTTCTGGAGACGTGTACAATGCCGTTCTCCCTGCTTGGCGCGAGGCTCTGATCGATACCACCCTGACCACTCCTTGGGAATGGGATGACCCGGCTCTGATGCTGGAGCGACAACGTCAAATGACTGAGGATTTCCTTCCTAAATTGGAGGCACTGTCCCCCAACTCTGGTGCTTACATGAACGAGGTACGTATCACAACGTCCTGGCTGTTATTCTCCACATTATGTATACTAACTATTCTTCATAGGGTGACTTCCGTCAGCCAAACTTCAAGAAGGCCTTCTACGGTAGCAACTATAATACCCTACGGAAGATCAAGGCAAAGTATGATCCGAATAGCGTTCTGTACGGCAAGACGAACGTCGGATCGGATGAATGGCGTGAGCGTGAGGATGGACGACTTTGCCAGGTGTCCCAATGGCAGTCCAACTGGGTGGAGTTTGGCACCGTGTATTAAAAGCGCAAATGATGCTGGAGCTTGCGTGGGGTTTGCTTCCATCTTACAGCTAGGCAGTAATGAAACTGGAGGGAGCCAGCAAGTGGATGATAATTCTGTTCAGACCAACTATTGTACATATTTATACCGTCATCAGCATACTAGCATTTTTGTACCATGTCAATAACGGGTTCTCCCCATTCCGCGTCTCGGTATCTTCGACATAAGCCCAGCGGTCTACAAAGTCCTCATGGCTCATGACCTGAGTCAATTTACCAGTCACTGCACGGTACACGTCCTCGACGACGTTGAAGTCGGTTGGGAAGAAGATGTCGAAGTAACCCTGGTGAACCTGTAGCATAAACAATTAGCTTAGCACGGAAAAGCGATGTGCCAATATCGAGAAGACTTACAAATGGAGTTGTCACCGGAACGGTTCGCCGCTGGTATCGAGTCTGCACCACGGGCGCATTCAAACCAGGAACCGCGTCTGGCAAGGAATTGAAGTCACTTGCCACAAGACGATGTGCTGGGAAGTACTGATTCAGCACGTCGAAGAATTGCATCAACCTCGTGGGGATATATTCGGGCAGGGAGAACTCCTTGCGGAAGGGTGGTGCGGAGCGGATGCCACGAAGATACCAAGGGCCAAGTGGGCTGGGGAATGGGCGTCGGGATGCAGCTTGTCGGACACGCAAAAAGCGAGCGGCAACAGGGTCAAGCTGCGTGTTGTAGTATTCGTGGAACTCGCCGTCGGCATCGATCAACACTCCACCTTGCTGTGGGAGCTCGGTACGAGTGTTGTAGCGGACGGTATCGTGGGCGAAATTATCAAACACCTCGAGAGCAAGGAAGAAGCAGGGGGAATGCACGTATGTGTCCCAATCAAAGATAGATCGGTTAATGATCTCGACCCTGTCCCGGTGGCCTTTGGCGTTGAGGGTATCCATCAAGTTTTTTGTCTGAAGATCTGCAAGTGCAGGCGAGATCTCAATGATCTTGTACTTGGTGCGTTGATACACCTCGTAGTCTGTATCACGGATGAAATCCAGGATGTTCAACATCATTGTACCGTTTCCAGCGCCCATCTCGTAGATTATCAGGTCGTGGTACGGATACAGTGTGAGCTTGTAATTTGAGACAAGGTACCGAGCAATCGTCTCTCCGTAATATGGTCTGAAAAGTTCGGTCGGCGTATGCCACAGCTGCCGGGCAATGTCGGGCTTCTTCTCATCCAGTAGGTCCTCAAACTCTGTGTATCTCTGACCTAGGAGCCGGTGGAAGGAAGGTCCGTCTTCGATGCTATTGAAGTCGAATGGCTCGCCGGGACTGAAAATGGTTGCATGTTTTGAGAAGTAACCGTAATGCGGGTTATAAAGACTGTCTGTAAAGAGAAATTTAGGAAATGTTCCTCAGTCTGCCTAACAAGCTCTAGCTTCCCAACCTACCGTCAATGAATTCGCGCGTCAACATTTTGACCTGCCGAGGGCGCTCGCGCCGATTGCGCAAGTCCTTTGCTGTGACTGTCGGATATGACCAGTACTCCTCGTCAATGTTCTTGGGGTAGTCTCCCCGCTTCGTCCAGAGCATGCCATCGCCTTGGGATTTGCGCTTGGTGGGCGTGCGCCGGGTGAGAAATGTGCGCGTTTGGCGGGAGATTGAGGAGGGCGGCCGCCGCAGAGACTGGCAAGCCGAATGCCGGAAGAGCTGTCGGAACAGCTGGTTGAGGACGGGTGAGTCCATGATGCTTGAAGCGAAAGGTTGGACTCTCGGGGATCGATGGATATGGGGTCAGCATGGAGCTTTCTTGCGGCCTCAGGCAACAGTTCCCGTGCCTGAGGCAACGCCTCACATCTCATTCGTCGCAAGCGAGTTTCTGACGTCGATTCCTCTATTTAGTGTTTAATTTATGTTCGGTCAATCGCAATAATTCGGTTTGAAGGTCAAGACAAACTCCATCCTACCATCACGCTATCATTTTCAGGTCGGTCAACTTGCCAGCAGGCTAAGCACGCCAGTGGTCCGAGCGCCTCATCCCGACTTTCATCAAGTTCATTCCACCGACCTCGGGTTAGAGGGCAATCGGAGAGGTGAATGCACGATGCCGGACCACTCCGCAGTATATATTGGTACGGCATTTGTGGCCGGTGTTTCTCTCGCACTTGTATGCAGAGAGGTGCTCTACCCTCATGGTCGTCCCGAAAAATCGGCAGATATCAAGCCAGCATCAGATACCCTTGTCGCGCGGTCAGGGCCTCCGGCAATCGTCGAGGGTATCCAAGGATGTATTGGAAATACCCCATTGTTCCGCATCAAGTCTCTTTCTGATGCAACAGGATGTGAAATCTTGGGCAAAGCCGAAGTATGTAGACTGAACCTGGGTGTGGCGCAGTGAAATATATCTAACGATTGCATGTCAGTTTTTGAATGGTGCCGGGCAGAGCTCAAAGGATCGTGTAGCACTTAGTATGATTGAAATTGTGGGTTGAAAGCATGGCTCTGTTCAATGCCATCAGCGACCTATGCTAACCTGGTGCCAGGCCGAAGAGAAAGGCATCCTGACGCCATACTCTGGCGACACGATCTATGAGGGCACGTCAGGCTCAACTGGAATCTCTCTTGCGACTCTTGCTCGTGCCAAAGGATTCTTGGCTCATATGTAGGTGCCCCAACGTGATTGCACTATTTATCAATACTGACTCTGTCAAACAGCTGCATGCCTTCAGATCAGGCAATTGAAAAGTCAAATCTGCTCTTGAAGCTAGGCGCCATCGTCGACCGCGTGCCTCCGGCTCCCATTGTCGAAAAAGAGAATTTTGTCAATCGTGCACGAGCACTCGCCCAAGCACATACGGATTCAACCACCATCCCAGTTACCTCTGAAGAAAACGGTCATCTAGAGACGCACGAGCTCAAAGTCCGTGGCCGTGGTTTCTTCGCAGACCAATTTGAGAATGAGGCCAATTGGCGCGCTCACTACGCTGGCACTGGCCCGGAAATCTATGCTCAATGCAATGGCAGGATTGACGCTTTTGTGGCTGGTGCAGGCACTGGCGGTACTATCTCTGGCGTGGCGCGGTATCTGAAGCCCCTGCTACCTAATATCACCATTGTACTTGCGGATCCGCAAGGGAGCGGATTGTATAATCGTGTGCGTTATGGTGTCATGTTTGATTTGAAGGAACGGGAGGGTACGCGCCGACGGCCACAGGTCGATACTATCGTCGAGGGAATTGGAATTAATCGTGTCACTGCAAACTTTGAGGCTGGGAAGGAGTTGGTCGACGATGCAGTGCGTGTGACAGATGCTCAAGCACTGGCTATGGCTCGATGGCTAGTTGAGAAGGATGGAATTTTCATTGGAAGTAGCAGTGCCGTCAATTGTAAGTCTACAGTTCTGCTCGGATGACCATGAGCATGCTAACATACTGACTTTTACAGGCTTCGCCGCAGTCAAGACGGCGCAGAAGCTCGGCCCAGGTCATCGCATCGTGACGGTATTGTCTGACTCTGGATCACGGCACTTGTCGCGGTTTTGGGCTAAAGCTGGGGATATTGGAGGAGCTGTCGACACGAAGTTGGAGGATGTGCTTAATGCCCGTGATGAAGACTTTCAATAGATGTGAAATAGTCTAAGGTATGTATGATAGTATTAGGGAAACAATAACCCAAAAAATTTCCAAGCCAGGATAAAAAGAACGAGCAGCCAGTACTCTGCGTACGCTATTCAGATAAAACTCTGGCGCTTGAACGGCGAATTCTTGGGAGTCGCCGAGCCGTAACGACTCGATACGGGACTGTCCAGGAGAATTGCGGACAGCTTGGACGGTGAAGATGCTCCACTGATGAGCATGACCTCGTCATTCCCATTCTCGCCATTGGCATCATCGCTGTCGACTAGATCCTCAAATTCAAACTGGCGGTGCTCTCGTTGGGGAGGCAGTTCAACATCATGCTCTTCCACGGTTATGAGTTCTTCAACATCGTGCTTCTCAGCTGCCGTGGCCGATGTTTCAGACCCAGTTTCCTCGGCGTCACTCGTGTCAATCCTAATTACCGTATTCTCCGTCTCATATTGTACAGATGCAGAAAGTTCTGGACCAGGAGGGGCCGTTGCTAGCGAGTCACGCTGCTCACCCTCCCAAACGTCATCCCCAGCCCAACAACGAAGCAGTTCGAATTCGACTTCTGGCTGGGAGCGTTCCGAAAGCTCGTCCATGATATCACCCCAAGAGAGCCCTGATCGACCTGCCAGAGATTCCAGGATCTTCAGCTCGGCCTGCGACCAGGGAGCTGAAAGTTCGGGCGGACACGCACGGCGATCGCTCCAGTGAACCTGGTTCCACTGATAGATTTGTGTCAAGGTGCGGCCCGGTAGGGCATCCACAATCTCTTTCCATGTTCTCTCTTGTACATATCGCATGCATACTATTAGCTTGATGTCGTCGGGCGAGAATTTGGTACTGGCCTTGGTCGGCGAGTAATTTAATGGCGAGTGAGCGGCGGTTTGGGAGTGAAGCGATACAGGTGACGGTAAATCGCACAGTAAATCATGATATTCGACTGGCACATCAGTCGTCGTTGGGCTTCGTTCCGAGTGGTCGCCTTGATCATCTCGTTCAGGCTCTGTACCCGATTGGTCGTGCACAGACGGATCCGCTTGGGTAGGTGATTGGTGGCGGGCATCAAGCCGACTTGTGATTATTACCGACTCTGCGAGGAGATTTTTATCGAGTGAATTAATTCGACTGTCAAATTCGCATTTGCTCGTGATATCGATTTGGCGTGGGAATGGCAGAGGCGACGATGGCCAATCCTCTTGCAGCGGGTCGTCCGATTCGTCGTCGTCGGCAACTTTGGCAAAGGACCAGTCGCGCGCCACGGGGCTTGACTGGTGCTTGCGTTTCGCCCGAGACCGGCTTTTTGTCGGCGTTGGGGTAGCTGTGGCTTTTCCATGCTTACTTGATTGCGGTGGACGTCTTCGCGGAACTGTCCAGAGAGACCCGGAGCCGGGTGGGGAGGGTTGCCGGGGGATGATCGGGAGTTGAGGTGTTACGTTGGCGCGTCGCTTATCGACCTTGGGCGTCGTGAAGAGTGGTGGCAGTTCAGGGGCTTGCCAGAGAGGGTCTCTTGGGCCGGGGTCCTTCTCGATATGGTGCAGTGCTGATGAAGGTTTTCCTTTCAACACCGACGGACTGGATGCCGGAATTCCAGGCCCGGGGCCTGAGAACGCCCGCGCAGAGACACAGAGGGAGGTACTCGCATCTCCGTCCGTGCCAGAGCCCAATAACTCGTTTTGGGGACTGCGTGCTGAAGCATGATCGTGGGACTCGACTAGCTCCTTCTCGTCTGGAGTGGAGGCCTCGTCGTCCGAGCCAAAGGGGTCCGTTTCCCAAGGTTTCTCTTTATTCCCAATATCGGTTTCCTCATGCATACCCTGCAAGTGGCCATTATTGACCACAATCTCTCCGGTTTCCAAGTCAATCTCATCGCCCACTTCCGAAAAATCATTGCCGTATTTTGCGAAAATCCCCTCGAATATCGATTTAAGCCGTAGGTCGTTCTGGGCGCGCGCGGCTTGTAGATCCCACTCCCCCGACGGTTGTTCGGCTTTTTCAGGCGATTCGGGGGTGAAAGATAGGCGCAGTCGCTTTGTAGGACGTTCCAGCGTGTCATCCAAGGGTTCATGGCCGTCCATGATCGCGTCCAAGCTTGTTGTCCTAGGCGCGCAGATAGAGCGCGGCTTGGAATTCGCCGTTCAAGTTGTTCAGCGCAGCGGGAGAGAAACTAGGGGATTGAAAAGGAGCGCAGCATCGTTCGAGTTATGTCTGAATTCTGAGGAGTCTTTCTCGTGGTGTCACCATAGACAAACAAATGCGCGGAGAAGAAAATAAGGGAGCTGGCATGTGCCACGCGCCGCAAAAGTTCAAAAACAGACGGCATGACGTGCCCGCCCTCAACCTCAACTTTCTCCCCCACACCGCATCCATCCGTCTCCCCGCAAGAGGTCGAACTGATCGCGACCTCGGCGCTATGTATTGTCAAAAGTGTCGGACACCGCTTAAGTTGGATAGCTCATTAGAGTCGCTTAACCCGGCTGCTTTTGAGCTACTCGTCAGTAAGCCGTGCCTATTCGCGGCCCAATCGCATCTTAATCGCTAACCAAACTATCTCGGTCCCAGACTCCACGGGGAGGACCCTCTCCGATCATGGCACAGCATCATCACCACGAGCTTCCTACCCTACCGACCGCCGAAAACACTACGATCGAGCGTCTCAACATGCTACGACACCAGTTTACAGGAGGTCTATCCCCGCCCCACGGTCGGGGGACCAGCCACATCCACCTGGGATTCCACGAGCTGAGAGCGGAAACATGTCTTTCGTGATGCTCACAGAGTCCCAATTTGTCCCCCCACCCATGGAAAGTACCCTGCCAACTCGGCCGAAGGGCAAGAACAATCAAGGTCCAGACCACGACCAAGACGATGGGTCATTTGCGAGCCAGGTCGACAAATCCAGCCGCCTGTTTGAGATTGTCTCGTCGCGTTCTGATATCGACCATCCTATTTGCGTGGAATGCACAGATCTGCTGGTAGAAGCCTTGCAAAAGCGACTGGCGGGTTCAACAAAGGAGCGAGATGCATATATCTCATTTCTTCGAACCTTGAACGCGTCAGTTCCGACGGCAGAAGAGTTGGAAGCGGCTGAAAAGTCGCTCCAGGACAGCCTGAAAGCCGAGGAAACTATGTTGGCAGAGATAGAAGCTTTGGAGCGAGAAAAAGCTAAGCTGGATATGGATATTGGATCCTTGGAGGAGCAGTCGCAACAGTTGGATGTGGACGAAGAGGCATTCTGGCGCGCTCGGAATGGCTTTGCTTTGACGCTGGGGGAGTTTCAAACCGAACGGGATGCATTGAACATGCGCTACGACCACGACTCGCAGCAGCTGGAGCGCCTACAGCGGACGAACGTCTACAATGACGCGTTTTGCATCGGTCATGATGGATATTTTGGTACGATTAATGGGTTACGCCTGGGTCGCTTGGCGAATCCTTCGGTCGAGTGGCCCGAGATCAACGCTGCATGGGGTCAAACCTGTTTACTCCTGGCTACCATTGCAGAAAGGCTGGGATTCCAGTTTCAAGGATATCGCCTTCGTCCACTAGGCTCCACCTCACGGATTGACAAGCTAGAGTATCCGCCGCAACCGTCCGGGATGGCTGTCAATGAACGTGGCGCCCCCAAAGTCACTCCACTGGATTTATTTTCGTCCGGTGATCTCCCACTCAATCTGCCCTGGCTTCATCGTCGCTTTGATAACGGTATGGTGGCGTTCCTAGACTGCCTACGCCAGCTAGGTCAATTTGTTGCAACCACTCCAGTGCCAGTTGCATCGGCCCGTCGCGGTCAGACCGGCGGCGCCACAGCACCGGGATTGAGGTTGCCCTACGAGATCAAGAAAGATCGAATTGGTGATGCTAGTATCAAACTCGGGTTCAACCAGAATGACGAGACTTGGACCCGAGCTTGCAAGTATACCCTCACTTGCTGCAAGTTCCTGCTCGCGCATGCTAGTAACGTCGCGAGTGCAGGCTCTAGTAATTCGGCGGCCGTTGCAGCTGCGGCCGTGGCAGCTGCGGAGCAGACTCGACAGACGTCTTCCAGTCCGGCTAAGCCTCGTCCATAAAAGAAAAGATGCTGGCTGGCTGGCGAGTCTGTGTCAATCAAGGGGCTCATGCAGTGAGAAATTGCATGCATCATCCTTTTATTTTCAAAGCCAACCACATCAC